TTGCGCTATTATTTGAGTGAAGAGAAATTGTATGACCAATATAATACTAATAAAAATAAAAACAGTGAGGGAAACAGACTCATTCTGAAGTCCATTACCAAGTATCTTTGCCATCAAGAAGAGGGGAAAAAGATGAACTTGCCAACTTTTCGAACTAATATTGTGCAACACATTGGCAACAGAAAGTTGCAAGAAAAAAAACAGGAGAAAAGAAGCAGGAAGAGAATCGACGGGCCTGTCTTCGTCAGCAACGTGTAAAGGTAAAAAACACACGCACACAATATACTAGATGTGATATTAAATTAGAAATATTATATATTTATATATAGTCATGTGAAAGAAGACAATCTGCCTTGAAAGCCAATCGGGCACACTTTGTGAACAGCTTTGGAGAGAATGTTGACAGTATTCTCCATGCTGATTACATGTCAGACCTTGAGAGTGATGACGAAAGAGAAGAAGAGGAACAGGATTCGTCCTCAGAAAAGAGTTTTTTTTGGAGATTCCGCCCAAGCTGGAGAAGCGAAGAGGTATAGTACAAAAAACTATTTTTTTGGATGGTGTGTAATAATACTTACATTGACATATAGGGAGATAGGTTCGTTGATGAACTTGATGCGGATTATGAGGCAGCTCATGATAAGAAAAATAATACCCGTCCATTCGAGCATAAATTTAAAGGAATAAGAGATAAGCAGCTTAGTAAGACCAAGGCAAACAAGCTGCCATCATGGTCAAAGAAACAATAAGACAATAAATCAAACATTTTCTAATAAATTGATAAAAGAGTGCAAAGTGGTATTTTATTAATATTATTTAAGCTTCTATTTTTTGGGGTAAAGGGATTACTAAACGTTTAAATTCACTAGTTATAGTAAACCTATATTTAGCAATTGCGATTGGTGAATATAAACGATGTACTGGAATAATACATTCATAATTAAGTACAGAAGAAGGTTCATTCCAGAGCTCAATGCCTTCATTTAACATTGGCTGGTAACTCCCCGAAGAATAACTAGAGTACCACTCAACAAACGCAAAAGTATGGGTGATGACAGTTTCGTTGATGGTTATCAAATGTTGAAATAAATACAGTATACGGCCAGGAAACGCTGCTTTATCTTCACTGTTATTCTCAAGATAATAGGCGCGGAAATAAGATCCAGAAGAGTATTCCTGTCCAAGAAGAGATATCCGTTTCATTTTCTCAATTCGGTTATTGACAAAAATCTGGTTAGACTCGCAGTTTGAATAATGGTCAAAAAGATCGTGACTGCCATACGCGTGTCTGTAAAACTCCAGTAAACATTCATAATGTCCCTTGCACATTGTAATCCTTTGGTCGAGTTTAATCGGAAACACTGAAGGGGGCAATGGCTCACAACCCAAAGCAGAATGACGAGGGTTTAACGAATATTCAACAAAGTCAGACAGAGAAAAGGTACTGGCAGTAGAAGATGGATGCAATGCTGCTAATTGATCTTGACTATTTGAAATGCGATGCAGAAAGTCAATTGCGAACTGGGGAAGATGGTTGACAAAAGATTGTATGAAGCTGCCAATGTATGTTATCTCCAAAAATCTCTTCATCATTGTTGATTCGAAGCCGCCTTATTGATTTGTTTCGATATTCTTCAACAAACCATTGTATCTCTCGAAACTGAATAACCAGAAAGCATAAATTGGTCCAAAGTCATGAACACACTCGCCAAGATGAAGATGTAGATGCATATTCGGTGTCACGGCCGATTTTCCATACAGTGTCTGAAATCTTGTACAAAACAATTGGAGTTTACTGTGGGCTTCGTCTATTTCTTTGTCATTGATCGAAGGTTTTGTGAGTAAGCGGCATGCGTCAACAAACAAAATCCAGTTTTCGAGATTCTTGGCTGGGAGCACATGCTTCAGAACAAATGGAGAGTATATGACGCACCATGACTTCCACTCGTCAGCTTTCATGAACGAAAACCCATCGGCAATCTTCTTTGTTATACGCGCATATCCACAAGGTACAACAATACCATTGGCAAGCTCTTGCATAGTTAACTGATTCTTTTCATTGATGTAGTTACACTCGCGCCATATCTGAATCATTCGCTTTGCAGTTCCAAGATAGAGATTATGCATCGGGTCTATAACTGTAAAGCGGACTGGGTCAAAGTAAGATAACCGATGAAGCTCTGACCACCGAGTGCCATTTTCTTTTTCTAGGCGTGTTCGCTCAGTATTGTTCAATGCATTTGCCCAGCTGACAGCGTGTTCCAGATTCATTGTCTTCGTGCGTCTCACCCAATTGCTATACTTGAATCCAGAGTAGTCAAGCTTGCTGGTCTTCTTTATAGTCGTGAATTGTCGTTGACATTTGTGACAGGCGCATGTGCTCATGTGGCCAGTAAATCCAGAGGTTTTGCGAGCGGCAGGGATATCACAGGCAACACACATCAATGCAGCACGAACAACAATCTTTCTATTTTGTGAGTCTGTCATTTCTACACCAATGTACATCTCCAACAATTCGTCAACGAGCGGCTTCAAGTAATGATTCATGCTGTCAGTGCTTGCTTCCTTCGGCCCAGGCATCATACCAACAAGAATGACATTTTCAGACTTAAGGCGTTCACTCCGTGGGAGATTGTTGATAGAGAGATATATCGCACCACTGGAATGTGTTCGTCCATCAAATGGCTGAAACCAATCGATATTCAGAGTCAACATTAAAGATCGGCTATCATCAACAAACCGTCTGCCATTAATGTCTTTAATATCACTCCAAACTGCACCATCGAAAATATCAAGTTTGGTGTTTTCAATTATTTGACGACTTCTCCACAAATTGATCTTGGACACGAAATCTGGCTTGGAGAATTTTTGTTGCAAGGCGTACTTCAGAGAGTTGAATGGGTATACCATTGCTGGAAGAGAACGATTTCTGGTTGACACTTTAAAGAGATTGTTGTTGCAAATGGCGGATTGAGAGAATTTCTTAAATGTACAGACTCTTTGACTTGTTTCCGGAGGATAAATCGAATGACATTGTGAGCATGCAATGTATACTGTCATTCCGTCTGTTGCCATGTTAAATCCTGTCTTATGCTTCAAGCTATTGATCGTCATTGGAAGGGCACCAGACATATCACAGAGAGACAGTAGAGTATTACAAAATTCAATGAGAATCGATCCACCGCTTTCCACCAAAAAGATCAAGTGAAATATGACAATGAATACTGCAACAAAGCGGATATACAAGGGCATGTTATCAAAAGACGAAGGACGAACTATGAAGACAAAGGTTAAGTTAGTTTAAATTAATATATTGATTAATTGTCTATACCGTATTAATTCATACCTGATTCTACTATCAAGGTCCCACTGGTCTCAACAAAGTTTTCTTCTTGTTCAAAATCAAAACCGGTATCGCCTTCTTCAATCTCATCGCCATCAACCACAAATGCTCCTGTAATTGTATCTTCGGCAGTAAAGATGGACTCTTCTTGGGACAAAGGTAAGTCAACTGGAAAGGAATAATTGTTGTAAAGATGTAGAAATAAAAATATAATTATAATTATAATCATATAAAAAATAAAAAATAAAAAAAATATATATCAGTTTCAATTATTATTTTGTTCATTTATTTTATTTTATTTTCTTACATTCTTGATCAAATTCAATGTTTTGTTCTTCATTTTCGTCTTCATATTCGCCTTCGCCTTTGTTCTCGTAATCATAATCATTGTCATTGTCACTGTCAATACCATCTACTTCCATGTCGTTAAAATGTTCTTTAGGAACATCTATTTTATGAATTAATTTATATTAATTTTACATGTACAGCTCGAGTTATTCTTGTTATTTACCCATTGCATCGTCTTTGGCAACAGGCACTATATGTTTCTCATAGTGTCATTATGCATTTTGTCTTTTCTGTTTCTTTCTACAGCTATTCAACTTTGTACAGTCTGGGCATTTGCAGATAACATAACTGTCTTTCTTTTGATTATTGGACATGTCGATTGTTTTAAATTATAAAAAAAATTATATAGATTTTAAGAGATCTTGATCAAGGTCTTTATATACCAAAAAAAAATTATAAATAGATAAAATACTGCTCTATGCCATGACTATAGTATGCCGAGTAATTCTTTGATACATCTACCGCACATATCATCATAATTATACTCATATATTGTTAAGTCATTAACCAAGTCAAATACTGCGTACATTACTAAAAGTGTACGCAATTTTTTTTAAAGTCTTTTTTTAGAATTATAATATTTGATATGACGATGATTCGACCATGACGAAAAATAATCCAAAAATGGAACATTCGCCTCTCACAACATGTGAAATAAAAAAATCTGATATTTTAGTTCCATATATCAAAGGGAAAAATCACGCAAAAATATTGCCACAGTAAAAATGAAATCACAACCTTTTGTCTTGTTCCCTTGAAATATATGGATTAAATATTTGTTTTTATATTCACATTTATAATACATAAAAAATATTTAAATGATTTATTTTGAAATAGAAAAAGTGAAACCTTAAGAATATATATAATTTTTATTAAATATTATATTAACTTTTGTATAAGTGTTTTTTCAATGTAATTTAGAATTATATCAAAGAAGTGTATAATATAAAAAAAAACCCAATTTTGTAATTTTATGGTCAAAAAAATGATAATAGTGTGATTTTACAGCTAAAAAAGAGCGATCTGAAATCACAACAGAAAAAAATAGAAATTATTTGAAAAAATTCAAAATCGAAAATTGTAGTAAAATTTTTGCAGGTTTTCAGGAACTAAAATCAGTGGTCTTTTGCAGTGTTGAATGTTAGTATTCTGTGTATATCAAAAAGTATTTATTAGTATCTTGTTTTTATTTCTATTAATATCTCTCTCTTTTTCAGGTAGTGATATACTTACAGTGTTGCTATTAACAAAGTCAATCTTTGGCCTTAGAGAAATACTGCAGTTTTTAAAGTATAAGGCTCTACCTCTTAAGGAGGCTTTATCTAATACTTCACATATGAGACAACCGTATCTGAAATTGTGGCCTTTATAATAGTAATACTTTGTAACCTATTTTGCCAATTTTGTAAGTGTTATTTTTTATTTTCTTTTTCTTTTTTCACTTACTTGGGGAATGTCTCCAGAGGTCATCAATATGTGAACTTTTCCCACAATTCTTTTACCATCAAACGTTTTTATAATCAGCCTATATTTTCTTAAGCTAATGACTTCATCTATTATGAGTAGCAAGAAAGAATCAAGATCTACAGACTTTCTGGATATAATAGCAAGTTGAATAAGATATTTGTTAGTATATCTTAAAAAAATTGTAAGTTCCTTTTATAAAAATAATAATAATAATAATACAATTAAATAGGAACCTTGGACACATCATATAAAATTTATTTAGACGGAGATTGTGTTCTTAAAAAGGAATAATGTGTTTCCAAATCGCGTTTTTTTATATGATATAAAAGCATGATATAAAATGTTTTAGCCAATCATATTTATTTTCTTGCTACAATTAGCCAATAAAATCTCGTTATTCTTACTGCTAAACTGACAAATATTTTACTGGCTTACGGATATACAATTACAAAAAAAATAATAAAGTCTAACTAACCTAGATTACAGCTAATTTTTCAACAAAAATATATGAATGAAAAGAAAAATTATAAAAGAGCTAAAACTATTTTTGCATGGCAAAATAGTCAACTAGTCTGTACCTGATAAAAACTAGATTAAAAAAAAAGGTACTAAAAAATAAGCAACTGCTATAAAAGCATTTAATTGATGTTTATAATTTTTATTTAAATTATGCACACAAAGTATGACAGTGAATCAATAGAATTCAAAAGAAGTAGAAATAAAAATTTAATAAATATGAATAAAATTATATATTAAAAGGTTGCACTTACTTATTTTACACTCAAAAATAAATATCAAAGAAATTATCCAACCCGCAGAGCCCCCCCCCACAAAAAAAAATGAGTATATTACAGACAAGGGAGAAGAGGTTCTTGCCAGAGAGATCGTCATCCGTGATCTATTGCATAAGAACTATAGAGAAGTGAAGACTATTTGTGAGGATATTCTTAAGATCATAAACGATGTTGATTGTGGTGCTGGTGATGTTGTGCTAATATCAATCAAGACGAAATACAATGCTTTGATAAAGAAGTTCAAAGAAAGACAGTCTTGTGTGCCTAAGTCATTCCATTTGCAGATGGCACTTTCTGAGAAAGACAGACTCATGATGGAGCTCATTGATCTGATAATAAATACATAATTGTTTTTGAATATTGTCATGCTAAATAAAAATTGAGTGAAAAGGATGATAAATCTGAGGAGCACATCCATCAGGTCAGTGCCAACAAGGCCGAAATAGCCAAGGTGTATGCTGAGAAGGAACATACGATTCAAGAGAGGTCAACTGGTGCGATCTACTCAGTAGTGAAGGGTGGGCCGCACGCATCAAAAAAGTTGTGAGTGGACAATGGTGAAGGACCCTAGACCCAGGTTCCAGTGAGCCCAGTCGTACCTCCGACTTCTGTGGCCCATCTGTTCTCGTCTCTGAAGGAACAAGTGGCAGATGTGATCAGCATAAAGGTAGATGAGAACATTCTTTTCGTCTATTCAGAGTGTTGAAGGAACTGTCAAGAACATTTGAGATGATGAGAATGTCTCAAAGATTGGTGGCAAACTAGACAAAGTACTTGAAGAAATGTCCAGTATGAACACTGAGATCAGAGACGGCTCTCTCAGGGTTGAGAAGGCAATAGAAAAGCTCGTAGCCTTTATTGCTGCATTTGTGTCTTCTACAACACAACCACCCCCACAATAAAAAAAATTATAAAGTAAGTTAAACAAAATATTCTTATATTGATGTTATTTCTTGACCTCTAAAGTGAAGTTTGCTTCCTATAATAATAAGATGTTTAGTGATTTAAGAGGCCTGCAATATACTCCATTGGTGTTGGAGAAGAGGCTTTAAACCGCATGCTCGTTTGGTTTCTACGGTTGTAGCAAACATACAAGTTTTTGAAGAGTGTTGCCACAATGTAATAAGAGCTTACATTGCCCTGAAGAATCCTTTGTGTTTGTGCATAATTCACATAAGCAAACAAGTTTTCTACATGTGCAAACTCCTTCTCTACTACAACACGAGCACTTGACATATCTTGGTTGCCGATATACTCTGGAGAGTCTTCTTTTGCTAAAACATTATAAATATTAAAAGACTTAATTAAAGTAAAATGCATGATATTATATAACTTACTCTCTGCAAATGGACGCATCACAAATTCTGAGAATGCATATTCTCTGTCAGCATAAAGGTGGTAATAAGGTCTACCAATACTCCTGAAATCAAGTGCTTTACGCATATGCATTTCAATACTGCTTTCATAGAATACAGTCATACCATGATGTCTTCCAGCTACTAGGCCGTAAAATGATGAAGTTATTCTATTCGGAGTAACTACAGCTTGATAATTAAGACCCTGCCCTTTCTAATAAATTGTTTGTGCCAAGTTAACAAATATAAAGCAAAAACTAATATAAAAATGACAATAGTATTCCACTTGCATACTAACCACTGTATATAGTCTTTTGATTCTCGGTTGGCCTAGCAGTCTCCTTAAAGGTGCTATCAAGAAACCTAACACAATGCTCAACTGGTGGGCCTTTTTTAATCAATACATATATAATGATGTTAATATTAATAGTATGTAATATATTAAAATTTGCTCTTACCTAGGGCTCTGATTGCATTGCTAAATTTCCCCAAATTTTTTGGGTCAAATTGACAATAGTCAAATATCATGACTCTGCCAAATTTGAGATGCAGTAGACACATCACATGGTTTGATATACGACTTATATCAGTTGAGTTCCTGCCAAAAAGCAGCAACAAATCTAATAATCAACAGAGAAAAACATTTTACGAAGTTGAATTGCCAGTGCCTCTGTGACAGGAACGGACAACAGAGTGGAACAACCTTTCTCAATACAAACTTTGTCTCTCATTTTGAAAAGAACATATATTGATTGTATCTGTTTATTTTTTTTTAAATATATGCTTATTGTTATTTTTTTTTTAGATTTTATAATTCTAATTTTTTACCTCTGTGTAAGTAAGCCTGAACAAGCACTTGCACTCTTCAGTTGGAACAGTGTGGATGCCCAGATGATCTTGTTGACATAGAGAAATTACAACGCATTTGGCCTCTTGTATGTGAAGCAGCTCCAGAGCTTCTGTTTGATCATCAGCTTGATCAAGAGTCTCTCCAAGAATGTCATCACGAAATGCTTGTTCAGATAATTCCAATACTTTTGCGATATTGTTTATATGAGAGTTGAAAGGCATCTTTGAAATTTGTAAATGATAAAAAAGCAATGATGTTTTTTAGATCGATTTTTAATGTCATGTCTTTGTATTAAAAACTATTTGGTAAGTTTAGAAAAAATACACCTCCAACAATAACGTAAACAGAACTTTGACCCATATATGGAAGCCTTGGACATGAAAAATAAAATTGTATAAAATTATATATATGGTTAAATATTTCAAAAAAAAATTATATGATGTGTCCAAGGTCTCTAATGATGGAAGCTAATTCTATTATCTTATTGATAGATCAAAATTCAAAATCATTACATGTACAATGGTCAATTTCTATTTTGATTTTTTCTGGTTTCCAAAACTATCCAAGAACAAAGCAACAGCAATATTATTAGAAGACTGGAAAAAGTGCTGGGCCTTTAGGACCCTATACTCTTCTCTGTCAAAGTAATTAGACAACTTATTTGATATAAGCTGCCTGTTTGCTCTGTAATGGAGTTTCTCCCTTATATTATTGTTGCCAAGGAGTCGAGCCAGTTGATTACTAAGTGACATCATCTTCATTGTCTTCACTGAGACAAAAGGGGTAGAGGCATCGCCTGTGGGTTCCAGAAACCTTTTACTGCCACAGTGGGGGCATTCTTCTTTGCATTAGGTATTGTTATACAGCTTACAGACATTCTCGCATATGTCATATGTGTGAGCCTTTATTGCTGTTTTTTTCTTGAGTAGGGCATTGACAGGTCCAACCTGGAAAATTTCTGGGAAATATTCTATGAGTTTAATACAATAGTTAGCTTTTTGATATAATACAAGATAATTTGGTTGAATATACTATATCTTTTGAGAGTTTATCATGGTCTTGGAATACCATGTTCATCAGATTGATGAGCTGACCATAGCACTCAGTAGATATATTGAATGAAGTTACAACATCATACAGCTTAATACTCAACAATTGTGAAGTAGTGAAGATATTCTTGGTAAAGATATTATCACCAGCTTCAAAATTACATAATGCTTTATATGTTCTTGGTTGAAATGGGTCAAAGAGTATGTTTGTCAAACATAATTAATATTCAAAAGGTTAATTTTACTGGTGAATTAATCTCAATTTGTACCTTCTGTTATATTGTCATCTACAAGAGATAACAAGTCTTTATCTTCCAAGGAAATATGAGTAGAAGAACCAGCAGAAAAGGCAGAACTAGTATTTGTTTATGGATTCGTTTGTGGTTCTGGAGCTGTTTACTTGTAAAGCAATCCAAGTTACACGCATCACAAATGTATGAAGAAATGTCATTAAAACTTCTTGCTCTTTTGTTCGATGGGTTCATTTTAATAAAAAGTATATGTGTGTAATGTGAGAGATTTGTATATAATAAATGTTATTATCTAAAGCTTTAAATAAATTATATACTGCGCTTTTTATATTTTTTCCAATTTAAGAAGAAAAGCTATTGCTAGTCAGAAACAATGTTATTGGTCTTATAATTGTATGAGTTTCTTTAGGTTCTCAATATTTTGTTCTTTTTTTCTTATTTTTAAAAGTAATTATCTTTCTTTTTCCTATTTTTTTTATTTTATTTTATTCTCACAAACATTTACAACATGAATAACGTCTCTGAAAACATCAATCTGAGCACAGTAAAATCTGTAGTTTGTGAAGAAATCTCTGATATTTGGGATTCTGTTGCCAAAATTGTGGAAACTGTTACCAGCCAGTAACAGTTTGTAAGAGAAGACATATCGCACAGCTTTCATACAGATAATGTAAGCATAATATTTTATTTTATATAATATTTATTTATAAAACCACTTTATTAATAGGTGAGCAAAGTGTCACACAAGCAAGAATGTCTTACTTAGTAAATCATTTAGATAATAGAGGAGTAGAATATATTTCTGCTATGATGACTGATGTTCGTTTTGATGTTATACCAACAGAAACCAACATGACACTAAGTGCAACTTCCAGAATCAATGCACTGATAATTTTTCTGTGAAAGAAGCAATGGGAAATAGATGTTAATGTATCCGGAGAAGAGCAGAAGCTCATTAGACTCCAGTTCCACATGTATACAAGGCAATGTCAATGTATCATGCATGAAGATGGTATTGTTGAGACGAACTGGAGAAGATTGAGTAGTCAACAAAAGTTGTACTCCTCCTTGAGACTCAAGGAGTTAATTTTCTTGAACTACTAGTTTGCTTTACATAAATGCAGAGGTCAATGGGCTGCTGCTCTTCTCCTTCAAGAAGTGATGAAGACTGAATGCCAAACAGAGAAGTACTGAATCATACATATTAAGTTTAGTATCATGCAAGATATTTTATTAATATTTTTTTATTAAAAAAATAGGCAGGCAAAGTTGAGCAGAGAAGTTTAAGAAGAAGAGTTGAGGTATATATAGATTGTTCAAGCATAAGACTTAATACACTGACTAAACTATATTTTTAAAAGTAGTCTTGGTGGGGCAGAAAGTAGTGTGGCATTCTTACCACCAAAAAGAAATATGTTGAGCCGTCATATTTAAATTGTTTTTGACTTCCTATTATTTCCGTCTTCTACAACAATAAAAAATAATTCTCTTTACAATCTCCTTTTTTTAATCAATAACAAATCGACTCATTCCCTCTAATTTCTTCCTTTGCTTTTCATGTAATCACATTCAAACAACATGCAACACTCAAACTTCAAGACACTTTCGATATAAAATTACTTGAATTGTGCATTGATTTTAAAAAAAGACTAATGCAACTAAAAAAACATATTTTTTTATAGTTTTTTTTACGCAGCTACTATATAATATACTCTGGACTTCCATTCTCAAAAAACAGTCAATGTAAGTAAGCTATTGTCTTGTTAAATTGATATTGTATAGGACATACTAAACTATCTGGCAAGCTATTAATAAGTATGTGCTTCTAATTGCTTCGGGCTTGTGTTTTAGCATGGTGGCTACTAAACAATCTTTGAATTCAAACAAATTATAAAGGTAATTTGACTGGACTATATGTATTTACTTTGTATATTAACTTATTTTTTGGACTTCGTCTTTAATCGCAATTACTTAAAGCTGTGAAAGAGTATACTTGAGGTAATTACAAAAAAAACACTTTTAAGTGTATATATTTATAGTATTTTTTACCTTAGCTTTACACAACTCAGGAATGAGATTGCTTGAATGTTGTCTCAATAGAAAACCATGAACAATTATAAATCATAAAGAAAAGTCTAGTCATCTATAGCTGGTATAACTAAAGGTATATATTACTCATATAAGTAATATATAAGTTAGTATATATACAAGATATATTGCTAGTATTTTCATTAGACTTGTATATGAATATGCATTGTTATATGCCATGTGAAAGACATAGTATATCATATATTATATTGTATAGTCCATTGTATAGTACATCATATAATACATCATATAGTATATCATACAGTATATCAAACAGCCTATTGTATATGTCTATTGTATATTTTACTGCATAGCAAGCATATGAATAAAAATAAAATCCGCAATACTTTTACCACCAATTTTTCCATATATGGATTTACTACCATACTTTTATTACTAATCTGTCTGAAACTAAGCCAATCATATATGTTGCCTTACTATTCAGTTAATTAGTGACAATATCACTATAATTAATAGCAAATATAGCTCATTTATCACCAATTTTTTCAATTAAGCATAGTGTGGCTAGCCACCAAAATTTCTACAAATTCTTGGCAGAACTATACGCAAATACAGTATAACAATAACACTATAATTAGTGTCAAGCATAGCTCTACTGTGGATAAAAATCTATGAGAATTTTTTGATACTCGTAACTTTCTGCCAAAAACTTGTAACTTGAAAAGGTCTGATATGCACTTACTAAGTTTAATATGTGCTAATCCTATTTTAGTTTTCTGAGGCTGACATTAAAATATGATTGTTTTGCTTTTAAGCCAGAAGACTGTTTTAGATGAATATAGTATGTGAAACTGCTTATCAGACTGCAAAACTAGGAAAGAGACAAACATGGTCTACAGATTACTTATATCTATAATCTGAACTTAAAGAAGTCTTTGCCACTAAAAAGTAATGACTGTGATTAGTTTTTAATGCATTGTTGTTTTTTTATTTTGTAAAAGTCTTTTATAATTCTACTTTTCACAAGGTCTAAATTATTAAAGATCTCTAAAAAGAACACACTTAATAACTATGAAGGCTAGTATTAATAAAATATGAATTGGCAAAGTTGACAAAAGAAAGTAACTTGAGAAGAATTGATAGAAAAATATCTGCATCAAGTACAATTTGGTTGGCAAGATTGCTTGCATGCTCATTAGAGATCTCAGAAGATTTTGAGAATTGCAGAAAATCTGTCTTCTGTTTTTTCAAAAGTAAGAATTAGATATAATAATGTTAACATAAAGCAGGTTTATACTCTTTGATTAAAAGAATCAATTAAGAAATATATATGCCTTCATCAATATCATAGTACTTTGAAAATAGCTTTTTTTGATAAAATAATGTAAAAAGTATCATATAAAAATAGATATATATATATTATTTAATGAATGTATAGCTTAAGCTGTTACTAAATATCATAAAAATTAATACTTCTTCTTTTCATATTTCTTTATATTCAACTTGTATTATTTTGATCAATAAAAATAAAAAAAAAATGAATATAAAACATTATGCATTTGTGAACTAATCATAAAGAGAATATAAATACCTAAAAAGATATAGATTTGCCATATTTAAAATATTTTATTGCCTTAGATGCAAAATAATAGAAAATCTCATAAATCGTATTTGACAAAAAGTAAAACTAATCAGCTAAAACAGGAATGCTATTACCTATAAAAGTTACGAGTTTGTAACTCGTTATGAGATTGATATTTTAAAGCTGACTTTTAAATAGCAGAAGTTATAAGTATGTAACTTGGTATGAGGTCGAGTGTATAAATCCTGCCATTTCCTATAGTACTCATTTATCACTAATTTTTTCAATTAAGCATACTGTGGCCAGCTACCAAATTTTCTAAAAATTAGTAGTATTGCCACACCAATTTCATTCATAGTGTAACACATTTATATTTCTATAATTTTCTTTTATTACATATTCTATATGTTTTTCATAAAAAAACATACTTTTAGCAAGTAACTGAGATGTTCAGGTAATTTTTTTTGAACAAAATATGAGTAGTTTGTTGACTTGTTATCTTTTTAAATTTCACAATGCTAGTTTTAATAAAGTAAGCACACTTCTTTATTCTTTATATAATACATTTAATTATATGTCTACAGTTTAGTTAAAGGTAATGACAATTATTTTACAACAGTAAAATATCTTATTAATCATTTTTTTATTTAAGTACCATATAATTTTATCGCAGATTATATCTGACTACCTATCATATTAACTTGCGTCTATAAAATGTAAGTAAGATACTTGTTTTAATGATTTGATATATATTGATAACCGCACTTTTATTCCATACTTTTTTATTGATTTATTTAATAATTAGTAATCAAAACATCATTATTATTTCTTGACAATTCTATTGCAGATATTTCAAAATATCTTATCATGTGAGTATCCATATATATATCTATAAATTAATAGAGATTATTAATAAATTCATTTTTTATTTTATATGCTTAAAATATAGCAGTCACAAAAAAGTCTAAGGGAGTCTAAAGGAAATGTCAATAATATTATCTTCAGTTGAAGAAGTTTAAAATCAAAGAAAATTGCAGTGAATACATGAAATCAATGAAATAAAAAGATGTAGTATAAACTGCATCATCAAGATCTCTCAAGCTATCCAATGAATGGGGGTATAACATGTATAAAAGTACTACTATCCAAACATATATAGTAAAAGAAGTATTAGTGATAGACGTTAAATAGTTAAATTGTTTTTCTAATCATTCAAAAATCAATAAAAATCAATTCTTCTATGATATTCTATTTCTAAAGTGTCATCTTTTGATTATATTAACAAGCTTTCTAAAGCTTTTAATGTTTCATATCAATAAAATAAAAACATATCAACATATATTGCATTGCAAAAGGAGGGTGGATTCAGTCGAATTTTATTTTTTGAATTTTGGCAAAATTTGGAAAAATATTTCAAACACCATCGTTTTTCAATATATTTTTTTCTTGAGATGTGAATTCGCAATTTTTTCTGATTATATTAAATAAACACAGATACAAACACAAATATTTATTAATTAGGCAATAAATCGCACAATTGTCTTAAAAAATATATGTTTCGATTGACTTGGCAGAAAAATAAAAAATAAAAATAAAATATTAAATGTTAAATGTAGTATTTAATTATTTTTCTGGAAGGAAAAACTTGTTACAGATGCGCCTAATTTAGACTCAATAATATTTTTATTGCATCGCAAAAAATACCGATTTTTATTAGAATATAATAATGTATGATATATGACTTATTTTCAATAAGAAAGTATATCAAAAAAAATTGAAAAAAAGAGCAAGAATTGATGTCATAAAAAATACAAGAAAAATAAAATCCAAAAAAGGCCACTTGCCAAAATGAGCGAGAATTGATGTTATGTTAAAAAAACGCGAAAGAGAAAAACTACGCCATTATATCAGTGATTATTAAATTGAAGCCCCATTAATAATCAGGCACACTTTTTTTAAGAAAAGGTTGCTGCATCAAAATCCATTTGTAATTATTACTAATAGGGACGGTAAGCTCAATGTAGTCAATGACATAGTGAACAAGATATATCAACTCATTATTAATGACAAAAATAAGAGACATATAAAAGATGAAAATAAAATATAGTATACATCTCTTTATTATTTTATTATTATTAATATTATTCTTACTGTTATGAATTCTACAACTAAAATCTACACTGTTATGTGTACATGTTCATCATGTACCAAAAATGCAATTAGTAGAATTTTGCAAAATGCACAGACCTTTAAGTGTCATAATAATGCTGATAAGTTATTAGACATTGGCCCAAAAAATCGAGGTAAATGACATTTGAGTAGTATGCGCATTACTGGATAAATTGTAATCTAATATTTTTTTTGTTAATTATCAGTTAATACAGAAGTTATCAAAGAAGAGACAGACGTTGAGAGGGTAGATGTATCTGAAACATCGATTGATTGTGAGTATAAAATTTCTTTTTAATAAATCATAATTTAGATAGCTAATAGCCTGGTTTTACTATAGATGAAGACAATTATTCTATTATATCAGCCGAAACTACCATACAGAGTGTACCTTTTTTGAGAGAAGACCAGATTTTTCAATTCGAAGAGTCTGATGTTGAGACAACATCATTGGCTTCTGACAATGACGATCCTGATTCAAGCGATGAGTCTGAAGATGAGAGCAAAGTTGAGGTTGCCGGTGTTGAAGATTTTGAAGACATGGTTGCTTCTGGTATGCATACATTTAAAAAAGAAATATACATAAATTGTGTTACAAATAATTAACAGAAATACTTGCCTTTGTAGTTGCTTCTTTGAAAATTCATGAAATGTCTCAAACAAGCCAATTCATGGCTCTATTTGGCGTTATCTTTCAGGCGTTTTACTTGGTTCAAGCAGGTAGAACTGCTATGTTGAAATTCTTCTGCCATCTTCTTGTTGCCTTTGATAAGGATACCGATCTCCCACTCACCATTGATGTATTAAAGACTATGACTGACTTTAATTTCATGACAAAAAGCATCGTCAAATACACCGTCTGCAACAAGTGCTTTGCAATTTACCTACCAGGCAATCGCCAACCAAATTGCACATTCGAAAAATACACAACCACACTACCAACATACTGCGGAAATCCTCTTTTCTCTGACACCAAAGCTGATCGCGCCGTCCCTCTCATGGTTTTCCCATACAACTTGCTCAAGAATGCATTGGCACAGCATTTTGCCAAACCTGGGTTCGAGCATCAAATCGTTCAATGGAGATCAAGGGAAACCATAAACAGTACCTTGTTGGACGTCTATGATGGTGCAATGTGGTCTGAGCTCCTTGATGAAGATGACAAGCCTTTTGTGAATTACAACCAATCTTTGATGTTGACATTGAATGTGGATTGGTTTCAACCGTTTGAGGGTCGTACACATGCAAGTGGGGCCTTGTACCTGTCAATGAACAACCTGCCTAGGGAAGAAAGAATGAAGCCGGAAAACATTATCCTTGTCGGTGTCATGCCTGGTCCAAAGGAAGCGAAGATCGACCAGATGAACAACTTCTTGGAACCTCTGGTAGACGAGCTGGTAGAGTTATACGGCAGCATAACTATGAAAACTCCAGAGTTCCCCAATGGTACTAGTATCCGCGCTGCTCTTATGTGTGTTGCTTGCGACATACCTGCTGCAAGAAAGACTGCTGGATTTACAGGATTTGCAAGTACAAACGCCTGTCACATATGCAAGCGTCATTTCACTGTTGTTGCTGGAACAAGTAAGATCAATTATTCTGGATTCGATCATGAGAACTGGGTCTCCCGAACAATAGAGGAAAATGCAACCGAAGCTGAGATGTGGTTCTGCGCAGAATCTGATGCAGAGAGAGCTGTTTTGGAGAAGCAGCATGGCACCCATTTTTCCGAGTTGCATTGCCTACACTACTTTGATCCCTTCCGATGCACGATTGTTGATCCCATGCACAATTTGTTTCTTGGGACAGCAAAGCGTATGATCAGTGTTTGGAAAGACCTGAGGTATCTCCCAACTGCTGTTCTCATCCGTATGCAACGTCTTGCAGATGGTATTCTTGTTCCTCCTGGGTATGCCATTTTATCAACAAAGATCGAATCTGGTTTCCCGTATATGAAGGCAGACGAGTGGCAATCGTGGTGTCTGATTTATTCGTTGGTGGTACTAAAAGACGCTTTGCCTGAAGACGACTATAAAAACTGGACTCTCTTTGTAAAAGCATGCCGAAAGTTGACCGGTCCTTCAGTCACATATTCAGAAATTGACAGTGCATACCAGCTCCTTAGAGAATTTGGAAAAGAGTGTGAGACTCTTTATGGAGAGAGCAGCATCACGCCAAATATGCACTTGCATATGCACTTGCGTGAGTCAATGCTTAACTTTGGTCCAGTATACGCATTCTGGCTGTATAGCTTCAAGAGATACAATGGCAAGTTGAAGAACATCAAGACGAACTGTTGCAATGGTCTTGAGGTCACCTTCATGAGAGTCTTCCTGGAGAAAGCATTCATTGGTAGCTTTCTTCGAGCGTATTCTACCAATCTTTCATCACCACTGATAGAGTTCCTTGAGGGGGTTGCCCAAGTAAAATCAAATTCTGACAGCTCTTCTCCCTTGAATTTGGATGCTGGCCACCCTCCTGCGTTGCCATTTAGCTTAGCAATGTTCCAGCAAGCTGCTACAAATCCATGGTACAATGTTACCGGAAGTGAGGCCTTGCCCCCAACCACATTGCCAATCAAGTTGCAGCCTTTGACTATGATGAAGGATGATTACTATCAGTGGTTATTTGAATTCTATGTCAAGGCTTACCAGAGTACAAGTGTTTCCTTCTGTGTGGTAGGGAGAATCCCAATTGGTGAGGATGTATTTGTGAACAATCGGATTCAAAAGGTGAAGAAGATTTCGTTGCTGGGGCAAGAGTACTGCAGTGGTGAAAAGAAGAAGCGCGGGTCTTTTGTGAGGGTATTGTTTCTTGAGAGAACAAATGACAATGTATCTGAATTCCCTGGTCAAATAGAGTATTTATTTACTTATACCATCAAGATCGGTGGAGTCAAAAGAGTGTCAACGTTTGCATTCATTAAATGGTTTCCCGCCTACCATTCAAGTAGTCATCAGCCATTAGCTGATCAAGGTCTGCAGTCGTGGGACAAGGGATTTATGGAAGAAGATGCTTCGTGCATTGTTCCAGTGCATCATCTGCATTCGTGCTTTGCGTTGACTACGCATAAAATGCAGAGTGGGACGCAAAAGCATCTGGTTATTCCACTGCCTAGAAAAGTAGTCACATAAAAAACAAAAAAAAATAACAACTATTTAGGTTACCAGTATAAATAATTATAATATGAGTTTTTTTGACTGTAAAAAGGTTTAGCTTTATTTATCTCTGTATTCTTATTTAGTTTTAACAATACTTCTTTATTAAGTATTTAAAAGAGCAATAGTAAATTATATTACCAGTTTTTTTAACTATTAACAAATAGTAAAAACCATTATTTATTTCTCTTGCTTTTATCAATAATATAAAAGACAAAAAAACTTATATATTTAATACCTGACATTTACCATTTTCTTAGCCTTTAATACATATTCTTGCTAATATTAGTATTATAATTTCCAATAAAAAAAAACAAGGATAAAACAATCCGGGTTATATAATTAAATAATTGCTTTGTATATATATTTTTTTTATTAATTGGCTTTATAATAAAATAAAATAAAATAAAATAATAATTTATTATTTTGATTTTTGATTTTGTCTTTTTCTTTTTCCTTTTATTTATATATTAAGTGCTTCTCATCTTGACAATACCGCCTGATTATATTTTACCACTTCACCTCACATCATTCAACACAATCAATAAAAATCATTAAAGTACTATATTCACTTTATAAACAAAATAACGATTTATTGCTGGCGTGTGTGAATCCAAGCAGCAACACTTGCCTTTTTCTCATTCGATAACTTGGTGTTTCTCAAAATAATTGGATAGACAGAATTGCCAATGACGTCTGGTCCCTTGTTAGCAAGTCTCTGTTTCTTCAAAACAGTAAAGTATTCATCCATCTGCATTATAATATAAATACTTTTGAGTTAGAAGTATTAAAAAAAATAACTTTTATCATGAGAGCCTTACCAAGGGATGTCTATTTCTAGGAGTATATCTTGTTTTATTTTTCTCCTCATCTGACTCAATATCAGACAGCATGTCATAGTCCAGAAGGTCAACGACAGTCTAACCAAACTTAGACTCAAGGTTTGTCTTGTCAGCTAAGTGAATTGCCTTGTAGTCTGCAAGAATCTGAAAAAAAAGTTAAAATAGTTTACACAAAAACTGTTGACTATACTTACGTTTCTCTTTCTGGACCGGCGTTGAGAAATCCGATTTTGTCGAGCTATCTTTTCTGGCAAAGCTTTTGCCCTTTGAAGCATATACAAAATATGTCTTCGGGTTTTCTCTTCCACAACTGCAGACGAAACAGACTTTACTTCAGCTTGCTGATGTGTGTAGCTCTGCACTACATCAGCAATGGGACGGTTGGATGTTGAGAAGGCGCCCTCATTGACCGTCAATGGCATTGTTGCCAGAACTGCTCGTGTTTGAGAATGGATCAATCTCTGCAAAATATAATGTAAGTAACTTTGCAATATTCTATTACTAGTATATATCCTACCGAAACCGTTGGAAGGCGGTACTTTATATATTCTCCTGTAGTAAGAGCCTGACCGATGGGACTATGGTTCAAATTGTTATTCTGGCCATTGATTGCTCCCATGTTGTGGTAGACCTTCTCCAGAAGTGAATGAGATTCATTCAGTCGGGTGCTCATGATGGACAAAGTGGACAGGACAGTACCATCTAGCTCTGCGCTAACTTTCAAGCTGGGAAGAATTTCCCATTGTCTTGTGCTTGCTGCTGTCCCAGCAGTTTGTTGAACAGACTTTTTTGTAGTCGTCTTTTTCGTTTTTTTGGATTGCTGCGTATTAGAAGACATGAATTGAGATATTTAAGGCTAATGAAAGAAATGGAAACAATGTGAATACTTTAATAATTAGAGTCGGGTTTCTTTAAAATAATAAAATAAATCAAAACATATGTAAAGGTGAAAAGTAAGGCACCAAAAGATTATTTTTCTGATGATGCTCTTTATAGCATTTTGATCTCTATATTATACTTTTCTTTATAAGCCGACTTGGAAAGGCATTTGTAATAGCTTACATCCATTACAAAGATGTGAGAGATTATGGTTTAGTATGTAATGTCTTGTCTCAATCGGGATGGGTTGAATGACTTTCAATTTGCTCCATTGATTCTATCAGTTTCTCAGGGTCAACGGTCATAAAATTATAATTTTGAATTTCCCCCATTTTTTTTTTAATTTTTTCTTTCTTCTTCTTTACTTCTTTCTTAATGTCTAACATGGTAAGCATCAACTCACATCAAAGTTTCAAGACCTAATCATCTTGTTGTTTTTATTCTAGCATGATACACTATGCTTTAAACCACAAAGTCCTTAACTGTCTCAAAAGTAATGATAAAAAGGTAATAAAAATATACTTGAATATTTATTCACGATTTATGTATTAATTATTCTGCTTAGATTTTTCTGGCCCGTTAACAAAGACATATACCTTGGGAGGGTTTACAAAATGGTATGTTGTATAAATATTAACGTACACCTTTAAGATACAACTTGTATTTATTATTTTTCTTATGTATACCATACACTCTATAGTCACTGGTCTTTATCTCGGTCCTCTTTTTTTGATTATACACCGACTCTTATTCTCTACAGACAGACAAGTAAGTAAATAATCATTCTACTTCTTTGTATGTAATTCTAATGAAAAGAAATTATTTTATAGATAATATCTCCATTTCCCGCATGCTGCCTCTTCTATTGTATTGAATAATTGGTAAGCAAAAAATAGTCTGATACTCTTTATTTCATTCTAATAAAAGATTATATTTTATAGACAATGTCATTGTATTTTGTGTTTGTCAACTCTTCTGTTTTCTGAACTGTCTGGTAAGCAAACCATAGTCTTATTTACTTTGCATCGTATTAACAAAAGTTATTATTTTTATAGACAATATTACTATAATTGAGACATTTAACTAAAACGTTGATATATCTATCTTTATGTTAAAGACATCCATCTGTTCTCGTGTTTAACTTTATTGTAAGTACATTCATATTTTTTAAATAATCTGTCGCTCTCAAATAAATATACCTAGAACATTCTTTCTAATCCACCCTATAATTATTTTTTATAAAAGTAAACAAACAGGCCAAGAAGGCGTGCCGCAGCAAGCAATGGAATACAGTAGGGGTCGATTGCATCAGGGGTGGACCAATGGATGTTCGAAAGGAATAACATAGTATCCACTAAAATAAATGACGGCATCGAGTGTGATGTTTCTACCCAATTGCAACAGAAGACGATTAGTGATGTAGACGAATAGAAATAGCTAGAACAATAAGAAAATTTTTTCAAACCAATAAAAACCTTTAAAATGACCCATAAACCTCTAAATCTTGACTAAATCTTGACCAAATCTTGACCAAATCTCTTCTTTAACAACCCATATATAGTAATAAAAAGATGTTGAATGTTATGTGCTGTATTTAAAAAAAACCCAAAACCAATATAAAATGAAAAATCTGCGGTCTGATAAAAGTGCGTCTATATTTTCACAACCAAAATATATCACATAAAAGTATATCACACTTTTTCTTTTTGCGTTCCTAAAATTCAGTATACTAATTGTATTCATTTAGCTCACGAATTTTAAAAAATTGGCATCATAAATTCCGATCGAATTCATGCTGAATTTTATTCATTCAGACAGTATTTGGTCAAGATTTAGTATACTAAATTGGCCCTCCTTTTGCAGTGACCAGCCCCTTTGAAAGTCCAAGTCCAGGCAACCACCTATACATGCATATAAGAAATAGTATGTTGTCTTCTGCATCCAATACCAGCTCATCGTTGGATGCAGATCTCAATTTACTGAGAGAAGCAACTGGATCGCATACGACATGGAACCAGTATACATCAGACACCCACCCATTCCCGGATCTCCAGTCTATGGTACTGCTTGCCTTTGTTGATGGCGATAATGACATGGTATCTCGCAGGATCTTGAAAAAGATCCTGTTTACCATATGTCTTGTCCTTAAGCTTCACGAGAAAGCTATCTGAAAGAAGTCCCCGTTCAAGTTACCTCGTTTGGATGCCCTCTTGAACTATCAGACCAGGAAAAAGTCCAAGATTCCTGTATTTCCATCCACAAAAGTCGATATCCAGTTGCTGGAAAACAATACCACGTCTGCTTATATCAACTTGCCTTCAGACCACGTCCGGTTTCTTGCTGCCAACCCCAAGAAAGCAAGAAACATGTTTTCCCTCCCTGACCGCACTCCTAACCAGTTCATTTGTCTACAACAAGGCGAAAAGTGGAGAACACATTGATACTATCAACAATCTATGTTCACCCACAACGGCGTAGATTTTTGGTCTGGTGATATTGTTAACTTTATGAATAGTTCTACTCCAGCCCGTTTCCTAGTATAATCATTCCATACCATGGATAACTCAGCCGTTTTTGTTCAAGGCTACATGGTTTATATTCTGGAAGGCGGTCAGTTCATTGGCATCGAAGTTGAATCTACTAGCATAAAGCTTGAAACTCTTCTTGGTGTTGACTTGACCCCTGTTGATGTTGCCCTATGCTACAGCGTCTCACCTAGGAAAGTCTCTCATTTGATTCCCAGGCACAAGTCCTTGCCGGAAGAGCCTCATTTCTTAAAACGGCACGTACTAGACGAAACCGGAAAGCCGATTGATCCAAAGTTGTTTTACAAGGTGAGGATATCGCCCATTATACTCTTCACCAACGACACCTTCGGAAACTGATCAAAGCAATATAACCCGTACAAAAGCCGGTCAATGAAGTTTGCTGCTCTCTCCTACAAAGAGAGGTCTTCAATTGAAAACATCCACTTTCTCTCTGCTATTCCCAAGAAAAAGGGGGCAAGTGGGATGTCCTTGTTGTCTAAAATCGTTGAAGATTGCAAAAGGCTCGAAAATGGACTGGTGATGTTCTCTGCCAAAGACAACGAAAACGTCTTAGTAGCATCACCATTCCTTTGGATCGAGGCAGACACTCCATGCCATTCTGAACTATGTGGTTTGCGCACACCGACAAGTCTGTACCCATGCCGCAAATGTTATGTCCATTTACAAAGATCCATGCCCAACCTCCAAAGCTCTTCGTATTATACTGGTAGACACACAGCAAGAACAAAGGCACACTATCTTGCTGTTGCGTCTACCTCGGGACATGGATCGACTATTCCAGATGCTCCTTTGACTGGAAATGCTCTGACAGCAAGCAACCTATGCTTCACAAATAGGGCAACAGATGCATTGTTGGAACTACAGTCATTCGATTCATCGACAGATACTTCAGTTGAAGTTCTGCATAACATACTTCTTGGAGTTGCTAAGTATCTAGTCAATGATTTGGTAAAGGTTGTACTAAAGAAATATCCTAACTAAATGGCTAGATTGTCCAAAGCCCTCAAGGGTTATGAAAACTCTCAAGGAATTTCAAGAAAGTTCACTCAAGAGTTACGACACTGTGGCTCATTCCTTGGGAGGGATTACAAAGTTCTTCTGCAAATTCTACCCACTATCTTAGTTACAGAATTTGCAAATAATAGTATACTCTCTCTCATAACTCCATCTTTTGTCCGTCTTGGCCGTCTTTGCTCCTTGGTGTTTGTTAAAGCAGTAAGGTATGATTATAATATGTACATCAACGAAGTTGAAAAGGCAGTTACAAGCCTTATCCAAGAACGGCATCATTATGTCATTACCTGTGAAATCAAAGGACATAATCCGTATTCCTCAAAGCCCAAGGTTCATCTGCTCACACATCTGCCCGACGATCTACAAAGATTTGGAACTGCTCTACACTACGAGACCGAAAAAGGTGAGCAGTTTAACAAACACATCCGTGAACACCTAATGCATACCAATAGGTTAAACACCTCAAGAGATGTATGTCTCAAGTTCGCCAAGCAATCTGCAATGAGACACATCATTGATGGTGGTTCATGGGTGAGCAAAGACAAAATGAGAGAGAAGTATGGTAATTCCACAGCAGAATTTTTTAAAGAAAACTTTAACAACAATGTTAAGAATATCCTGTTCGGTAGATCAAGAGACTTTGCTGATAATAACAACACTGATGACATTACAGCAAAAGCACTCTGTGACAATACCTTTGCAGTGTTCATGCTCAAGGAGAGTAGAGACCAACATGTCCATCCATTTATTGGAAAGGTCTCCTCTTTGAGAGTAGAACACTATTGAGTTTAGAGTAGTCCCCACGCTCAAGTTAACAACTACCTCCTCGCACAAAGTGTTTCCAATGATGCATCTACTCCACTCAATCAGCTGAAGATTGTATGTAAGCTTGATATGCACACAGAATTTAACAACAAGCTTGTCATCAATCTCAGTAAATTTGGCTCCTACTGGTTCTTTGTTTCCTTGTTTTTGAATTGACAATATTGATTTTTTTTTATCTTTATTAATAAAAAAAATTATTCAATAAAAAAAATTGTGATTTTCACCAAGTCATTTTTCGGTTTTGCCAAAATATTGAGATGGTCCATTTATGGATACTTGCACTTTTAAAATTGTCTTATGTAGTTGACAAGTCTCATAAAATGGGTCAAATTTGATATTCCGATTAATCTGGGTTATATAGACTAATCAAAATGTATGTGAGTAAAATATTTCCAAATTTGATATCGAAAATCTTCCGTGGTGATTAGAACGTCTATATTTCCTGGTATGTCATAAATATTTCACCGAAATAGTGACTGCCAATACTTTTTCTTGTTTTTGAATTGTTTGTTTGAAATAAAGATTCTATATCCCCTGAAAGTGCGTTTTTTTATTTACACATATTGCTATTAAACATGTCTACTGTCAATATTATACCAATGAATGAAAACATTTACACTCGTGCAACAATTTCAGAAGTATTGGAGTGCTCATCTATTCCCAGAGTAATGACACTTAGACTCAACAGTACTATTAGAGTTAGAACATCTGAGTGGAAAGAATGTCTTATAGAACTTGGTGAATCCTGTGCAGTAAAATAGACTATTCGTAACTCCAACAAACGACATACTGATATCACTGCTGAAGAAGCCAAAAACAGTGGCATTAAGATGTGTTTCTCACAGGAGTACTCGTGTCATCATTCAAGAACTTATGAATCTAAGGCAGAGATGTGAGTAGTTCAAAAGAGAACTAAGAAAAATAAGTGTCCTGCTCTTCTTTGCATCAGAGGATTCTTTAAGACACCTGAGTGGTATGAGATAATCTTGACCAAAGATCATGCTGATCATACTCCTGGTAATATCTGTGAGGATAATTGTACTCTTCCTCTTGCCAAAAAGTATCTGCATGAACCGTCCCAGCAATTAGAGCAATCATCTAAATCTGCCAGCCAGATACGTATTGACATGTTGAGAGCTATTGATACATATTAAAGAAGTTCTGATTGTAAGGTCAACTATTATGACATTTGGAACTTGATGAACAAGATAAATAAACCTCATTTATTTCAAACAATATTTTATTTAACCAATTGTTTATAGATAAACAAAAGATTGTATCATTTTGACAAAGATCAAATGGTTTCTTTTTTGATATGGATAAATAAGAAGCTTCCTGCAATGAATTTTTCGATTTTTAAGGGCAATATGAGTTACTCTCCCAACACAAATGCATTTGCTTATGGTTTTATGTCACCAACACAGCAGATTAAAATGAGAAATGCCGTTTCCTTTTGTTATGATACTACACATGCTATCTCTGGCAAAATTGATGAGATTTTGTATACTCTTCTTGTTTGTGACAAAGAAATTGGTAGAGGATGGCCTGTTGCTTTCATGGTAACAAATGACTGGGGTGTTGGCCCTATTGTACAGTGGCTACAGTTTTTGAAGTCTTCCCTTTTGCTTATCAATCCTCAGCAAATTACTATTGATTGCTGCTCAGCAGAAGTACATGCAATCCAGCCCACTTTCCCTTCCACACAGATTCAATTCTGCATCTTTCACGTCACTCAAGCATAGAACAGAAAGCTGTCTGACTCTGTTAAGATTCCAAGTGCTTTACCTTCTGAGGCTCGTCTTCTTCGTGGTGAAATGATGAGATATCTTCAAGATATTGTGTATGAAGACTATCTGGACCAGTTCCATCAAAAATTTGTGGAATTCAAAAGTGAATTCAGTAACCAAGAATTATTTTTAGGCTACTTTGAAAAAAAATGGTGCACTGAAGAAAAGTTTAAGATCTGGACCCATGCTTATCATGAACGGCAATTCTCTCATATGCTCACAAACAACTATATTGAATCGTGACATAATCAGCTTAAAACCATGTTCATGAAGAGGTCAAGAAATAAGAGATTAGACAAACTTATCTTTATCTGGATACATGATGTTGAGTACTATCTAACACAAGAGTATGAAAGAGTTATGTCAAACAATGGAGCAATGAGCTCTTTTACTAGACAGCAAAGAATCAGAGAGATGGAAGCAGAAGAAGTTGATGATGATGCAAGAGAGACAATGATTGTTGCTTCAGTATCAGCAGAAAACAGTAGCTGGCAAGTGCAGTCATTTGTTGATGAGAACACAGCATATGTAGTTGAGGTTACAGATAGGCTGATTATGAAATATACCTGTTTCGATTTTGAAAGAAGACAAAAACCATGCAAGCATATGTATTTGTTAAAAATGCACACTGCCTTTTCTTTGCACTTCTCAACCACTCCTTTAAACCCTACCTATGAACACAATGTCATACCAATCCCGCAACCCATCATCACAAACAATTGCTCCTCCCTTTTCTTCAATCAGTGCATTCAAACAAATCAAACACTGCATCAATCACATCAAGACCTCGCCACATTAGCACAGTATACAACAGACAACAAAGCAAAGCATATATATGACATATAGCAGCAATTACTTTGTTCCATTCAATCCTTAAAAGATAAATATGAAGTATATTTTCGTTGATTAAATAATCAATAAAAATATAATTATTTCTCTTTTTTTTTAAAAAAAACATTCTGTAAATTAAAACAATTTTTAAAGTGACTTAGTAAACTATGAAAGTTCTTATTTTCTGGTATGTAAGCCTCATTTTCAGTTAAATATTTATGACATACCAGAAAATATAGACGTTCAGTTATAATGTCATAACGCAATCTGTAGATCTCCAGTTAAATTCCCACAAAAGACATATAAATATTGAGTGAAATATAATATATTTAAATACAGCGATCTTAGGGGACGGGGGGTTTTTGGCTATGGGGATGGGGGGTAACGGCACCACACAATTTAAGGTGACTGCGAGTCCGAGGCCCGGCTATAAAGTGTCTTGAAGAACCCCCCGTCCCCATTCTTTATAAGCACACCCCTGTCCCCATCTTTAGATCATTCCAATTTCCCGGGAAAAATAAAAACACCCCCTTTCTTAAAGTCATTAACATTTAGTTGTAAGAATAAAAAATAATATTTCTAAATAACAAGATATGATGCCTTTTTTACGTTATGTACATTGCATACATTGCATACATTGCGTACATTGCGTACATGAATCAATAAAAATACTTATATAACTGCAGTGCTCTTTTATTAAATATGAACACCGACTTCAATACCCCTATTGAGAAGATGTACTCGCTTAAAACAACACTCTCATTCCCCGAGAATGGTTATCCTGACAAGCAGAGTGTTCTTCAAGCTGTAAACGATTATGCCCTTTCTAATAACTTCACCATTAAGATTAAGGACGAAAAATTTCCTATTCTTCACATTGCTTGTTCAAAGGCTAGTGTTTATTGTGACAAGCGCAATATAAGTGATGAGAAAAGAAAGAAGACACCCAACTCTTCTCTTACTGGATGCCCCTATCTCTTAAAATTTTCTTATAAGAAGAAAAGCGAAATATATCTTCCTTTGCCCGCCTATGGGGAAAACGAACATTGCCACAACCACCCTGTCACCCCTGAGAATTTGGCTTCTTCTTACCAAGAAAGAATGTCTCTTTTGACTGCTGAAGATGCCACTATTGCAAAGACAATGTTGGAGAATCACGCCAAGTCCCGTGATGTTCAGAAGGCAACAAGTGACAAGGTGACAGGAATGAGAAAGCTGAGGATCAGCAATATCAACAATCTCAAGTACAATGCTACTTGTGGTGATGAGGAGTCTGCCCATGGCACTACTGAGCTCATCAGAACAATGGAAGCAAAGGGATTTTCCATTCTCTACGAGTTTAATGAGAGAAATAGACTCACTCATATATTTTTTACAAACAATATAATGATCAAGAGAGCTCGACGTTTCCCCGATGTCTTTATTGTGGATGCTACATACAAGACAAACTGCGCGAAGATGCCATTGGTTTGCGTAGAGGGTGTCAGTAACCTAGGTGGAGAAAGGTTGAAGAGCTTTCCTGTGGCCTTTGCATGGGTAGCCGATGAGACAGAGAAGAGCTATGTTTGGTTTGTGAAGTCTCTGAAAGCAATTGTTTTGGAGGGGGTTGCTAAAGCCCCTATATTTGTTACAGACAAATGTAAAGCATTGATGAATGCGCTTGATTCCGAGTTCCCCTTGGCCAAGAAGCTTCTGTGTGGTTGGCATATGATCAACAACATTGCCAAAATGGCAAAAAAAACAATGAAGCCAGGAAAAGAAAAAGAGTTGTGCACACATTTAGTCAACAAAATGATCTTCGGAGATAAACGCGATGTCTTTGATGAAAATCTTGAGCTTTTCAAATCGCTGTCATCTTGAAAAGATTTCCAAAGTAAAGAGCAGCTAGAAGACAATGATGATGATTCTACAAAGGTTGTAGAAAAAAGAACTCTAGAAAAGTACTTTGAAGATGAGTGGATGCCGTGCAAGAAAAAGTGGGCTGGCTACCTCACTAGTCAATTAAAACATTTTGGCTGTGTGACAACACAACGTGTCAAGAGTGGCCATAATGCTCTGAAAAGAAAAATCTCGGCTCTTCAGTCATTGAACTCTTCATTTGAGCAAATTTGCTCCTATATTCTCCAGTTTGAGGGCGACTATCAGAACCTTGAGTTGAATGAGGCAACTATCACAGATGCCAGAATATACCATGAACCTCGCCTCCATAGATTGATTCACCACGTCTCCAGAATTGGTTTGATTACCATCTGTGCTGAGCTTCTAGAAGAGGTTGTACCTGGTGAGCTTTGCAATTGCAGAGTAAAAGTGGTGTTTGGTCTTCCTTGTCGCCATGATCTGCCAAGAGATCGTATGTTGCTATTATCAGACATTCCTGAAAGATGGATTCTGTCTTCTTCTTTGGGTGAACGTTTGAAGCAACTGGAATGTGACGTTTCTCTACAGAAAATCGACATTGAAAAGCCTGCCCCGTGGGTGAAATGTATAACAAAGCTTGAACAATTGTTTCGTCAGTGTGAAGGGAATCAACAAGTCCAGAATCTTATGGCAATGGTTGATGAACTTGTTGACAATGCTGGTGAAATAATTGACCATCCAAATTTTGTATTTCCTTTGGCAAGTAAGATCAAAGCTCCTGGAAGACCTAAGCACGTCAAAAGGAAAACTGCTCTCCCAAAGGACTTTGTCCGTCACAAGCACAGACATCTCCTTGTGCAAAAGAACAAAGTAAGCATGCAATATACACAAACATGATTTCACAATCTAATACATATTTATTCTTTATTTCTTTAGAATGATATCAGAAGTATTTTGAAAGAAGGACTTAAAGAAGTGATGAAGGAGTTCTTAGAGGAGGAGCCTCTCAAAAAAAGTAATTTATAATTGTTTTTTTTGTGAAATTACAATGTAATATCTAATGCTTACTATTTCTAGTCATAAAAGAAATAAAAAAAGTAACCCAATTCGCTGAAAAACAAGAGCCTCTCAAAGAAGATAATTTTTGATAACTTATAAATGAATCACAAAATATTTTGTATGGTTTGCTCACACATTGCATGTTTTCTCTATAGCTAAAACAACCAATTTCGCTAAAAAGCAAGAGCCTCTCGAAGAAGGTAACCAATAAGATATTTTACTAAAATTAAATGCTAAATGTTACATTGTTTTTTGTTTCTTATTAGCTAAAAAATATTCCTCTGGAATTAAAAGACCTAAACATCTTCAAGACGACTACTGGTACAATTTGCCTAGTCCAAAAAAACAAAACAAAAATGTGCATGACTTTGCTCTGCCTGCTCAAATCGACCAAGCTGACATTTCGTTGACGTTTAACCCCAAGTCCAATGGTTGGTGCGGTTTCCGTGTATTTGCACACCTGAAAGAGGGTGGAGAGGATCAGTTTCCTTTGGTGAAGAAGAAGATGTTGGCCACGATGGCAACCCATGGTAAACTTTACAAGCACAACTTTGGCATTGATGTTGCCAAAGTGACAGAGGTCATTGCCTTTGGCTCCGAGATTGACCCTGCTCTTGGGGAAAATATCCCATCTTGCCCTTCCTCTATGTGGTTCTCTGCACCAGACTGTGCTCAGATAATAGCTGACACCTATAACAAGCCTGTTTGTGTGTACTCGGACGATCGGAGCGTCTTGCCTGTAACTTTCCTTCCCCTCCATGATCGGAAGCCTCTCAAAAGAAAGCCATTGCCAATGGTCTTGCACCATGTACATGGGTGCCACTGGACAACAATTAAAGTGAAGCCTCATGTACATCGGTCCTGGCCTGAGGTAAATACGCTGTATTTTGATGCTATCCGTAGAGAGAGTATCATTGACTGCTTTTCCAAAAGTTGAAATCATTGGGGTCAGTTCCCAAAGAACAAGTCTTATCTTTTACCCTCCACTACTACTACTACAATTACTACTACTGCCACTAACTCTCCTACAAATTCTCCCGTAAATTCTTCCAATATTATTGACCTCACACATATATAACTTATCTATCTTTCTATCTTTTAATATACTTTACTCCTATTTTTTTCTTTAATTTTTTAACAAACACAATTGCACCCAGTCTGTCTTTAATTTTAATGTTACATGTAAAACCCAGATACGAATATTATTGGCATCCAACTAATTGGAAGACTATATAATTGGCTTTTATTTTTTGGAGTACACAGTCTGTGCGTTTATAAGCAATCTGATTAAGATCTTCATCCAATCACAGACGTGAATTTTACCATAAAAGATGTAAAACAGAAACGACGCATAGCTTTTGATAGATTTCTGTCTTAATTCAAATTCTAAAGCTTGGATATTTTGCCGTATTGCTGAAAAAATACATACATCTTTATATCCAAAATTTGAAGTTAATTTATTATGTTTTGGTTGAATAAACAAGCAAAATATACACTTTTTTTCACGTTTTTAACCATTCGAGATAGATTATTTTTGCTAATAAATATCTTTTCTACATAATAATATGGTCTAAAACTTTTACTGAAACGTTTTTTTACTATTTTCTATTGATATAAAGCATTTGCAAGTGATTTTTACTAATATTTTCAAATTGTTGTTTTTTTGTTCAATCTTTCACAAATGAAATGTACAGAACTTTTGTAATTCACTCATTAAACGTGATTCAAAAAATATTGCAAAACAAACAAATACTCACTTTATGCAGAAAAAATCAATGAAACCAACCATCTTACTCTTATATTTCTATCTATTTTTTTGAACGAGTTATGAATTTTTTAAAAATAAATAAAAATGAAAATGAAAAGTTACGGACAAATGTTCTTCCACTTTTGCATGATTTTTCTTAGTGAATAAAGACAAGTGATTATACTGGATGGGAACAGGGGGTGACTGGTTTTTGGGGGACAGGGTATTACACACAGAAACAATAAATGTCTGCTGGACAAGTTAAAAGTAGTCACGCCTCTAATTATCTGCTGGACTACTCACTATAAGCTTGTGTAACACCCTGTCCCCATCATCCAAAAACCCCCTGTCCCCTAAGATTTACGATTTAAATAATTATTATTAATTATTTTAAAGTTTATTTTCTTTTTTAATTTGTGACGTAATATGTTGTGTATATACTTAAAACAATGTCTTGACTTTGAGCTACATGTATTTAGTTTGATTATTATATAATGTTACCAATGGATAGAGAAAATACAATTATAAAGGTTATAACATCTATTTTAAATGTTATAATCTTATAAATAATATAGTTTGTGTGGCTTAGTCACGTGCTATGTCACAAAAAAGTTTTTTTGGCGGCTTTTATTTTGTTTAAATATTATATTTATTTGTTTTTTTATTTCTTTTATTTCTACTTTATTTATTTTTCAATGAATAATCAATCTTCTTTATCAGTTTGTTCATTATCTATTCTTCCTTTGAGCTATATTATAATGTCAACATATACATCTGAAGTTGCAAAACAGTAAGTAAAAAAGTTACTTTTATTTATCTTATATTAATATTTAGTATATATAAATATATTTGATTGCATAAGATACTTTATATTCTAGAAATCATATTATTTTTACGTGTTCTGATAGCAGTTCTATAGATTATATATTTGAAAAAGACAGAGGCTACAGTTACAGATTCAGTAGAGTAAACAGCATAGGAGCAACATGTTACAAAAGAGAAAAAAGTCTGAAAGATTGGATTCTTTCTTTGTATAAAGACATCTTTACTATAATGTTGTAATATAATCAATACACTACTGGTTAAACTGGATTTCTAGAATGACAATGGGAATTATGCTTGCTGTTTCTCCAGAAACTGTAAGACATCTTATTGCTAGTATTCAGTAGTTAATTCAAATAGATTTAACTATCAATATCATGAGAATTGTTAAGTTTATAAGAGTTAATTATATGTAAATATATTAAATAAGTATATAGAAAGTATTGATGCCAATAGACAATCTATTGTTGTTGAAATTGATGAAAGCAAGCTTGAGAAAAAAATATCACTGAGGATATCAAGTAGAAGTTACTTGGGTTCTGGAGGGTATTGAAAAAATGGTAGAACAAAAAACATTTTTGATGGCAGTTCCTCAGAGAGATGCTGCAACTCTTCTTCAAGTGATAAAGATGTATGTAAACCACAATAGAGTTATTCATACAGATTGCTGGACTTCATATGGGAGATTGTTATCAGTGTTTGATATGAACTATACTCATAGAACAGTCAATCACAATGTTGAGTATATTATATTTGATGGTATTAATATCAACACTATAAAAGATAAAATACTATAAAACATAAGATTATTTTATCATCTTTCATTACATAGGTCTGTGGAATGCCATAAATATGAGCTGCAAGACCAGATTGAGAACAAGACACATGATGCCATGGATGTTAATAGAATTTATATGGAAAAAATATGAGAACAGATTGTGGCAAGAAATACTAAAGATGTTAGCTGAGATTTCCTTTGGAAGTAATGTTAAAAACCCAATATTTATAACTTATGAATATTTAGAAGATGATAAAAATGAAGAATATACTGACTTTACAATGTTTTAATAAAAAAGTATATGAAATATTAACTTAAATGAATTTGCTTTAATAATATTAAAATAATTATAAAAGAATATAAAAATAAAAATATAAAAATAAAACATAAATACATTTTATTTCAAATATATCAAAAGAATAATATCATTCTATATCTAATAAAAGATATAATATAAGCTTTATATATTAAAAAAATAATTAACTAAAAAAAATTAAAAGGTGTTAAACACATCCAGTCAGAATCAAATCAGAATTTTCAAAAAACCATAACTTTAACATGTTGTTCACAACAATATATAATTGAAAAAAGTCTAATATATACAATCCGTAGTCAATTATCTAAAAGCATATTTGTTATCTTTTTTATATAAATTTTACAACTGTATTATTTTCACAACAAAAAAAGTACCAAAATGTTACTACTATTGATTAATATCTATTAAAGTTAGATTATTCGAATTCGGTTTTGTCATTTTAATAGGACAAATATTCGCAGAGTAATTTGCATAAAAAGATATTAAAACACAGATATATAGAACACAAAAAATAACTGGTTTTTAGCTTAAAAACATTGGTCTAATTTTGAAAACTCATAGAGATATGATCTCTATTGGTAGTTCAAATCTGGCTTTAAAACATCTGTAAACCTTTATTTAACCGTAGCCAAGACCTCACTGATAAACAGGCAAGTGGAAGAGAGAAAGAGATGCACTAGCAGGGAGCTGACAGAATTTCCAAACAGATTTACGCAGAGTCTGGCCCAGTTGCTTGGCATGATATGGGCTGAGACCATTCAGTCAAACAAAGTATTCAAGCTGTGACAGGATAAAGGTCTTGATGGCATGATGTTTCTGGAAGATGCGCAGTTTGGAGTTGGCAACAGTCTTGAGTTCCTTATCTATGCGGCCCAGAAGAGACTTGAAGCTACCAAAAATTCTACATTGTTGTAATCCCACAGAGTTCCCCACGTATTTGCAGTTGTCATTCAAATCAATACAAGATATTGTCTCGCGGTATTCAAGATGCATGCGACGATTGCAAAGATGATGGTTACGAGTGCGATGTTCCAGTTTGGTAGTGGAGAAACAGGTCTTACTGGCATTGATGGTCAATTTGTGCTCATTCATAAATCCAACAATGGTGGAGTGCAAAAGACGGAAGTGAGCTGGGTCATGAGAGAAAATGATCAGATCATCAGCAAGAAGAAGATGATTATGGAAGGACGATTAAGTGTCTGGTTGGAGTGCATTGAGATGGTATGTAAGTTCCAACAGACAGAGAGTGAAGATCAAAGGAGATGACAGATCGCCCTGCTTAGTGCCGCGCATGAGATTGATAAGATGAGACGGACCAGACGGTGTGTGAACTCAACACAAAATATTATTGTACATGCCCATCACCAACGGCACAGATGGTTTGTCCAAACCAGCATAAATCAGTGCATCCCAAATCCTAGCATGAGAAACACTCCCAAAAGCATCCTTCAGATCATATGAGCAGATATACAGAGGAAGATCCTTGCATTGCGCCTTACAAATCATGGCATGTACATAGAAGTTGTGTTCAAAGCATCCAGGTGTAGGCATAAATCCCTTTTGGTTTTTTGGGACAATAGACTCCAGCACATCACGCATGAGATGATCAACAATGGCAGAATACAGTTTACCAGCTGAGTTCTGGAGAGCAATTGGATGCCAGTTACCAGGGTTATGGGGGTCGCCTTTCTTATACAGCAAAATTGTGCGAGACAATCTGCAGTGTTGAGGGATCCAAGCCAAACGTTGACAGTAATGGAAGATATCCAAAAGCCAACGACCAAGAGAAGGGAAAAGAGACCACCACTGGGGAATTAGATTTCTACGCATATGTGATATGTGAAGTTTTATAGAATAAAATCAACAGTAAAAAGATTGAGATGTATATAAGAATACTTTGAGACTGTATATAGGTTGTCTTTATTAAAGAATACAAAGTTGTTCTTTTTATATCAAAACACGATCTGCTTTGTCAGTCACATCTTAATTTCTTAAGTCTGAGTTCATTTAGATATTAGAGAGCTGGTACTGCTATGTTTATAATTTAATCTAATTGCAGTGTCCTCATATTAACTCAGTGCTTACTGAGCTGTCATAATTACAGTACTTACTGTAATTAATTATTGGTCTTATTGATTTACCATAAGTAAAATAAATAAATTATTCATTTGTTCTTGTAATGATAGCTGTTTTACTATAATAATAGGAATATGATCTTAGATGTAATAAATCCAACAACCAAGTGTCTGGATTACCACACGATAGTATGGGGAATTCTGAGTGACAGAATACTTAAATTCTTAAATTTGGCATTTATAGATTCTGTTCGCAATATGTTATGTTACCTGTGAGTTGTCCATGTAACTTCTGAACTTATAATGATTCATATAGAAATGTAAGGTTCTTTTAAACTATTTAATCGCAGAGAGAATAATCAAATTATGGCATCTTTTTTTTGGATGTTACATTAAATTAAACTTGATTTGAAACAGAGATTCCAATAAAAAATCTATTTTTGATAGAAAACTGTCTACTGAAATAATGATATTCTATTGGATCATTTAACAGAAGAAACAGGATTTATGTATACTGTCTTCCAAATCTAAACACTTTTATTGGACAATTATGCACGGCTAAACTATAGGATTCACACATGCCATAATACTGCAACACTTCTTGCACTTCATTTTAAATATTTTTATAGGGATTGTTTTGGAAAATTGGTTTTATTTAAAAAAAAAAGCTTCTTGCTTATAATATGTACGGCTTGACAATATATTGTCTAATCTAATATATAAGCTACTACATAATTAACATAATAACAAACTCTTTCATATATTATAATATATAAATACTTCCAATACAATAGAATCCTAAAAAGAAACGTGTGTTTACAGTATTTCACTAGTAAAAGAAGGCTAAAAAATTATTCAACTATATTAAATTATATAAATATTTATTTTTCTTTAATTTAAATAGTATGGTTACTTACCAGTACTTTTGTCAGAACCAGGCATAGTGCACATTGACTGTTGTTCTGAAAGGTTTAATAAAATGCATTAGTAAAGATCATGGAATAAAGTTTGGCTTTATTACTTACCAAAGAAAACCAGTTTTCAAAGACAAGCCATTCAATTAGGTACATAGAAATGTTGGCAGTACCAACAGAGATAGAAAATAAACAAAATTAGATATAAGAATAAAATAAATAAATACATTATTCAGACTTACCAGATAAATTTCTGCTGTTGGTATGTCTTTATGATGAGCTGATGAGTTAATGAGCTGAGGATCTAATGAGCTGAGGAGCTAATGAGCTGAGGAGAGAAAAAGAAAATAATTAATAAAGAAACACATATACAATAACCGCGTTTTATCTTTTTGTTCTTGTCCATTAATCAACACGGCAAGGACTTGTAATACTATCAGCAACCACAATAATAATAAAAGAAAAAACATTAAGAATAAATATAACAATAGAATAATAAAAACAAATTGCTTAACAGGGTGTGAACTCAAATATATCAACCAGAATAAAAGTAAATAAAGCGGAAAAGAAATAGAAAAAAAAGAAATAAGAAAAAAATAAAGAAAAAGAAGAAAAAAAAGTGGGCTTTCAAACAGAAGGCAGTTTAGATGAGAATTGACTCTAGTAAAATACAATAGTAATAACATGAATAGTCCGAAATTATATTGTAACACTAAGTTCTATGTTGAATATTAAAGAAGTTGTTCAGGGTTATAAAAGATTTTATAAAAAATAATATATAATCCCTTCCTTTTTTCAGCTATTTCATAAATCTACTTTATATTAACTTATTTTGTATATATATATCTTTGATTAAACAAAAATAAATATATTTCAACCCATACATTTATTTTATTTTAATAATTTATTAATGTATAAAACTTTAATAAAAATACAATAAAGAAAAAATGCCTTCCAATAGCAGCAGAAAAACAGACTGTAAAGGAAAAGAAAAAGCATCTGCAAGTATATCTACCTCTGCAAACCGTGTTTTGGCTGGCTGTGTTGGACCTCAAGAAATTGCCCCCAGTTTCTCATCCGCAACTATTCAAGATCAGCAATACATGGAAATTGTTGAAATGTTTAACAAAGTAAACAACAGTATCAACAGTGTCAAGGATGACATTGCTGCTGTCAATAGCAACATGACAGCCTTTAAAAACAGGATGGGCATTGTTGTTGACACGTCTGGAAAGACACATATGGCATTTGCAGACTTTGCAACTGCCTATGCCAACGATCAGACTCGTATGGCTAGTCTAGAACCATCTCTGATGCCATCCTATGTCCCCCAGACCTCCCTCAGTGATGCTGAGGTTTCTGTCATTATCTCGGTAATTAATATTAATATATGTTAGTATCAACAACTTATTAAACAACCTGTATTTAGGAAATCTTTGTGGAAAAGTTGTGGGACTGGAAGTTCGAGTCTGACGACCCTGCTCTTGTTGCTGAAAACGAGAGTAAGAAGAAGTGGAACTTGAACGAGAAGATTAACCACCGCAATAACGTAGCTGTTATCAAGTACTTGAAGAGCTACATTAGCGCCCAGACTCGTCTAGCTGGTACTCACCCACAGGTGATAAGTGATAAAATAAAGAACAGGTACAAGCACAGTCATCGTACTTTTCACGAGTCTCCTGAGCAGAAGGCCAAGAAAAACAGCAAGGGGAGAGCAAACAGTCGTACTCTTCAGGTTTGTATATATTATATAAAAAATTAATTGGTATATTACTATTTTCTCAAGCTACAATCTATATAACCAGATGTCTATCCGACGCAAGTCGACATACATGGACAACTGGGTAGCCATTGATGCTGCAATAGGATATAAGACTGGAAACCCTGTTGAGAAGGCCTATCTCAAACTCTTTCAGAAGGACGCCATGTCTGATGGTGAGTCAGATATTGAGATTGTGGACAATCTTCCACGACGGTGTTTGCATGTGCCTCGCCCCACTTGGAGAAGTGAAGAGGTAAATAATATTTAGAATAAATAAAAGTTTTATAACAAGAAAAATAAAGAACTAATAAAAATAAATACAGTTCAACAGATTGTTGACAATGGTTGACGACATTGATCGTACCTATCACGTGTCAAATGCGGACATGGGAACAAAGCTAAGAATGAACAGATATCCAGCAACATTGTTGCCTTGCTCTGTTCCTGCCACCCTGTCCCAGTCATTGCCTTGTTGGGCAATCAACGATGAATAAACATTTTCTTTTTTACTATGTTCTGTTGTAGGGCCAAATAGTAATAATTGAAATTGAATTGATTTAAGAAAATAATAATAATAGAGGATAAATATATAAGTAAGTGTGTGTATGAGAATTAATAGTAAATTTTTTTTGGTAAAGGAATCGCGAGTTTTTTGTTGACGTTTTTTGTAGTTTTGTAATCTACTATTGAAACTGTTAGAAGAATCCGATGTACTGGCAGAATGCTTTGAAAATCTTGCTTGTAGAATTCATCCTGTAACAACTCAACTCCTTCTAATTCTCTTGTTTTGTCCAAAGTGGATTTGAACCATTTGACAAATGCAAATACATGCTGACTACTATGGGAATTTTTGTATGTTAGAGAAGAAACAGTTGGCCTAAAATTGTGAACAAAAAGGTACTGAATCTCTCCAACATACGCATGTTCCGACCCAGTTCGTTCAGTGAAATATGCTTATATGTATGATCCGCAGCCATTCATGCCAATGCACCCTTTGTAGCTTTGCCCAAGAAGATCAACGGACTTCACCATTTTGATACAGTCATTGACAAAAGGTGAGTCATCAATTACATCTTTGCAACCTGAGATCTGTGGATTCTTGTATGCAGCTTGATAGTATCCTACAAGACAATCATATTCATGTTTTGGCATAAATGATAATGGTCTTGTTTTCAATGGCAAGGCGGATGGTGGTAGGGGCTTGTTTCCACGAATTGTCATTGAAAGATTCTGTGAAGCTTCTAGATATTTGGAAATTGAGAAAGAGTGAGAGAGGTTGGTGTTGGTGTTGATGTTGGTGTTGTTGTTGTTGGTGGTGAACTTATCAAAAATTTCAAAACATGCAAGTGCATGCATAGGTTTCAGAAGTCGACGAACAAAATCTCCCTTCCACAACTCTTCAATGAACTGTCTCATAAATGTTGATTCGAACCCGTTTCTTCGATTGGTTTTGATATTTTTCAGGACACTATTGTACCTTTCAAAGCTGAAAAGCCAATAGCCATAGACGGGCCCAAAGTCAATCATTGTTTGGCATAAGTGCAGATGCAGGTGCATATTGGGAGAGAGAAGGTCCAGGTCGTACAATGTCTCACACCCTTTACAGAATTCTTCTAAGCATTTGTGTCCTTTCTCAATGTCTTCTTCAGAAACATTAGGCTTGGTGAAGTATCTGCATGCGTTAACAAACTCTATCGAGTTCTTGAACTCTGGCAACGGCAACACATCCCTTAGAATCACAGGAGAGTACACAAGGCACCAAGACTTCCACTCATCAGCCTTCATATAGGGAAATTCCTTGACAATCTTTGTCCCAAGTGACGTGTAATTGGGCGGCAACACTACCTTCTCAACAGCCTTTTGCATGGCAACGAGTTTTTTATCGTCGATTAATCCATCCACAATGCATCTCTCCAGCATTCTTTTGGCAGTGCCTAAGAAAAGATTGTGCATGGGATCAATGATTGTGCAGCAGACAATGTTAAAATACTGAAGACGATGCAGTTCGGACCAGCAAACACCATGTGCAACTTTAAGATGCTGTCTCTCAGTTGGTTTGGTTGCATTTCTCCAGATCTCTGCATTCTTACGATTGTCATTCTTAGTGTGAAGGAGTCACTTTGAGAAATCGAATCCAGAATAATCAACGGAACTCGTTCCAGCCAACCTCGAAAATTGACGCTTACACTTGTGGCATGCATTTGTACTTGTATGGGATGTGAACCCACATATTTTCCTTGCAGCAGGTATATCACAGGCAACCATGAGAAGGGCTGCTTGGATAGAAGTACCATTTGGACATTGGTGAGTCTTAATCTTAATACCTTTGTGCAGCTCTATCAACTCATCCACAAGCGGTTTCAGATAGTTATTTATGTCAGAAGTGCTCGCTTCTTTAGGCCCTGGCATTAACCCAACAAGAATCACATTTTCCTTCTTAAACCACTCACTGCATGGAAGATTATTGATTGCAAGATATATGGCACCACAGGAGTAGGTAACACCATCAAATGACTGAAACCAGTCAATGTTCAGTGTGAGCATGAGTGATTGCTTGGTAACAACAAAATATATACCATCTATGTCTACTATCTCATTCCACATTGCACCATTGTACACGTCAAACAAAGTGCTATCCATTTTCAGGCCGCGGTTCCATGAGTTGATCTTGTTTTCAAAATCCGGGCATTGAAAAAACGTCTTGAGGGCTTTCTTGATGGAGTGGAATACATATGTCTTTTTGGGTGCTTTTGACCCAGGACCAGACTTAAACAAGCTGTTGTCACACAAGGAGATTTTACCAAAATTGGGTGATGTACAACACAAAGGGGAGGCTTCATTATCATATATGGCATGACATTCGCTACATGCAACATACTTCTTGACACCACTTGTCAACGCTTCAAATCCGGCCAAACGTTTGAGGTCAGCAACACTCATGGGAAGGCGGAATAGGTCAAACAAAAACTGCAGGATCTTGTTGATTATGTCAATCAGGATTACAGCTCCTTCATCCACAACGTATAGTGAGACAAAAAGAGCAACCGAAACAACAATGAATTGGTGAATCAAATTCAATTCCGAGATTGATTCCAATGAAGAATCTTTAATTTGATTTTTTTTAAAGAACGTTGATTAACTCTCTATTTTCTAGGATATAATATTATCTAAAGCTGTGTATTTACCTTCATCATTGTCCATCTCAACATCGGATTCATCTTCATATTCTTCTTCTTCTTCGTAAGTGTCACTTGTATACTGGACATTATCTTCAGGGCCAAACACACAATCCGTTTCAGAGAAAGGTTGGTTTCTTGTCCGTATATCCAAAATGTCATTTGTATCATTTAGGTCTACAAAAGCGGAATGTTAGACCCAAATAAATCAATGTAATAAAATAAGTTTTCTTACTTCTAAGCTCAGAATTCATTTCAACATCTTCCTGTCACCACATAAATCTGGAACAGCAAAAATAGAAACGAAATTTTTATTTGTCTGCCAAATTAAGAGGACACTTTCGTCCAATTTACACTGTTTTCCAGTTTTCCAGATTTTGAACAATATTTTTGCCAGAAACTACCAGTAAACCTGTCTGCTATAGTTAGATTGATATACATATTTTAATTTATTTCCAATAAATAATAATATATTGATAATGTTCTTTATGAGCTTTTGAAGTTAAGTAAACTGTATCTTCAAGATTCTATGAGTAAATTAAGACATATACTGATAAGTGTAAGGTTATGTAAAGGGATCCAGGTCAATATCAGGTGACTGTATACGTCATTTTATCACAAAACCAGAATGACTATTAAGTAATTACCATTTCTTTTATTATTATTATTATTATTATTATTATTCAATTAATTACTTAAAAATAAAACATTTTAATTTCCTTGATAATGCCGCTAACTTGCCGCCATTGGCAATTAAAAAAATGCGACAGGAAATTCAACGTAGAAAAGAATTTGAAATTAGCTTTTCAAAAGAATTCCAGTCAACAGAAAATGAATTCAAGACAATGATCCAGGCTGTTTATGATTTCAGTGATGCCGTTTTTGTGCCTAAGAAAATAAAAGCTAGTTGCTGTAACATATACAAGAAAGAGATGTCCAAGGAAAGAAAGCCAAATGGTAATGTTAATTAGCTGTATTGATTATACCTAAAATATTAACTACCTAAAACAATTGAAATATATTTTCAGGAAGCAAGTACACGGCTGAGGAAATTATTACTTCCTACAATTCCTTGAGCCATGTAGAGAAAGAGAGATACAGTAAAATAGCTGAAAATGTCTCTACTCTTCATGAACCCAGAAATTTTGAAATTAAGGAGGGTGTCAAGCATGTTCTCATGTGGTATTTCAGGTACGAAACAATAGAAAAATAAAATATTTGATAATAGAGACGTATAGAAATACTTTGAGACTGTATATAAGTTTTCTTTATTCATAAATAAAAAGTGTCCCTTTTTATAAGAAAACACAATCTGCTCTTGTCATTACGTCTTAGTTTCTTAAGGCTTTCTTCCTTTACTATATTTGATTATTAGAGTGTATTTACTGCTTAACTAGTGTCGGTGTTACAATTATGACATCAAGTCATAAATCGTACTTCTTTAGCTCTTAACTATTCTTTTCTCTTTTATACTAGAGCTTTAGGACTTCCTACTAAATTAGCTCCATATCGATCTGACACAGTTTACCCGGCAGTATGATATAATTATCTTAACAATCTTTAAGATATTATCTACAGTACTAACTGTAATAATTATTGGGCTGATTACTTAATTGTTTATATATATTTTATACTGACAAGATGATAGCTACTACGCTATCCCAATATGAATATGTTCTTATATGTGATAAATCCAACATCCGAGTGTCTGGATTACCACATCTCGGCTTGATGAATGCAATTTATCTAGCATTAGGCTATGAGAGTTTGTTCTTGTTCTGGAAACCAGATAACAGTCATAATTCAAGAATAGGACATCTTTCTGCAGGAGAGACAGCCCTAACGTTGTTAGACATGCTTACACAAGAAAAGTTTAATAAGACATTCTTTGAGAGTACTGGTTTTACTAAAATATGGAGAAGTAAACTTTAACGATTACAATGTTTATGTGTCATTATAATTAATTCTTGAGTTCTAGCTCAATCAAGTCATGCAACCACTAAAGCATTTAATGTATACAGAAGCAGTATTTCCTGCCAGTTGATAACCTTGTTCAAAGGTATTTATTATAAAATACCAAGACTAATATGTATCTTATATTTAAAATCTTTTTAGATGGAACAGGAGAAGTAAGAGAAACTCTCCCTTGGAAAAAGCTTGCTAGTGCTCAGGGCACTATTAGAGTTGTTGGGTGGCCAACAAGTGTGCCAATTATTTCACTCAGCTATATGACAAAATCTCAGCTGAAGTTATTGATTGATTCTCTTGATAAAAGATGTATTCCTTTTTGCTGTTCTTTAGAGGGATATGTCTAATCAGCTCAATAAGAATCTGTTTTTCTCTCTATCTGCTATAATTTATGACTTATTAAACGTATATATATCTTATTTGAAGACTTTCTAGTGTTGCACAATAAATTCTTGGTTTTACTATTTGTTGTGGCTTGGTTTTTTATTTATGTATTTTTAATTATCAAAACAGAAAAAATAATGACTTTATAATTTTTTTCTTTTCTAATCTACTTTAATAATATACACAGATTATAAGTATTTTATATGATAAATAAAACGTTACTCTACCATTATTGTCATATTTCAACATTTACTGAACACTTGACTGAATGACATTATACATCTTGTCATGAATTTCTTGTAATCATAGACTAACAGTTAAAGACAGCTAAAAGTCTTAATCAAAGAAAACTATAGATGAAAAATAATGACTTGTCAATTTTGTTTGAATGTTAGGATCAATAAACAGAATCGAAGTACAAAGATATATAGTATGATGATTGCTTTAGAAGTATTTTTCTTTTCATGAACCGCGTCTCTTCTGGTTTCTCCTTTAAAAAAAACAAAAAGGTAAGCATGTCTTTAAAAATCATTTAAAATACATACTTTGAGTGTATCACTATACCTGTTTTTTTTATTATTTGTTTTAAAGGTTTTCTTTTGGTACAACTAAAGCTACAGTTCATAATTACGAAAAGAAAAAAGAATCTAGGGAAGTAGAATATATGCTTATACTAACTGATGTCTTTGACAATAATGTTAATGATTTTTGGCACTATAACTTTGCTTATAACAAATCTTCTTTCTTAAATAAAGTCCAGTTTTGCTTATCAATTTCGTGAAGAAATCAACTCTGTAAAAATTGTATTTAATATTTATTTATCAATTACACTTCATCAAGAACAGATATTAGCAAGTACGAGCTCTATAAAACTAATACAGCTTATCTTGGGTTTTATTGAAATTCTTTTAGCATCAAGTATTATTACTAAATAAGTAAAACAAAATACATTTTTATATAAAAAGCTAAAGACGAAATATTACCAGTTCATAAGTTGGTTTTTACATACATCACTTATTAATTAATTGGCTTGTCTTATTGATTATATATTTAGTCAATCCTAACATTTTATGAATGTAGTCTATTACTTGCAAGAGAAGTATCATTGCTAGCTTTATATAACAATTTAAATAATAATAATATTTATTTATTTATCTTTGATTTAACCAACTCTTTCTGTCCACCCTTGCCTTTAGTCTTCATGTTGTAATTTTTGGTCTAGTTTTATGAAAGCAACTAGCACCCTCCCCGATCTTTCTTAATCTATTCTTTCCAGATATTACAAAAGCTGATAGCTGCAAACAAAGTCCTTATCTTATACTTTTAAATATGCTTACTTCAAAAAAAACAAGCTGGTAATAACAGACACTAGTTATATATGATATTGTTTTATGACAATGATAATAATTATTATATTTAGTTCACTATTTTTTGAAAGAAAATAAAGTACATTTTATTAATAAGAGAAAATATGAATTATTAAAAGTATAATTATTTTATTTGGCAAACACTGATTCTGAAATGCAGTAAGACTATCATGTTACTTTTTCAAATTAAGAAAACTACCATCTTTTATGTAAATAGCTAATGTACAATCAATCATAAATTAAATTGCTAAAAGTACAAATCGGTTTGAATAGAGTAATTACGAAATATAACTCAAAGAACAGAGTTCAGAAGGGAGAGAAATGAAAAAGAAGATCGGGAAAAGATGGGGTACAAATATTGAATAAGTAAAATAAAAAGAAGAAAGGGTATCAATTTCACTTGGGACAATTGAAGTTATAACAAAAAACGTACTGGGAAAAAGTAAATAGAATAAAATGAAAGAAGAGAGTTTTAATTATGTCAATCAGAACATACAATAAACATAAAAGAATAACATACCAGGCAAAAAAAAAGAAAAACATAAATAAGAGAAAAAATATACAAAAAGGACAAAGGCTGTGGCTTAACATTGAGAAAATGTGACTTTGGATGTGATCAGGCCAACATCTTACAGTGAAAATGAGTGGTTTCATAGTAAAAATGAGTGGAAAAAGTGGCTTGGTAAAAACTATTATAAAGCTATATTTTAACTACTCTATTCAAAACTTTTGCTATAGATTTTTCATTGTTGCTTTTGACTATGATAGGAACAAACAAGGTTCGACATTTGTCTGAAGCATTTTTTTGTATTTTTTTTACAAAAAAAAAAGAAATGTTTTGAATATTTAATGAATTGCTTTATACTATTTATTCTTTATAAATATCTTAATGTTATGCGAAATACAATTATATGTTTTTAAAGTAAAATAAAATAAAATAGCAAAAGAAACATATGTTATTTATGTAAACAGAGTTAAACAGTTAGATACAAATAAAACAACATAATTTTTAACATCGTAACTTCCTGAATGAGAAATGCTATTTACTTGCTTTTAAAAAGAATAAAATAAAATATAAAGCATGCAAAATACTAATGAAACTACATAAAAACTTGATATTTTATTATCTCAAAATAAGTATGTAGTTATGTGTATTATGGAATTAATTACTAATAGACTCTAATGATATAAGCAATATATATATATTACAGAAATAAATAAAATAAAATCTTGAAACATAAACATGTATTTAAAATAGACAATTTTTTTTTACTTCTTGATTAAATGTAGAAAACAAGAAGTATACTTCAAACAATAAAAATCAAGCTGTCAGCTTCTCTATAATTTTATAATATTTTTATTTGTAAAAGCTATTAAAGCATTTTACAGATTTGAAAAAAATTATTATTATTATTATTAAAAAAAAATTAAAAAAAAAGAAGAAAAGAAAAAAAAACAGGTGGGAGTTTGTGTTATTCCAGAGAAAAGAATCTTACCTTAGTTATCAACTTTAAATGCTAACAAATAAACTGAATAGACTTTTTACAATAATAGAGTAACTTACCATATATTGCCTCAGACTCAAATACGTTATTGTGTTATTCGTCTTCATTGGCATTGATATCGTCATCGTTATCATTGTCATTGTCATCATTGTCATCACCTTCCACAACAAAAGCGATACTGACTTCTCCATCATCAGGGGAGTTTTTGTCTTCAACGATGAGTGAAGAAGAAGAGACGGAGGAGGAGGAAACAAAAGGAACAGAGGAGGAGGAAGCAAAAGGAACAGAGGAGGAGGAGGCAAAAGGAATGGAGGAGGGAGAGGACGAGGATTCCAGAAGGAAACTGGTCTGAGCAAAGACTGCTCGCTCCCAAGACATAGAAAGCCAAAGCTTTCTAGCCAAAAGGAACTGCATCCCGCAAAGAACCTTTTTGTTCAGAGTACCTACAGTATTGTCAAGGGCTTTTAGCCCTTGCTCTCTTAAAGTCCTTTCTTTTGTGGCATGGTGTTAGAGCCAGAAGGCGTCACGCTTGAAATTTTATATATTAGTTGATTTATTTTTAAAACCTTTAGCATCTTTATATTGATTATTACCTTCAGAAGTGCAACTTCTTCTTCTGCTCTTTTCTTTGCCAAAAAGAGATAGACTTTGGGACGGATTTCCGCATCCCAGAAAATACTTTTTTGTTGATTATTGAATCAAAGGTCAAAGACTCTTTTAAAAAAACAAGTATAAAAATAAGAATAACAGTTTAATATTTCCATTGTGAAAAGTCTAAAGATCACTGTTACCATTGAATTTAAGGTTGAATGCTTGAACGAGATAGGTAATTTGTTTGGCCTGTTTATTCAGGCTGGTTTGGTGTTGTTTTGCTTTTTTTGTGTCTATATATATATTTAAAAGCATTAATTCATGAAATAATTGCAATCACTTTTTCCCCTTCTTACCGATATGGCCAGATTTGTAAAGCAATGTCGAGGTATCATGATACGCTCAAACATTGGCTCTAATTGCATCTTTGAATATTTTTTTTGTAAGCTAGGAACTCATTGTACTCTAGCTAGACATTTTCTTCTATATATTTTATGAGGTTTGTATTTTCTTCATCAGGTTCTTGGAAGCCCTCAACTTCTTCCTGGATCTTTGCCTTCAACTTCTCTATTTCGTGCTTCAGCCTATTGATCTCATCTTTCACATGATTTCCATTGGCATCATTAGTGAGCCTACAATAAAATTGATTTTTTAATGACAAAAAATATAAGAAAAAAGCTCTAAATACACTTACTCTCTTAGTCGGCGCAAAATTGTAAAATTTACAAGGAACAAAGCAATATTGCCTTGAACCTTATGGCCAGACTCCATCAAATCAGCAATGTCAACATAGTTCTCCGATTTCTCTACCTTGTTAACATGCTGCTTCCATTCTCGCTCAATTACAACACAGTCGAATCCCTCCAACACCTTCCTGGCTTCTTCTATGATGCGCTTTGCTTTGACATACTTACCCTCCAACATCAAGCCCAACTGAACCTTCTTCGTCTCATTGCAGAACTTGATGGCTCTGTACAAGACCAACTTCTGGTTTGCTTGTCCCATCTTTCTGGTCATCGTCACAAAGCGGTTAAGATATGACCAGAGGCGCTCCAAACATTCACCATCTGTCAAGCCAAACTCATCTCTATATTTAGGATTGAGCTTAATCAGGCAGTGTTGAACATGAGCATACGCATGGAAAATCAAAACTGCTAGTTTTGATTTCTCCATCAGTCCGGGAAAGTTAGCCTATGTTAAGTATTGTTACTATATGCTTATATATTTAACATGTATATTAAAAATAACTCTGTATTTATCTTCAGTGACTTTGCCAGCTTACAGACAACATCATACATCACATTGATGTTGGGAGAGTTATCAGCAGACTGGTTATCACTACCTGAATCACCAAGTAGTTGATTAATTATGGAGAGAGGGTACTTAAACCCTTCACCAGTTTCCATGTCTACCAACTTAATGACTGACTCATGCCGTGCACAGCTCGCCGCAAAAAAGACTCTTAATAGGGTACTTTATGGACTTTGCCAAACTTCCAGAGCCAGCATGGAAGTTGCTGTCAAACCGACCTATCTATAAGTATAGAAAAGGCTTAGTATGTATTTAATATCTTGTCACTTTTTATTACTTACGCCTTCTTCAGTCCTCTCCTTCTCATATGTTTTCACCATGTCGTCACCAATCCACACCTGCTTGAGTTGAGCCTCTACTTGCTCCAACTCTTTACCACCATCACTCTCTACATCTTTTCTCCTCTCATACTTCAGGCTAAAATTGCCATCAATGGCAACATATTGACAGTCGTCAACGGTCACATTGCTGTCAACCTGATATAAAAATACAACTTCAATACTTTGCTGCAAGTAAAATATGACATATTATTCACTTACATCTGAACAAGCAGGACACCCATTAAGCTCCTCAAATCCAGAGGCAGCTTCCTCAACTTTGCTCTCAACAATTGTCATTAGCCTTACATAGATGGGGAGGAGGTTCTGACAGAATGCCTTTAAAATTTCCCTCTATTTATTTTGTTTTTACAAAATGATTTAAAGCAATCAGTAACACATATTGATATAAAATATCTTCTCTTACCTCAGCACCCATGTTAACCTTGTTGTATAAAGTCGCCAAGCCCTGACCAGAGGTTGCGAGAAAATCGCGCATATCTATCATGAAATTCAAAAGTCCAAAATGAATTCCATACTGAACATTGTTCAGTGATGCGGGCAGAATACCCATCTCAACCATTTGTTCTGGGATGGTTTTACACCCACAGAAAACAACCTCAAACATTTTTGAAGCTATACATACATATAAGAAATCAATATCTTAATCCAAGAGCAGTTTCTCAGAGAAATATAGTAGTAATTACTTACAAAGTAAAAAAAATATGTAAATGTTTTTTTTTACAAATTTCTTGCAAGAACAAGGAGAAGACAAGAGAGTAATGTCCATTTTATTAGGACAGTCATCCTGGCATTTGCTGACAAAGCAAAGAAAAGAATCGGCCAACTGACGAAGATTCTCCATCCACTTGTTGTAGATGGTTCTTTTCTTGCTGGACTCAACTTCATGGTTTTCAGCTTCGAAATCATGCTCAAAGTCCAATTGAGAATTCATATTACTTTGGGAAGCATTCTCTGTGAAAGATGCTGCTGTTCTTCGCTTCCTGGTGCAGTAGAGATAACCAATCTTTGGACTATCTTTCAATGGACAGGGAACACATTCTATATAGCCCAATCTCGCAGTTGTATAGGTAGAAAGTCCTAAACGGACTAATTGGGATCCTGGTGGTCTTCTTTTATTTATTTTGGCTATAGTGCTCTTGTTCATTATAAACATGTTTAATTGTATTGCTAAGCTTTAATAAAAATAGGGTAGAGGTTTGGAATTTTACACGTAACTTGGTATTAATTATCGCGTCACTAAAATGGGTTAGTTTACAGAGATCAAAAGCTTGATGGCTGTAAAAACTCACATGATTGCACTATAGGAAACTGGTTTTTCAAATCTGGAAAACTGGAAAACTGGAAAACAGTGTAATTGGACGAAAGTGTCCCCTTAATTTGGCAGACAAATAAAAATTTCGTCCCTATTTTTGTATCTCCTTATTTTATCCTATGAAGAGTTTGAATTAGTATTTAATTTAGTCCTGTGGCTTTTTAACTTTAGTGACAGACAGTGGCTTTTGCATCCCACACATGGCATTTTTTTCAACAAATAATCACTTCCCTCTTTCTTAAAAACAAACTTCGATTATGTCTAACAACAATATAAACAACACTATTTATGATATTTCCACCATTCAACAAGTCTTGATCAACTCGCCTTTGGAAGGAATCAAGATGCTTCCTTTGAATTCAACAATATTAGTAAAAGCTAGTGAATGGGAAAAGTGTCTGGAGCGAATCAATGTCTTATGCTCAACAAAATGGAATAAAAAGCATAAATATTCTGGAAAAGGTTTAGTTTTTGGAGAAACTAAAAAATGCCACCGTGCTGACCAATATATAGCAAACCGCCAATTACGTCTTGCCCAGAAAGATACGAAGGCATACTCTTGTACAGCTGCCTTAAAAATCATACAGCATCTCGACAACCCCAATGTTGTTACATTTTGCTAAACAAGGGCACATGTAAACCATGTTCCTGGAGACTGGAACGAAGTCAGAACTCTTCCTTTGCCTTCTGAAGCCATAAAGATTATTGAAGATCAGTTGAAAAGTGGCAGCAGCTGTAGAAGTACAAGAATTTCAGTTCTTAGACAGATTGATAGTTGGGGAGTTGGCATTAGAAAGCCTAATTATGAAGAAATTTACAACAGAATGAGAAAGGTTTGTCAATGAATATAACAGAGCTTTCATATTAAATTAATATTTATATATCAAATAAATACTCGTATATAAAATAGATGACTACTTTGTTATATATGTTTGCTTCTGATGAAAATGCATCTATTTCCATCTGGTTAAATGTAAAGCTAGCAGAACAAAACTATTGCATTTTTGAAATCTATCTTTCTGTTTATAATGATGGTAAAAAACAATTTGCCTTTGGATTTCAATCACCAATGCAAGTTTCAATCATGAGAATCTCGCAATCTTTTTGTCTCAATGCCACCCATTCCATTTCGTCCAGAAGCGACGAAGTATTATATACTTTGGTCACTGGCCATCCTCAAACAGGAAAGGGATTCCCTGTTGCATACATGGTGACAAACAACCAGACAGCCATACCCATCAAACTTTGGCTTGACCACCTTCGCATCAAGAGCAGCTTCGTACCAATGAATATCACCATTGACTGTAGCATTATGGAGATTAATGCAATCAAAGAAGCATTATCTCATGCTACAATTCACTACTGTGATTTTCATGTTCTTCGCGCTTGGCAGCACAACCTTGACAGCAAGATTAAACTTAATGCCTCTTATACATCAGAACAACTTGGGAATTATAAGACTGCACTGAAGAACTACCTGAGACACATTCTCATTGAGTCAAACGAAGACGTGTTCCTAAGAGCAATTGAAGATTTTAAACTGATGGTTCAGGATCAACCTCAGTTTTTGAAATATTTTGAGAAGAAATGGACCGAGAACGAAGAATTGTTGCAAAAAGATGGGGGCGCCCATACATTAGCCAACAACATCAGAGATATGTGACAAACAACTATGTAGAATCATGGCACAATCAACTTAAGACAATCTACTTTGGTCTTGCACGCATCAGAAGATTGGATCGACTGATTTTTATCTTGACAAATGATGTGGAGTTCTATTTTGAACAAGAGGTTGAGCGTATTCACTTCAACAATGGTAAGATGGGTCCCATTGATAATGAGTTAGTCAGAAATTCTTTTGTTGCTTCAAAAATCCAAAATGACATGCTCCCTTCCATGATTCTCAACCCTTTGGGTGAGACTGGTAACAGCATGGATGATTATAATGGTGAGTGGCAAATAAGATCTTTCGTAACAGAAGATAAGTGGTATACCGTCAATATATCAAATGACTTGATACAAAGCTGCACCTGCCCGAACTTTCTGACCCGCCAGATCCCATGCAAGCATTCACATTTGTTGAAGCGTTACTGTGGGGCAAAATTCAGCTTCATCGAGCAACGGGAGATAGCAGGAGTGGTATCAAACCGACAAGACGCTGTAAATGCAAACGAGAACGAAGTTGAGGAAGAAGTAGAGGAGGAATTAGAGAGTGGAGGTACTGTTGAAGATAGAGGTGTATATGTCTTTGACGAAATTGCAGCTTATTCTGCAATGATGCATTACGGCTTTGAAGATCTTCAAACTTTGAAGACAATTCCTGGCTTAGATCAAACAAAGGCAGATCTTATAAAAAGAGCACTCGCAGATGCTGTGAGGTTGATGGATGAATATAGAAGTGAGAACCCTTCATATTTTAGAAACTTGAATACTCAGAGATAATAATAAAGATAATAAATATATATCATTAAAAGATCTTAAAAGTACAAGAAAAAATATTTCTGATTGATATAAACAAATACAATTCTAATTGAATTTACCAAAAGTAAAACCTGTCACTACCTCAACGGATTTTCAAAATTCAAACTCTCTGTAGGATAAAATAAGGAGATACAGTGCAAAAAGTATGTTATTTTGATAGTGTCGGACATTATTTTGATGAATCCGTAAAATCTGAAGATATTTAACCGCAGTACTTCTTTATGTGCAGTAATATCTTCCTGAGCATAAAGAAGTACTGCAGTTAACTACTGGTTTTATCCATTCAATTGGCGCCCATTTCCATCTAATTAGCATCCGTTTCCATCTAATTAGAACCCATTGACATCTGATTGGCTTCCATAGAAATTGAATTTGCGTCCATTGCCAACTGAATTTGCTCCCATTGCCATCTGAATTTGCTCCCCCCCTTTTACTATTGGCGGAAGGGTACATGGCACTCAATTTTTTTATCCTTGCGCCTTACAATTTTTTTTATATAACCGTAGTATTTTTTTTTGTAAACGTCGTACTTTTTTTTGTAAACGTCGTACTTTTTTTTTGTAAACGTCGTATTTTTTTTTGTAAACGTCGAATTTTTTTTATATAACCGTAGTATTTTTTTTTGTAAACGTTGTATTTTTTTTTATATAACCGTAGTATTTTTTTTTTGTAAACGTCGTATTTTTTTTATATAACTGCCATATTTTTTTATATAAGTGCCAAACGCCTAATGTAATAGCACTTCAATATATGTAGATCTTTCTACAAAGATATGTCATAGAAAATATCCATAGAGAGAACTAACAGAATATGCAAACTTTTCTTCAAATTACTTTGTTAAAGTTAAATACCTTACTGCAGTTATAAGATAATAAAGCAAGTATCTCATTATAATAATTATGTTAAAATTGAAAATGAAATGATATTATTTGTATTCTTTCTTTATTGCAGAGTAAGTTTCGAATAAAAGATTCATTTTTTCGTCACTTGTAGCCTCCTTGTTGTTTTTAATGAAAAAAACAACTGGAGACTTTCTCCACTTCAAAATATAGCCACCAGCAGTTGTTTGTTTCATATTTACTATCTTGCTGGCTTTTTCAATAGTTAATCCCCTTATGAAGTAGAGATAAAGAAGCTTTTTTATATCTTTATCCGTAGGCTTTTGATATTGCCCTCTACTTTTTTTGGGGGTTTTGTCTGTTGTTGACGGGGCAGAACTTTTTGGATCTTCTGGCATTTCAGGCTCTTCAAGCTCTTCCATGATTTTTTCAAAGGCACTGTTATATTCTTCAAGTTTTTTGTGTAACATTTTAGGGTTTTCTGATAATAAAAGGTGAAAAAATAAAGAAATAGGAAGATATGTTAAAGTGACATATTTTATATAAATATAGTTATATCTAGCACATAGCAGTTATATTTAAATAGTAATTACTTAAGATGCAAGATAAAAATCAGAACACAAGTTGAAGCAGCAAGAATAGATGTAAAGAAGATTGAGTTATTGTTAAATAGTATTAGTCATTATATTTTCAGCTTTTTATATCAAAAAATAATATTCTAAGGTCCACTAAATAAAGTAGTACAAATTGAACGCAAGGAGATAAAAAATAAGTAGGACAATATATTACCCGCAGCCATAAATTTATTATAAACATTCTTTTTTAAAAGAGATATCATAATTATCTCTCTTTCCATTTGGTGTTTATATACCAAAACTATTTATTTCTCTTCTTAAATCAGCAATAAATCTCATTCTCATGCTCACTTCAACAACTAAATATTACTCTGACAATGAAAACACTGCCTAAAGCTCTACACCTCATGGATTTTTTTATTATTTCCAGATCACATTATGTTTATGTATGTAAATAAAGCCTATATCTCGGAGTCATTGATATTAATCTCTAAATAATCTATAGTATTTTGAACAAAAGCTATAAATCTGAAAAGAAAACGTGACGATTCAACCCTCCACCTACAAAGAAACTACAAGATCAAACATCTACCTGTACGATAGGAACCAGTCTACACATATTCATAATGCTTTTAAGTGCATTTCACCGACTATACTTTTTCGAAATCCAACAGTAGAATTTACTCTACCGACCACACAAAAACTTGCCAATTTTTATCTCAAATATCCAGTAATCTGATTGACTACCACAGCAATTGTATTTCTTATGAACCTGGTCCTACACAAGCATCTAATACCATTACAGAAAAGAATCCAAAAATGCTATATTTATTCAGCACCTGCTCCAACCATTTTACAATGTCAGAATTCTGATCTTCTTAATATCAAACTCAACAACTCTTTGTAATCTGCACTCGAAACAAGTAAATGTCCAACAATCTGTTAAACAACTGAAAGCGGTCCAAGAATTATGCTTTGCTCACAATACTACCCGATCTCAATTTTAGAAACCCTCATGATACAAAATACCAAAAAAAAACCAAATATTACACACACAAAAACAGTAACAAAAAATAGCACAAGCTCATGACAAAAAAAAGAAATAAAAAAAGAGATGAAAAAAAAAGAGATGAAAAAATAAAAAAATAAAAAAAAGAAATAAAAAAAAAATAAAAAATAAAAAAAAAAGAAATAAAAAAAAAGAAAAAAAAAGAAATAAAAAAAAAAAAGAAATAAAAAAAAAAATAAAAAAAATAAAAAAAAAGAAATAAAAAAAAGAAAAAAAAAGAAATAAAAAAAAAGAAATAAAAAAAAAAGAAATAAAAAAAAAGAAATAAAAAAAATAGAAATAAAAAAAAGAAAAAAAAAGAGAAATAAAAAAAAAAATGTAATAGCAATTTTAAAAATAATTCTCCAAATAGTATAACTAGCATTTTTATTCATCAATTTTTATAATATACATAACCATTTTGTCGCAAATAATTTCTGAAAAACTGAAAGTCTCAATAACTGAAAATAAAATGATATCTTACTGCAAGAAATTTGTAAAAAACTGAAAAACTGAAAAACTGAAAGTCTCAATAACTGAAAAAATGAAAGTCTCAATAACTGAAAAACTGAAAATCTTAATAACTGAAAATAAAATGGTATCTAACCGCAGAAATTTCTGAAAAACTGAAAATCTCAATAACTGAATTTCGAGCTTTTCCTTGGCTCTATACAAAAAAAAACTTTCTTTTTTTTTTATTTTTTTTTATTTTTTTTTTGGTTGGGCAAACCCATGAGGAGAAATCCCACCCCTTCCTTCGAGACAGAGGACAGGGCACCATAAAGGCTCTGGTAGCACTGTAAATCGGCTAATAAAATAAATGTTCTTAAAAGTGTGAAGAAGCTTAATATGTAAACATTCATTATTCTTCAACACGTTCTTTATCCAAATATATTAAGACAACAGGACAAGACTATACCTTGGTAGAAACGTTTAAGTTATTAAAATATATTTTTTTTGGTATATATACCCCAGTGTCTTAATAAAAGTTTCTCAGTTATCTTTCTTCCTCGATTTTAACACCCTTTTTATTTTCAAAAAAAAAATGCCTACTTCCAACAACTAACTCAAATTTGTTATGGACAAGCACTGTGAAATGGTCAGTCACAGTGGTTCTGCAGACCAAAACCAGTTTTCTCGAATTGCTTTCGACCCCTTGTGCGATTTCAACCAAGAGATTGTCAACGAAATGCATGGAGAAGTTGTACTCCGATCTGTGACAGATGTCTTTGTCAACCATGCCGATATGGAATGGACCCGTACCTCGGCCGGAAACCCAGCAGTCACAAACCTCCTCAGTCTCAAAAGTTTCCTGCCAACCGAAGTCAACGAGGCCACAACCAAGACAATTGTTGCACAGAAGCCGAAGACGAATCTGCCGGAGAAGGTCGATCCTGATTCTGTTCCCACTGCAGAAAGCATAGGTCGAGGTTCGTACCAAAAGTACAACCAAAACCAGGTGAACAAGCTCTTCTCCTTGGTTTTCTCGGAAAACCAGACTGCTGCTGCTGCTGCCAGCAAAACGGGGATCAATGTCCGGACTGCCCAGAACTATGTCAGGCTGGCCAGAGAGAAGATCCAGGCCGATTTTGATGCTGCCACAGTGGAGACTGATGAGTCCAATGGGCTGGAGACGATAGAGGTTGAGGAGGTTTCTGCACCTAAAGAACGAAAACATGGCAACCAAAAGTTGTTCCAGGCGCACTCTGCTTTTTTTTTTAAGTTTTTCGAAAATAAACCAGATGCTACCTTGGAACAAGCAAGGATAGCTGTCATGGAAGAGTTCTCTGGGCTGCAGATGACCAAATCAGCAATCCAGAAGCACTTGGTGAAGAAGTGTGCCCTGACGATGAAGAAGTTGAAGAAGCTGCCTGAGAAGAGAGACGATGTCAACACAATTAAGATGAAACGAGACCGCATTTTGGAGTGGCAACAACTTGCGGATTTCAACTATCTGTTGAACTATGTGTTCATCGATGAAGCAGACTTCAACATGCACATCAAGAGAACTTTTGGCCGTTCCGTCAGTGGCACCCCGGCTAAGACAACTGTCCCAACGCAGAGAGGTGTGTCCATCACCATCCTTGGTGCAATGTGCGAGAGAGGGATTATCAGCCTCTCGATGAAGAGACCCACTGCAGTCGCAACTAAGAAGAAGAGAAAGTTGGACATCTACACCAACGTTGAGGTGAACGGCCAAATTGGCACCAGAACCCAGCACTACTGGTTTTATCCATTCAATTGGCGCCCATTTCCATCTAATTAGCATCCGTTTCCATCTAATTAGAACCCATTGACATCTGATTGGCTTCCATAGAAATTGAATTTGCGTCCATTGCCAACTGAATTTGCTCCCATTGCCATCTGAATTTGCTCCCCCCCTTTTACTATTGGCGGAAGGGTACATGGCACTCAATTTTTTTATCCTTGCGCCTTACAATTTTTTTTATATAACCGTAGTATTTTTTTTTGTAAACGTCGTACTTTTTTTTTGTAAACGTTGTATTTTTTTTTGTAAACGTCGAATTTTTTTTATATAACCATAGTATTTTTTTTATATAACCGTAGTATTTTTTTTTGTAAACGTCGTACTTTTTTTTTGTAAACGTTGTATTTTTTTTGTAAACGTCGAATTTTTTTGGCATAAAACATGGATATTTTTATTAGGCATAATTAGTTGATAGAGAAATAGAACACATAATAAGAAGTAAGATATAATGAAATACAGAATTTCCACTCCAAAAGTTATTTTTTTTTTTTCAAACTATATATTTTGCAAAATCAAAACTTTCATTTTGTGCTCCGACTATATATGAAAAAAATAAATTAATTAATGTGGATAGAAAGAAATTTAAAGCAAATTAATAAAGAGTATGAAGAATGCTAATATGTGCGATAAAGTATTTAAAGAATGTCTACACTGTTTATTAAAAACAATATAAGAAAACATGCAATGTCAATATATTGTTATAAGAAAAGTATATAATGCTAAGTTTGTAATATGGTTTTGAGAACTGTCTTTATCTATTATCTTTTTCTATACTCAAATCCTCCAACATGAACCCCAATCAAATCGCTATCGTTAAGAGAAGAAAGAGAAATGGACCACAAAAGGTTCTTCCGATTCACATCAAGAACATGATTGTAAAGAAATGTTATATAGAAGAGTCCATGACCCGAGCCGAAGCAGCCAGGGCATTTGGTGTCTCATGGGTGTCGATTAACAACATCATCACCAAGTTCGAGAGGGATGCTACTGTAGAGCCCAAGAAGCGAGGCGGCTCACGCGCGGAAAGTCTTAAGATAACCAATGAGCATTCGAAGTTCATTCAAGACCTCTTGGACGAATGCTGCACCTTGACTCTTGGTTAAATGAGAGAGGAACTGTTTAGAAAATTTCCAGAGCTTCAAGAGCAGAACTTGAGCATCAGTGGCTTACATAAGCACATTATCAACAACATCGGGTTCACATTGAAGAGAACCAAGCCGGTTGAGGAAAAAAGAAACGACCCGAAGACTATTGAGCTGAGAAAAGTATACGTAGACAGTATGCACACGAATGGTTTATTGTATAAAACCAATTGCATTTTTGTGGACGAAGCAGGCTTTAATGCAAACCTGATCAGAGGACAAGGGTGGTCCAAGAAGGCGAGACCAGCATTGTGAAGACGAAGTTGAAAAGGGGACTAAACATCTCAATTCTTGCCGGTATTTCTTACCAAGGTGTTGAGAGTGTGCAGGCGAAGTTGACCCCTGGTGGCACGACAGGACCAATTTTCGTTGAATTTGTAAAGACAATTATGGATTCGCTCGACCACAGTAATGCTGCCCCTCACAACTTCATTATGGATAATGCCTCGATCCATGGATCCCATCTTGTCACTGAATTGTTTGCTAATTCACGACACCACCTACACTTTCTCCCCCCATACTCTCCTTTCCTAAACCCGATTGAAGAGTGCTTCTCCAAACTCAAAACACTGGTCAAGAGAAAGCCCGGGTTGGTATGTGGTCAATTCTTGGAGTATATTGCTGAGTGCTCCCGCCATATCGCTATGGAAAACTGCCAAGGCTGGGTTGATCATAGCATTAGCTTCTTCCCCCAATGTACAAATAGCCAAGAAATAAATTTATTTTTTTCATATATAGTCGGAGCACAAAATGAAAGTTTTGATTTTGCAAAATATATAGTTTGAGAAAAAAAATATAACTTTTGGAGTGGAAATCCTGTATAAAGTAATAAAAAAAGAAAAGCATAAAGCAGTAAAATAAATAAAAAAAAGAGGGACATAAAGTGGTAAAAAAAATAAGAAAAAGAGGGACATAAAGTAGTAAAAAAAAAATAAGAAAAAGAGGGATATAAAGTAGTAAAAAAAAAATAAGAAAAAGAGGGACATAAAGTAATAAAAAATAAAAATAAAATAAAAAAAGACATAGAGTGTAAAGAGCTTAAATAGACATAAAAGACATACTTAAAGCTTTCGCTCTCTGTTCAAACAGCGAGGAAAGAATGAAATGGCATGGTTAATCCAACCCAAACAGTCCGAAAGGGTGACAGTCTTAGCTGATTCTGTAATCCTTAAGATGAGCCTGTCTGACTCTGTAATCTCTTCTCTGCGGACACCAAACTTGATCTTGGACCACATTTCCTCAATTGGATTCAGGAAATGTGAATACACAGGAAGATATGCACACTTGTACCCACGGGAAGAAATAAAGTCTTTCACCTCATCGGCCTTATGGATAGGAGCGTTATCCATGATGAGATAACGTCCTTGCATACCCTGGCTGTCCAGAACGTCCATTGTATGACTAAGAAAGTCGAGATAGTGCTGGGTTCTGGTGCCAATTCGGCCGTTCACCTCAACGTTGGTGTAGATGTCCAACTTTCTCTTCTTCTTGGTTGCGACTGCAGTGGGTTTTTTCAACGAGAGGCTGACAATCCCTCTCTCGCACATGGCACCAAGGATGGTGATGGACACACCTCTCTGCGTTGGGACAGTTGTCTTAGCCGGGGTGCCACTGACGGAATGGCCAAAAGTTCTTTTGATGTGCATGTTGAAGCCTGCTTCATTGATGAACACACAGTTCGACAGATAGTTGAAATCCGCAAGTTGTTGCCACTCCAAAATGCGGTCTCGTCTCATCTCAATTGTGTTGACATCGTCTCTCTTCTCAGGCAGCTTCTCCAACTTCTTCAATGTCAGGGCACACTTCTTCACCAAGTGCTTCTGGATTGCTGATTTGGTAATCTGCAGCCCAGAGAACTCTTCCATGACAGCTATCCTTGCTTGTTCCAAGGTAGCATCTGGTTTATTTTCGAAAAACTTAAAAAAAAAAGCAGAGTGCGCCTGGAACAACTTTTGGTTGCCATGTTTTCGTTCTTTAGGCGCAGAAACCTCCTCAACCTCCATCGTCTCCAGCCCATTAAACTCATCAGTCTCCACTGTGGCAGCATCAAAATCGGCCTGGATCTTCTCTCTGGCCAGCCTGACATAGTTCTGGGCAGTCCGGACATTGATCCTCATTTCCCTGGCAGCGGCAGCAGCAGTCTGGTTTTCCGAGAAAACCAAGGAGAAGAGCTTGTTCACCTGGTTTTGGTTGTACTTTTGGTACGAACCTCGACCTATGCTTTCTGCAGTGGGAACAGAATCAGGATCGACCTTCTCCGGCAGATTCGTCTTCGGCTTCTGTGCAACAATTGTCTTGGTTGTGGCCTCGTTGACTTCGGTTGGCAGGAAACTTTTGAGACTGAGGAGGTTTGTGACTGCTGGGTTTCCGGCCGAGGTACGGGTCCATTCCATATCGGCATGGTTGACAAAGACATCTGTCACAGATCGGAGTACAACTTCTCCATGCATTTCGTTGACAATCTCTTGGTTGAAATCGCACAAGGGGTCGAAAGCAATTCGAGAAAACTGGTTTTGGTCTGCAGAACCACTGTGACTGACCATTTCACAGTGCTTGTCCATAACAAATTTGAGTTAGTTGTTGGAAGTAGGCATTTTTTTTTTGAAAATAAAAAGGGTGTTAAAATCGAGGAAGAAAGATAACTGAGAAACTTTTATTAAGACACTGGGGTATATATACCAAAAAAAATATATTTTAATAACTTAAACGTTTCTACCAAGGTATAGTCTTGTCCTGTTGTCTTAATATATTTGGATAAAGAACGTGTTGAAGAATAATGAATGTTTACACATTAAGCTTCTTCACACTTTTAAGAACATTTATTTTATTAGCCGATTTACAGTGCTACCAGAGCCTTTATGGTGTCCTTTCCTCTGTCTCGAAGGAAGGGGTGGGATTTCTCCTCATGGGTTTGCCCAACCAAAAAAAAAATAAAAAAAAGAAAGTTTTTTTTTGTATAGAGCCAAGGAAAAGCTCGAAATTCAGTTATTGAGATTTTCAGTTTTTCAGAAATTTCTGCGGTTAGATATCATTTAATTTTCAGTTATTAAGATTTTCAGTTTTTCAGTTATTGAGACTTTCATTTTTTCAGTTATTGAGACTTTCAGTTTTTCAGTTTTTCAGTTTTTCAGAAATTATTTGCGAAAAAATGGTTATGTATTTTATAAAAATTTATGAATAAAAATGCTAGTTATACTATTTGGAGAATTATTTTTAAAATTGCTATTACATTTTTTTTTTTTTATTTCTCTTTTTTTTCTTTTTTTTATTTCTATTTTTTTTTATTTCTTTTTTTTATTTCTTTTTTTTTATTTCTTTTTTTTTCTTTTTTTTTATTTCTTTTTTTTTATTTTAATTTTTTATTTTTTTTTTTATTTCTTTTTTTTTATTTTTTTTATTTTTTTATTTCTTTTTTTTTATTTTTTTTATTTTTTCATCTCTTTTTTTTTCATCTCTTTTTTTATTTCTTTTTTTTTGTCATGAGCTTGTGCTATTTTTTGTTACTGTTTTTGTGTGTGTAATATTTGGTTTTTATTTGATATTTTGTATCATGAGAGTTTCCAAAATTGAGATCGGGTAGTATTGTGGGCAAAGCATAATTCTTGGACCGCTTTCAGTTGTTTAACAGATTGTTGGACATTTACTTGTTTCGATTGCAGATTACAAAGAGTTGCTGAGTTTGATATTAAGAAGATCAGGATTCTGACATTGTAAAATGGTTGGAGCAGGTACTGAATAAATATAGCATTTTTGGATTCTTTTTTGTAATGGTATTAGATGCTTGTGTAGGACCAGGTTCATAAGAAATACAATTGCTGTGGTAGTCAATCAGATTACTAGATATTTGAGATAAAAATTGGCAAGTTTTTGTGTGGTCGGTAGAGTGAATTCTACTGTTGGATTTCGAAAAAGTATAGTCGGTGAAATGCACTTAAAATCATTATGAATATGTGTAGACTGGTTCCTATCGTACAGGTAGATGTTTGATCTTGTAGTTTCTTTGTAGGTGGAGGGTTGAATCGTCACGTTTTCTTTTCAGATTTATAGCTTTTGTTCAAAATACTATAGATTATTTAGAGATTAATATCAATGACTCCGAGATATAGGCTTTATTTACATACATAAACATAATGTGATCTGGAAATAATAAAAAAATCCATGAGGTGTAGAGCTTTAGGCAGTGTTTTCATTGTCAGAGTAATATTTAGTTGTTGAAGTGAGCATGAGAATGAGATTTATTGCTGATTTAAGAAGAGAAATAAATAGTTTTGGTATATAAACACCAAATGGAAAGAGAGATAATTATGATATCTCTTTTAAAAAAGAATGTTTATAATAAATTTATGGCTGCGGGTAATATATTATCCTATTTATTTTTTATCTCCTTGCGTTCAATTTGTACTACTTTATTTAGTGGACCTTAGAATATTATTTTTTGATATAAAAAGCTGAAAATATAATGACTAATACTATTTAACAATAACTCAATCTTCTTTACATCTATTCTTGCTGCTTCAACTTGTGTTCTGATTTTTATCTTGCATCTTAAGTAATTACTATTTAAATATAACTGCTATGTGCTAGATATAACTATATTTATATAAAATATGTCACTTTAACATATCTTCCTATTTCTTTATTTTTTCACCTTTTATTATCAGAAAACCCTAAAATGTTACACAAAAAACTTGAAGAATATAACAGTGCCTTTGAAAAAATCATGGAAGAGCTTGAAGAGCCTGAAATGCCAGAAGATCCAAAAAGTTCTGCCCCGTCAACAACAGACAAAACCCCCAAAAAAAGTAGAGGGCAATATCAAAAGCCTACGGATAAAGATATAAAAAAGCTTCTTTATCTCTACTTCATAAGGGGATTAACTATTGAAAAAGCCAGCAAGATAGTAAATATGAAACAAACAACTGCTGGTGGCTATATTTTGAAGTGGAGAAAGTCTCCAGTTGTTTTTTTCATTAAAAACAACAAGGAGGCTACAAGTGACGAAAAAATGAATCTTTTATTCGAAACTTACTCTGCAATAAAGAAAGAATACAAATAATATCATTTCATTTTCAATTTTAACATAATTATTATAATGAGATACTTGCTTTATTATCTTATAACTGCAGTAAGGTATTTAACTTTAACAAAGTAATTTGAAGAAAAGTTTGCATATTCTGTTAGTTCTCTCTATGGATATTTTCTATGACATATCTTTGTAGAAAGATCTACATATATTGAAGTGCTATTACATTAGGCGTTTGGCACTTATATAAAAAAATATGGCAGTTATATAAAAAAAATACGACGTTTACAACAAAAAATACTATAGTTATATAAAAAAAATTTGACGTTTACAAAAAAAATACGATGTTTACAAAAAAAAAGTACGACGTTTACAAAAAAAAGTACGACGTTTACAAAAAAAAATACTATGGTTATATAAAAAAAATTGTAAGGCGTAAGGATAAAAAATTGAGCGCCATGTACCCTTCCGCCAATAGTAAAAGGGGGGAGCAAATTCAGTTGGCAATGGACGCAAATTCAATTTCTATGGAAGCCAATCAGATGTCAATGGGTTCTAATTAGATGGAAATGGATGCTAATTAGATGGAAATGGGCGCCAATTGAATGGATAAAACCAGTATCTTCAGATTTTACGGATTCATTAAAATAATGTCCGACATCACCCCCTCCCAAAACTGTTGATAGTCCTCGATCAACCCCAGAAGAATCCACAAGGGAAAACGGTAGGGCAGAAGAAGAGTCCAAGGCTAAATCGCGGCGCATTTGGGCACGGGCAGGGGTTGGGTGATACCAGATATGGTCAAAATCATTGGATTTTGCAATTTTTAAACGATTGGCGTGAACCCAGGAAGTATAAGGGACACCTTCCATAGTTGTGAGCTTGTATATATTTTTATCTGCATTCTTGTCTATAACTATGTATGGTCCCATCCAGTTATATTCTAAGCCAAATTTGTTTTCATGTTGTAGCAATAAATGTTCACTGATTGCAAATTGGTGTGGTTTCATAATAGAATCCCATCGTTCCTTGTCTTGTTGGCTATTGGTAGCTACTCGAGCATCAGCATTAATGCGGGCTTGTTGCAGATTGCGGAGAAAAGGGATAGCACCATCAGAGACAAGAGAAGGATCATCAGAAATAGCGGTATCCATGAATGGGCGTAGAGGATCACCCGGAATACGAGGTTCACAGCCATAGGTCAGGAAGAACAGACTGAAACCAGTTGTTCGGTGTTTCCTAATTCGGCAGGCCCAGAGTGCAGTTTCCAAATATTTGTCCCAGCGATGAATAGTGCCATGTACATATTTTCGTAGCATCTGTTTTAAAATATCATTTAAACGTTCACATTTTCTGTTGGTTCGAGGGTGAAATGCTGATGTTAACTTGTGGTGTAATTTAATCTTTTTAATGTAAAAGCTGAGGATGTGTGACATGAAATTGGCGCCGCGGTCAGTGAGGATCTCGTTGGGACAGCCAAAACGCATTACAATTTCTTCATACAGAAAATTGGCTATTGCTTCACCAGTAGCAGCAGGTACAGCACGTGCTATTGGCCAATTGGTGGCGTAATCTACTGCAAGGAGAATCCATCAGTTACCATTTACAGTTGTTGGGAGCTCTCCAATGAAATCTAGATGCCAGTGGGAAAATGGAGGGAGAATATCTAGGGGTTCCATGGGTGCATGGTGGATATTTCACTCGGCATTGGACGCTAATTGACACTGGGAGCATTTTGCAAGCCATTCTTGGATCTGTGTTCGCATTCCTGGCCACCACCAACGTTTCTTCATCAAGTCATAAACTGTTGTCTCACCAGCATGTCCAAACCCATTGTGGAAATTGTTTACCAGATCGGCACGCTTGGTAAACAGAGCAAAACAGATTTCTTGAAATGTGTCACCAATCTTAACCAAGCGGAAAACCTTCTGATCATGAACCACAAATTTCTTGCTTTGTCTGTGTAGCAACTCTTTTATGTCGTCCGGCTACTCATCTTCCATGCAAGCATAGTATTTGGGCCAATCTGAAGTCTGTGATTTGGGCATGGTGTACAGATACTCTGGCTCCATAGACTCAATTGTAGATGCATCAAATTTGGGACTGTCCATTTGAGAAAGTACATCCGGGACACCGTTGTCTTTTCCAGGTTTGTATTGAATAATGGGGTCTGTTGTGGGGAGAAAATAAAGCAAAATATAATATAGACGAAAGAATTCGTGAGAACTTGCGTAGGTTGTTTATTTCAAAAGAAAAGTAAAGAATGATAAAATTCGATTCTCTTTTTACACGGAACTATCTACTGATATTTATATGTTTTTCTAATTTGTAATTCAGTGTGTGCTTAAGTAATCTTTATCATGATGAGTCATCTTCCAGGAGTATTATTTTTCTGGAAAGATCTGGAAAGACCAATTGATATGATACTTCTCCAGTCAAATCAGTCCAAGAGTTTTGGTAAAGAAGAGCATTTATGCTATTGGTAATATTTTAGTATTCCGACCCAGATACTTGGATAATGTTTCATAATATTAAATAGTTGTAGTTGTAGTCTCTCAATTAAGTATTTGTATAATAAAACAAATATGTAGATGAAATATAATGATGCCATATATATAATGTATATGTATTTGTATATCCCATGTCATGGTGATAATAATAAATAATCAATTATGTGTATGATGATCTGTGTATTAGATAATATCATAAAGGGAGATCCGTTTGACTGGAATGGCTGAGGATATTATTTTATCCTTCAGTCTTACTCTCAGATTCAGCAGTAATCAATACTCATTCACAACAGAGTCGTACAACTCGAATTTGGAAATCCATCTTATTAATCGAGGAGTTGGTTTAACTTGGCTACAGAAGTACTTGAGGGGCAGGTGGTCAGTAAAAACAGTAAATGGTTTCCCTTCAATCATACAGTGCCAGGTATGTAGTGCATGCAGTATTCCTAAAAGTTCACGTTCTTGGGCTGGGTAGGAACGTTCAGCACTGGAAAGTTTCTTGGATTCAAATGCCAGTGGTTTCCAGACTCCTTCTTTATCTTCTTGCATCAATATAGCACGGACACCAAAATCGGAAGCATCTGTCTCAATTCGGAAAGGTTTGTCCATATCTGGTGCAAGTAGTACAGGTGCAGTGCTGAGTTTTTCCTTAAGGATGTCGAAGCTGTCTTAGCAAGTGTCAGTCCATACAATTGGTTGTCGTTTAGGTCCTGTTCCTTTAGTAAGATCAGTTAATGGAGCAGCGATTCCAGCGAAACCTGGGATAAAACAGCGATAATGCTGTGCCAAACCAATAAATTGGCGCACTTCTTGAACATTAGAGGGTGGAACCCATTCTTGTATGGTCTTGACTTTATCTGGAGACGGGAGGATACCTTAAGCAGACACATTGAAACCAAGAAATATCAGTTCCTTTTTGTTAAATTCACATTTTTTAAAGTTGGCAATCAGCTTGGCTTTGCGGAGATGGTTCAAGACATGACGTACATGTTCTTCGTGTTCTGCTGAGGTTTTACTAAATATGAGAATATCGTCCAAATAGACCAATGCGAAGTTGTCTAAACATTCTCCCAGAACTTTGTTCATCAAATGTTGGAAAGTTGGTGGGGCGTTGGTAAGACCAAAAGGAAGGACCAGGAACTCGTATTGACCATAGCGGGTGTTAAACGCTGTTTTTGGCACATCTGAATCTTGAATGCGTACTTGATGGTAGCCACTCTTGAGATCTAGGCTGGTGAAATGGTTGGCTCCACGCAATCGTTCTAGGCATTTGTCAATTCTTGGTAAAGGATGGTTATTGCAGATTGTGACTTTGTTGAGAGCACGATAGTCTACACACATGCGCATTTCGCCATTCTTTTTCTTTACAAATAATATAGGAGCACCCCATGGAGATGAGCTAGGGCGAATGAGACCAAAGTCAAGGAGTTCTTTGAGTTGCTTTTTGAGTTCGTCAAGTTCTCGGGGGCTCATCTTAAAAGGCGGTTTGTTTACAGGGTGTGCATCTTCAGTGTTTATTACATGTTGTATATCTCGACTCGGTGGTAACCCTGGCAAACCGTCTTGGAACACATCGTCAAACTCTTTCACTAGTTTCATCCATTGTTCATCATTGGTTACTTCTTTCTCGGTCTTGATGTGCAGCAAAAAACACTCTGCCTCCTCCCTCCGAGAGAGTTTCTGGACTTGCTTTGCAGAAATGAGATAATTAAGTTGAGGTTTCATGGGGCAGTTGCCATGGGATGCAGGACAAACTCTTGGCCATCACGATATAAAGACCAGTTATCTCGATGCCAGTCAGGAACAGGTTTAGCAGTCTGTAACCATGTGCGACCGAGAATCAAATCGAATTTAGTGGGGAAGATAAAAGCATCAACACTATCAGTATAACCATTAAGAGAAAGTGTAAGTGTGACTTTCTGGTTAATTTTGATGCTATGCCCTCCAGTGGTTTCAACTGATTGCCCAGGAATATTCGAGACTTTTGTGGTAAGGTGTTTGATCCGGGGTGACACATACACTGGAAAAATAACAATAAATACACACCGGGAAATTCAGGCATACTATTGTGAATATTCCGCATTTTACAGTGGGGTTTTGCCTATTTCCACTGGTACCAAAGCTGATCTGGTTACATGTGCACAGACCTGCTATCTACAAGTGTAAAGTTCGATAGCACTAGTGAAGTTGGGGTCAATAGTAATTTTATATCTTTGTATATAATAGAGTACCAAGAAAACTTTATTTCAAACTTTGTTTTTTTGCTGTAATACAATCTGTTTCCATGTTAAAGGTTAATAATCAGGGACTACGTTGCATGTGTATTGTTGAACTATCCCTGGGTGAATAGTTAGAACCATGGACATTTTATTGCTTATAAGCCAATCATTAACACTCTTTATTATGAGGTCATAGATTATCTGCTCCCCCAATTACTTGATATTCAATTATTATTGGTTTGAATTATAGTTTATTTTTGTATTTATTAGAAAAAATAGAATGATTCTAGGTTGATAGTATTGGAATAATATTATATGCCTCGGGCCGTCTTCACCGGTATCCTTCATATGACTCAAATCAAGCAGTGCTTTATATATAATGTTTGTAAACCCTCATATTCAGTAGTTATCTTTGGCACAGATACTATTTAACATAATAGAAGAGAAGTTAGATGTGTATTTAAATATTTACATGTTGTGAGTGATATATTAATTTGAGGATACATACAATATAATGACTGAAGAAGATAAAAATAAAACTTTGAGAGTTCGAGGCATGGCGTCAAGTATAATTTCTTTAACAATGAAAATAATATAGAGAAGTTAGTTTGAGTGAATTGGGTGACAGAATATGTAATGAACGTACCTGAAGAAAGTCAATTTATTTGTAGACCTAGATAGTACTTGTGAAGAGTTGATATAACCTTTAGTAAAAAACATATATTAATATACAGTATAAATAATACTATCATACATATTAAGAGAATAAAAGAAGAAGTCTTACCATGTCAATGACGACGCCAAGAGATAGAGGTTCTTGATTCATTGCGTGTTTGGCAGATGAACATTCATCTGTAATAAAAATTATATTCTGTCAGATAAATATTAAAAGTAAATAAAAAATAAAATATTACCATGTTGATGGTCTTGTTTAATTGTAGGGAATATTTTTGGCGATATTGTCTATAAAAAAGAAGGAGAAAAGTCAGAATAATTTTATAGGATGATGACATAAAGTATAGTTACTAACCTGGAATAATCTGGATGGCCATTGCAAAGAGAATACATCAGAAGGAAAAAACACGCTAGTATCTATGACAACTGAAATAATAATTATTATTTAGTTACATTTGAAGAAAAGAATTGCTTTAAAAAAAAAGAAGATATGTTACCAAAAAAGTTTGCGAATATAGTAAAACACTAAGAGAGTATATATGTATCTATGACAACAGAATGTGTTAATCTTGTTGTTGTCTGTACAGAAGTATTTTTAAGAAGAATGTATCTTACCAGTAAAATTCACAGTTATAACAAAAATCAGAAAGAGAAAGAAAAGAAAAGAAAATGGTCGATAAGGAAAAATATGGAAAAATATGGAAAAATAAAAAAAATAAGTAAATAAAATACAAAAAAAACAAAATAGGCAATTAAAAAAAATGAAACTCAAAAAAAATATCCAAAAAGCATAATAGATATAATGGTGTAGTATCTAAAAGCAATCTTTGTATCAATTTACACAGTGTGTGTACAAGAAGTTACTTTAGATATATTCTTTTAACCAAGATCAATCAAGACTAGACATCCTTTTTTTTGGAAATATAAATATATGTTTTTGCTACAATCTTACTCACCCTTGCTCACGCACTCTTACAATTATTCTTACTTATACTCACACTTTCTCTCTCTATCTTCCCATCTTTTTCTGTCTTTTATTTTGGTATGTTTGATAATAAATATAATTGTAGTGTATAATAGAAATTTATTCAAAGAATATAAAAGCATTAACAGTTAATACATATTTGAACTTATATTTTTTAAATTAATAGAATATGTCTAACCAAAATGAAAGCTATCCCACTCGACGCACTCCTGCTGAGAGAGAGATGACAAACTCTCTTGCCATCTTGCGTCGTGACATGACCACTGTCATGAAAGACGTTGCTGATATCAAAGCAAAAACTTCGAACACTCCTGTGTCTGCTGTTTTGCAGAGTCAGCCGATGGCTTTAGTGCATGCTGTTGCTCCTGTGAGCATGGAAATGAATGTAGCTGGTTCTCCCACCATGGCTTCTGATGCAAAATCAGTCAACAAAACAAAAGCCTAAGTATGTATCATACATATAGTAAGTTATATCTTTAATAACTTACCAAGATTCAATAGAGACTTCTTCGGGAGCATTTGTGGGACCCTAAGTTCAAGTCAAAACATTTGGCTGAAATTCAAGCCAACAATGGCAAGCCAAGGTGGAACACGGCTGTCAACTTCAACCAGTCGCCAAACACTGAGCTGACAGAAAACCTCGTTGCCTACTTGGAAAGAAATTTCGTAGGAGCAGGACTGAGAAAAAGTGATGTTCGTGACTTTGTCTACACGAACTTCACTAGCAGAAAGCGTGCAGCTAATAAGTCTCAGGCTAAAAAGAAGTCAGACAATGCTCGCAACAGAAGGAGTAGCCGCGAAAAGGAGGTAAGTTATACTTTATTTATTTATTATTTGAATAATTCTTATCTAAGTCATTAATTTAAAGCAAAAAAAGAATACTAATTTAATATTTTCAACAGCACTTGAAACGTCGCAAAACAGCGTACCAGTCTAACAAGACTGCTATTGATGACGAGATGAAAAGAGATTGCTCTGGTCTCATTATAGAAGAGGCTATGTCTGTTGGTGAGTCAGACGATGGCACTTCGCCTCATGTTTCTTATAGTGGGCTTCGTCTTCGTCGTCCAGGTTGGAGAAGTGATGAGGTACTTAGTTTTTTGAAAGTTGAAATATTTAATTTAGTTAATATATTATATTGTATTATACTGAATAAAATATTAATGTCTTTAATATAGTACAACCACTTCATCACACTTGTTGACAACAAAGTGGTAGCTGATTTAGGCTTAAATAGCCATCAATTGCTGTCACGTGCTTTTGGCGAAACCGTTGAAGGACCAGTCCCTGATGCAATTGCGTCACAGTTTCCTCAGTGGGCTCTTAGAAACGGGCCCTAAATAAAGTTTATATTTTTTGTTCTTTTTTTCTTCATTCATAACGTCCTATACTTTAAATAACCAAAAAAATGCATAAAGAGGCATTACTTGTTCTTTGTTTTTATTTAATTATTCTCATAAAAAATCATAGTGCATAATTATTCATAAAGGCTTCAGGCATAGTATTTTTTTGGCATAGGAATGACCAGCATTCTTTCTTCGTTCATATCAGTTACATCTACAGCAGTTGCGACCTCTAAGTGTATGCGATGTACAGGCAAGATGCTGTGATAATTATCAGCAGAGAATTCTGGCAAGCAGATTGCAATACCTTCATCTCTGTGTTCATTGTCATTTGTCAAATTATACCATCGGATGTATGCAAAAACATGCTGGTCTTGATGTAATGTTGATGCTCGGTGGTTTGGATGAGGAGGCAGAGTAAATGAATGTATAAAAAGATACTGAATTTGTCCGGTATATAGGCTTGAAGTTCGGCCATTGCTGCTACGGAAGAAAGCTTGAACGAGTGACCCGCGCTTACCAGAACTGTTGTTCCCAATATATGTTTGGCCAAGGAGATCAATTGATTTCAATTTTGTGATTCGGTTATTTACAAAATATTGTGACAATCTGGCATCGTGGTAAGAAATGAGATTGGGCATGGCATAGGCGATTTTATAATAATCTAACAATTGAGGATAATCAATATCACTCATTGTTGATTCTTTTAAGGACTGTAAAGGAAAGGTGGATGGGGGGAGTGGTTCATTGCCTTTGATAGGTGCTGCTCGACTTAAGGATGAGTCTACAAATTGTTGCAGTCGGAAAGGTTGTTGGTTGGTTGGAGCATAAGTGGCATAGGTCGTTATAGGTGTGGTCGTAGAGGTAAGTTTTTCGAAAAGAGGAAGGAATGGAATGAGGCTTGGACATGATAACGTATTTCGTACGTAATCAGCTTTGTATGCGTCTGCAGTGAATTTTGTCATATAGGTTGTTTCAAACCCGTCTTTTCTGTTTGTCTTGTTATTCTTTAACAAACCATTGTATCTCTCAAAACCAAAGAACCAATAGCCATACACGGGTCCAAAATCACGAATTGTGTCATGAAGATGGAGGTGCAGGTGCATGTTGCAGGTGAGGACTTTTGGTTCATATGTATCTTCACAAGATTGACAGAATTCTTGTAGATATCTGTGTGCTTGGTCTATTTCAATGAAACTGATTGACGGCTTTACAAGTATACGGCATGCTTTTATATAGTGCATCCAGCCATTGAACATATTGGACGGAAGAACTGGTTTTAGAAGCACGGGAGAGTACACCAATACCCAAGACTTCCACTCATCTGCTTTCATGTGGGAAAAGCCCTTTCCTATCTTCGTTTTCAGCTTGGTATAGTCGCTGGGCAATATCATCGTTGCTGCAACTGTCTGCATTGCAAGCAGATCATTGTTTTTCATTTTTTTCATTTTTGTCCATGTTTCAATCATTCTCTTTGGTGTTCCCAGAAAAAGATTATGCATGGGATCAATGATCGTTCCACGTACTAGATCAAAGTATCCAAGGCGATACAACTGCGACCATCGAACACCATATTCGACCTCCAGCTGCTGCCTTTCTGAGGGTGTACTCGCACTATTCCACTCCTCAGCATGCACACGGTTTGCTCTATCACTTCGATGGCGCCACTGGTCACAATCAAATCCACGGAAATCGACAGAAGAAGTGCCTGGTAGACGAGAAAATTGATTGTCGCATTTGTAACAGGCACATGTGCTGTTGTGCGCGGTGAACCCACTAGTCTTTCTGGCAGCAGGTATATCGCATGCAACCATCAATAAGGCTGCACGAACTGTTGCACCGTCTGTTTGCTGGTAGGTGGGTATCTGTATTCCAAGATAGAGCTGTATCATTTCGTCGACTAATGGCTTGAGATAATGATTGATCTCTTCTGATTTTGGCTCTTTTGGTCCGGGCATGAGGCCAACAAGGATTGTATTTTCTGCTTTAAACCACTCACTTCTAGGCAGGTTGTTAATCACCAGGTAGATAGCACCGCAGGAATAGCTAGTACCATTGAAAGGCTGGAACCAGTCGATGTTTAATGTCAGCATCAATGAACAAGGATGCTCAACAAAAATTTCATTGTCATTGTCCTTCAAATCAGTCCAGGCTTCACCATCGTAAACATCACACAATGTATCAGTGATCTTGAATTCTTGGTTCCAATGCATGATCTTTTGCTCGAAATCGGGACGGAGGAAAAGAATTTTAAGAGCACGTGTGAGAGACTGATATACATAAGACTTCTTTGCGACCAAACCACCAGACAATGATTGGACCATTAATTTGCAATTACAGGCAGTATGTGCACCAAGCTTTACGAAATCACAACTCAAAGGAGCAGGTACACTTTCCTCATACACCTTGTGGCAATCCTGACAAACGACAAATCTCTTAATCCCTTTTGTCATGGCTGAGAATCCTGTCATGCTTTGGAGACCAGAAAGACTCACGGGCAATTGGAAATCCTGCTCGTAAATCGACAAGAGCTTGTTGATGAATTCGATCAAGACAACAGCGCCCTTATTGACCACATAGCGGGAAGCAAACATTACCACAAAAGTAGCAATGAACCTGTGTACCGGATTTTCAGGCATATTTGGGGTGGCAAAAGGATCTATTGTAAAAAAAACAAAAAAAATTAACACCCCCCCTTTTTTCAGATTTTTCTTTTTTGGTTCTTTTCCTTGAATTTTTTTTGGGTCTTTTTTTATTAGTTAATTAACACGGACTGACCTTCAGTATCGAATTCTTCGACTTCAATCTCAACAATATTCTCTTCATTGTCTTCACTTTCTTCACCGCCATTGCTTTCTTCGTCATTGTCATTTTCATCACCATCACTGCTTTCGCCATTCGACTCATTGCTAAAAGCAACCTCATCGTCAGAAATTGGGGCTCCTTCCCAAACAGGCGAGTTGGTCTGACCGTCCATTGCTTCTATGGGTCCGGTTTGTTGGTTTGATGTAGCTACATATAGAATTCAATTTTTAGTTTACTTCTCTTTTTATCACAATTAACGTTTCTTACTTTCAAAATCAATATCCATGAGATTTCTTTGAACAGATATATCTATTGAAATAAAACATTATATAAAATAACCAAAATGAAAATGAAAATGAAAAACAAAACATACTTCTTTCACTTCTTTTCATGTCTTCATATCTTGCTCTTTTATTGTGACGCTGGAGGGTTTGTGTAGAAACAAAGCTGTAGCCTTGTTGATTATCGCTGCATTTTGTGCAATAGCACTTCTTATTATAAAGTTCAGAAGTAGAGGACATGGTGTTTATTTTGTTATAAATGTTAAGATAAAAGAGAAACAAGTGTTACATTTACTTTATTTGTTCAAACTTTATAATAATAATAATAATAATAATAGAATAACTTGGATGGTTATTATATCCGAGCCAATAGAAAATTACAACATGACTTTATGAACATGTACACCAAAAAACATGCTGAGATGAAAAATTGCTCTAAATATCCACATGTAACCATGAACCTTCACACAAGGGTATTCAGGGTCATTTCTCCTGTGTCAGGTATATGTGGTACACGCCGGTTCTTCTTGTAGTAGTTTACTAGTTCTTTGGGTAACAAGTCCTGGACTCGTTCTTCAATCTCGAACTGGCTAAGTGTCTTTTTGTCAAAATTTTCTTGGTGTCTTTCACCAAAATTCATCAAAGGTCTTTAGGAGGAAAAATAGCTTCAGCTACCAATTGTCGTTCCCGATCTGGGTTAGTCTTCCTTTTACTATAACAAAGTCAAAAGGTCAAACCCACTGGGGATCAAGGAGTATACGTAAAATCAAAGAGAGGATAAAAGATACTTTTTATTGATATGAATTGAATTGTCTTATATAGTTTTCTAAACTAATACTGCACATTATCTGCAGTAGTTATTATTTATATTTAATTAAAGAAATAGTCATTATACTGCGGTTAACTATCTTCAGATTTTACGGATTCATCAAAATAATGTCCGACAGACCAACCCAGATCGGGAACGACAATAGATTATGAGTATTCGGCAAAACAATTCCGCATCGGGGAATCGAACCCCGGTCACGACGGTGAAAGCGACGGATCATAACCACTAGACCAATGCGGACGATATACTATTAATATGCATAATAAATATAAAGGCCGTATGCATCAATGTCGTGATGTCCAGCACCAGAGGGTCAGTGTGCTCATTTGATTTGTCTGGTGATTTGTCATGATGTGTCATTCCGGTTATGAGAGGCTGATGTCAACGGTTTGTTAATGTGGTGAAGTGCCCTCAGTGGTAAGAGAAGATTTTTCTGTGCACAAGAAAATCTCGTTTCTATTATCTGTTCCTTTTATATATAATATTTTTTTATTTTTCCTTTGGTAAAATATTTGTTTACATTGTACTTCTTTGAAATCATGGTCACCCATCACTGCAAAAGACCACTATTTTAGTTCCTGAAAACCTGCAAAAATTTTACTACAATTTTCGATTTTTAATTTTTTCAAATAATTTCTATTTTTTTCTGTTGTGATTTCAGATTGCTTTTTTTTAGCTGTAAAATCACACTACCATTATTTTTTTGGCTATAAAATTACAAAATTGAGTTTTTTTTTATATTATACACTTCTTTGATATAATTCTAAATTACACTGAAAAAACACTTATACAAAAGTTAATATAATATTTAATAAAAATTATATATATTCTTAAGATTTCACTTTTTCTATTTCAAAATAAATCATTTGAATATTTTTTATATATTATAAATGTGAATATAAGAACAAATATTTAATCAATATATTTCAAGGGAACGAGACAAAAGGTTGTGATTTCATTTTTACTGAGGCAATATTTTTGCATGATTTTTCCATTTGATATATGGAACTAAAATATTAGATTTTTTTATTTCACATGTTGTGAGAGGCGAATGTTCCATTTTTGGATTATTTTTTGTCATGGTCGAATTATCGTCATATCAAATATTATAATTCTAAAAAAAGACTTTTAAAACAAATTGCGTACACTTTTAGTAATATACGCAGTATTTGACTTGGTTAATGACTTAATGATATATGATTATAATTATAATGATATGTGCGGTAGATGTATCAAAGAATTACTTGGCATACTATAGTCATGGATTGGAGCAGTATTTTATCTATTTATAATTTTTTTTTGGTATATAAAGACCTTGATCAAGATTTCTTAAAATCTATATAATTTTTTTTATAATTTAAAACAATCGACATGTCCAATAATCAAAAGAAAGACAGTTATGTTATCTGCAAATGTCCAGACTGTACAAAGTTGGATAGCTGTGGAAAGAAACAGAAAAGACAAAATGCACAACAACACTATGAGAAACATGTAGTGCCTGTTGCCAAAGACAATGCAATGGGTAAATAACAAGAATAACTCGAGCTATACATGTAAAATTAATATAAATTAATTCATAAAATAGATGTTCCTGAAGAACATTTTGACAACATGGAAGTAGATAGTATTGACAGTGACAATGACAATGATTATGATTACAAGAACAAAGGCGAAGACGAATATGAAGACAAAAATAAAAAACAAAACATTGAATTTGATCAAGAAGGTAAGAAAATAAAATAAAATAAATGAACAAAATAATAACTGAAACTGATATATATATTTTTTATTTTTTATTTTTTATATGATTATAATTGTAATTATATTTTTATTTCTATATCTTTACAACAATTATTCCTTTCTAGTTGACTTACCTTTGTCCCAAGAAGAGTCCATCTTTACTGCCAAAGATACAATTACAGGAGCATTTGTGGTTGATGGCGATGGGATTGAAGAAGGCAATACCAGTTTTGATTTTGAACAAGAAGAAAACTTTGATGAGACCAGTAGAACCTCGATAGTAGAATCAGGTATGAATTAATACGGTATAGACAATTAATCAATATATTAATTTAAACTAACTTAACCTTTGTCTTCATAGTTTGTCCTTTGTCTTTTGATAACATACCCTTGTATATCCACTTTGTTGCAGTATTCATTATCATATTTCACTTGATCTTTTTGATGGAAAGCGGTATATTGATTCTCATTAAGTTTTGCAATACTCTACTGCCTCTCTGTGATATGTCTGGTACCCTTCCATTGACGATCAATAGTTTGAAGCATAAAACAGAATTTAACATGGCAACAGATGGAATAATAGTATACATTGCATACTCACAATGTCATTTGATTTATTCTCAGAAAACAAGTCAAAGAGTCTGTACATTTAAAAAATTCTCTAAATCCGCCATTTGCAATAACAATCTCTTTAAAGTGTCAACTGGAAACTGTTCTCTTTCAGCAATGATATATCCATTCAACTCTCTGAAGTATGCCTTGCAACAAAAATTCTCCAAGCCAGATTTTGTGTCCAAGATCAATTTGTGGAGAAATTGTCAAATAATTGAAAACATCAAACTTGACATTTTCGATGGTGCAGTTTGGAGTGATATTAAAGACATCAATGGCAGACAGTTTGTTGATGATAGCCAATCTTTAATGTTGACTCTGAATATCGATTGGTTTCAGCCATTTGAAAGACAAATACATTCCAGTAATGCAATATATCTCTCTATCAACAATCTCTCACGGAGTGAACGCCTTAAGTCTGAAAATGTCATTCTTGTTGGTATGATGTCTGGGCCAAAGAAAGCAAGCACTGACAGTATGAATCATTACTTGAAGCCACTCGTTGACGAATTGTTGCAGATGTATATTGGTGTAGAAATGATAGACTCACAGAATAGAAAGATTGTTGTTTGTGCTGCATTGATGTGTGTTGCCTGGGATATCTCTGCTGCTCGCAAAACCTCTGGATTTACTGGCCACATGAGTACATGCGCCTTTCACAAATGTCAACAACAATTCACGACTATAAAGAAGACCAGCAAGCTTGACTACTCTGAAGTCAAGTATAGCAATTAGGTGAGACACAAAGATAATGAATCTGAAACATGTTGTCAGCTGAATAAATGCATTGAACAATACTGAGCAAACACATCTAGAAAAAGAAAATGGCACTCAGTGGTCAAAGCTTCATCTGTTATTTTACTTTGACCTAGTCCACTGTACAGTTATAGACCCAATGCATAACCTTTATCTTGGAACTGCAAAGCAAATGATTCAGATATGATGCGAGTGTAACTATATCAATGAAAAGAATCAGTTAACTATGCAAGAGCTTGCCAATGATATTGTTGTACCTTGTGGTTATGCATGTATAACAAAGAAGATTGCTGATGGTTTTTTGTTCATAAAAGCTGACGAGTGAAAGTCATGGTGCATCATATACTCTCCATTTGTTTTGAAGCATGTTCTCCCTGCCAAGAATCTCAACAACTGGATTTTGTTTGTTAATGCATGCCACTTACTTACAAAACCTTTGATCACTGACAAAGAAATAGATGAAGCCCACAGTAAACTCCAATTGTTTTGTACAAGATTTCAGACACTTTATAGAAAATCGGCTATGACATTAAATATGCATCTACATCTTTATCTTGGCAAGTGTGCTCATGAATTTGAACCAATTTATGCTTTCTGGTTATTCAGTTTCGAGAGATACAATGGTTTGTTGAAGAATATCAAAACAAATCAAAAAGGTGGCTTCGAATCAACGATGATGAAGAGATTTTTGGAGAGAACATATATTGGCAGCTTCATACAATCTTTTGTCAACCATCTTCCCCAGTTCGCAATTGACTTTCTGCATCGCATTTCAAATAGTCAAGATCAATTAGCAGCATTGCATCCATCTTCTACTGCTAGTATCTTTTCTCTGTCTGACTTTATTGAATATTCGTTAAACTCTCGTCATTCTGTTTTGGGTTGTGAGCCGTTGCCCCCTTCAGTGTTTCCAATTAAACTCAATCAAAGGATTACAATGTGCAAGGGACATTATGAATGTTTACTGGAGTTTTACAGGCATGCGTATGACAGTCACAATCTTTTTGGCCATTATTCAAACTGGGAATCTAACCAGATTTTTGTTAATAACCGAATTGAGAAAATGAAATGAATATCTCTTCTTGGACAAAAATACTCTTCTGAATATTATTTCCGCGCCTATTATCTTGAGAATAACAGTGAAAATAAAGCAGCGTGTTGTAAATGAGTATTGACTACTGCTGTAATTGAGAATAAGTCTGAAGGAAATAATATAAGGCCTCAGCTATTCCAGTCAAAGATGTCTACCAATTACTTTATTATTTAACACACAGGTTTAGCATGCATGATAGTGATTATATTTCATATGATGATATCACCATAATATGGGATACATCAGTGGATTATTATAAGCATAATTATAACTCATAAACACATTTACTTTCGATGTTAATACTTCATTGGGACTACACACATTTATATAATTAATCATACATTAATTATCCCAAGATCACGTTGCTCTGATTATGGCTCAGATAGGATCGATTACCTGACCCCAGTCATATAATTTTCCCAATACAAAATAATATAAATATCAGTAGTAGTTTAGTGTAGGAACCTGGTCAAACTTTGATATAAAATCCTTTCTCAATAAACAAAACCTACACAAGTTCTCACGAATCTTCGTTCCTAATCTTAAATCTTCAATTCTTCCTCTTAAAAGCTTCTTCAACTTCAACCACCACAACACAGCATTTTCTGATTATATACTGTATTTATTTCAACATTTGATAACCATTGACAAAACTGTCATTACCCATACTTTTGCATTTGTTGAGTGGTACTCTAGTTATTCTTTGGGGAGTTACCAGCCAATATTAAATAAAGGTATTGAGCTCTGAAATGAACATTCTTCTGTATTTAACTATGAATGTATTATTCTGGTACATTATTTATATTCATCAATTGCAATTGCTAAGTATAGATTTACTATAACTAGTGAATTTAAACATTTAGTAATCTCTTTATCTCAAAAAATATAAGCTTAAATAATATTAATAAAATATCACTTTGCACTCTTTTATCAATTTATTAGAAAATATTTGATTTATTGTCTTATTGTTTCTTTGACCATGATGGCAGCTTGTTTGCCTTGGTCTTGCTAAGCTGCTTATCTCTTATTTCTTTAAATTTATGCTTAAATGAACAGGTATTATTTTTCTTATCATGAGCTGCCTCATAATCCACATCAAGTTCATCAACAAATCTATCTCCCTATATGCCAATGTAAGTATTATTATACATCATCCAAAAAAATAGTTTTTTGTACTATACCCCTTTGCTTCTCCAGCTTGGGCGGAATCTCCAAAAAAAACTCTTTTCTGAAGACGAATCCTGTTTCTCTTCTTCTCTTTCATCATCACTCTCAAGGTCTGACATGTAACCAGCATAGAGAATACTGTCAACATTCTCCCTAAAGCTGTTCACAAAGTGTGCCTGATTGGCTTTCAAGGCAGATTGTTTTCTTTTATATAACTATATATAAATATATAATATTTTTAATTTAATATCACATCTAGTATATTGTGGGCATGTGTTTTTTACCTTTACACATCATTGACAAAGACAGGCCCATCGATTCTCTTCCTGCTTCTTTTCTCCTGTTTTTTTTTCTTGCAACTTTCTGTTGCCAATATGCTGCACAATCTTAGTTCGAAAAGTTGGCAAGTCCATCTTTTTTCCCTCTTCTTGACGGCAAAGGTAATCAGTCACAGACTTCAGAACAGATCTGTTTCCCTCCCTGTTTTTATTTTCATTGATATTGTATTGATCATACAATTTCTCTTCAGTCAAATAATCACGTAACAATTGCTATAATATAAATGTATATTAAATTCTATCTACATAAAAACATATTATGATTACTTAAATTCAATATTGGTTGACGTTCAGGCAACATGTCTTGCTCAACTGCATTACTAGCAGTGGCTTCAGCTTTCTCAGAAGATGTGTTCTTCAAAACAGTATTTAAGACATTCATGATATCAAGTTTCTCATACACATCATGAATGTTACGAGTTCTACCTGATGAACTACCTTCAAGATCCAACCAAGCTCTCTTTGATGCTAGTGGTCTTTGATTGCTTACTGTTCTCTGTAAGTGTTGCAACATTATCATTCTTATATCATTGGTATTTCTTGGTGGCCTTTTTTTTGATTTTTATAAAAACCGAAAATAAAATTAATATAAGAAAATTGAAGACTGCCTGGTTTTAATCAACCTTCGCACAGAAGGTTCTTTACCAAAAGCATTGTTAACTGAATTGTTATTGAGATTTTTTGACATTGTGAATAATAAGAATACCTTGTTTTTTTTAAATCCAAAGGGTCTATTTATATTATGTTTTATTTGGGCTTTAAGTTTTATTCTTTCTCAGAGAGCACCATGCTCTATTATGTAACAAGAACAGCTTTGAATGTTTCCACTCTTGTTGTGAGTATTTTACATATTTCTTTAATTTAATTTTCAATCCGTGTTTTATTCTTATATTATGTATTAGTATTTGAATAATATAATTTTATAATATACTCTGGTTGTCATATATATTAGCTGCTGAAATAGTGCAACTGCGTTTTCTTTCAATTCTAAGTAACAGATAAAAAGTATTTTTTGATTTATTTATTTTTTAAAAAAGCCCAAATTCATATTTAATAGAATAACCATGCCCCTCTTTTTTATTTTCTCTTTCTTTAACCTGCTCTTCTCGTTTTGTCTCTTTTTATATGTCTTGGTAAGCTTACTCTTAAAATCTCAACTTTTATTAATACTTTTGGCTTTTAGAATCACCTTAATATATATTAGATAAACAATACACTCAACAAGCATTTAAAACAGTACAGGTAATAAACAATCTTCTAACTAAAATAAAATATCTTGCTGACTAAATATTTTTTATTTTCAAAATGATAGAGCTTCTATTCATTTTGTAATAAAAGATGTTTTGCGCTTGGTACTATATACTTTCTGGTATTTTCAGTCTATGAAAAGATAATATATATAACTCAACTTAAATTATGTAGCTTATCAAATCTTCTTCTCAGATAAATATATCATGCCTTTTTTTCAAGTCATACTGGTTTGCTCCCTTTTGCAAACGCGTGTCTATAATATGTAAGTAATTCAAGTGTCTTTACAATCAAAGCGTACATATTAATAAAGTTGTTTATTTTATTTCTTACTTTTTATTTAAAATAAAATATCAATCAAATGGATTTCTATTCTATTGTGAGGTTTGTTATGAACTCCCATAAATGAGCTAGTAAGTATATTATTTCATTTTATTTCATAAAGAAACTTCTATTAATACTTCTGTATCTTTTTTTTGCTCTAAACTAATGTAGTTCTAAACAAGCATATTCTCTAAAAAAGTCCAAAGGATTTCAATTTCATTCAAAGAAGTGTAACACTAAAAAAAAACGTGCTGAATCCATGAAACCAATAAGGTAAGGAAGTATAGTATAAGTCAGGTCATCCAATGTATTCAAGCCGTCTAATAAATGAAAGTATAACATGTATACAGATTGTAATATTTGGATACACACTTTTAAAGAAGTATTAGTAGTCCATATTAAATAGCTAAATATATTTTCCAACTGTTGTGAATGAGTATTGATTACTGCTGAATCTGAGAGTAAGACTGAAGAATAAAATAATATCCTTAGCTATTCCAGTCAAACGGATCTGCCTTTATGATATTATCTAATACACAGATCATCATATACATAATTGATTATTTAGTATTATCACCATGACATGGGATATACAAATACATATACATTATATATGACACCATTATATTTCATCTACATATTTCTTTTATTAGGCAAATACTTAATTGAGAGACTACAACTACAACTATTTAATATTATGAAACATTATCCAAGTGTCTGGGTCGGAATAGTAAAATATTACCAATAGCATAAATGCTCTTCTTTACCAAAACTCTCAGACTGATCTGACTGGAGAAGTACTATATCAATTGTTCTTTCCGGATCTTTCCATAAGAACAATACTCATGGAAGATGACTCATTGTGATAAAGATTACTTAGCATACACTGAATTACAAATTAGAGAAACATATAAATATTAGTAGATAGTTCTGTATAGAAAGACAATCGAATTTTATTATTCTTTACTTTTCTTTTGAAATAAACAACCTAAATAAGTTCTCATGAATTCTTTTGTCTATATTATATTTTGCTTTATTTTCTCCCCACAACACCAACCATTCAAAAATCAATAAAAACCATTTTTTCTATGAGATTCTATTTCAAATGCATCATCTCTTGATGGTGTCAGCAAGATCTATTTAAGTTTTTTTTACAATCATTCATTTGAATGCTGGTTTCTGTCAGGTTTCAGACTGATTCTAGATCGATTTTAGTGAGGTCTATCCAATAATATCATGTAATTAAAGCAAATAAAAATTTTTAAGAGGTAGAGAGTTCAAAGCCAATTCTATAACAAGTAGGGTTTAGGTATGGTTTGAAGTTATGGGTGAATATATAACCAGAATTACAGACAATTATAACATTTCAAGAAAAGGGAGAATTATAACTCTCAATTGATCTATTGATTTTAGTATCTATAATCTCATCATTTAGTTAACTAAATGAAGCAATTTTTATAATAAATATCAAACTATAATTGAATATAAACCACTAATTTTTGGAGGATCTAAACAACAATTAAGCTACTTAAATTGATTGTCTTTTGCAGTGTTCAACAAGACACTGTTTACGGTCTCCCTTGATCACCATTGAATGATTTGATGCTTGAACCCAGGTTTGGCAAAATGCTGCGCCAATGCATTCTTGAGTGAATTGTATGGGAAAACCATGAGAGGGATGGGGCAATCAGCTTTGGTATCAGAGAAAAGAGGATTTCCGCAGTATGTTGATAATGTGGTGATGTATTTTTTGAATGTGCAATTTGGTTGGTGATTGCCTGGTAGATAAATTGCAAAGCACTTGTTGCAGACAATGTATTTGGCAATGCTTTTTGTCATGAAATTGAAGCCGGTCATAGTCTTTAAGGCATCAATAATAAGTGGGAGATTGATATTCTTATCAAAGGCAATAAGAAGATAGCGGAAGAATTTCAACAGAGCAGTTCTACCTGTTTGGACCAAGTAAAACGCCTGAAAGATAATGCCAAATAGAGTCATAAATTGGCTTATTTGAGACATTTCATAAATTTTCAAAGAAGTAACTACAAAGGCAAGTATTTCTGTTAATTATTTGTAACACAATTTATGTATATTTTTTTTAAATGTATGCATACTGGAAGCAATCATGTCTTCAAAATCTTCAACACTGGCAACCTCAACTTTGCTCTTATTTTCAAACTCATCACTTGAATCAGAATTGTCATTGTCAGAAGCCAATGATATTGTCATAACATCAGACTCTTCAAATTAAAAAATCTTGTCTTCTCTCAAAATCGATATACTCTGTATAGTAGTTTTGGCTGATACAATAGAATAATTATCTTTATTTATAATAAAAACAGGCTATTAGCTATCTAAATTATGATTTATTAAAAAGAGATTTTATACTTACTATCAATTGATATTTCAGATACATTTATCATCTGAACGTCTGTCTCTTCTTTGACAACTTCTGTATTAACTGATAATTAACAAAAAGAATATTACATTATAATTTATTTAGTAATGCACATACTACTCAAATGACATTTACCTTAATTTTTTAGGTCAATGTCTAATAACTTATCAGCATTATTATGCTGCTTAAAGGTCTGTGTATTTTACAAAATTCCTCTGATTGCATTTTTGGTACATGATTAACATGTATACATAACAGTGTAGATTTTAGTTGTAGAATTTATAGCAGTAATGTGGTATTTCAGGTATGAAACAATAGAAAAATAAAATATTTGATAATAGGGACGTATAGAAATACTTTGAGACTGTATATAAGTTGTCTTTATTCATAAATAAAAAGTGTCCCTTTTTATAAGAAAACACAATCTGCTCTTGTCATTACGTCTTAGTTTCTTAAGGCTTTCTTCCTTTACTATATTTGGTTATTAGAGTGTATTTACTGCTTAACTAGTGTCAGTGTTACAATTATGACATCAAGTCATAAATCGTACTTCTTTAGCTCTTAGCTATTCTTTTCTCTTTTATACTAGAGCTTTAGGACTTCCTACTAAATTAGCTCCATATCGATCTGACACAGTTTACCCGGCAGTATGATATAATTATCTTAACAATCTTTAAGATATTATCTACAGTACTAACTGTAATAATTATTGGGCTGATTACTTAATCGTTTATATATATTTTATACTGACAAGATGATAGCTACTACGCTATCCCAATATGAATATGTTCTTATATGTGATAAATCCAACATCCGAGTGTCTGGATCACCACAAAAGAGAATTTTTTATTGTTGTTCTGGAAGACAGAAATAACAGGGAGTTTAAAAAATAAATAAATTCGATGGCTCTGCATGTTTCTTCTTGGTGATGAGGCTGTCACACTACTTTTTGTCTCACCAAGACTACTTTTAAAAATATAGTTTAGTCAGTGTATTAAGTTTTATATTTGAATAATCTATACATATCTCAACTCTTCTTCTTGAACTTTTCTGCTTAACTTTGCCAGCATATTTTTTAATAAAAAAAGTATTAATGAAATATCCTGCATGACACTAAATTTAATATGTATGATTTGTCACTTCTCCATTTGGTATTCAGTCTTTATCACTCCTTGAAGGAGAAGAACAGCAACTCATTAACTTCTGAATTTGTGTAAAGCAAATTGGTATTTCAAAATTAACTACTCGGGTCTCAAGGAGTAGTACAACTTTTGCTGACTACTCAATCTTTCTCAGTTTGCCTCTATAATGCTGTCTTCATGTATGATACGTTGACATTGCCTTCTATATATGCAAAACTGTAATCAAATGAGTTTTGCTCTTTTAAAAATATGCTGATATCCGTCTTCTATTTCTTTTTTCACAGATAGTTGATTGGTGCATTTATTCTTGCAGTTGCACTTGGTATCTTATTTGTTCTTGTTGGGATAAAGTCAACACAAGTCTCTGTCATTATAACAGGAATATGTCTTACTCCTCTCACAAGCAATAAAAAATAACTTCTTGTTTTTTTTGATAATTAAAATATACTTTTATTTTAGCAAATTAAAACAGGTAAAAATAAAATAGAGAGCAAGTCATATAAATTAGATATATAAAGTAGCTATACAGATTCACCATCATCTTAAAAAATAACTTCAAGATGATGTTCATTTACGTAGAAAGAGAAAAATAAATGCAAAGTAAAAATTTAAGCAAAATAAAATATAAAAAAAAATCAATTTAAATCTCGCACTTTTAGTAAATTAATAGAAAAGATAGTTGGTCTGTCACATTAATTAGTGGTATTGTCAAAATACAACAATCTTGACAATGAGACAAAAAAAAGTTTTATGATTTCAAATAAAAAATAAATAAATCAAATTGCTATACTCTCTATATAATATATATGTAAAAAAAAATGTTTTTATTATATTGTTTCGCTCTTAAATACAACTTTAACTTTTTAATCTTTTTTTAATATTTTTACCAAACTCTAGAATCAATTTGATTGGTTAATTAAAATAAATTAGTGGCATATCCACTACCATTAGTAGCAGTCACACCAATTTCATTTATAGTATTATTGTCTAATTAATAAATATTTGTTTTTGTATTTAGGTTTATTTAATATAATCAGAAAAAATTGCAAATTCATATCTTAAGAAAGAAAAATATTGAAAAACAATGATATTTGAAATATTTTTCCAAATTTTGTCAAAATTCAAAAAATAAAATTCACCCAAACCTACCCTCCTTTTGCAGCGTTGAACTCTGTATACTGAGCAGTAGCATTTGTATTTATTGTCTGTATTGTGATTGAAAACTATTTTTAAAAATATATCTCTATGTTTAATAATAAAAAAAGGAATATAAAGCAGTTTATTCTATGATTTATTTAGGTTTTATATATTTTTAAATGATAAACAAGTTTCTCTAGACAATTATATTACATAAAATTCTTTTTGAATACTTTATTCATAAAAACTTACTGAGATAAAATTTTACACTATTCTTTTACACATAATTAATTTAATTTCCCTGTGTAAAAGAGAATGATTTTTGCAGTGGTATAAGTTCTTATAAATCTTTGTTTCTTATCTCAAATATTCAATTCTTTTTCTTAACAACTTTTTCAAAACTTCAACTATTACAACAGTTTTGATCTTTTCTTATGTTCAAAAGTTGGTCTTATTATCTATAAGTACTTCAGCTTCATACACTTATACAAACTATCTGATCACATTATAAAATCTGGTTTTTTCATATAATTAATTATAGTTTTACATATAAAAAAAATATATTTGTTTTCTAATGTTTACAATAATAGTAAAGAAACTTACACTAGTTATATTTAATCTAATAAAATATATTAAAGCCGAGTTTTCAATATAAAAGTAAGAAAATCCCGTCAAAAAAATCAAAAGACTCATATTTTCTAATGGTATCAGACAACTATATATATATTAGAAATTTTTTACTTTTTAAAATCTTTTATATTTTTACAATTAAATCTTTTATAGTTTTTGGTAATAAAGATTTTAATAAACTCTGCACACAAAAATTATTATTACTTTTGTTTTTACTAAAATTTTATAAGCTTATAAACTTCATACAGAGGGCCAAAAAGGAAAGAAATTTTTTTGCGAGAACTGAGTTTCAAGATCTAAGATATCTCCAATAATGTATACCACTAAAAATAGGAAGTCACAAGCTCAAAATATGATCTGGTTGTGTTTGTGTTACTTATTAAAATTAACACAAAATGCCTTCTTGGCTCAGGTTAAAGATTATATTTTATTAAAGGAGATATTACTGGCAATCTATAGATCATATAGCCTCCAAAGTACAAAAAGAAGATATAAAAAAGTCCCAAGGGATCACAAAAGACAAAAAAAAAGAGAAGGAAAAGAGAAGATCAAATCATACTAGCTTCAATGGCTGAACCTGCTCTCCGCTTTGCAGCTGTGAAAATAGTTGTAACAGTGAAAGGGAGGAGACAGAATTGCAGAACAAAGAACTTTTCATACAGAGGGGAACAAAAGAGAAAGAAGAGATGCAAAGCAAAAAAAAAGAAAAGAAAAGTAGAGAACTAGAAAAGAAAAGAAAAAGGTCTAAATTATATCCAAAGAGTACCATGTTCAGTCTCATGTGAATAGTCACCATCAGGATTACATATAATATCTATGTGCCAAAGAATAGTCAGCAGTGGTATCCAGTAAGCAGGTCGTGGTTCTTGAGATGACAAAGGCAAGGATGTGATGGCAAAATCAATTCTGTGTATCTGATCTTGGTCAGGTTGAGGCAACTGTTCAAATAGTGCCACAGGAACAAGTGGGCAATCCAACAAATGGCGGCGTGAGGTGTGATCTGATCCACAAGGACATTCCTTTGTTTTGCCTGGTAACCACCCCATTCTCCAACGAATCAAACGGCCACGTTCCATACGTGAGGCTGGCAAAAACAAGATTGGATCAACTCCAAGAACTGGGCGGCATGCTTGAATGAGAACTTGCATATTGGACTGGAGAAAGGTTGCAAATCCAGCTTCTCTAATGCTTTCAAAATGATTTTTTACAGCACTAGGGCTTCGAATTTTGAGTGTTGGAGGGAGATTGGACAGAAGATAGGTTTTTCCCAAGGAGACAAGTGAAGAATAGACGGTATGATGACGGTGCAAAAGAGACAGGAGGCACTAGGCCGGTAAAAAGCGTGATCTTATACAGAACTTGGCAATAAGAGCATCGGCACGGAACTTCATACTTGACAGATTGCAGATGTGCTTCAACACAATTGTAGAGGACGTGGCATGCCCCCCAACAATCATGCGAAGACACTTATCTTGAATGGATTCCAGCACATTGATATCTTGTTTCAGTAGAGTGGAGATTGCCAAACCATATTCAAACTTTGGGCGGACAAAGATCTTATACAATCGTGAACTGAGCAGCAGAGAAAAACCAGAACGACAAGCACCAACAGAGTTTAGGGTTGCCATTGTAGCAAGTGTACCAGAACGTCTATGAGTGGCAATAGACTTGGAAGAAATACCCTTATTGGCAAAAGGAACACCCAGATAAATAAACAGGTCAGTGGCAGAGAGAACTTGACCATATAAAAGAAGTGGAACTGGCAAGCTTGCATGTGTTTTGGGATATATAACTTCACATTTGGTGGGGCTCCATCGATATCCAAGAGTAAGAGAGTGGTCTGCAGCAAGGTCTAGCATGGCCTGAACGTCTGAAAGAGAACCAAAAATAGCTACATCGTCGGCAAAGAGCAGAGAATTGATGGGTGTTGAGAAATGAATATGTCCAAAGCCATCTACACCTGAAGGAGCAAGAAGAGCATTATATGCATCCAATGAGGTAGGAGAGGGTGATGGAACATGGGTTGTAGTTTGTGAGTGAGCAACTGTGCGGAGCAATGGGGGCAGGGAGTTGATATATATTGAATACAGATGTGGACTGAGGACAGAACCTTGGAGAACCCCAGTGGCAGGTGAGAACGAGTGTGAAGAAAAGTTACCCAAAAGGACACAGATAGAGACATTGTCAAACATGTTAACCAAGAGACCCAAAAGTGCTGGTGGAGTGCAACGTTTTTGTAAAGCATGCCAGATGATTCGTCGATCCACTGTATCATAGGCAGCCTTGATATCCAGAAATGCAACAACAGGGTAGTGCTTATGACGGTGATAATAGGCTTTCATCAGATCATGGAGACAGAGAGCTTGATCCAAAGCACCACGGCGAGGACGAAAACCACCTTGAGCCACATCCAAAGGAGGAGAGTACTTGTGCAACTGGGGGGCTATACACATCTCAAAAAGCTTACGCAGTACAGAGGTCAAGGAGATTGGTCGGTAGTTTGCCGGGTCAGTTGGACTACCCTTCTTGAAGATTGGGAAGACCTGGGCTTGGCGCCACAAACTTGGAACATATGACCATTGCCAGCAAACTGTAAATAATAAAGTAAGAATGGGTGAGACATGTGTTTTTACAGGTTTTAGCATTTCAGCTCTGATATGGTCTGGTCCTGGTGCCTTGCGGTTAGGCATAAATTGCATGAATTCCTCTACAATTGGTGAGGTAAAGGGAGAGTCATCAGAGGCAAAAGGCACACTGTTACAAGTGGTCATTGGTGCTGGTGGTCGGGTTGCTGGAAGTATATGTCCACTATATACTGTTGCCAAATAGTCACACATTGTTGCTGCTGCTATGGCTGGTCCATCATCGTGCTGGAAAGTATGTTGTGGCTGTCTACGGCGTTTTAACTGCTTTATCTTTGATGTTGCTTTGCTGAAGTCACGTTCCATAGACTGACAAAAGACATGCCAAGACTGACGTTTTGCTTGCTGAACCTGAGATCGGAATTCGGCCTGTGCATGCTTGTGTTTAGTCCACCAAACAACTTTGTCAATACCTATTGCTAGGCGCCATTTTTTGTAACATTGGTTACGACGATCTGCTGCTGTTTGCAAAGCTACATTCCAGAAGGATTTCCAATGATTTGGGCGAGAGGGTCGATGTCCAATTGAGCTATTTAATGAGTCATAAATGAGTAAATTGAACTCATCAGTGATAGCATCAATGTTGGGTCTAGTGAGTGGTGGATTCTGTACAATGTCTTGCAAGGTGGAAAGGAGGGAGGTCGAGTTTTGATTGAAGGTATGAGCATAAAGAGCATGGACATCAGGTTCATTGAGGCGTGAGAGGTTCCATGTCTTGCGTAATGGTGGTGGCATATTGGTAGAGTGCTGTAGATCATAGGTAAAGGAAAGTGATAAAAGGCGATGATCTGATCCAAGAGACAAGTCAGTAGCAATATGAAGAGAAGGATTGATGAGTGGCATATTAGTTATAAAGAGGTCAATAATACTGCTGATTTCATAGTTGTTGCGGAAAGAAATATATGTTGGTATGCAAGGTGCAAGATCTGCATTTACAACTGATAGAGATCTCTCTTCTATCCAAGAACATAGTGCCAGTCCACGAGAATTTGATGCATAGTCACCAGTAACAGAGCCAAGTCTTGCATTGAAGTCACCACAAAGAATGGTATCATGTGTTAAAGGAATGGAAGAGAGTACATGTAGGACATCATGAGTGGGCATATTTGGTGGAAGATATAAGCATACAATTCTGAGTGAGCCAATTTTGACAGCCAGAGCATATTTGGAGGACATAGGTATTTGAGTGACGGCATAAGGACAGTGAGGTGATATGAGAACAGAAACACCCATAGAGCCCCTATAGGTGCCAGCTACAGGAGACCCATACAAGTGAATTTGTGACCATGATGTAGGAAGATGTGAGGGAGAGAGAAGCCATGTTTCTGTAATGAAGAGCATATGTAAGGACTGACAGTGTTGAAGGGTATCTTGAATGGCTCTGGGTTGCAGGCCATTGGCATTCCATAATCCGATATTGAGATTACTCATTCAGACATAGTGACTGATGAGCTGCGCTGACGTTTGAACAAAGACCCGCCAGTAGCATTAGTAAGAGTAGTACGTGTTGGTATTTCATCTTCACTGATCCACCCTTCCTCACAAAAGAAGTGACCAACTGGGATAGCAACGTGTGGGCGCAAGAACTGTAGGGCTTGGAGACATCTATCATGGTGAAGCATGGCAGCAGTGTTGGCAAGTTCATGAGTAGACAGAGATGCATACTTGGGATCAGCAACATTATCAGGATCAAGTGGATCAAATGCGTCCAAAATCTCAACAGAAGCAGTTGTCAGTTCGGCCTTAAATGTATCAGCATACTGGACATGAACAAGGATGCCAATGACACCTCTGGCTGGGAAGTTAATGTCCAAAAGTCGAGAAGAATCCACACCAAGAGTGCGGAGAGAGGAACGGACTTCTTTGTGCTTAAGGCGTCTTGATCTTGGAATATAAACATATTCATAACCTGAAGGACCAGAGGGAAGAGCAAACATACGGACAGAAGCTGCAATACGGCGAGCAGAGGGAACAGTAGACATTTTTGGGGCAGTTACAGGAAGAGAAACACTGGCTTTAGTAGCCCAAGTGGAGGCTTCCAGACCTGGTTCTTTGTTTTTGTCAGGAGCACCTACTGCGCCGGCTGGGTTCGAAAGTGAAATTTCTGAAAAGTTTTTTTCAGGTGCACTCTGAGATCCTAATTGCTTCTGCAGATTAGCAATTGTTGTTCTAGCATGGTCTAATTCAGTAGTTAGTCTTGCATTCTCTGCTGCAAGTCGCTCCAACTGGTCGGTTCTGTTTTGCACATTCATGATTTGTGCCTGCAATGTTGTCAGGAATGAGGTAAGCTCGGTTGGCAATCCCTGCATGTTGCCGATTTGCAAATTGGCCATTGGGATTGAGAATGCAGATGGCGTAATGTTGTCTGATTGAGCCGAAATTTTTTTTGCTGACAGCTGGGATACCAAGGACAAGGACTGCACTACTTTTGGCAATGGGAGGTACGTTTTTCGTGATGGATGGATCGTTTTGCGTAAAGATGTTGATGGATGGATACACTTTATATGTGGATTCGTCAAAAATAAAATTTTGGAACCCGGCAAATAAAATGCTTAAGCGAAAGAGCAGTGCCTTCTTGGCTCAGTTGGCAGAGCGTCTGCCTAGTAAGCAGAAGGTCGCCAGTTCAATTCTGGCAGAAGGCAATTGTGACTCACTTACACACTTATTAAGTGTGTGAGTTTTTAATTTATATTGTTGGGTACATATCGTTCCAGATCTGAGTTGTGTCAAACATTATTTTGATGAATCCATAAAATCTGAAGATGGTTAACCACAGTACTGTCAAGTCTCGATCTGGTATTTCTTTTCTGGCACTTGTAACTAAGTCGCAGAATCAATACCACTGGGGATCGTCAAGTTTATGAATAGTTTTTAGATAAGAATAAAGATGCTTTTTATTAAATATATTTCTTGACTATTTATACAAAATGACTAGGGGAGCAGTGCTCCCCCCCTCCCCCCTCCCTGGCGGGGGGCCCTGGAGCCTACCAGAAGTTAATATAAAACCCTTCCCTATTGGAAGTCTAAGTACCGTATAGCACAATTAATAGGAACATTTTATTTGAGTGAATTATATGAAAAGAAAGGATATGTATAGATGTTTTATTATTCAAAAAAAAATTAGTTAGATGAGTTTATAGTGTATGTTATATATAATTTTTTACTAAATGTCAAAGACTTCCTTAAATACAACATTGTCTGTAAATACAGTATTTGCCGTTTCGTTGGAATTTGCTAGTGTATCAAGCATTATCTTGATTGTAGAAGGTTTTCTGACCCGGGATAGAGCAACATACAGCTGGCCATGGGAGAATACTGGGGCAGGGAGATATAATCCAACACTCTCAAGAGTTTGACATTGTGACTTGTTTATTGTCATTGCAAATGCAAGACGAACTGGAAATTGGAACTGCTGGAATTCAATTTCATCATTTGATCCAGATGGATTAAGCTTTATTCTTGGAATAAGAGATACTTGCCCAGCATTTGATCCAGTCACAATTGTTGCTCTGATGACAGATGTTCCAAAAGAGTTGCAAATCAGGCATGTACCATTACAGAGCCCATTTTTTGGGTCAAGATTGTGAAGAAGCATAATAGGACATCCTTTTTTTAAGGACAGTGAGGGAGGTGGTAGGGATCCAGGATCATGGTATTTAGTAGCTCAACTGGATATGTCAACTGACCATCTTTATCAATTCCCTGGTCGACGCTCTTAAACTCTCGTGCATCTCCAGGAAACTGGCTCAGAAGAATATCATTGAGTTTCTTGACATCTTTATTCTTAGGAGTAAGCAAAGCACGGCCCATGAGGAAATGAGGGTTGGCTGCATTAGAGGAGAGATCATGGAAAACTGCTTTGGCCAGATCAGCAGGATTACATCCAGAAAGTAACATATGGGGCAGAATTGGGATGGTGTCATCACTGCCTGTTGTGTGGGCAGAACCACTACCAACTTGCAAGAGAAATGCTTCAAATTCCCTAAGCTCTAATGTTTCTTGTTCATTATTTGCTTGGGCAATTCGCATGTTTGTTGTAAGCCGCAAGATTTTTACATTTCTTTATGCAGATGCTTTCTTGATACATTGGCTTACAACCTGAGCTCTTGTTGCCTTGGGTATAACAGGAAGGACCTGCCAAAAATCGCATCCAAAAACAAACAACTTCCCTCCAAATGGAACGTTTTCAAGCAATGGATTGACAGCCTTCATTATATTTTGCATGGATCTGCTTACAGTATTAAAAACATCTTTACTAATCATAGAAGCTTCGTCTCAGATAACCAATTCCGTTCTTCTAATAAGTTGTGCCATTTGCGAGTTTGCGTTGATGAAGCATAAGGAGTTAAGATCAACTTGCACTGGAATCTTAAACCTGGAATGTGCTGTACGCCCACCGTCTAGCAGCAATGCAGCAATTCCACTTGTTGCTACTGCAAGAGCAATTTTTCCTTGTTGGTGAGTTTTTTGAAGCAAGGCATTAAAGACAAATGTCTTTCCCATCCCACCTGGACCATCCACAAAGTACAATCTTGAGGCTCCCACGTTTTCTTCAATTGCACTTAACACTGTTGTATAGACACGTCTTTGTGAATTATTGAATGTCAATGTATCTGGATCTGGCAAAAGCTGGGCTTGATCACATAAATCTTCTTGTTCTTGTATGATGGCTTGAACATCTTGCCCATTTGGGCTAAAGTGCTGGATGTCAGGCATTGGTGGAAGAACAAATCCAGTGAACAACATGAGAGACATAGAGTTGGCAGATAGATGACTTTCGATATCCCATAAACATCTGTCAAACATATCTTGTGTGGGGGCTAATGCAGGAATTCCACTACTTTCTCTTGCCAAATGAAGATAATCTTCAATCATAGAATTGCGATGAGCAAGCCACAAAGAGAAAGGATCTGATACTGCACAGAAAATCAAAAGAATAGCAAAGAGTCTTCGTAAAGAAAATGGGATCTGATGAGCTGCTGCCTCTTCCATACAGTTACTCCACTTATCATCATTCAAAAGTAATCCCAGAGCACGACATGCAGCTTGGTTTGTTTCATACACACATCCTTCTACTGTACATATGTCTTCAAAGCTTTTGGCCCCTTTAACATTATGCAGCAGTAATCGTAACAAATATTTTTCAATATCTCTCGGAGACACTGTGTAAACTCTGCCAATCATTCCTTTATCAAACCTCTTACGTGCTGTCCATTTTCGTTCTTTTGTATTCCATACATAAAGAGAAGAAAAGTCGACGTAAAGAAGTTTTTCAGATGATGGGCGTGTAGCATCATAGTCAAAATATCCCATTAAAGTAGTGTTTTTTCTGGAATTTCAACATCCTCTGGGTTAGAAGATGGATTATAATATATGGGTTGGGCATTTTCCAGATGGATTGAAAGTCGTTGGTAGCTGGAATACTCTTGATGAAGCTTGAAAGAAAATATTCTCCAGCATACTTCAGAAGTGGAGACATACTGAGCATCAAGAAACTCATTAACTTCGTTTACATGGTCTTGTTGTTGTTGTGGAGCGGAATTGGTGGGTGTAGGCTGCACACGGGCCATTGCATAGCCATGTCCTTTATATACATATTTGTAGAGGTATTTTACAGCAGAAACAGAGGTGCTAATCTCAACATTCATATGAGCATTGTATTTTGCACATATGTATCTATTGTGTGGAACAACCCATCCATTATCCATGATCTTTGGCCCTCTTCTAATAACTCTTCCATTTCGACTGCGTTGATAAATAGAATATCCGTTTCCACTATCGCTAGTCTCATTGCAAAGCTTTTTAGAATAATTCTTTGAACAGATCCCATTCTTCATGCATGATGCTTTTGGATATTTCTTTCTGCATGGGCCATGCATCATGCATTTTTTTACTGTTTCATATGCCAATGGCTCAGTTTCAGGATCTGGGATTTCAGCCGAAACTATTCTGTCAAAATCTTCTATTGTTTTTGGTTTAACTTGTGGTCGCAAAATCAAAAGAATGTGGGCATGAGGAAGTCCGCGCTTTTGGAATTCAATGACATATATAAAGGCCAAAACTTTCTCCAGAATATTTTTTTTGTAAGGTCAATCATGAGCTCTTTGAGCTTCATATTGAAAACCCAAGAACAAAGATCTGGTCTGTCATTAGCTTTTTGCCCAGCCAACAGGGAATTTGTGATTTCTGGCCACTTTGAATTGCAAGTGAAAGTTATGAACAAATCAGGCTTGCCAAAACAACGCACAATACTCATTGAATCTTGATAAAGTTGAGCCATATACCGAGGGCTACCAATAAAAGAAGATGGAAGAATAACTCTCTTTCCAAGATTTGCAAGATTACAATTGTTATGGATAACAGCATCCTGAATTCCACTATAAAGATCTACACGGAGACGATTTTGATTGCTGGTGATGAAGTGCAACCGATCGTGCTCAACTTTGGCATACATATCAACAATATATTGTTGAAAGAGACGGCCAAAAAGATGGAGGAGGTGCTGTGTGTTGCGTCAATATATCAAACGGTTTGAGTACCATTGCATTACTGTGACATGCTCTCCTGACAATGAGCTGGCATCAATAGTCCAACCATTTTCACCATGTGGAAAGAGTAGCACATAGTGTAAAGCATCATACGATCGGTGGTACTCATTGATGTTCTGTTGGAAGTTGGCTCTGGTGTGCAGCACAATGTCTCTTGAAGTACCCTCTTCATTATTCATAATAAGAACTGCTATTTCACTTGCAGTTGGAGCATTGTACCGTCTTAGATCCCAAGGCCCCTCAGCTACTAAACGCAAAGTGAGATCTATAGATTGTCCCTTTTCCCAAGAAATTTGATCCATTGTTCTGAAGAGATGTACAAATGGATTTGTTTCCATAAGAATGGACTGAATCTTCTCCAAAACACTTCTCTCCAATTGTGGGGAATGGTACTGTCTTTGATCTATCTGAGCAGCACTATCATAAATATAGATCTGAACGAATTTTGGGTGAGCGATATCAGATTCTGTCACTGGCAAAATAGATCCAATTCTATGACAAATTGTTCCGTGAATCCGGAAGTTGTATGCCCCATTGATATTGTTGCCAACAGAGGTATCAATTTTAGCTCCCAAAGAAGTAAAGCTCATTGTACTATTATAGCTTTGAATGTTTTCAAGAGACTACTTTCCATCACGTGTTCTATAGTTCAAAAGCTCAGCAATTCCTGTAGATGTTGGCTCAATTTGGGGGAGAACATGCTTTCCTTTGTTACAACACATAGAGAACGTGGGGCTTCTTAAAGAAGAACGACTGTTTTTTTCATGTGCCCACATCATTGCCCCACAAAATCGACACTCGATATCCATATCTCCCCTGTTATCAACTGCTGGTTCTGAAATAGCTGGAAGTCGGGCAATATTATTCAAGCCTCTGCCTCAATTTCTAGATCCTCTTGCTCTGCTACTGTTATTGTTTGGACAAAATCTGCTTGTAATTTGGTGATGATCAGTTCCGTTACAGTGAGGACAATGGGGTAAAATTGATCCTCTATTCACAGTTGAAATCTCCTCGACTTCTTCTTCTCTTCTAGTCACTTCTTCATTGGATGAAGTCTCCTCAATCTCTTCTTCCATGACTGCTTCAAGAACTTCAGTAATAGTCTCATTTGCGAGTGGAAATTCAGTCAACTCAGAAACTGAAATAGAAGTCAATGTTTCTATGTCCAAATTTTGGTCTTGGACAGGCTCACTTCTTATTCTCAAGGCAGCAGCTATTTTTTTTTATAAACACATTTATTATTAAAAAATATATATAATACTTGCAGTAATACGCATAAGTGTATAAATAAATAGTTACTTTGGCTACTTTCTGCAGGATATTCATCTACATTAGTTCTCTTTTGAGGAATGTGGAGAGAAATATTCTTTGGGTTCATGAGACATTGCTTATGAGTACTTCTGCTATGTCCAAGCATATGGCAAGCAGCACAACGACATTGAGTAGATGACATTTTATTTTTTGGTTTTTTTTTCAAAGTTAGAGTTTGGTTTGATAGTTGTATAAGTTTTTTGGCAATAGTTTGTAAAATAAATTCAAGGGGTTAATATCTCGGTATATCATGTGACATAGTAATGTCAGGAGCGGATTGGAATTGACACTCAGTTCCAATCCTACCCAATCAGGAACAACTACTCCAACCGCAGTAGTTGGGTGAGCAAGGCCAAGAAGAAGAAGACAACCATTGCTCAGCAAAATACCACAGCAAAAGGACTTAGCTAGAATCTAAGATACTGCGGCATCTTATAAATTAATATAAATATCACAAATATTATCACAAATAAACATTATCTTTATTTTCATATTTCATTCTATCTTATTATCTTATTGTGTGACTTCTCGCACATTACAGTAAAAGTGCTAGATTTTAGATGTGAATAGATGTTTTACAGGCAAATTCGTATATCACGTGATGCTGCTAATTTTGATTGATTTTAGATATATAGATAATTGATTTCTAGTTAAAAGAATAGCTATGATAATATGTCTTAGATGCCTGTTGTCCAGTAATATCTTCTACAAGTATATTCACTATCTTAAACGTCTAAAACATATATAAAAGACCAATTGGCAAAGTCAAGATCTTTTATCCTAAAAAGTCAACTCTTACTGGTTGCTTATAACTACCGATTTTGTTCACCAATGTCAACTCTGAAAGTACCTCTTTATGCACAGTAACATCTTCCTGAGCATTAACCGCAGTATAATGACTCTTCTTTTATTTAAATACTAGGGGAGTGGTGCCCCCCCCCCCCCCCCCTTTGGGGGGTCCCCATGGACTCTCCTCCCTGGCGGGGGGGGGGGGGGCAGAGCCTACCGGAAGTTAATATAAAACCTTTCCCTATTGGAAGTTCAAATATTGTATGCCACAATTTAATATGGTTATTTTTCTATATCCTTTTGTTGAGACAGGAGCTTATAAAATAAATTATATTATTAAAGATATAGATATATATGGAATTGAGAAGGAAAATAAGAATATAAAAAGATGTTTGCATGTGGCATAAACATAAAACAGTATAAAGAGTATATAGATTTAATAGTAAGAAAAGAAATTGGCATAATTTTGTTAAAGTACTTGGGTCATATATCATAGGCATAGGTTATTTGGTTTAGACTTTGAAAAGTACTTCGTTATATACAACGTTTTCAGTATATACAATGGCTTGTGGCATATTTGGGTCATATGTATGGTTGAGCATAATTTTGATACCAGATGGTTTCTGGATGCGGGAAAGGGCAACATATAATTGGCTATGAGAAAAGACTGGAGAAGGGAGGTATAAACCTACTTTATCAAGTGTCTGTCCCTGGAACTTGTTTATAGTCATTGCAAAAGCAAGACAAACAGGGAATTGACAGTGTTGAAAAGATATGGTTGAAGTTGATTCGGAAGGACTGAGTTTAATCTTAGGGATCAGAACAACTTTTCCTGAGTGTGAGCCAGTTACAACAGTTACCTTGATAACATGACCACTAAAAGAATCACAAATTAGATGTGTACCATTACAGAGACCATTCTTAGGGTTGAGGTTCCTGAGGAGCATAATTGGGCAATCTTTCTTTAGATTGAGAGAGTGTAGGGGAAGTGATCTAGGATCCAAGCTGTTGAGTAACTCAACTGGAAATTCCAAAAGAGCATCTTCATCAAGTCCTTTGTCAATACTCTTAAATTCCTGTGCCTCTCTAGGAAACTGTCTTAATAAGATATTATTTATCTTTTTGGCATAATTGTTTTTTGGAGTGAGTATGGCATGGCCCATAAGGTAATCCGTGTTTGTTGAATTGTCTTGGAGGTCGGAAAATATGGCACTGGCCAGGTGAGAGATAGTAGAGCCATGAATAAGCATTTCGTTGCGAACAGGGATTGTATAGTCCCCCCCAACTGTAGGAATTGATCTACTTCCAGCACGCAAGAGATAGGCAGCAAATTCTCTAAGGTCTGTTTCTTCAGCTGGACTACTTGCCTGTGCAATACGCATATTTGTTGTTAGTTTCAGGTATTTAACCCGATTTCACATTCATGATTTACTAATGCATTGTTCTACTATTTGAGCTTTAGAGACTCGAGGGACAATAGGTAGAACCTGATGGAAGTCTCCTCCAAAGGCAAAGAGTTTTCCCCCAAAGGGTACACACTCAAGTAGTGGATTCATAGACTTCATAATGTCTTGCATTGTTTGGCTAACGGCATGGAACATATCCTTGCTAATTATTGATGCTTCGTCCCAAATGATTAACTCGGTCATTTTAAGTAGCTGAGCAATTTGAGAATTTGCCTGTATATTGCACATGAAGTTTATGTCAAGCTCAAGTGGGATCTTGAAGAGCAAATGTACCATGTGGCTACCATCCAGCAATAATGCAGCAATTCCACTTGTTGCTACTGCAAGGGCAAACTTTTCTTGCTGTCTAACCTTTCTCAGTAATGCATTGAATACGAACGTCTTGCCAGTACCGCCAGGGCCATTGATAAAGAAAGATCAAGAAGATATCTCAGTTGCATTTAGTGAATCTAAGATTGTGTTGTACACTGTTCTTTGATTACTGTTAAACAGAAAAGGTCAGAATCTGATAAAGTGGATGCCTCGGCACAGAGGTCTTCTTGTTCTGTTATTAATGTGCGTTTTCTTTGAGCATGTGCCTGCTCTGGTATAGTTGGCAAGGGCGGAAGTGTGAAACCATCAAAGGAAGAAATGAATACGGAATTCACAGAAAGATGATTCTCAATGCTCCATATGCACCTATCGTACATTTCTTGAGTTGGTTCCAGAGAAGGGTCATTGTGCTCTGTTCTTGCTGCGTGAAGATAGTCTTCAATCATTGAGGAGCGATGGGCAATCCAGAGAGTATAAGGATCAGATACCTGACAGAATACCAAGAGAACAACAAATAATTGTCTCATTGATGACAGCAACTCATGTGCAGCGGCTTCTTCTATGCAAGCATCCCATTCACAATCATCGATCAATAGGCCAAGAGCTCTATGAGGTATTCAGGATTGTTTATGGGTTAGTATCTCAATAATGGGAAAAGTAGATACTGTGAGAGTGTTATTTATTAAAGAGACAAAATAATATTGTTTATATCTGCTACTATTCAAATCCCTGTAATTCAAATCCCTGTTGTGTAATGGTTGGTTTACACTGTATGAGTGTGTAGTGTACGTGTGCCTGGTGTGTAACAGTTCCGGAGATTGTTAACTTGCCAGGTTCATTAGCAAGAAGGAACCAGTGTTTGGTTGTGGGGTCTGTTCTTCACTCAATTGTGGTGTGTATACCACATTACCCCCTTCCAGGTTGAATAACTGTGTTGAGAGTTGATTTACTTTAGACTGAACGGACCATGTTAGCTTCTTGGGCATAGCATCGGGCGTTAGCATCGTGAACATTATCGTGTTGTACGTAAGCGTATTGAGCGTTAGCATCTTGAGCGTTTGCTTCGGCGTGTAGGTGTGGGCTGCGTAGTGCGGCGTTTGCTAATGTATGTTGCAGTGACGGCGCGTGTCTGATGTGGGTTTTGTGTCTTGTCAATTGGTGTTGTACCAAGTCGATCCCAATAATCCGCAATAGGTTTAGGGCTGCTAAAGGACTCAGGCGTTTGCCATGTATCGTCTTTTTCTTTGTAGCCTTCCCATCTTACTCTGTACTCGTATTTTCCTTTAGCCAGTTCTCTATGAGCTACTACTGCTCCGACTGTAAAGTATTCTTTGCCAATTTTCTGGACTTCATCTAGTGAGACGAGTTTGTCCTGTGAGATCAGCTTGAGTTGTGAGAGTGAATATTCTCTGGGCATTGGTAGTCCTTGTTCATCCATGAGGATGTAAGAACCTCCCTGCTTCTCTCTGACTACGGTGTAAGGACCTTGGTATGCAGGTTCTAGTTTACCGTGTTGGAGTTCTTTAATCATGACTTGGCTATTAGGAGGGAATTGTATCATCCTGTATTTCTTATCAAACTTGCCCTTTTGTGCATTTGTTACTGTTTTTGCTCTTTCAGCGATTGCGGGAAATACAACGTCTGCCATTGTTTTTATACACTTTTGTAGCTCATCCTCTGTGAGTGATGGTACTGCTGGATCATCGGCGTAGCTTTTAAATCCGTTCATTGTTCTGGCGAACATAAGGTTGTAAGGAGCCGTTCCATTACGTTTTGTTACTTTGGCATTCATTGCTAGCTGTATGCTAGGTACATAGAGGTCCCAATCTCGGGTTGCTCCTTTTATACATTTCTTAATCGCGTTGGTTGAGGTTTGAACCCAGCATTTGGCTACACCATTAGCTCTTGGGTGATAGGGCGTAGCTAATCTGTGATCAAAACCAGATGTTTCAGCTAGTTTTTTCATAAGTGAATTGACGAACTCTTTGCCATTGTCTGATTGTAAGTATCTAGGGAATCCGAAATTACAGAAGACGTCTATTACAGTGTTGACAACAGTGTCCTGTGCTTTATCAGGTATTGCATGTAGTACACAAAATCTTGTGCAAATGTCTACTATTACTAGTAAGTAGTTATTACTGTTATGTGAGGTCGTGAAAGGACCTGCTAAATCAATAGCCCAATGATCGCATGGTAAATATGTGTGAATTGGTCGTAGAGGGTGATAATCTTTCTTTGCTATTTTATACTTTTGGCATTCTATACAGTCTTATACAACCTTGCGGCGTCTCTATATATGTTTGTCCAGTGTATCCCTTCGTCATGAAGTGCGTTTGTCATGGCATCTGCTCCAAAGTGTCCGAAAGTGTGAGCTTTGGCAAGAAGTTCTTCTCTGTCACTGTCTGGTGGTGTTAGCATCTCGTTGTAATTGGTGTTGACTACAGTTTGTTGTCTATTAATGACTGTTTTTTTGGCCTGTGAAATTAACTGCGAAGTCATTACCCCCTTCCAGCTCTTTTTCTGTAGGGAAAAGGCGTGATAGCTGGTCAGGTAAGATGTTGCTTAGACCGGGCAGGTGGAGTACCTCAAATGAATATTCGAGTATGGTATCCAGCCAGTTTATCATCATAGCGTTGGCAATCTTTTGTGTATGTATATATGTGAGGGCTTTGTGATCGGTGTATAGAGTGAACGGATTTCCCCAAAGATATTTGTGGAACTTATTCAATGCATATATTACTGCGAGTAGCTCACGTTTTGTAGTGGAATAGTTTCGTTCGCTTTTAGACAATGCACGAGCCATGAAACCGATGTGTTGCGTTTCTCCATTGATGACTTGATATAGGACAGCACCTATTCCTACGTTTGATGCGTCTGTGGCCACACTAAAAGGGTACTTTAGGTTTGGGTAGCACAGGATAGGCAGTTTGAGTAGGATGTCTTTTAGGTTTGTGAAGCTGTTATAATGCTCGTTGGTCCAGAGAGGTGTAAGATCACCTTCGTTACGAAGTCGATCAAGAGGTGCGGTGAGCTGGGAGACATTAGGTATATGTTCCCTGAAGTAATTTATAACACCAAGAAACCGTTGTATATCTTTTCCGGTGTTAGGCGTAGGCCATGCTTGGATGTTACTGACCTTTCTTGTATCCAGTGAAATGCCTTTATCTGACACACAAAAGCCTAGTAAGAAGACTGCTCTTTGTGCGAAATGACATTTCTTTGGATTTAAGATGGGATTAACACTAGTAAGTTGTTCTATTGCTGTTTTAACATGTTTTGTGTGTTCCTCCATGTTACGAGAGAATACCACAATATCGTCTACAAATGTGATTACAAAAGGCATATCTTTGAAAGCAATGTTCATAACCCGCTGGAATTTAGATGAGATGGGTTTAAGTCCAAAAGGGCAGCCGCAGAACATGTACTGCCTTCCTTTGAAGGTGAATGTTGTTTTAGGTCTGTCTGGCTTGTATACCTCAAATCGATGGAAAGCACTTGTAAGGTCTAGGGTAGTGAAAACAACCGCATCTTTAAGTGTGTGAAATACGTCTCTTATAAGAGGTAAAGGATATCTGTCGTCTTTTAAAAGTTTGTTGATATGTCTGGGGTCTAGACAGGGTCTTCTGTCTGTGTAATTACCAAACATGTCTTTTTTCGGTGCTAGTGTAATAGGACTATTCCATTCTGTATCATTAGATGCCACCTCTATCGTACCATCTGCTAGCCAAGTGTTTACAGTCTCTTGGATTCTAGGCTCATATACTACCGGTAAAGGGTATTGTCTTCTGTAGGAAGTTACGCCTTCTGGTGTGTCGATATGGATGATAGATTCTGGTATAGTGCAAAATGATGTTTTAGGAATAAGTTTGTTGGATCTGATAGATTGTTCTATAGCTTCCGTAAACTGTTTTTGCTCCTCAGATGTGCCAGCAGGAGATTTATTAGGTTCTGGCCCATCATCTGGAGTGTTTTCTCTCAATGAATCACTTTTTTGATCGTCCCAAGTAGTTGCTAAGTTTCTAATTGCCATGCCCAGTCTGGGCATTAAGTCTGTGCCAATGCTCATCTGTGTGCCTAAGGCTAAACTCATTACTACGAAGTTGTGATTCAGTTTACGACTCATATAAGATAATGAAAGGTTCTCAACAGTGCCTAAATGTTCCGCTAAGCTATTCTCTGACGCTAAATAAATGTGCTGCTTTTTTGAACTACATTTAGTGATAGGTAGAGAGAGAGAGGAGACAAGGTCTGGAGAAATGAAAGAAGCGTTTGCTCCGGGGTCCACCAGTGCCCACACCCAGCTACTCTGAACAATTATAGGAACATAGAGTGAGCCGTCGTTATGTGACGGTGCAGTGAGGTGGTGAATGTTAAGGTGTTTACCTTGTGCTTGTAGATTGAGTTGGCTCAGGTCCAGCTCAATTCTACTATTCAGCACATCCTCACTGTTGACTGTTCTTGTGCTGCGGTTTGCAAATACCGGCTTTTTGGCTTTGGCCAACTGAAATTCAGGGCATTTATGCACGTTGAAGTACGGAACTTTATGACTGTAATGGCAGAGGGGTGCTGGTCTTGGTGCTGGTGGTGTGAAGGTCTTATTCTCCGTGCTCGTAATACTCTTGAGTATGTGGCATTCGTCTTTGCTGTGTCTGCCCTTGGGATGCAAAGGGCAGGATCCTCTGTTGTTGTGATTGTTTCCACGTTGTTCTCTACGGAATTCACCGCGTCCTCTCTTGCTGCCGGTGTACTTGTGATTGTCTTCTTGGTATCTCTTGGTACCACTTGTGGTCCGTTCCTCTTGGAACAGGGAGTCTGTCTCCTCACCACTAGTGGCCACAATCAACGGTATGACTTGGTGTATGTTCTTGGGAACAACCAAGCCGTAGTGCTGCGTAAGTGTTTGCCACGCTTTCTCTCTTACAGGTCTCAACAGCTTGGAGGTGAAGAGCCATACAAGCTCGTCGCTACTGTCGAGGTTGGTGGCATGAACGCTGTCCAGGAATCTTTCCGCATATGCTCTGACGAGCTCTCCTGGCTTTTGCAGCATGCAGTGGACTTCATGCTTCTTGATCTACAGATGGTACAGGTTACCGTGCTCGCTTTCTAGCTGCTGGCGTACCTCCTTCCACTTCAAACCTCTTCCGGCCCTTGTCTTCTCAAATGAGACGCGTTGTCTCTCATCACAGGTAAGCCAGAACAAGCGTTCCCAGTGCTGATCAAAATCCAGGTTGTGTGCCCGGAGCTGCACTTCGAAGTCGTTCAAAAACGCGGCAATGGAGTCGTGGACTGCCTTGTTGGTCTGATGGACTGGTCCACCACGAAGCTGGAAGGCAGGAAGGTTGGGGGGAACAAAGGAGTCTGCCTTGTTGTTGCCTCGGTATTTTCCAGCTTTCTTCTCAATATTGGCCCTGAAGACCTCAACGGCTGATGGGCTGGACATCATCTCTTGGGCGTCACAGAAAGCCACCCAACGCTCTTTGGTGTTGGCCACCTCTTCTTGGGCCTTTCTTATATCGTCGAGTTTAGCCTCGGGGTTTTCCAGAACCTTTATCAACTTTTCTGCTGCTTTCTTGCGGCAAGCGTCAATTTCTATCCCAATTGCCAGGATGTTGATTTCTTGGTTGCGTTCCTCTTCCTCCATCTCGAAGTCCTCGTTGTTGCTTTGGCTGTCTTCTCTAGTGTCCTTTTGCAATTCGCTCTTCTGCGATTCATCATTCGAACTGGTGATGGAGGCATTCGCAATGTAATTGTTCATTTTTGTCAAAAATACACTTCACAGTAAAAAATGAGGTATTCGGGATTGTTTATGGTTTAGTATCTCAATAATGGGAAAAGTAGATACTGTGAGAGTGTTATTTATTAAAGAGACAAAATAATATTGTTTATATCTGCTACTATTCAAATCCCTGTAATTCAAATCCCTGTTGTATAATAGTTGGTTTACACTGTATGAGTGTGTAGTGTACGTGTGCCTGGTGTGTAACAGTTCCGGAGATTGTTAACTTGCCAGGTTCATTAGCAAGAAGGAACCAGTGTTTGGTTGTGGGGTCTGTTCTTCACTCAATTGTGGTGTGTATACCACACTCTACATGCAGCCTGATTTGACTCATGAAATACACCCTCAACAGTTTGCAGATTTTCAAAGCTTGTGGCGCCTGGTACATTGTGCAGCAAGATCCCCAAGAAATATTGCTCTGCATCTCTTGGGGATACAGCATACACTCTCCCAATTGTTCCTTGTGAATATCTCTGTCTTGGTTTCCAAGTCTTGTCTTTTACATTCCAAACGAAATGAGAAGAAAAGTCGTGGTAGAGATGTTTGCGAGCATCTATGTGCTCCTCATTGTACTTGAACTATACCGTCAATATTGTGCCAACATTTGTCATTGAGAGGGCATCCAGATTATTGTTATCCCAAAAATACACATTCTGAGTATTCTTGATATATATTGCCAGTCTTTGATGTGTTGTTGGGTGTTTTTGGTGCAGCTTAAAGGAGAATATTTTCCAGGATGCCTCTGAAGCTGAGACATACCTAGCATCAAGAAACTCATTTATTTAATTTGTTGGCTGTTCTTGCTGAATACTGTTGTTTGTGGTGCTGGCTGTTGCTGTTGTAGATGTGGTTGCTGTTGCTGTTGCTGATTGGATGTTTGCCATTGTGCAATCATATCCTTTGTATACATACTTGTAGAGATATTTGACAGCTGAAACTGATATACTAATTTCCACATTAATGTGGGCATTGTATTTCATGCACAGATACTTGTTATGGGGTACAACCCATGTGTTATCGATCATGTGGTTTCCTTTTCTTACACGTCTTCCCTCATCTCTTCTTTGGTATAATGGGTAGCCATTTCCATCGTCCATTGTTTCATTGTTAATTTTTTTTGGGAAGTTTTTTTCACATTTTCCATTTTTCATGCAGCGAGCTTTATCATTGTATTTATTATTACATGGACCATGGATCATGTTTTTTGTTACTGTTGCATATGCAAGTGGCTCAGTTACTGGATCAAGAAAATCTGCAGAAACTATCAAGTTATAGTCTTCAATCGTTCTTGGCTTACTGTCAGTATGAAGAATCAATAGAATATGGGCATGTGGAAGCCCCCGCTTCTGAAACTCGATGGCATATATGAAGGCCTATACTTTTCCAAAAATCTTTTTCTTTGTAAGATCCTTCATGAGCTTTTTAAGCTTCATGTTAAAGACTTTTGAACATATTTCTGGTTGGTTGTTAGCCTTTTGCCCAGACAAAAGAGAGCTGGTTGTGGTATTTCAGGTACAAAACAATAGAAAAATAAAATATTTGATAATAGAGACGTATAGAAATACTTTGAGACTGTATATAAGTTGTCCTTTATTTATAAATAAAAAGTGTCCCTTTTTATAAGAAAGCACAATCTGCTCTTGTCATTACGTCTTAGTTTCTTAAGGCTTTCTTCCTTTACTATATTTAGTTATTAGAGTGTATTTACTGCTTAACTAGTGTTGGTGTTACAATTATGACATCAAGTCATAAATCGTACTTCTTTAGCTCTTAGCTATTCTTTTCTCTTTTATACTAGAGCTTTAGCACTTCCTACTAAATTAGCTCCATATTGATCTGACACAGTTTACCTGGCAGTATGATATAATTATCTTACCAATCTTTAAGATATTATCTACAGTACTAACTGTAATAAATATTGGGCTGATTACTTAATTGTTTATATATATTTTATACTGACAAGATGATAGCTACTACACTATCCCAATATGAATATGTTCTTATATGTGATAAATCCAACGTCCGAGTATCTGGATCACCACACTGGTAATCTCTGGCCAGGTGGGATTACAGATAAAAGTAATAAATAGATCTAGTTTACCAAAATGATGGACAATACTCATTGCATCATGGTATAACTGGCGCATATGTTGTGGGCTACCAATGAAAGAAGATGGAAGGATAATCTTCTTTCTAATATTGGCAATATCATTGTCATTTAAGCTAATTACATCTTGTATTCCAGAGTAAAGATCTACTCTGAGTCTGTCTTGGTTGACGTTTATGTAGTGCAGTCTGTTATGTTCAACTTTTGCATACATATCAACAGTAAATTGCTGAAAAAGACGGCCAAAGAGGTGGAAATAATGTTGGAAATTGTGACAATACATGAGGTGGCTAGAATATCATTGCATTACTGTTACAGGTTTTCCAGAAAGAGAGGTTGAGCCAAGGTTCCAGCCATCTTTGCCATAGGGGAACATCAGAACATAGTGAAGAGCATCATATGAACGGTGATACTCATTTATGGACTGAAGGTTGCTTGTATGTATATGCAGAACGATATCTCTAGTTGTGCATGTATCATTGTTCATAATCAAAACTGTTACTTCATTGGTGTTTGGTGCGTTGTACCGTCTCTGATCCTGAGGTCCCTCTGCAACCAAGTGCAAGGTTAAATCTGCAGTATGGTCATTATTATGAAAAACTTGTTCCATGGATCTGAACAAAGATATAAAAGAGTTGGTCTCCCCCAAAACCGATTGCAACTTTTCAAGTACTTCTCTACTCAAATATGAAGCCTAATGCTGCCAATGTTGAACTTGAGACTGAGCATCATAGATGTACACTTGTGCAAACCGGGGATGATCAATGTCTTGAGTTGTTACAGGAGTGATTGACACTATTCTGTGACATACTGTTCTGTGGATTCAGAAGTTGTAAGCTCTGCTTTCATTGTTTGCTACACTGTGGTCAATGTTTGCTCCCAATGATATAATACTCAATGTGCTATTATAGCCTCTGATTTTGGAAAGGAACTGTTTTTCATCTCGAGTTCTATTGTTAAGAAGTACAGCAATTGCAGGTGGGGTTGACTCAAGGCTAGGAAGAACAGATGTTTCATTTTCACAACACATGCTAAAGGTTGGATTTCTCAATGATGAGTTTCCATTCCTTTTGTCCATCTACATCAAAGCTCCACATAAACTGCATTCAACATTCATTTCTCCCTTGTTATCAACTTCTGGCTCACAGAGAGCTGGAAGTCAGACAATATTCTCTGTAGCCAAACGTTGATTACTGGAGTCATTCCTAATATATCTGGAATTGAAAGGACACAGTCTGTTTGTATTACAACAATAGCTCTCTCTGTGACATATTGGGCAAAATCTAACAATTGCAGCAGGCACAACTATCTCTTCTTTGTCATTATCAGATTCTTCGGAATCATCAGAAGGTTCAATATCAGTGTCCACAGTATCATTTTCCTCAGATTCAATTTCCTCAGATTCAATTTCAGAAATAATATCCTGAGCTTCTGCTATGGTAGGCTTCTCAATCAATGTTTCAGGAATCACAGAACTTGTGGTCTCTTGAAGCACTACTTGATCTTCAGGAGATTCTCTTCTCACTCTCATATTAGTAGCTAAATATATATAGAAACAATTATAAGAATTAAAAACTTTAAAAGCAATGAGATTTTTATTCCATCTACTGCTCTCTGCAGGATATTCCACTTCAGTAGAGACAACATTGCTTGTTCTCTTTTGAGAGATGAAAAGAGTACAATTCTTTGGGTTCATGGGACAGCTTCTATGGTTGCTACGTTTATGACCAGTCATTTTACATACAGAGCAACTTTTTTCAATTGAAAGCATTTTGGATTTAGATTTTGATACTAAGGATTTGAGGTTGCAATTTTCTTAAGAGATGTGCAAATTCTTTTCTATTATTTAATTTTGTTATTTATAATATTGATATTCATTATCAGAGGTTTCCAGGCACATATTAAGATCTTGAAAAGTAATTCGCCCACTTGATTATATACAAATTTATCTATTTATCCATTCATTTTATTTCCATTTTATTTATTTAATTTAAAGAGAGAATTTTTTTTATACTTTCTTTATTATAGCTGTTAGAATTTTAGAAAAAAAAAAAGAAAGAGAGAGAAGGATTTATATATCATATGACTTTTGTAAGATATAATTTTTTAGAGATAGACTAGATTTTAGATGTAAATAGATGTTTTACAGGCAAATTTGTATATCACGTGATGCTGCTAATTTTGATTGACGTTAGATATATAGACTAGATTTTAGATGTAAATAGATGTTTTACAGGCAAATTCGTATATCACGTGATGCTGCTAATTTTGATTGATTTTAGATATATAGATAGAGTGTATAGAGTGAATCGTTTATCACGTGATATACAAAAAGACTGAATTTAAGGCAGATTTTGTATATCATGTGCTCTTGCTAATTTTCTAATTTTTTAAAAATATAGATAATATAATAGCTACTGCAGATAATGCGCAATATATGTCTAGAAAACTATATAAGACAATTTAATTCATTTAAGTAAAAAGTATCTTTTATCCTCTCTTTAATTTTATATATACTCCTTGATCCCCAGTGGGTTTGACCTTTTGACTTTGTTATAGTTGTGGTATACACACTACAATTGAGTGAAGAACAGACCCCACAACTAAACACTGGTTCCTTCTTGCTAATGAACCTGGCAAGTTAACAATCTCTGGAACTGTTACACACCAGGCACACATACACTACACACTCATACAGTGTAAACCAACCATTACACAACAGGGATTTGAATTACAGGGATTTGAATAGTAGCAGATATAAACAATATTATTTTGTCTCTTTAATAAATAACACTCTCACAGTATCTACTTTTCCTATTATTGAGATACTAACCCATAAACAATCCCGAATACCTCAATCAGCAGAGGAACAAACCTCTATAAAAAGGTATGTTTAATAAGATTCAGTGTTTTTTTTCTTGCCACTTATAATTTTCTTCTAGAAAATTACAATCATGAAACATGTATATTGAAGACCTTTATCAAAATGATAAAATAAAAATAACGGTCTTTACTATCAACCAGCACCTTCTACAACATTACCTCAATATGATCAGTGCCTTTGGTCCTCGACGCTCATACAGCACAAGATCAGTAGAGCATGCTATTGGCAAGTACTCTCACGCCATCAAAAGCAATTCAGCAATTGGCGTGAATGCCAGAAACATAATGGTCTGGCTGGCTCATACACAGCAATTGTTGACTGATTCTGAAGGAGGCAAACAGAGAGGTGTTGTATTATAGTATGAGGATATGTCTGCTGGTTGGCCAATTACTAGCAAGGGCGAGCGTGCTGGTGCAGATTCCAATATCGAGTTCTGGGGACCTTTAGGATATAAAACAATTGTTGACAGTTTTGAAGACATTTCTTGTCTTCCGATTCTTATTCGAGACTTTTATAGATCAAAGGGGGTGGAATGCAGGACGATTGAACCAGCTATAATAACTAGCTGCAAAGCTTTTATTAATAGCTGTGTGATTGACTCCTCATTTTCCCAAAAAACATTAAGAGAGGCACATCACATTCATCTTCAGATGCAAGTCGATCTGTTCACAAATGTACGTTGCCAATACACTCCTGTGGCAAAAGACTTCTTTGGAAAAGTAATTCTTTTCTTCGAACATGGGAATTCTGGTAAAAGGTGGCCCCTTGTTTTGGTGCTGATATATAGCACTGTATTATACACTGATCTTAAATAAGTTTACGTATATTACCAAAAAGGAAATTTTGAGAAAAAGCAGCCATTGTTGTTTTTATTTATGTTTTCATTCTTTTTCTCAATCAAATCTTCTCATGTCTTCTAAAATCATTAAACAATCTCGTAAAAAGAGTCCAGAACTTTCAGATTACATGAAAGGCAAGATTGTGGGTGCTTATGACTTTGGAATTCCCATGGCTAAGATTGTGCACAAGTATGAACTACCCTACACGACAGTGACAACAACCATTGAGAGAGTGAAGAAAACGGGTACTGCCCTTACCAAAAAAACGTGAAGGGAGACCTGTTCTCTTGAATGATTGTGATTTGAGAGCTCTGGGAAATATTGCGCGCAATGACCCAACTGCAACATTAGACATGATTACAGCTGAAATTCAGGAATCTTCAGGTATACTCATCAAGAGGGATGCTGTTCGTAATTCCTTAAAAAAGATTGGTTTATGCTCTTGTATTGCTGCAAAGAAGCCTTTGCTAAAGGAAAGGCACATAAAAAACAGATTAAAGTTTGCAAGAGATGCTCGTTGTCGCAATCAACAGTGGAATCGGATAATCTGGAGTGATGAGTTCAGATTCATGGTTTATCCAAGGGCAGGAAATGTACGTGTTTGGCGCACTCCAGCACAGAAATATAGAAGAGGCTATGTACGTCCAAGAGTACAAGGCAGAAGAGGCTCAGTGATGGTCTGGGGGTGCATTTGGGCTGGTGGAGTGGGAAAACTTGTAATTGTCGATGGCACACTAAATCAGACGAAGTACATAAGACTCTTACGACTTCAATTTATGCCCTAATTTCGACGCCTTAAGCAAAGGAAAGATGGCGAGTTCATTTTCCAAGAAGATAATGCACCCTGTCATAAAGGTATTTTGGCAAAAAAATACAAAGAAGAGGTGAATCTGCCAGTGATGACATGGCCAGCAAACAGCTCTGATCTGAGCCCAATAAAAAACATTTGGGCATACTTGGAATGCCAGCTGAGAGCTAGAAGGGTAAAGCCAACGAATTTACACTCGTTGGCCAGAGCTCTTCAAGAAGAATGGAAAAAAATACAAAAGAAAGTAGTGAAAGCACATTGTATGTCAATGCCAAATCGAATCAAAGAACATAGAAAAAATAATGAATTCCATACTCACTATTAAACTTTCTAATAAATTACATATATCTATTCACATAGCTAATATATATTACTCATAATTATTTCAGAGCTCTAGCTATACGTTAAGATGATAAAAAGATGTAAAGAAGTTGTATATTTTCATTGAAAAAATTGGGATTTTAAAAAATACTTAAATTAAATATGGGTCAGTGTACAATGTCATTCTGGTGGTAGTAAATGGTCAGCTCAAACTGAAGGTAGTCCACCTGGCAGACGTCAAGGAGTTGGTTGGTCTTGTGGTGTCAGATGCAACGGGCAATACAACAACAACAAAAACAAAATATATAGTGTGGCCAGAACTTAACCGCAGCCCGAAATTAAATCTTGGTCAATATAGAGACCTTTATTTTGTTTTTTTTATTGTAATACATTTTTTTTCAAATTGTCTTAACAAATTTCATCTTTGCAGCAGAAAGTTTAGATATTTTCCTTGTCTTTTACCTCTCATAGCTCTTCCCGCTAAAGTACTGGACCCACCTATTGGGTTCACCACAACACTAGGTCAAGCCAATATAACCACTCCACAACCCTCTACTACTACCTCTACCACAACCAACACTAGGTCATATCTCGATGTTGCCACAGCCACTCCTGCCCCCGGTCAAGTACCAGTTGTTCTTTTCTCTAACTTGCCAACATCTACGGATTGCGTCTGGCATGAAAGTATATCTTGTCATTCGGTATTCTTCACCCCACCAACGGATTCTACCCTTACCTCTGAATTCTGGACTGCTCTCAGAGCAAGCGTTCCTACAGCATGCACCTTGGGAATACCATTCGCTCATCGTCAACTGCTCATCCACGAATTACACCTGACCAATTCTACCATCTGCACCAAACTCTGTTCCAAAGGCTTCCTGGTTGGAGGCCAAACGTACTTCCCCTCTATGGGTATTGCCCCAGGCACAAAAATCTTGCATATTTCCCTCTCCCAGCTTCCATACCTTCCTTCCCCTCTGCTTGAAGAGGCTATCAAAACAGCCTTGGCTGCATATGGCACCATCCACAAAGTCGGTTTGCATCTTCATGCCAATTTTTTTGATGGCACTGGTTTTGCTTACCTTGAATGACCACCCAACCCTGATGCCACCCTTGCCAAACTCTCATATAAGATCCCGTATGATGGCGACTTGTACTTCTTAGGTATCTGGAAACAGATGGGTATTCACTGTAATTATTGTAAATTTATGGGCCATGCTATTGAAAACTGTCCAGACCACCCCAAAGATTCCTGACGCTGCTTCACTTGTGACCAGACTGGTCACTTGCAACATGCCTGCCCTAGAGCACCCCCCACGGATGCCAGCTCTTCCAAGAGACCCTGCAAGGTTTCCACAACACCTAAATTCCCTGATCACTCATGCAAGACTACTTCCGGTGCATTTCACAGACCTCCAGCCAAGAAATCGATCCCCCCTTGTGGTACACCTATGATGGCTGAGGGATCCCCACCTACTACCACCACCTCCCACACGAATTCCTTGACACTGCGACGACCTCTGTCCCTGCTGTTCCTACTTCCCTCTGCCAGTCTGCCAACAGGTTTGCTGCACTTGGCAGACTAACTGACAACAGCCACACAGGCGCACTCTTCGACCCCACTCTGCCTCTTCCTCAGACACACAACACCCAGTATGATCCCGTCTTTCACCCCCTCCACAACGCTTTTCTTCCCTCCTTCTACACTTCCGGCTCCACTAAAGACGAAGAAGAATTTCACCCCAGCGCTTTTGATGGCGACAATGACCAAGACTCCCAGAATATCCTAACTGATGACGAGATGGCAGACGGCAATCATTCTTAAATTTATGATTAATATAGCCTCCATAAACTGCCATGGACTTGTCAAGTCCGGAAACACCAATAATCACTCTCTATTTATTAGATATCTTTGCTCCCTCTCTCTAGACATACTTGCCCTTCAAGAAACTCATGCCAACACAGACGCTCTTCAACAGACGTTTCATCTTCAATTTCAAGCATCCGACTCACTATAATCTCCTCACTGTGATTTGGTTTCCCTCTCTCTCCTCATTTCTTTTACTGATCCTCTTTTTTCTCTCTGTGGTCATTGCATTACTGCCACCATTGTTCACTCTTCCAATTTGTTTGCCCCATTTTGTATTTGCGTTTTATATGTCCCTGCTTCATATCGTCCTTGATATGATTTTCTCACCTCTCTCTTATCCTCCCCACATCTTCTCCCTTCCCTTCCTTCTCGCTTTCTTATGCTAGGAGATTTTAATTATTCCTCATATGCAAATACCTCTTGTGCTGGCCTCGCACCACGTCTATGGCTGCATTTTGTTGCTAACTACTTTGTAGACTGTGTCCCTTTGTCTAACGCTCAATCTATGCCTACCTTTCATTGCAACCTTTCCTCTTTGACTATTGACTACATATATGTCTCCAAGGATATAGCATCTTGTCACTCTTCATCCACTGTCACATTTGTTCAGCCCCTGTGTACCGATCATTGCCTTGTACATACCTGTCTTAGTTTTCCTATGCTGTCTCACATTGGTCGAGGTTTGTGGTGTGCGAACCCTCATTTGGCAAACATCCCTTCCTTCCGCTCCTCCCTGTCCGACTGTCTTTCATCCTTCATACCACTACTCTCGCCTTCAATTTCCCCCCAATCACAGTGGGATCTGATCAAAGTCGAAGTGGCTCGTTTCACACGTTCATATTCACGCACAACCTGCCCATCACTTGCCACTTTGGAGGTAAAGCTTCAGAGTAAATGTGACCATTTGATACATAGATTTTGCCACCAGCCTGCTCAGAACTTTCAGCTGCCCATCGTCGAGCATCAACTTCAGCAAGTTCAACAGGAATGCACCAAGATACTAGCCCTTCGTGCTGGAAAACACTGGAGAGAGCAAGGCGAAACTACCGCTGGGTTTTTGAAATGCACAGTTGCTTTTCGCCAAGCTTGAACCACAATAACCAGCCTCTGCCACCCCTTCACTGACAACTTATGCACTGATCCTGATGATCTTATGGAAGCTGCTGCTGCATTTTATGAAGATCTTTACACACCCAACCCTCCTGCTCAGACAACTATTGACGACCTCCTCCTTCACTTGCCACCAGACCTCTTTCTTTCCGAAACTACCTTCACAATCCTCCTTAAACCCTTCACCTTGGATGACATCTGAGACAGCACCACTCGTACTCCTAATGCCAGTAGCCCTGGGCCGGATGGCCTGCCTTATGAGATTCTGCGATTAATTATGAACCATCTGATGTGTGCTGTCTTACTTGTTCAAATATTTAACAATGGGCTTGCCCTTGGTGTGTTCCCTTCGTCCTGGCAATCAACCTGCGTCTCTCTTCTTCCCAAGAAAATTGACCTCACCTCCTTCCGCAACTGGTGCCTGATTGCTCTCATCAATACCAATGCCAAAGTGTTCACTCACCTCATCAATTGTCACATGGTGCCTGCTGCTTCCTCCCTTGTTACGCCCTTCCAGACCAGGTTTGTACAAGGACGCTTCATTGCTGACAATGGCATGCTGACCAAGTTGGTTATGGCACAGGCTAGACAGGACGGTTCATCTGGTGTAGGCCTTCTTTTGGATCAGGAGAAAGCTTACAACAGAGTCCATCCCGACTACCTTTGCCAGGTCTTGCAGCATTTCAACTTTCCCCCTTCCCTCCTTACCTGTATATCTCAACTTTGTTCTCTACACAGATTCAAATCAATGTCAATGGACACCTATCCCAATCATTCCTTCAGGCTCGTGGACTCCAGCAGGGTGATCCTCTTTCTCCTGTACTCTTTAACCTTGCATTCGAACCTTTGTTGCATCATGGGATTCATGATCCTTCCTTTGCCGGATTTTCTCCATCACCATGCACTGCTATTCCACCACTTCTGCCCATCAAGCTCTTGGCCTATGCCAATGATCTGCTAGTCTTTCTGCCTGATGCCGCCCACTTGTCCCATCTTCATTATCATCTTCTCATATACTCTCATGCCTCCAATGCTCGCATCAATCTCCATAAAACTGAAGCTTTCTCCCTGTCTGGTCTTCCACTGCCAGAATGGCATCTCATCCTACAACAATTTGACATCACCGCCTGGTCTGACAGATCTTCCTCCACTCCCCTGCAATATCTTGGCTTTTCTCTTGTCCAATCCTTACCTCAGCGCAATTCTTTCTGTGACAACATTCTTTCTGTGACAACATTCTTTCTGTGACAACATTCTTTCCAAGATTAAATCTACCTGTAATATCCACTACTCTTGCTCTCTCTCTATTTGTGGCCGTGCCACAGTGCTCAACTCTCTCATCCTCTCTAAGCTCTGGCATGTCCTCAGAGTTGTCACTGTACCTCTATCCTTTTTCCATCGACTTCGCTCAATCATGAGTAAGTTTATACAATACTGCTCCTTTCCTCCCATTTCTCTTGGCACTTTCTGCCAGCCTATTTGGCTCGGCGGTTTAGGGGTCCTTGATTCTCAGATTCAACAGGCTACTCTTCAGTTGCGCTGGCTTCGGCCTCTCGTCCGCTCTCCACTGTCCCCCTCTGGCCTGGTCCTGCCTTGGTTCTTTTACATTCTCTGCCTTGACTCTTCATTTGCTGATCCACTCGTTCCTTTGATATTTCCATCTCTCCAATCCTCTCATCGACTGATTTCGACTCTCCTCTGACCACCCTACTTGCTGCCATTAACCTTCTCCCTCACAACTTCTCTGACGTGGTAGTCAACCTCCCCACCTGTCTCTCTCTGCCTCTCTCCTATCTCACTACTGCACAACCAGACCACCCTCCCTTTCCATCTGCATGGCGCGATCTCCAGGTTTCCGACGCCTATGAAGTAGATCCTAGTTTTGGCATGCTTGCCCAACGCCCCCTCCACCGCATACTCTGTCGTTCTATTGTCCTTCACCGGTTCTTCGAACGTCTCTACACTTGCTCTCTTGTCTTGCACCCTGTCCTGTATCATGCCACCATTCCCCCTGCGATCTGTGCCATACAGTTTCCTTTGCTAGATATGCCTTCCAGTACAGCTGTTGATGTGTGTCCTTTCTTGACGGCTCTTGTCCCCGGCATCCCTTGACATTGTTTGTCCACCCAGTCTTTCCGCCTACTCTGCAATTTCCACTCCAATTCTGCACGCCCCATAAGCCCCACACTTGTCCCTCGCCAGCTTTGTCAGTTTTGGTCCTTCCCCCTGCCTCATGGGGCCCACAATGTTTGGTTTCGTGCCCTGCACAAGAACATTCCTTGCTGTTCTCACCTCAATTCTAGGATCCCTACCACTTTCCCAGACCTATCCTGTGCCCTCTGCTCTCACCCTCTGGACAATCAAACTCATTTTTTGTTCCAGTGTCCGGTCAAACTGTCTGTATGGTTGTCAATCTGGACGTTGTACTTCGCCCAGACTGCGACACCCACTGTCTTACTTTCTGGTTTGCAATCCTTCACATTCTCTCCGTGCACCAACTCTTCTCTTTCTGCTGCCTCAATTTTGGCTGCACGCTGCTGGCTATATGGCGCCATCATTGGTTGTTCATATTTGATCACGTTCCTTTTGTCTCCTCTGCTGCCTTTTCCACTGCTTCCTCTCTTCTCGACCACCTCAAGAGCGAACTTGCTCTTGACTTTCCCCCCCTTTAGCTTCCTTCCATACCTCCACAATATATATAACTACAAACATATAAATAGAAAAACATTGTACAAATATAAAAGCCAAAAACAAGTTGTGATTTTCCTCTTTTGCCTTGCAGCATAGAGGCTCACTAATAAACTAGAGCCTTCAGCTCCCTACAAAAAAAATTGTCTTTTACCTCTGACTTTTAATAGTCCTCGATTTCAATCTATACATGCTAAAAATGTAAAACCTGTAGTTAAAATGTACTTTTGTCTCCTCTGAGATCTAATTCTAGATAGTCAATTTGCTTTTTATCAGCTATTTCAAAAAACAGAGATTTTCTTGTTTCATTCTGCATTTTTGGCTATTCTTTAATTATTATAAGTCAAAACTTAAGTCACAATTACAAAAAACGCCCCTTTTTTCCCATAGTGCAAGTTAATAGAAATCTTGGTCTTGTGATTTTACTTTATCACTATGTTTTTTCTAAACGTCAGAGTGAAATGTCTATGGTTTTTGGAATGAGCTGCCAATCTATCTCAACTGTGTGCAAAGGAATGGAGAATGCCATATACAAAAATATCTAGTATGGTCTCCAATTCAACACGAAGCAATTCAGTTTCAAAAACTTGAAAAGGCTTGCAAAGACAATATATGATAAGGGCACAATGCTTCTAAATGTTATTGGATTCATTGATGAAACAAGGCAAGCAATTGCGCAGCCAAGTGAACCCAAGGAGATTAAGAAGACGTTTTATAATGGCTGGAAACACATACATGCCATAAAGTTTCAAGACATTGTCACACATGACAGAATTACAAGTAGCATACTTGGTCCATACTTTGGAGCAAAATATGACCAGTATGTCAACTCTGTCTCAAAGACAGAAGAGAGACTAGAGAAATACTTGAAGTCAGCTTCTATTTCTGAAGCAAGCTACGCCTTGTATGGAGTTCCAGCATATATGGTCTCAATGCTTGTATTTGCCCTTTCAGGGTACATGTCTTTATAATAAGTTAAATATTAATCATTACTAATAAAATATCTAAAAGCTCAATGTTCTATAATAGATGTAGAAGCTGCATGCAACAAGAGCATGTTCAAGGTTAGAGTTGCAGCTGAATGGGAGTTTGGTGAGATACAAAAGTACTTTAAGTTCTGTAAGTATAAGTATGCAATGAAGATCTAAGAGATAAGTCCAGTGAAAATATATCTGCTCTCTACTGTATTAAAGAAGATATGGTGCAATCAGAGATAAGTATCAATGTTTTTGGACTTGTTTCAATTTTCTCCTGGAAAACTCCGCCAGCCAATTATGATTTAATGTCCGACAACCTTTAAAAAAAAATCAAAATTCAATGATATTTAGCACTCAAAACGTAAAGAATAAGCACAAAAGTAGAATTGATATATTTAATAAAATACTAATTAGAGATAAAGATAATTTATAAGCAAAAATAATAAAAAATAAAGAAAGTACAGATAAAAATTCTATTCTCTTCCTTCATCACGGCGATGAGAAGTATATTTTTTTTTGTAAATTTTTTTACAACATCATTGGCTTCTTTCACGTTCATCTCTTGGCTGTATGCCTCAATGTAGCGCCACGAGTGGTTGTAATACCAGCGGATATTTGGAAGCTTACCAGTGTGATCCAGGAAAGTATGGATATTCTTATCCAGGGACTTATATGTATAGTCACACTGGAGGCAAGCTTCACGCTTTGCGGCACCCCAATACCTCTCAATCCAATTGCATTCGCAATGGAACTTAGGGTAAAGTTCAAATATATGACCAGAGTCTTTGACAGCCTCATGAAGAGCAGTTTTCTGTGACATAAAATCTGGTTGTAAAGCCAGAAAATGATGTGCACAGCACTTGCTTTCTTTAGAGGCGTCTTTACTCTTACAGTCTAGTTGCCATTTCTTAATAGAATTATACGGATCCTTCTCAAGCCACAAACTACGCTCCTCCAGAATATGATGGACGCCTTTAACATATTTAACCTTATTTTGGACCAATTGTCCACTTTTCTTTGCAAACCATTCGTCCTTCTCATAGTACATTGATTGTACTTCCTCTACACCATTCCGGACAAATACTGTATCCCGCAAAGAACAAGGATTGTCGTCTTCAATCTCTTTGTCATTTAGATTCATTTTGCTTGAGATCAAAGCATTTTGACCATACGCTTTGTGATTTGTGCTTTGGTCAAATGAAAAGACGGCCTTGCACCCTGGGTGAATCAATTCAAAAAGAGGAATAACATTGTTTTTCAATTGCTTCAACATATCCGCACTCATCCAGTACCCATCTATGTCGGCCCCAGGGCGGAATACCTCTTGTGACAACCATGCCCCTCCAGCCATTGTTCTGTGGCATACGCACTTGAACCCACTGATCATGAGAGACATTCCTGGACCTTTCTTACGGATAGGATTTTCAACTTCCATTAGCCACATGGTATCTTTCCCATCGTTTGCATAGAATGTCAATTCATTGTGAGTAACAAGAACATGCTCTATTTCATTGGATCTAAGTACTGGCAAAACTATAGTTTCTTCATTTTCAGAAAAAGTTGCCATTTTCTTCTTGTACACCATCATTCTTTTTGCCCATTTCTGATGGTATGCAATCGCATCCTCTCTTTCATGACCGTCGTAATAAATGTTTTTAGAGTTCTTTCTAAACACATAACCCCATTCATGAAGGTACTTCTAGATTGTACTTGTGGAAGTATTTCCAGGTATATCAAGCTTTCTTGGCAAAATCTCTCCATCAATGTACTTCTTCACTTCGATAAGACTTTGACTTTCTGGTCTCTGGTTTTGAATCCATTTACAGATAGTAGACTTTATATCTTCATCCAAAAATAAAGAATGTCTTCTCAAATGCTTTCCTTGTTGGTATAAGGCAATTGAACGGAAATCAACATACTCTTTGGCATACTTTCTTATAGCAGCTGAACGATAAGTGTTTTTGTGAAGCCATATTTCCATCAATGCTTTCTCTGAAGCTTCCATAGTTTTGGTGCCTGATATTCTGTATCGAAGGTAGCATTCAACTGATTTAAGCTTACAGAGTTCAAAAGCATCAACTGACTGAGAAGAAGGACCTGCGCGAGTATAAGAAAAAATCTCTTTCTTAACATCTTCATGTGCAAGTTTAAGCACAGCAATTTTGTCAATCTGTATGTTCTCCAATTCACTATCAATAGATTCTTTTAATTCAATTAGAGCCTCTTTTTGAACATTAATAAAGAAGCCTTTATCTGTAAGATGGTAGCTTCCTTGCGTATTTGAAGCATCATTATCTGCTTTTCTTTTTCTTCATTCAATTGTTCACGAATTTTTCTGATAAGTTCCACAAAGCGACTTATCAGCATCTTCATGCCATTTCAGCAGCTGGTTTGTATATGCAGCTGAAGTAGCTTCTTCTGACATTCCCTGGAGCTCTCTGTCGTCCAAAACAATATCGTCTTCATGGTCAAACTCCAAGTCCACATAATCTTCATTTTCTAATTGTATTTTTTTAATAAAAGCTCCACTACTAGCCGATCTGTTTATTTTCTTTGCCATTGTTGATCTCTTTTTTGGACAAGGCATTTTAGAGTGTTTTAAATATAAGTGTGTTAAGCTTGAGTAGTAACACTTGAGGAAGACCAAAATAATAAAAGGTACGCAATAAAAGTCAAAGTCACATGCACGTGATTTGCCTTTTTAAGAAATTATATTTAATGTCTGTCAGTGACAGCCATTTAACTTGTTTCAATATTGTAAAAACCGGGTAAACTCCATTGTAAATAGGCTAATACATCCCAACTTTGAAAGTCTAAGACTTTTTATTCAGAGTAGTTAGAGCAATTGTAAACTCTTAATTCTATAGATAATGATCATATCTATCAAATTAAGAGCTTAGAATTATATTAACTTAAGTTTTGCAAAAGTTATAAACTTTTAAAAAATACCCAAAAACTTAGATAGTTATCTCCAATCGCACCATAGTTCACTGTGTTTATTGTAATGACTTGCTAACAAGCTTATATTTCAAGTTGAAGCCACCAACACTTGAAGAGTATATTTCTGAATTGAAAAAAGAACAAATCGATGGTGAAAATGAAGATCTTCTGTTAGCTTAGTAATTAATAATAAATATTTATTATTGCTTATTTTTGAGCTGGTTTATTATCTCAATCATTGTTTTCTTCATGTCATTGAATGTCCTTTCCTGGTTCTGGCAGGACACCAATATGGCTTCCAATAGCCTTTTCTGGTTTCAAGAGAACATACTCACATCCTCTCAAAATCTTTCTTGCTCCTGCATGTACACCATCTCCTCAGCTGGCATAACTGAGATAACAGCAGTGCCAGTCAAAGACTCACAATCCTCAATGGAAGGGAAAGACATTCCACAGTTTCTGCCTCCGATTCTTTCCCCTTGCCCTTTTCAGAGCTCTTGACAGTAGCATAATCTAGACCTTTTCTTTCTGAAAGGGATGTGTCAGTGAGATGTTGCATGTCCAACTCGACCTTGCTAAGGATCTGCTGTCTTTTTGTTGTAGCATTCTCGCCCATCTTGTTCGTATCATTGTATAGCTGCCCCTATAAAGTTAAGAGACATAGTTAAAGTCTAATTAAAGCACAACACTGTGTTTATATATGCTTTATATATGATATACCTTCTGCAGCACATCTAATGCAGCCTTTTCTATCTCAGATCTGTTTCTGTTGAATCCAGAAACAGAGGACACGACTTCTTTCTCAAAGCTGCCATGATAACTCTAACAGTCTGTGAAGAGTGTCACGTTCACTGTCAGGCGTCAATTTTAGCTCATCTGGGTTTAAGATATTGGCACCTGCCATAACCTAAGCCCAGGCAGCAAGTTGGTTGCCATGCCCACAATCAGGAGAGAAAATTCATGCATGCTCTTTTAAAAGAGCAATCTCTTTTTGTAGTGTCCACTTCCTATACACCCTTTTCTTTTTTTTCTGGGAAGAACCTGGAGAAGGAGCAAGACTTGGGGAGGGGAAGAATTGTTGGTAGATGACATATACATCTTGATACGTATTTTTTTGGTGTTTTCATTTCAGTTTTTGTTTGTTCTTTTTGGTGACATCGTATAAAATATTTTGTATGATGTTTATAGGGTGTATAAAGTATAAAATGCAGAAAAGAAGTAGCAAAATGCAAATAATATGAGCTTAATCTTATTTAAAGCAAAGAGAAATAGCATAAATCCTGCAAGTTGAAAATTAGAAAAAATTTCAAATTTTGAGAAAATCCTAGTTCTAAAAAAAGCAACTTTGTATCTGTTTCAGATGTCAGTTGTCAAATATAGCAACTTATAAATGTCTCCATTTTTCTGGTGAGTTCAGAACATTTAATGATACTATCTAATGAAGGAAAAAAAACTACTGATAGTATTTTGGCGAGAGCCAGATAATGTGCTGCATGGTCTCATTGTTTGTGTCATGACCGAGGCCAGCAATTCCCATAATGAACTTCATGTCCAACACCTTTACCACACCAGAGTCTAGACTATCCCACGCAGAGAAAAGACCCTGGTTCACGCATTGAACATCAGAAATACAGTCAATGGCCACAAAGAGTCTGGTCACTCTGTTGACGGTTTGGGAAAAGAATTTAAAAATAAAACCATATCTTTCAAAAAATATAAATGAGTTATGATTAATAAAATTTAACAATGTAGAATACAATTAGTGCTACTTACTCCCTGGCATCTTCAAGCACAGCAAGATTGTTTGCTCGACCATGCCTGCTGTCAACAGAGAACAGAACTCTATAGACTACTGAGACTTTCCACATCTTGTTGATGCAAACCACTTCATCATTTTCCTCAATGGAAACAGCGCCTTCTCTTGCCCAGAAAGGTATCAAACTGCGGACCAAGTTCTGGCACTCTATGCCAATGGTGGCAGCCAGCTCAACCAGAGAGCTTTGAGTTGGCCTGAACCAAAGTTGAGGACCAGCAACATCATTACTTGCAACCTCAAAGTTGCTAGCCCTTCTGTCATTTGTGGTGCAAATGAAAAATTGGCAACCAAGATAGTGATTGATTGCGGCCTTTCTGAGTAAGAGATTCTCCATGTTCTTTCCCGGTTTTTTTCTCAACTTGATGGCCGCACTGTAGACACTGATTGCCCGTTCAAGTGGCCTACAACTGTATGCCCATAGAGGGTCCATTTCCCATATCATATAGCCGAGATGAATCAGCATATGCTGGTTCATCACAAAAATTGTAGGCTTCAGCCTCTTTTCTACGATCTCACAATTGAGGAAAACATGCCAGCAACCAATGGCTCTATAAAGATGATTAAAACACTGATCAACATATATTCAATTGACTTACTCCTCTGCTTTTTTGATATTGGCAGCAGTGATGCTCTACTGCTGAACGATTTTGCATGCAGTAACAAGGCTCATCACTGCTGCTTTCATACGATCAAAAACGAAATGATCGACAATGATCATTGGAACAACAAACAAGAAGAAGTCTATTCAATTGATAGCTTTCCTTTTGCCATTGGATTCCTTCAAGAGTCTCTACGTTCCTGTAAAATCGGCTGGTATATTGGTTCTGGATGTGCAAATTGCTTTGTCAATATCTTCTAGGCTGATATCCAGAGCAAATGGGTACCTGTGGTGCTTTAACCAATCTTGCAAATGAATGCCATGTGCGCTTCTGCCACTGTTGCTGGCCCAAGGACAAAACTTTCCTCCAAGTGCAACGTAAAGCTGCTGGCCTGTACTGTGACCCAGAAGGTGAATCTCACCCAGTCCAAAGAAAGCAATATTGATCATTGTGGGCAAGTCCTTGAAGATGTTGGGCCCTTTGACGCCGTACATCTAAAATGGTATCAATATTTATTTTGTTAAACAGTTTACAACTTATGTCTTCAATAGACTGGTATAGACTTTCTTCTGTTCCCAACAGTGATGGTCCGTCTCTTTCTACTATGCAAGTCATGCTTGGATCTCCTGCACCGTACAAGACGCAAGCTCTGCATCTATGGTGGGCGTTATGATGAGCCAGGTTCATCAAGTCAGAGACGGCTGGAGTATTTCCAGTCACTATGACAAGATGAACCTAGGCAATCACTGGTTCAGAATCAGTCTGGAACTGCAGGCCATTTGCCCCCAAGTTTCTCAGGTCATCAAGAACAGGCTCCAAAAACGAAGTGATATCTTTTGAATGGTTGGGTCTTAATATGATAGCCAACTGTATCATGTTACCTACCTTGTATCTAAGTATTTCTTATTAGTAACTTTATCTAAATTATTTTTTTTAAATACCTTTCTTTAGAATCGATATTCAGGTTAATAATATGAATAACAGAAGATGTCCTTTTGATATTTTTAAATGTGTTGAACTAGTCAATAAACATAGTCACCAAAACGTCATTCTGACCAACCACTCCACAATCAAGTAGCCATCTGACTGCATCTCTACTGAAGATGTTTTCATATCTATCTTCGCATCTATCAGCCAAACACCTTGTATCATAGGCTATCTTTGCCCTTTTCTCAGGGTGGGCAAGCTTGAATCTCAGTTGCTCTGAGAGAGGCACAATCCAGAAGGTCTGTGTAGTCTTTGCACTTGCTTTTTCCACTTTGTACCTGTCCTCACTGATGAAATCTCTTTCTTCAACTGTTGAGAACCTGCAGCATCCATCTATGCACATATTGTATGCAACGGACTTCATCTGGTACTACTCCTTCAACAAGATGTCTACCTTGTAGTATGATAGAAGTAAATCCACTTTAGCTAAAATGGTGGTAAGTGCATGTAATATAAAAAGAGTATACTAATTATAAACTTACTGGATCCAAGTTCTGCCATGTACTTATTAACAATTTTTATGCATTTGTCATAGACTTCACGAGAGACATTGTTCTCAAAAAAACATGGAAAACCACTCCAGACTGACAGTCTGTGCACGACTGTTGGACACGCATGTGGGAACAAGATTTTCATAATCAGTGAAATGTTCTACTGGAACATTGTACACTCTGTCTAGATTACGGACACGCAAATGTCTATAGTCATTATCTGATATATTTTTTTTAAAGTTGAATACAATTATATTTAATACTAATGTTTCTTTTTACTTGTTTATTTCTTACCAGACATATAGTCAATGTTTTCGTTGATTTCCTCAACAGACTCGACTTGAATATCATCGGTATCCATACTTTCTACCTTGGTGTTGTTTTATTGCCTGCAGCCAAGAACTTGGCAAAATCTATAGGGGCAGTAATAGAGCCCTTGTTTCTGTTGTTAAATTTTCTGCGTGCTTGAGCAATAATACAGATTTCAATTCGGTTTGAGTGTTCTACAACAAACAAATCATTAAGCATATGACCATCTGTTCTGGTTTTGGAATTATGATTAAGTAAATCTTTGATATTCATTTTGGCTTATGTTTGTATATTAAAGGAAGTAGGGGTGTAAGGTTGCGAAAAATGTTCAAGAAATGAGAATATTTTTTCATTATATTGGCACATTGGTAGTGAGAATTACAAGTATGCTAATTGTCTTAATAATTTTTTTTAAAAGAATTTTGAAAGTTTGTTTTTAAATTACTTTCTACTCATTTTTTTCGACCAACTTTCCCCCTTTCATTTTACAGCGATCTTAGGGGACAGGGGGTAACGGCACCACACAATTTAAGGTGACTGCAAGTCTGAGGCCTGGCTATAAAGTGTCTTGAAGAACCCCCCGTCCCCATTCTTTATAAGCACACCCTTGTCCCCATCATTTATAAGCACACCCCTGTCCCCATCTTTAGATCATTCCTATTTCCCGGGAAAAATACAAACACCCCCTTTCTTAAAGTCATTAACATTTAGTTGTAAGAATAAAAAATAATATTTCCAAATAACAAGATATGATGCCTTTTTTACGTTATGTACATTGCATACATTGCATACATTGCATACATTGCGTACATTGCGTACATGAATCAATAAAAATACTTATATAACTACAGTGCTCTTTTATTAAATATGAACACCAACTTCAATACCCCTATTGAGAAGATGTACTCGCTTAAAACAACTCTCTCATTCCCCGAGAATGGTTATCCTGACAAACAAAGCATTTTGGAGGCCGTAAACGAGTACGCCCTTTCTAATAACTTTACTGTCAAAATTAAGGATAGAAAGTTTCCAACACTTCACCTTGCTTGTTCAAAGGCTGGTGCCTATCGTGATAAGTGTAACATCAGCGAGGATAAAAGAAAGAAGGCCCCTAACTCTTCCCTCACTGGATGCCCCTTCCTATTGAGATTTTCTTTTAAAAATAAGAGTCAGAGATACCTTCCCTTGCCTGCCCACAGTGACAATGAGCATTGTCATAACCACCCCATCACCCCAAACAACTTGGCGTCTTCTCACCAGAGAAGAATGTCTCTCCTGACTTCGGAAGATGCAATTATTGCAAAGACAATGCTAGAAAACCATGCCAAGACTCGCAATATTCAGAAAGCTACAAGAGATAAGGTTATGGGAATGAGAAAGCTGAGAATTAGCAATATCAACAACCTGAAGTATAGCTCTTCTCGTGGTGGTGAATCATTAATTCATGGCGCTACTGGGCTCATAAGAACTATGGAAGCAAAGGGATTTTCCGTCCTTTATCAATTCATTGAGAGAAAAAGCCTCACGCACATTTTCTTTACAAATGAGACGATGATAAAAAGAGCCCGTCGTTTTCCTGAGGTTCTTATTGTTGATGCCACTTACAAGACAAACTGCGCGAAGATGCCTTTAGTCTGTGTAGAGGGTGTTAGCAACCTTGGTAGAGAAAGATTGAAGAGCTTTCCTGTTGCATTTGCGTGGGTTTCTGATGAGACAGAGACAAGCTATGCCTGGTTCGCAAGATCACTGAAATCAATCGTGTTGGAGGGAATCGAGAACAGCCCTATCTTTGTTACAGACAAGTGCAAGGCATTGATGAATGCCCTTGATTCCGAGTTCCCCGTGAACAAAAAGCTTCTCTGTGGTTGGCACATGATAAATAACATTGCCAAGATGGCAAAGAAGACAGGAATACGTGCACCAACTTGATAAACAGCATGATATTTGAAGATGATGCTGGCAAGTTTATGCAGAAAAGAGAAAATTTCAGATCGTTGGCTTCTTGTGAAGATCTCAAGACTGAAGGACTGTCTGAAAATGGTAAAAATGGTGCAGTCAAAAGTTTTGAGGAGTACTTTGAGAAGGAGTAGATGAGCTGCAAAGAGAAGTGGGCTGGCTACCTCACCAATAAGCTAAAGCACTTTGACTGTGTGACAACACAGCGTGTTGAGAGTGGTCATCATGCCCTGAAAAGGAGTATCTTGGCTCTCCAGTCTTTGGACTCCTTGTTTGAGCAAATATGCTTATATCTCTTGCAATTTGAGGGTGACTACCAAGATCGTACACTGGATGAGAAGTTGGTGACCGATGCAAAAATCCTTGCTGATGAGCGCCTTTGTGGATTGGTCCACTCGGTTTCCAGAATGGCATTGTTCACGATTCGCGCTGAACTTCTTGAAGAGATTATTATTGGTGAAGCTTGTTACTGCAGAGTAAAGACTATGTTTGGTCTCCCTTGCCGTCATACTCTGCCACGAAATCGGGCCCTCACACTTGCAGACATTCCTGAAAGATGGGTTCTCTCTTCTGCCCTCCCATTCTATAATAAGGAAGTAGAAAAATTGGAAAGTATAAGTACTGTGGCAATTGAGAAACAAGTTCCGTGGATGAAATCAATTGCATAACTTGAGCAGTTGTTTAGATGATGTGAAGGAGAACAACAAATCTGTAACCTGATGGCAAAGGTGAACGATCTTATAAATAATGCTGGTAATTTAAAGGATCACCGAGAGGTTGCCTTTCCTTTGTCAAGTGAGGTCAAAGCTCCCGGAAGACCTAAGCACGTCAAAAGAAAAACTGCTCTCCCAAAGGACTTTGTCCGTCACAAGCACAGACATCTCCTTGTGCAAAAGAACAAAGTAAGCATGCAACATACACAAACATGATTTCACAATCTAATACATATTTATTCTTTATTTCTTTAGAATGATATCAGAAGTATTTTGAAAGAAGGACTTAAAGAAGTGATGAAGGAGTTCTTAGAGGAGGAGCCTCTCAAAAAAAGTAATTTATAATTGTTTTTTTTGTGAAATTACAATGTAATATCTAATGCTTACTATTTCTAGTCATAAAAGAAATAAAAAAAGAAACCCAATTCGCTGAAAAACAAGAGCCTCTCAAAGAAGGTAATTTTTGATAACTTATAAATGAATCACAAAATATTTTGTATGGTTTGCTCACACATTGCATGTTTTCTCTATAGCTAAAACAACCAATTTTGCTAAAAAGCAAGAGCCTCTCGAAGAAGGTAACCGATAAGATATTTTACTAAAATTAAATGCTAAATGTTACATTGTTTTTTGTTTCTTATTAGCTAAAAAATATTTCTCTGGAATTAAAAGACCTAAACATCTTCAAGACGACTACTGGTACAATTTGCCTAGTCCAAAAAAACAAAACAAAAATGTGCATGACTTTGCTCTGCCTGCTCAAATTGACCAAGCTGCCATTTCGTTGACGTTTAACCCCAAGTCAAATGGTTGGTGCGGTTTCCGTGTATTTGCACACCTGAAAGAGGGTGGAGAGGATCAGTTTCCTTTGGTGAAGAAGAAGATGTTGGCCACGATGGCAACCCATGGTAAACTTTACAAGCACAACTTTGGCATTGATGTTGCCAAAGTGACAGAGGTCATTGCCTTTGGCTCCGAGATTGACCCTGCTCTTGGGGAAAATATCCCATCTTGCCCTTCCTCTATGTGGTTCTCTGCACCAGACTGTGCTCAGATAATAGCTGACACCTATAACAAGCCTGTTTGTGTGTACTCGGACGATCGGAGCGTCTTGCCTGTAACTTTCCTTCCCCTCCATGATCGGAAGCCTCTCAAAAGAAAGCCATTGCCAATGGTCTTGCACCATGTACATGGGTGCCACTGGACAACAATTAAAGTGAAGCCTCATGTACATCGGTCCTGGCCTGAGGTAAATACGCTGTATTTTGATGCTATCCGTAGAGAGAGTATCATTGACTGCTTTTCCAAAAGTTGAAATCATTGGGGTCAGTTCCCAAAGAACAAGTCTTATCTTTTACCCTCCACTACTACTACTACAATTACTACTACTGCCACTAACTCTCCTACAAATTCTCCCGTAAATTCTTCCAATATTATTGACCTCACACATATATAACTTATCTATCTTTCTATCTTTTAATATACTTTACTCCTATTTTTTTCTTTAATTTTTTAACAAACACAATTGCACCCAGTCTGTCTTTAATTTTAATGTTACATGTAAAACCCAGATACGAATATTATTGGCATCCAACTAATTGGAAGACTATATAATTGGCTTTTATTTTTTGGAGTACACAGTCTGTGCGTTTATAAGCAATCTGATTAAGATCTTCATCCAATCACAGACGTGAATTTTACCATAAAAGATGTAAAACAGAAACGACGCATAGCTTTTGATAGATTTCTGTCTTAATTCAAATTCTAAAGCTTGGATATTTTGCCGTATTGCTGAAAAAATACATACATCTTTATATCCAAAATTTGAAGTTAATTTATTATGTTTTGGTTGAATAAACAAGCAAAATATACACTTTTTTTCACGTTTTTAACCATTTGAGATAGATTATTTTTGCTAATAAATATCTTTTCTACATAATAATATGGTCTAAAACTTTTACTGAAACGTTTTTTTACTATTTTCTATTGATATAAAGCATTTGCAAGTGATTTTTACTAATATTTTCAAATTGTTGTTTTTTTGTTCAATCTTTCACAAATGAAATGTACAGAACTTTTGTAATTCACTCATTAAACGTGATTCAAAAAATATTGCAAAACAAACAAATACTCACTTTATGCAGAAAAAATCAACAAAACCAACCATCTTACTCTCATATTTCTATCTATTTTTTTGAACGAGTTATGAATTTTTTAAAAATAAAAAAAAAAGAAAATGAAAAGTTATGGACAAATGTTCTTCCACTTTTGCATGATTTTTCTTAGTGAATAAAGACAAGTGATTATACTGGATGGGGACAGGGTGTTACACACAGAAACGATGGATGTCTGCCGGACAAGTTAAAAGTAGTCACGCCTCTAATTATCTGCCGGACTACTCACTATAAGCTTGTGTAACACCCTGTCCCCATCATCCAAAAACCCCCTGTCCCCTAAGATTTTCGTTCATTTTATTTTCCAACTATATGTTTTACTATGTCAACATACAAAATTACACAAATTCTTGAACGTCTGGCATACTGAGAAGAGTCTAATGCTTTACTAAGATCTAAAGTTTCTTTATTGGAAGATAGGCGCAAATCTTTAACCGAAGATTCTGAAATGGAACTAGCTCTGTCGACTAGAGACAATGCTCCAAATGCAATTCTGTTGTTACCTACAACTAGTGACTGTGATATCAAACGCCCCTCATCTCAAGGGAAGCCAGACGGTTGGAATCAGTCAGTTAAATGTTTCAAGAAAGTGTCGGCTGCACATTTTACCGGAGACGATCTCATCAAAGCTGAACAAGTGTACAGGGTAGTGGGGAAGATTGCTCAAGAGCTAGTCCACTACTCCTTCTCTGAGTACAGTGCCAATAATATAGCTATACCGTCATGGGGTAGTCTGACAGATGACCAAAAGGCAATAATGAGCAGCAGTCTTGAAAAGAATGCAACCCTAAAAAGCATTGCTCTTCACAGATCCAACAATTCTTGAAGAGCATTGCTTATACTCTCTTACAAGTGGAGAACTGCCAAATATCATGGAAGATCTTATTAATAAGTAAAGTACTTATAAATATAAAGTCATTCATAGGTTTAATCACAACTAATACAAATCAACTGTTTTGTTTTGTTTATTAGAGTAGATAATTCTATAACTACCTACCATTGACATCTAGCTAGAATTCATATAAATACCCATTGCGCTTGATCCTCTACAGATCAAGCGAGCAACACATTAGATAAAGGTATCCTTTCTTCTTTGTCTTGTCCTTTTTATCTGTTACTCTCTGTCTGGCCGTGTTCCTGTCAGCATTAGTGATGAAGAAGCAAATTGGAACACCCTTATTCGTAATGTTGCCTCTCAAAATATTTGTATAGAGATACAAGTGCTTGTCTGACCCCACCAAAGTCTTAAATGTTTTATGAGTGGAGTCAATGCACGAATAATCGGCTGTCTCAAGAATTTGTTTGAAAATTATTATTATTCTATTGCAAGTGTCTATTAGGCCAAATGTTACCTTCTTCTTCCTGAGAGATATTCAGGAGAGCAGTCATGGGCCGCTGCCATCATGGAACTTTATATGGGTAAGTCTGCCCTTTTCATTATTCAAGAATAGAATTTATTCCTCTACACTGGTCTTGTCAGCTGCATTCAGTCCGGAATTCCTGTTCAACCGAACATTAATGACATTCTGCACACCATGGTAGTTGATACGCAGAGACATCTGAAAGCTATAAAATTGCAAGACCAGCTTCAAGCTACAGAACAAAGCAGTTAGTAAGTCAGATAAAAAGAGAATCTATTTACTATCTCTTCCAAACGCTAAGAATCGATGTGAAGCAGGGTTTTGATCGTCTTCCAATCCATATTGTTATCCACGTGGAAAATAATCCTTGGCTTCATCTCGGCTAGAAGTCTTGAATGGACCACATCCAGGACCTTGTCAGGCTGATGAGTATCATACTGCCACAAGTACTCAATGGAAACCTATCTGTCATGGAAGGTCTTTCTGGTAATTTTGGCCTTACAGCCATCTTTGATAGATTCCGTACAGACTCTTTTGGCTTTGGGCTTGTCTTCAGCCTTTTCCTTATGTTTTCTTGGCAAGCCATGATGATAGCATGCCAAGTACAAAGTCCGTACAGCCGCTTTTGGGCTACTAGTGCTGTAGGAAGCCTTGAACACGTGCGTGTTAATAAAATTCCAGTTAGAGTGTCTCATGGCAGCGGTTTCGAACTAATGGGCAAAAGCAGCTTTATTTTTAAAGGTTTCCGAAGCCTTGGGATTCTCATGCTCATATTTTGGAGCAAAGCGAATCACATTCTCATTGTCACTGTCGTTGTTGATGAAGTTAGTGTTGTTTAAGCTCATTATGAGTGTAGATTTGCTTTGCTTAGGTAAAAGTAATAACGCGCCTGAAATTAAAAGTAATAATAATAAGGAGAAGTATAGTTTATGCCGAATCTGCCGAATTCTTTCAGGTTTAAGAAAAATGTGACGGCTTGTAATTTGTAGTAGATAAACTTATCGCCTCTTACGTATTGCGGACTATGAAATATTATATACTAAATAAGCAAAAGGTCTTTTCTCTCTTTCTCTCTCTTTAGGTTTGAGACGCGCACTACTTTACTATGAACAACACTTCATCGACAGACATTGTTGAATGGAATCAATTGTGGCATGCAGTTCGAGAAAATCCAGAGGATTTTCAGTCCTGGGAACAACTTATTCGAGTTGCTGAATTGACTAAAGGAACAACTACTCTCCGTAATGAGTCTCAAGTGGAAACAGTCTATGACAGTTTTCTGACAAAGTTTCCACTCTGCTTTGTCTATTGGAAGAAATATGCAGATTGGAAGATGGATATATATGGGGAGGCCGAGGCAGAAAAAGTTGGGTTTTTTCTTTATTCTATTCTATTTTTTTTGTTTTCATTTCTGTGTATAAGAAGAGTTACATTTTCAACTTGGATTGTTTGAATTTATTCATATTTGTCTATTGTTGGATTGTATAGGTTTATGAACGAGGAGTTTCTGCTATTCGAAACTCGATTGACCTATGGAATCATTATTGCGACTTTGCACAAAATCAACCTGGAAAGGATGTTCGAGAGTAGGTGGCTGTTTCTATGATCCCCCCACCCCCATCCCTTCGCCCTCTTCTTTTTTTTCTATTACTTCACAGTATAGTGTATCATTAAGCATCAGACAAAAGAAAGCAAACAAAAGATAAGGAAATATTGGGAAAGATGAATGGTCAAAATGGCTAGAACTTGTTAGGCAAGGTCTGGATTTTTTCTTTCGACCCGCAATTTGCTCTATGTCTTTGTCTGTGTCGATTTCTGTGTCGATTTCTTTGTCTCTGTCTCTGTGGATATCTTTGTCAACGACTATGACTATGTCTTTGTCTATATCTTTGTCTATATCTTTATCTTTATATATATCTATATCTCTGTCTCTCTGTCTCTTTGCCTATATTTTGTTCCATGGGTGGAAAAAAAAGATAGTATACCTCAAGGAGTGGAGAATCAGCATACAACCATACAGCCACACACATACAAACATACACACAAAACACACCTACATGAGCTTTCTTATTTGTCGTATGAATTGCTATGGCTTTGTTATATCATAAATCGGACCCTTTGTCAGCTCACCTGCTTCTTATTTTTCTTCCAATATTTTGGGGTAGATTATTTGAACGCGCAGCCAAAGACGTAGGTCTTGACTTTTTCTCACATCCTTTTTGGGACAAGTACCTTGAATATGAAGAAATCCATGGCACTAGTTCTCTGAGCGTACTTCATCTATTGGATCGTATAGTTGTAATCCCAATGCATCAATATGCTCGTTATTATGAAAAGTGGCGCCAATTGAGAAGCACTCTTTTGCTAGAAGACGCCTTGGGCCCTGATGTATTAGAGATACAGATGGAAACCATCAAAAAAGAAAAGTGTGACATCTCCGAAGATGATATGAAAAAAGCATTAAGAGTTCGTATGGAGGACGATGAACAAAGTGTGTACAACAAAACTCAAGAAGAAACCAACAAGCGATGGGTGTTTGAGGCAGAGATAAAACGAACATACTTTCATGTGAAGCCGCTTGACAAACCCCAGCTACTCAACTGGAAAAAATACTTAGACTTTGAAGAATCAGCTGGGAATTCACAGCGTATCAAGGCGCTTTACGAAAGATGTCTTGTTTCTTGTGTATGTAACTACACAATACAGAAAAAGGAATAAGAAAGAGAAAGACATTTATAGATACATATAAGAAAAGAAAGAATAATAATACTAACAAATGTCATTGTTATGTACAGGCAGAATATGAAGATTTCTGGTTATGTTATGGCCATTGGTTAATATCCCACGAATTTCTGGAAGAGGCCAAAATAGCATACGAGCGGGCAGTCTACACTTTTCTAGCCAGTGACAAGTTTAAGATCAAGATTGCGTTGGCTTGCTTACTTGAGGAAGAAGACAATATTGAAGAAGCAAGAAAGATATACAGCACTACTTTAGAGAAGTGTAGGTATTTGGCTGAAAATTTAATTTATCGTAAATGCTTAATATATATATATATGTACATATATATATATTTGTTAGATCCAAACCAGACAGAAACTATTCTCAATTATATTTACTTTGAGGGTAGACAAAATTCGCAGCAGTTTGAGCCTTTAATCAAGAAATACATCGACTCTGCCACATTAGATAACTCGTCAAAATCATACTTTATTGTTCAATTGGCAAGACATTACCAGCAAGTAAGCGCATATACGTACAGATATACAGCCTACGGTCATTAAGAAAGCTAATCCCAATCTAATTAGAATGGTCAATCTGACAAGGCACGAGATATTTACTTATCTGTCACACAACAATATCCAGAAAGCAAATATGCCTGGTTAAATTATATAAATTTTGAGCAGAATTACTTTGGTAAGTACTGTGTGTGGGATATATAGGGTCCGTTGTTTACCGAGCAACTGAACTGATGCGTGCATAAATGTGCATAATATTTATTTTGTATCTATGTGTAGACCTTAAAGCGAAAGAGGAACATATCCAGCTGGCTTTTGACAAGGCCCGTAATTGTAAATCGCTAGAACCTGATTTTCGAGCTGATGTTCTCCATCGATACAAAAAGTATATTTTGGAACGTGGGCTGTCAGTACGATTACTCAATCGAGTTTCGCCCACGTTGTCGCAATTGAGTGGAGAGTCTGGTATTAAACGTGGAGCAACAGAAGAGAATCGATATATTCCTTACCCAAAGCAAGCTCGGTATGACTCTACTCCTACGAGTTCAGCAAATATCACTGTACTTGCGTCTGTGCCTATTCCGAATGACATATCTTCTACAAAAACTGATCCGGCGTCATATTATTCTGGTGCACACACATATGGATATCCGTACCAAGCGCAAGGCTCTTATGGAGCTGATTATTATGGTCATTCAGCAGCGAACTGGCAAGGTTAGAAGGTGCAGAGCTCAAGATATATATATATATATATATATACGTAAAAGCACAAATTGTATAGAAATAAATAAACCAAAAAAAGAAAAAAGAAAAGAAAAGTGTAATACTTGTTGTGAGCTTCCAAGTGAGAAATATAGCCGAGTTTTATACAACATTTTTATTATTATTATTATTTTGTTTTTTTTATAGTAAATTGATAAATTGTGGAATAGCCAAGAAGTACAGCAGATTTATGAATTGATCATTATGATAGAAATTAGATCCAATGTAATTCGGTTCAATTCAATTCAATCCAATTCAAGTCTATTTTAGATCCTTCAGTTTGGAATGAACCCTGTATAATAAATCTCGGGATACAAATATTTATTTATTTACTTTCTTGGTCGGCCATTGATGAAGTGGTGCCAGATTGAATTTTTAGACAACGTCCTTGTTGATTTGATACATTATCATCATGATTGATAGAATGATTTTAATTGATCCAAATTAACCCTAGTTGTGTCTACAATTTCAAGTACTGGTTCCTTCAATTCCCCTTCTACCCTGTCTAATTTATTTCTTAATTGATTATTGTTTTTGTTCTTGTCAACAAACGTTAGAGCAAGAAGTACATATATATATGAAACATGACATTATAATAAGTAAAATAAAAAAAGATAGTAAAAAGCAAATAAAAGAAAAGTCTGAAGAACAAAAAGTACAAATCACTGAACAAGAGATGCAATAGTTTCCAAATTGGTGATTGGATTGGTATGCTATGTTGGCTTGTATATCAAGCCAAACAGAACCCAGCAAGCAGCAAGAATGTTAGATCAAGTCTTCAAATATCATTGCATGTGTTTCTGTCTGTCTGTCTGTCTGTGCGTTGACATACTAGTATTTTTTCTTAAAAAACACACACAGAACAATCTGTCTATAAAAGCAACAATATCGGATCCTCTTCATTTGAACTCCCCCTTCCACAACATTTCATTTCATTTCATTTATAATAAATTATTATTATTACACAGCAACAACAATAACAACAACTATGAGAACCGCAATTCAATCTTCGACTCAACGTGTGGAATCCCTATTTGAATCTATTGGAAAGCCTTTTAAACCTTATCTCCCGGCCATGAGCCGATTTATGGTGGTAGCAACTTTCTATGAAGATGCCTTCCGCATCATTCTACAATGGCATGATCAGAAAATGTATCTCGAAAAGGCCCGTCACTTTCCAAGTGCTGTCTCGCCCCTGTTTTTAGGGTTCAATGTGATGGTAAATAGATATTAAAGCAATAATATATATAGCAAGAACTTAACCCGGGATGTAGTAATATAACGTATTCTAACCCCTTCTCCCCTTGCCTTGCCCTGCCTTGCCCTGCCTGTTTTTTTTTGTTATGAAAACAAAAGGCAATGCTAATGTGTTCAACATGTATCATCTCCAAACGTGCCGTTGGTCCATCTGTAGCTGTACTTGCAGCTGTGGTTGCAGCACAGGCTATTGCATATGGTCTTGTATTTGATATGGTAAAAAAACGAAAAATTATTCAATGTAACAATTTACTTACTTTATCACCATCGTTATTTATCATTTAAATAGCTATTCTTTTTGCGCAATCTGTCAGTGACGGGTGGTTTATTGCTTTGCCTTTCAGAATCAATCCTCCGACGACGATCGAGTAAATCGGTATTTGCATCCTTACCCCAGCTATCCGAAAGCGAACGTCACAAATACTTCCAGTTGGCTGGACGTGTATTATTGGTATTGCTGTTTATTGGTTTCATTTTCAACGGCACCTGGAATATGCTTCGGATTATCGTGTCTGTGATGGGATTGCTGGCGTGTGGTATGGTCGTGGTCGGTTTCCGTGCCAAATGGTCGGCTACTTTCCTCGTCTCACTTTTGTGCGTTATGAACTTTTTGGTGAACAATTGGTGGTCAGCTCACCACTCCAATTACAAGCGCGACTTTCTCAAGTACGACTTTTTCCAGACTCTGAGCATTATGGGAGGTCTTTTACTTCTGATATCTATTGGTCCTGGAGGCTTAAGTTATGATGAAAAGAAGAAAGAATATTAACTACATAGACAAAGCACAAATATATATATATATGCTATATATTATATTACATCCTCTAATACCCAACACTTGAATAATAAAAATATCATACAGCATCTACACATCTATTTTGGTAACTGAATAAAGCCTACCCAATCACGGCCTAGACCATATAAAACACCATTCCTCCGCAGGAGTTTACTTTACAGCTTAAAAATTAAGCGTTTTCCAGGAAACTAAAGAAGGAGGAAAAAAAAACAAAATTTGGACCCTTTCTTCCCTCCTTCTTCTCTCTTCCTTTCTCTCTATCTTTACACTTTTTTTTAAAAAAAAAAAATAACAATTTATATGAGTCTTTCTCTCAACACTTTCCAAACCACGAATTCTCGTGTTGACGTGACTTACAAACTCACTGGACAACCAGAACCTGTCCAACTCAGTGGTGTCGTTGTCCGTCCGGGAACTCCTTTTAACAATGGCACTATTGTAATCACCACTCACACCTTACCTCACAGTACAAAGGGAATCGTCTTAGCCATTGACATTCAGGCCCTCAAAGAACTCGAGCTGGTTCATTTCGAAGCCAAGTACTCTGTAGACCTTACAGAGCAGCGTATGCTTGCAAACGGTTTCCAAAGTTGGAGTCAGGCCCGAGAGATGGATCAAAATGATAAAATCCCTTCTATTCGTTCATCTATTGCCTGGTATACCCAATACAACTTACAAGGGTAATACATACTTTTTCTTATGATTATAATGATGCTCACTTGTCCTCCACTTCAAAGCACTTCATACCTCTTCCCTCTCTCTCTTTTGGTAATTATTAATTTCTTTCTTTTTCTTACTTTCTGTCAGAGATTATGACTTTTTTCCTCATTCTGGCGAAAAGGGACAGATCCACTCCAGTAGTTACACGCATTTCCGGGATATACATAACGTCCTGCGTTTCTTTGGATCAATCTCCGAGTCACTTGGTTACACTTATTTTAAGAGTGACTATAACAACAACATTTTGTCTGTCTACAAAGACGTATTTGGCAAGACTATCGCCCCTAACCAAACTCTTGAGCTGATCCGCATCTTTATTGGGGAGAGCAACCAGGAGGGTGCTCTGTGGGACATGTATGGTGCGTTTTTTGAAGACAAGCGGTGTCTCAAGGGAAACACGGCCCAGCGCCATGTCAACGGCTGGACATCCTGGTACAACTACTACGGCGACGTGAGCGAAGAGATCGTGTTCGAAAATGTGGACGCCCTGGTGAAACACAAGTACCCCATCAATGTTTTCCAGATCGACGACGGCTTCCAGACTGCAATCGGTGACTGGCTATCGATCAACAAAAAGTTCCCGAGTGGCATGAAGAGTGTTGCATCCAAAATCAAGGGTGCTGGCTTTATGGCTGGACTATGGTTAGCCCCTTATGCTGTCGGATTTAACAGTAATGTTGCTAAAAAGCACCCCGACTGGCTTATTCAAGATCCTATAACCAAGAAACCCGTCGTAGCCGGACCAAACTGGGGAGGCTTCTATGCTTTGGATATGTATCACCCCCAGGCTCGCGAGTATCTCCGTGAAGTATTCCATGTCGTTCTTGAAGACTGGGGCTTTGATATGGTAAAACTGGACTTTTTGTTTGCAGCGGCCATGATCCCGCGCCTCGGAAAGTCAAGGGGTGAAATCATGTGGGATGCTATGGAGCAGATTCGTGAATTGGTTGGTCCCGATAAGCTGATCCTTGGCTGTGGTGTACCTCTTGCAGCAGCATGGAGAAAGGTTGACTATTGCCGCATTGGCTCTGATGTATCTCCTTGGTGGGAAGGTAAAACTTAAAGGAAATGAAATCAAGACAATATAATAGAATAGCTTTTGTTTAAACATTTTATTATTATTTGACTGGATTAACCAAACAAGAAAAACATTTTTCGATTTAATTTTTATACTTAGACACCAAGCTCAAGCTTCTTCACGTTCGCGAGCGTGTGTCTACTGCAAACTCTTTGGTATCGACTCTCTCTCGATGGGCAATGTCTGACCGTATGTTTGGTAATGACCCTGACGTTATGATTCTGCGTAACAAGAAGAACAAGCTCAAGCCATCCGAACGTTACACTCTCTGTGTTCTCAATAATATTCTTGGCGCACTCGTATTCAGTTCAGACAATGTGGGTGATTATGGTAAGGATGAACATCTGCTCTATGCTGCCACGTTCCCCAAGGTAGTTGCGCATGTAGAGAGCGTGATCGAGTTCAGACCCGAGATGTTCTTGGTGCATTTTACGGTGGCAAACAAGGGTGGGGAGCCTCGTCACTATACCACTATATCCAACATGACAGGAGAGAGCCAGACTTGCTACTTGCCTCCTTCAGACGACGAAACCCACCTTTACTTTGCAACCAATGATTCTATGCACATGACAAAGCCAGACAAGCGCGAGCCCTTGTTCTACCACCCCTCGTCACGTTTTACCCTTGAAGAGCATGAAACAAAGACATTTTTGCATATCCCTCCTCCTTCTCCTGAAAACAACGGAAAGGTTACTCTAATGGGATCCACCAGCCACATTGTCCCTGGTGCCGAAGTTGAGTTGCTTGATTTGGCTCCAGATGGCTCTGTGCAGATTAAGTTTAGAAAGGAAAATCAGCGTCAGCGTAAGGTGTATATATGTCTTGGCAACCAGTACTTTGCCACTCGCGCGGCACCTTCGGCTTGTAAGGTGAACGGTGTTATGGTTCCTGTTGAAATTCACCCTATTAGTGGAAATGGCGAAGGTCGTACAGAGACTGAAGTGGCTGTTGCCGTGGTCGAGGCTTAAAAACCCAAATGATAATAAGGAGTAATGATAATAATAAGAATAAGAATAGTATATTTTTAGCTTGTATATATATATAACAGTATACACATTTAATAAATACAACAAACAGTGTTTGGATACGAAGAAGTTCTATAGTATAAGATAAACAAGAGCTATTTTGTGGTAAGAAATACTTTTTTTGGTCTTTTTTTTTTTGGTATATTGTTTTGTAGAACCTGTGTTTGCTTTCTCGGTTTTTTCTTTAGAATAGAGAGAGGCGGAACAAGGGTAATACGAAAAAGCATGATACGTACACTATAGCTTAACTGACAAATTAATTTTTTTCTTAAAAAAACATCCCAGCCAAATGCAAACGCATATTCAAATTCAAATTCAAACAGACTGCATAACGCTTTAAATATTTAACCATGCTAATGTATAAGTAAATAAATGAATACTACTACTACTACTACTACTACTACTAATGACAGTAATTGATTTGTATATTTTATTTGTCAAGTCTTTCATAATTTGTATGTGTGTGTTTTTTAGCGATTACATTTGAGCAAAAAAAATATTTCAAGAGTTTCTGTGTTTCATACGAATCTTGAAACTTGAAGATGCCAGTGTCAATGTTATGAAATAACGAGTTTCTCTTGCAACTTCCATCTCTTCTGAAATAGGTTCAATGTCATAATGCTTTATAATGGTAGATATAGCAAGACGCATCTCGTTCATTGCAAACTCTTTTCCTACACAATTTCTTGAACTTAGGCAAGTAAAAGTAAGCCACATATTCTAAGCAAGCGTTATAAATATATAAAATTTTACCCTGCACTGAATGGGTTGTAGGCACCCATATCTGGCTTTGGATCAGCATTTGGAAGCCATCTCTCGGGTTTAAATTCCATAGGGTCTGACCAGTAGTCAGGATGGGTCTGTGCAATACCGGTATAGCATCTTACTGTAGTCTAGAAAATGAAGATCGATGAAGTCACTGCGTTATATCGAAGCTTCTAAAGAGAAAACTTACTCCACTTGGCACATAAATGTCTCCTTTAATAACAATATCTCGAGTCACTAGTCTTTCAAGGCCGTTTGAAGGAATAGTATTTAGTCTCATTGTCTCGTTTATCACGGCATTGAGGTAAGGCAGATTTCTGAGTTGACATTGATGAAATACTTGTTTTCCATCTTCTAGCTCAATGGCATCAATCTCTTGGCGGAGTCTGTTCAGAGCGCTCTTGTTACGACACAACTCTATCATACTAAATCCAATTGTATTGCTTGTTGTCTCTGCACCAGCAACCAAAAATAATGTTGTTTCTACGACAATATCATCTGAACTCAAGCGATCTTCTTCCTTGGGGGCTTGTTGAGTATTGATCAATATTTGAATAATGTCATCACGCCTTTGCTTGTTTTTAACACGTTCTTTGATAAGATTTGTGACAAACTAAAGTAAAAGGTAGGTTACAATAAAAAGCAATGAAATTATATTCTAATTTTTATTTTTCGGGTTATGATGTAAGCCTAATATAATATGATAAGCACTTACATTCACTAGGTCAGGGTTTTTCTTGACCTTCCTGAGGAGTATGAGTTTTGCAATCCATGGGTGATTGATTACCTGTTTAGTACAATTGACTCAATAAGCTTTAAAATAAAATGTGTATGTATGTGTGTGTGTTTTGCATATTACACTTACAAAATCAATACCTCTCAATAGCTTTCCGACAGATACGAGCATAATATGATCATTGTTGCTCAGCATATTGAATGTACCTCCCAATGATGTTTCGCCGATAATATCGAATGCAAGGCACCTTAGTAGCCACCATATATCGACAGTAGCAAAGTCGGTATCTTGCTTATTAGCCGCAATCTCTCTGTTTATTCTCTTGATAAAATCATCTGTAACAGTCTCAAAGAGAGGTTCAAGAGATTTTATGTACTTGATTGAGAATGCAGGAGAAACTAACCGCCTCTACATATGTATATATATATAAAATTATGTATTAATTTTAAGCTAACTCATTACATATATATATATATGTATGTATATTGTTAATACTTGCCCTTTGCTTATGAAAGATCTTGTCGGTTGTATCAAGCATGCTGGCACTGGTACCATCTGAATTTTAATATACAATATGTTAAAATTACAAGACCAGGTGGAGGAGGGAAATGAGGGAGTAAAAATTATAGAATTGTGCTAATACAAGACTTTGAAGCTTACTTTGAAATCTTGTGTAGGATGGACCTTTTTCAAAGTCTTCAGTAACCAATACTTGTTTAATGATGTCTTTATCAGACACAGATATTGCTTTAGGACCAATACGAACAACGTGTCCATATTTCTGATGGTACGTTATAACCTTTTTGAATCTATATATATATATTTTTTAAAAAAAAGATTAACACATTTAATTACATGTTTGTTGTTTTACTCTTGTTATATATCCCATTGCCTTGTCTTTATTTTTGATCATTTTATTCATTAACATATATAAAGCATATTTTACCTCTGACCTGGTTTTGTACCAAAGAACAATTCAGATCCTGAAATAAATTTCTCTGCAAAGGGACCAGGGATTCTACTAAGAGGACCAAAGAATGCCCAGTACATTTTCTATATATTTATTTATTATTTAAAAAAAATTGAAATTATTAATTACAAAAGCCATAAAGGTAAAAATGACTCTTATTTGTTCTCTTTACTTTCGATATAGCCTGAAGACATAATAACAAAACTACTGATTTTACAAGGTTTGTAAATGCAGATTTGTAATGTTTAACAGACAGCAGCTGGACTGTTTTAGTCAAGTTATTCATAATTAAATTAAAAAAGCTTTCTTGTTTTATGGAATATAAATGTGCGTTAAAGGAGGGGTGAAAAGAAATAAGTATATAATTATATTCTATTTTTCCTACGCTTTTAAATATCAACTTTTTTTTCGGTTTTGTTTTTGTTAAATTATACTTGAATTATTCTGGGATACCAGGCCTTGATAAATATAAAATGTATTCTCTATTCTGTTTTTTTTTACCACGCCCAACATCTGAGACACCATCTAAGCCCAAGTGTGAATTATGTATGTATCATCAATTTATCTTAAATAATTTACAGCAAGCTATATAAGTACAAATTGGCAACTTTTAGAAGCCTACAAAATAATCCGCTTGAATCAAATTATCCTGATTTTATTTTATATTTTATTTATAAAAATAATAGTAAACACTGTGAAAAACAATATATAAATATTTTTTTTAAAAGAAATAGGGTATTTTTATGACTTCAAAATCGTATACCTGTAATCAGTAAATTTATATATATTTGGTTTTTCTTTCAAATTATAAATACGACAAAATCAAATTAGCTCAAATTAATATTAGCATTATTATTTTTACATTGTACTTTTTGATCAGAAAAAAAATGGTATTTACATATACTATTTATTACAAATTTTAACCTGGGCCTTGAATTAGTGAGAAGTCCACTGACTAAGCAATCTTTGCGAGTTGATAAGTTAACCATATTGAAATCGTGATTAGCAGCACTATAATATTGATCAAATATAGTTATGATAATTTTTTGGGATTTTTTGTATTTCACTCAACTAGACAAGTGCTTGCACCTCTGTCACATATTAAAAAAAAGTATTTCACTCAACTACTGCGTGTGTGCGATAATATTAAGCTACTTATTTGTTATTCCTCAGTCCTATGTAAAATAGAATACATATAAAATAGAACACTTTGTTATAACCTCTAATACACACACATATATATATATATGACTGTTATTTTATTTCTTTACACTAGAGCTATTATGTTTGAAAATTGCCGCAAACTATTATAGGTAATTTATCATGAATATCTATATCTTCAAAAAGTTGGAATATAAGCATGTAATTTAGATTCTGCCTTTAAATTCTCTGTAAATATTCTTATCGTTTTACAACCACATCACTTAAAGTCTACTATCCATTCAATAAACTGTTCGACTTATTTTTACATATTAATTGTAATATATAGTAACTAAACTTTTCATAGCGAAGAGTTACATAAAGCTTGAGGGGAAGGGGGTGTTCTACTTTGAAAAAGTATGCTAATTATTTATTATTTATTCATTATATAGGTCTATGAATTCATCACAAAAAAGATGTGTGTGTGGGTGGATTTTGAGTACCAGACGTGGCACAGCGGAGGTACAAATATCAAGAGAGGCAAATTGAATAGTAAGAAAAAGAAAGTCTTTATCGATTGATATATATAAACGTATTATTCTATCTTTGATAAATAACACTCTCACAGTATCTACTTTTCCTTCTATTAATATACTAACCAAAAATTAGTTCCGAGCATCTCGAATATTATTTTAACTTTCATTAATAAATAACACTCTCACAGTATCTATTTTTTCTAATATTGATATACTAATCCAAAATCAATCACGAGTACTTTAATTGCAATGCAGTATAATATTTAAATAAAATTATAACTTGGAATAAGAGGATTAATCACTTGCTATCAAATAATAATAAAAAGTTAAAGACTAATTGAAAACTTGTAAAAAAGCAAAAAAAGTAAAGTAAAGTAAAGTAAAATAATTAATTTAAATTTCAAATGCCCAGTCTTTTTGGTAGATTACAGGACATTTTTTGAACTCAAACGATCTAAGCTGTTTTTAGTAATTTAAAAACACCTGGGAGCGTGGCATTTTTGTGAGGCTAGCAATTCTCCTACACAAAAAAAAATGCGACGGTGTTTCAATATATTGTTTCTCCTAATGTCGTATAATCAAAAAAGTAAATTTTTTTCACTTCGGAATTAAAAGCGTACTTTAGAAAAAACATTTACTAAACGGTCTATTTTTCTATGTGCTACAAGTAAAGTAGCAAAAAAGGTCGGCAAGTGAAAATTAAATAGTTGGATTTCACATAGTGTTGCCCTTTGGTGTGTGTGTGTGTTTTTTTTTTTTTTTTAAAAAAATAACTAAATCATTTTAACTTTGTTTTGTACTATCTATGCTGTAGAGCTCTAGTATATATATATATATATATTAAAATACATATTCTAGAAAATACAGCCACAGAGATTGATATTATACTCATTTTTTTTACTATTCTTTTCAAGAGCAATTCAAGCATCCAATGGACTTGATTAAGTTATATGATATTGTTATAATAGCTACCTTTTTTAAAATTAAATAAGTTTAAATAAAAATGTTTAGAAGCTGTATGTAGCAAGCCTAATCACAATTGAGAATAAGCTTTTGAACCAATCTTCCAATCATTGTATCGTTGATTGTTTTTATCAAAGTCGAACACAGCTTTTCCAATAATTTCTATTTCATCAATATTTTCAAACAATTTTGCAATAAAATTAACAATGTCTGCAATATCTCCACTTTTGCCAATAAACCATTCCAATGTATTTTTTCTTAGGAATAGGCCTTTGATAATGTTTTGTAGAAGTATAGACCTCTGGAAATTCGATTGAATATTTCAGATGCATGTTTTGCTGTCGAGTCTTCAGTTTGGTTCAAGCCATAAAAGAATAAATTGAATACTGCATAAAGCTGATAAATGTGTCTTTTGGTGTATTCCGAAGAGCACCTACACCTTGAATATGTCTCGGTCCGATAAAACCTCGATCTGATTTGTTTTACTTGTTCTCAAAGTTCGTAGGTGTACAGCCTATCGCATTTTTTTTAAGTAATAAACGTGCCTTTTTAATAGACTTTTCGTACAGATATATTCTTGTATATAATTAAAGTTCTATGTATGTGTGTATATAAAGAAAAGAAACAAAAGGTCGGATACTATTCTAACTTGATTTTCTTTTCTCCAATTTTAATTTTAATTAATGTTATTATTATTATTATTATTATTATTTATAATTGTTATTTATGCTCTTTTGAATCTGTTCTCTTTTATTTACGACCCTTCTTGCGCTTGCTTGCTTCAAGGTTAGGTGCCGAGACCTTGACTTTGCTCATCATAGTGTTAATTGCTTCCATGTCCGGTACACTTTTAATAAGCTCTTTTTCTCTTTGAGTGGAATCCGTTGAAGTTAAGAAGACATTCTGGGCTTGCTTGATGGCTAAAAAAATATACCAGTAAATATGTAAATACAAAGAAGTGTTCACTTTATGAATAAAAATATTTACCTTTGCCACGTTTAAGTGAACCAGGTGTCAGCTTCACTTTGTATTTGTACTTCTGTAGTGAATTGTATGGAGCACACACTGGGATTGCAAAGTGAATAATGTCCTCCGGTAAAGGATTAGGCGTAAGGGAGTCCAGAACAGACAAGTTTGCCTGTAATTATTATATGTATTAAAATACTGATGTTTTCGATATTCTCAATAAAGCTTGAGAGGCACACGTACCACTTCATCAGCTTCCAACATGGTGATGTTTTCTTCTTTTAACATCTGTCGAATAGCTTCATTGTCCTTTTCATCCACACCATCGACCTAAAGGAAGAATAGAATAGAATAGAATAGAATAAAATAAAACAGTTAGTATTAGTGTTGGTATCAGTGTAAAATAAAGCAATATTATTATTCTTTTTTTTCTTTTTTTTTCTTTGCTGGTCCATACCTTTATATTATCGTCATTATCAACAAAGGCATTATCTTTAGTTACAGAAGCCTTCTCATCTTCTTCTTCCTTCTCCTTTGCCCGAGCTTGGTCTTGCATTTTCTTTTTGTCTTCTCTTTCCTTGGCCTTCTCAATTTTCTCAGCCTTTTCCTTGGCCTCCTTTTTGGCCTTTTTGCCCTTTGGTTGAGGTCCTTTGTTGGACTTTTTTTTTTTAAAAAAAAAAGAAAAAGAAAAATAAGTACATTAAACTACAGTGATTTTTAATTTAACAATTTTTCGTATCTTACTCCTAGTAATTCCATGCGAATACGTTGCTCTTCTTCGTCCTGATCACCGTATTTTTCCTTGATCTTCTTTGCCTTTCCTTTACGACCACGTGAAGGAGGTATGGGTGCTGATTTGATATCCTAATAGAATCAATGCCTCAGTATTTCAATTTCAATTACTCTTTATCTTATTGCTACTACTACTGGTTTTGTTTTCATTTTATTCTCGAACTTTTTCGTTTTTTTTTGTTTTTTGTTTTTCTTGTTACGCCTGTGATAGTGCTGTTTTTGCCACTATTTACCTTTGCAGTAGTCTTTGTAGGTTTCTTGCCATTTTGTTTTGGCTGAGGTGCTGCTGCTGGTGAACTTTCTTTTATTCCCTCGCCTTGCTTATCTTTCTTCAATTGGCGACGTTCTTTTGCAGTTATGGATTTCTTTGTCTATTTTCCAAATAGAAAGATAATAAAAGAAAATTAAGAGATTAATTAATAAATATGTATATTATTTTTCTATCAAATCTATAGAAATAATACATACCACTACATTTGCAGCCTTTTGAGAGTCCACTGAACCTAAACGACTCTCTTCGGTTTCATCTTCTCCATAATCTTCAAGATCGTACTTATTCCAAGTCTTGGACTGTGGAGGAGCACTAGGGACAGATTCAAGTTGAGTATCTGGGAAAGCGTCTTCATCGTCACTGCTGTCGGAATCCTCATCAGAAATTGATTCATTATCATTCTCATCTTTTTCAGACAATTTATCTAAGCAAAAAAAAGGGGGGCAAAATAAATTAGTTTATCATTCAAGCTTTTCTTCTTCTTCTTCTTGAAAGCCAAAAACCATATATATATTACCAGAGGCTACAGGAGAGTTTGTTTTTTCATTGTTCGCATCTTCTATAATACTAGAAACTGTCTTCTCATCATCGTTATCATCGTTATTATCCTGCTGTTGTTTTGTCTCTGAAAAGGTATGATCTACGTTATCGTCTCCATTTTCAGCTTCCAGACGCAGCCTTTCGCTAACGTGGTTTCCAACTGATGATTCATCGAGTTTGAATAGATAGCCAAATCCATATACTAGCTGAACAGGCGGCAAGAAATTCTTTTTTCCTCGAATCATAAAACTTCCAGTGGATAGATATTCGCCAGTAGGTGCTGATTTGGAAACCTGGTCTGCATAGACCCAGTATGCACTGGTAACAATTTTTGCATCCCATGCCTTACTTTGACACACTGACATCGTTCCTGCTTGATAAAGTGTACTTGGAGGAATTGGCTGTCCGGCTTCCTGGGGTTTGTTCTTAACGATCACAGAAGCCGCGCCATGAAGATCAGCATGAACATACACATCGTCTATTGAAAAAAACCCCCCCCCCCCCCCGTTTATATATATTAATTTTTTGTTTTTTTTTAAAAAAGAAAGAAAGGCGGAAAGCTTATTCAGACACATAAAAACACGTACCTTTGGAAAGATAACGCTTGACTAGCATTTCATTCTGTTGCATATCACGGCCAGCGATAATAAGATGTCCTTCGGTAGAGATGAACCACAAAAACTTTTCGAACCAAAATGGTTTTCTGATCTTATTGATGCTAGCTGTAATCTTTGTTTCCTTTAAATCATGTCTAATCTTGCGCTCAGCGGATTTCAAAGCCTAAGAGAGAGAGAGAGAGAGAGAAAATACACCAAAAAATAAATAAAGAAGTATATATATATATATATACTGTGATACACATACCTTGGAAGATGCTGCAATGGTCTTTTCATGTTTTGTGGCTGTGCTCTTCTTTTGATCATAGTACTTGCGAGCATTAGCAAATGCAGTCAACCCAATATCGATATCAATCTTAAAGACTTTAGGAATATTGTCTTTCTTTTCTTCGCTTTCGTTCTTGTCATCGTCATCAGCAGACTCACTATCCGATTCGCTTTCTGATTCGCTTTCAGACTCGAGTTCATCAGGGTCACTACATAAATAGATGATGTTTTTTTTGATAAGAATTATAGCAGAGTTTTATATGTAAATAAATACATAAATAAATAAAAAATTACCTTAGTAAAAGTGTTATTTGGTTTGTATCCAGTTTAAGACCATCGATTATCTGAGCAATAGGGTTCCCACGTCTCTTCTCATCCTTTACAAGTTCTTTCAGGTCTTGCCAGTCCATTTGACTTGCTACTGCATTACGGATAATTGTGATGGCTGCATCAACCATAGCCAAGTTTAGTTCAATTAACTGTGCTTTACGAGTGTTTGTGGTCTGTTGGTTCAAAAGACCTTCCACTCGACTTTCTTGCTCTTTACGAACAGATTCTAGTTTCTTTAGAGCTGCCTCTTCCTAATAATATTTTTGTTTTGTATTTATATCGATGATAATGATAATGATAAACATGATCAAATATATATATATATATATATATATATATTACCTGGCTTCTTGCTTTTAATTCTAGTTTTTGTGCTTCAATCGCAGAAAAGAATTCATCTACTGCACCATCAAATGTTGGGAATTCCTTGAATTTCTTAGACTCGTGTTGCTTGTAGAGATAAGGATGAAACTCATCATAACTGTATATCCAAGAAGAAGAAAGAAAAAAGAGGAAAATTAACATTTCATATTATAGTGTACAAGTATTTCATTTAGTATTAACTATAATTATTAGATGTTCGGATACTTGCATTTCCATTTTCTCTTCTCCTTCCTTGGCTTCTTTAGTATCATCCATAATAATGATATAACCCTTTTACAAGATCATAATACGTTAAAATCATTTCAATTTCATTTCCCATCCAAATATCCAAATATCCAAACAATTATTTAAGCGAAATAAGCAAGACAAGCATTTAATTAGATTTACTTTGGGAACAGCATTGTTAGTTGACTCGACAATCTCAGCACCCTTTAAAAATGCTGAATGGAGTGATCTCATCATTGGGGATCCTAAAACATATATATGTAGGTAGGTATATATATATATTTAAAAGATAAATACAAGAGAATCCCAATAGCAATCATAATCATAATCATGGTAATATTAAGTATTTATTATAAAATAGGGGGAGGGGGGATTCAATCACCATATATTATTTAATAATTTGTTTCTTACCTTCAGAGCTGTCAAATTCAGTGGCAACCTTCATATTGGGATTAAGGTTGGCTTCAAGAATTATATGTTCAATCATGGCAGGTCCATACTCTTTTTTTTAAAAAAAAAATTATAGGCACAAATATCGACAATTGTTAGACAAGATTGACGAAATAAAATAAAATAAAATATATATTTTTTCTTTGTTACCGAATCCAATGTTCAATATTTTCTTCAATGTGTCTTTAGGTCCAGCTTTGTGCAATACAGTTTGAAGTTGATCGATTTCGACTGGCTTGAAATCCTGCAGGACAACTGACTTGATGTCATAGATTTCTCCAACTGCCATTTTACTTTCTGTTGACTGAACAATACGCAAGAGAGCAAGAATTCGGTAATCCTGATCTGTCAAAATGATATTACCCTAATACATACATATATTATATAATATAATATAATAATAATTGTTAGTTAGTTAGTTTTTTTTTACTAATAAACAAAATCATAAGTTTCGCTTGTCTTACGGAAGCATAAAACTCGGCAATAATGTGGTAGCCCATACTGTTGTCTCCACCTCCAAATTCAAAATCGACGATACGGTCGACACCCAATTGGCGTACACTGGTGCATCTGCGTGTACGAAGGTATTTACGAAGCTGTAATATGATTATTAGATAATAAGAATAAACAAACATTTTGATCCAAACTCTTCCATGCATGCAATATAAATAATAATATATAATAATTGTTTTCATTGTTTAACCGATTTATCGCTTTTTTTTTTATTGTTTCCTACCCTGGCACAGAATGGAGAGGGTGTGATGGACTTGTCTCTGCTGAATTGGGTTGTATGAATGCGAATGCCTGACTCAATTAACACAAGCTCTTTATCGTCTGGCTATTTATGGATTAAATATATATATACGAGTTAATTAATGTGTCAATACTAAGCATATTTTTCTTGAATAAAAGTTTTGTATTCATTTAGCTTTGTTTATTTCGGACTAGAATTCTCTGTCTTTAATACCTTTGCAAATTTGAAAAGGAATGTCTTTTGATTGACATCGTAAATGTTCTGTAGACGAAGGCCGGTTAATCTGAAATAGTTACATTACATGAGCAAATATATATATATATATATATATATAGGACAGAAGAACATATTGTCCTTTAGCAGGCCGTGTTCTCACCGTTCTTTGAGGTTTGCAACAGTTGCACGGATATCGAGAGTATTGAATCGTTGTTTCATGACAAGTGAATAAAGTAAGAAAGAAAAGAGAGGATACTAATATAATTTATCTATCTATCTACCTATATATCTATATATATATATATATATATATTATATAAAATAAAAAAAAGGGTTTTGAATTATTAATAATATTATCGATATGCTTTAGTTTGGCCTGTAAAATTAGTGCTTAATAAAATAGAAACAAGCAAAAAAGAAAAGGTTTAAGAAAAAAAATAATTACCACAACCACTACCACAACCACTAGAAATAGAACCCTTTTTTTTTTATTAATATTCGTTTACCCTTTTTTGGATTAACGAAAAAAAATAAAATAAAATTTAAGCTAGAGAAATTACCGCAGTTCATGACAGTCATGTCATGTCATTTTAATGTCCGGTGGATACTGCGGTTTAAAGCAAATAAAAAAAAGCATCACTTATATAAAAAGCACCCAAAAAAATATGATATTCTGCGTGGCTGCGCAACTAAAATAAAATAAATAATAAGAATAGTAATAATAATAATAATAATAGAGACGAATTAGCTCAATGTCCAGCATCCCTTTTAGTTCCCTGCTCCATCAACTATTACCGAGTAGCAATGCAATTGGTGGCACAAAAAAAGGCAAAGGGAAATCAAAAGCCGGCTCCCAGAACTTCTTCACGGGAGCTTACCCAATTCAGCAGATCGATCCGGAAGAATCCATAGATGCCTTTTGCAAACTTGTAGAGAGTGTCAAGTCTGAGGCAAAAGATACAAGTAATTTAATATCTCTAATAAAAATTATATAAAAAATAAGCTTTTTTTTTTAAAAAAAAAAAGAAATTTTGGTTTTCTATTCGACTCTTATGCATGCCTTCTATAACAGTTACTACATCTACATATGGCAACGATATCGAGTTTTGTCTACCAACTTATCCATTTTATGAAGAATCTGAAGAATCGGATGAGAATAGTCAGGATGAAGCCACGCTATATTCTTCATATCTTCATGATGATTTTCCAACAGAAGAAGATTCTCAAGAGAAGATTTATGATAGAAACTGGCTGCTCAAGTGAGTTAATTGCAATTATTATTATTAACATTAGTACTGGTATCTTTAAGTTATATATATATATATATATATATTCTTTTATTGCGGATCAAATTCACTGCATAATTCCTTATTTTATGCTCTTTTCTTTTACAAAAAAAAATCAATCACTCAATAATATTGATCCCAATACTTCTTTATTTTATTTTACTTTTATTCAAGGCAATGCCGCAATCACATAATTCAACACAATGTAGAGTTTACTGAGCAGCAGCTTTGTACAGACCTATTTACTATCCTTCGATCAGAAGAAACTGGTAATATGCATTTTGATTTATTTTGAGAAATTTAGATATATTATTTTCTTTTATACCAAATTAAATGTATTTTCTTTTTTGCAATATGTCTAATTATCAACTTTATACAATCTTTAGATGACAGTATTCAACAAGCTCTTGTCGATATCCTTGGATACGAAGGAATTGATTTGATTATGGATTTGATATCCAATCGAACTACTCTTGTGAGCAATATTATGAAAATGGTAAGAATAAATAGATAAATTATCTTTAATAGTTTATATATATATTGTACAAGTATTTTCTTTTGTTTGTTTAATTGATCTATTTTGCTTTACTATTGTGTATATTTGGTTGGTTGGTTGTATGTATGTATCGGTGTGCATTTAGTCTAATTACACTGGACAAAAAGCAAAAGCTTCATTGGGTCATTCCAACGAACCAAAAAGACCTGTGTACGGAACCCAGTTCACTGTTCAATCTGAAGCTGAAATCAAAGAAATGAAGCAAATGAGAAAAGACCAAAAGAAAGCCCTAAAGGCCCTTCAAAAAGCACCAGGCAAGTCAAATTTAATTAATTAATTAACTTATTTTATATTCTTATTATATATATATATATCTGTGTGTCTGTGTAATATATGTATCTAATCACTTTATTTTAGAGGACAAAAATGCCGTTTCAATGGACATCCTTGGCTTTGATTCTCAGGATCTTAGACAAGCCAGAGAAAATGCATTAATTGAAGCTAGTCAGGCACCTTTATTTAGCTCAAATTACAAGGTAAAAAAAAACACAGACTTGCATAAATTCATACATACAATATAGACTTTACATACCATGTACTGGACACTACAGAGTTATTAAATATATTAAATAAAATATAAGAAAATAACTAATATAACAATAACAATAATATATCATTTACCAGACAAAGGCAGAAGAAACATATCCACATGTTTATCAGTCTGCAAAGTCGGGTTCCATGCTTTCACTATTTGGAACACGTTATGCTCTTCCTGCTGGTACAGTTAAAGAAGAATTCAATGATTACGAAGAAACCATCATTCCAGTACCCACGCAGGCACCTATACGAGCAGGCGAACGTCGTATTAAAATTGAAGAATTGGATAGCTTGGCTAGAGGAGCTTTCAAGGTACTGTGTATATTTAAATCAAATGAAGTTAAATAAATTAGTGAAACCACCGCTTATAACCGTATTTATTTGTGTGTGTGTGTGCAGGCCTACGAAACTCTCAACAGAATTCAATCTATTGTATACCCTATTGCTTATGAAACAAACGAAAACATGTTGGTCTGTGCGCCTACTGGTGCGGTAAGTCAAAAAAAAATCAAAAGAAAAGATATTAAACATTCATTTTTTTTAAAAAAAAATCAAAAATTCTTTGCGTTTTAGGGTAAAACAGATGTTGCAATGCTTACTGTACTCAGGTGTCTGTACCAATACTGCTCTACACCTCCACAAAAAGGCTCTACCGAAATTGATTTCACAATCGCTAAGAATGACTTTAAGATTGTATATGTGGCACCTATGAAGGCTCTTGCGGCTGAAATTGTAGAAAAGATGGGAAAACGACTCAAGTTCCTTGGTGTTAGTGTCAGGGAATTGACGGGTGATATGCAATTAACAAAGGCAGAGATTATGGCCACCCAATTTATCGTAACCACACCTGAGAAATGGGATGTAATCACTAGAAAGGGTACAGGCGATGTCGAATTAGCACAGGCAAGTTGAAATACTACCACTACTGCTGCTATGACTTTACTTTGAAAAGAAGAAGAAAAAGAAAACTGACAGTCTTTATATGGTGCCCTTATTTAGAAAGTAAAACTTCTTATTATTGATGAAGTCCATCTTCTTAATGAAGATCGTGGTGCTGTTATTGAGAGTATTATTGCCAGAACATTACGGCAGGTAAAGAAAAAATAATATAGAATATAGAGATTTATATATAAGCTCAATTACTTATGTTTAACAATCATCTATACAAATACCTCTTAGGTTGAATCAAGTCAATCACTCATTCGTATTGTTGGTCTCTCTGCTACTCTTCCCAATTACCTTGATGTGGCAGCATTCCTTAGGTAAAACACACACGCATATACTATGTAAATACATACGTATACGCACATGAGAATATTTTTTTTCTTCTTCTACATTGAGTTTTGACTTACACACTTTTATCTGTTGCTTTTTTTTCTTAACCAACAGAGTCAACCCTTACCAAGGTTTGTTCTTCTTTGATGGCGGATTCCGTCCAGTTCCTCTCGAGCAACATTTCCTGGGTATCAAAGGAAAAGCCAACTCGGTTCCGTCCAACGAGCGTATGAATCGTGCTTGCTTTGACAAGGTTTCCGACCTTGTGCGGGAAGGTCATCAAGTTATGGTGTTTGTTCATGCCCGAAAAGAAACAGTCAAGACTGCTCAAATGCTAAAAGAAGAAGTTCTAAATGAAAGTCTCGGAGGTAATACCATAAGAAAATAAATAGACAAGGGACGAATGAAGGAATTAATGTACAATACAAATTTAAACTAAACTGTTCTTTTTTTTATAAAAAAAAACAAAACAAACTCTTATCTTCGGATTTCAGATTACTTTGATTGTTCGGCCGAACCCAAGTTTGTTGGTCACAGAAGAGATATAGCAAAATCTAGAAACAAGGAAATGAAAGAATTATTTCCTTATGGCTTTGGTATACATCATGCTGGTATGCTTCGATCTGATCGATCATTAACTGAACGAATGTTTGCCGATGGTTGCTTAAAGGTTTGTGAAAGTAACTTTTTTATATGCATGTGTAAAATCTAATATTGCAAATTTATGTTATAATATATATATATATATATAAAGGTGCTCTGCTGTACTGCAACCTTGGCATGGGGTGTCAATTTGCCAGCTTATGCTGTTGTTATCAAAGGAACCCAAGTGTACGATTCACAAAAGGGTAGCTTTGTAGACTTGTCTATTCTTGATGTGCTCCAGATCTTTGGTCGTGCTGGTCGTCCACAGGTAAAAAAAAAAAGTCTTTACCTTTTGCTCTCAAAATCACAAAACTAAAACCATCTAATACACTTACATACGAATTTCTTTAAATATTCATGAACATGTAGTATGAAACTCATGGTGTTGGTTATATCCTGACAACCCATGACAAAATATCCCACTATGTCTCAGCAATCACCCAACAACATCCAATTGAATCAAAGTAAGGAACAAAATAAGATATAAAGCCTTTTTCTTAAACAATAATTGTAATTGTATCACTCAATATTTTCTCTCTCTTTTAGGTTTATCGAAAATATTGTCGACAATCTTAATGCAGAAATTTCACTAGGTACCGTTACAAACCTCAGTGAGGCTGTGACATGGCTAAGCTACACTTACCTCTATGTGAGAATGAAAAAGAATCCGATGGTTTATGGTATGGATCACTCGGAACCAGCAAAGGATCCGCTTTTGGGCAGTAAACGACACGAAATTATCGTAGACGCTGCTAGAAAATTAGCCAGATGTCAAATGATTATCTTTGACGAAACTACCGGCTACCTGACTCCAACAGTTCTTGGCCGCATCTCATCAAATTTTTATATCAAACACACCAGTATCGAGATCTTTAATGGTCTTATGAAGCCACGTATGACAGAAGCTGATGTTCTGTCAATGATGAGCATGAGTTCAGAGTTTGACAATATACGATCACGCGAATCAGAACATAAAGAACTCAAGGGTCTTTTAGAAAAGGCTTGTGCATGTGATATTCGAGTAAGTTGATTTCTCTTCTTCTTCTTCAAATATGTTATATATATATAATATGATAGCTACGAGAAGAAGAAGAAAAGGACTTCACACGTCTAATCAAATATACTTTATATATATTAATTGATTCATTAGGGTGGTACTGAATCAACTCCTGGAAAAGTCAATATTCTTCTTCAGACGTACATATCAAATGCCTACATCGACGATTTTGCGCTCGTGTCTGATTGCGGCTATGTTGCCCAGAACGCAGGCCGTATTGCCCGCGCCCTGTTTGAGATTGCCTTGAACCGAAACTGGGGACCCACAAGCTCTATAGTTCTGGCTATCAACAAGAGTATCGAAAAACGCCTGTGGACTTTCCAACACCCACTGCAACAAATGGGACTTCCCAAAGATGTCATGCAGAAACTAGAGGACAGATCTTACGACATATCAATCGAAGAAATGAGAGACATGGAACCGACCGAGCTTGGGGATCTTATTCGCCACCCACGGATGGGCCTGACGATCTCTAGATGTGTTGACCAGTTCCCAATGCTGATGCTCGACGCCAAGATATTTCCAATCACTCGCAATGTACTGAATGTGGAGCTTACCATAACTCCTGATTTTGTCTGGAATGAGCGCCTGCACGGTAGCTCGGAACCATGGTGGATCTGGGCAGAAGATTCAGATAGTGTGGAAATCTATTACTCAGAATACTTTATTCTACACCGCAAACAATTGGGCGAAACTATGAAGATTGTGTTCACGGTGCCTATTGTTGAGCCATTACCAAGCGAAATCTATATTCGTGCCACGTCTGATCGCTGGCTTGGAGCCGAAACCGTCCTGCCGGTCTCATTCGAAAACCTGGTTTTACCTCAGCTTTATCCACCCCCGACAGAGCTGCTAGATCTGCGCCCACTTCCTGTTACTGCCTTGCGAAATGACGTGCTGGAAGCCATCTGTGCCCAGAAGTTTACACACTTTAATCCAGTTCAAACTCAGATATTCCACACTCTCTATAATACAGACAACAATGCATTGATCGGTGCACCTACTGGTTCGGGTAAAACCGTTGCTGCTGAACTTGCGATGTGGTATGTAAAAGAGAGAATGAAATAACAAAACAAAAAATATAGAGAGAGAGAGGGAAAAAGTAGAAAGCAAAAGAAACATGAAATCTTCAATTTTTATTTTTATTTTTATTTTTATTAAATGTTATTAATTATACTAATCAACTCAATTTAATTCAAATATATATAGGCGAGCACTTGGGCAACACCCAGGCTCTAAAGTGTTGTACATTGCACCTATGAAATCTTTGGTTACTGAAAAAGCCCAAGATTGGAATAAGCGTCTGATGGGTCCAATGAACAAAAGACTTGTGGAGTTGACGGGTGATGTGAACCGGGATGTGAAGATCATCGAATCTGCTGATATTATCGTCACAACACCAGAGAAGTGGGATAGTGTCAGCCGTAACCAACGCAGCCGTAGTTGTATTAACAAAGTATCGTGTGTGATTATTGATGAGATACACTTACTTGGCGGTGAGAGCGGTGGCCCGATTCTGGAAGTGATTGTGTCAAGGATGAATTACATGGGGTCCAAATTCGATAAAAAGATTCGCCTTGTTGGATTGTCCACCCCTTTGGCAAACGCTCAGGATTTGGCCGACTGGCTTGGTGTCAAAAAGTCTGGACTGTTCAACTTTGGTCACTCTGTTCGCCCAGTTCCTTTAGAGATCTATGTTGACGGGTTCCCAGGAAAGCTTTATTGTCCTCGTATGGCAACGATGAACAAGCCGATATATGCGGCCATTAAGACCCATTCCCCTACCCAACCTGTCATCGTGTTTGTGTCTTCACGTCAGCAGACATGCCTTACAGCGCAGGATCTGATTGCTTATTGTGGAATGGAAGACAATCCTCGCCAGTGGCTTCGCACGGATGATATGGAAATGGAAATGATATTAAACCAGGTCGATGACGAAGCATTGAAAATGTCTCTTGCGTTTGGTATCGCAATTCATCACTCGAGTTTGACCGACAATGACCGAAGAATTGTTGAAGAGCTGTTCCTGAACCTTAAGATCCAGATCTTGATTGGCACCAGTACACTTGCATGGGGTATCAATCTTCCAGCCCATCTGGTGATAATTAAGGGCACAGAGTTTTACAACTACAAATCTGGTCGCTATGTAGACTATCCTATTACACATGTTCTACAGATGATGGGTCGTGCGGGTCGTCCCCAGTTTGACAACACCGGCATTACTCGTGTGTTTGTACAAGACAGCAAAAAGAACTTTTTCAAAAAGTTTTTGTATGAGCCGTACCCTGTCGAATCGAATCTACACAAGTCTATGGATGACTACATCCATGCCGAGATTATGGACAAGACAATTAAAACAAAGCAAGATGCGTTGGATTACATTACCTGGACATATTTCTACCGTCGCCTTCAGCAGAATCCAACATACTATGGCTTAGACGATTTGTCACAAAGGGGCCTAAACACATACATGTCCAATATTGTAAATGAGGTGACGGAGAGGCTAGAGAGTTCTGGATATTTAGAGATTCAAAACGATTTTGATTTGATTCTGAAAACCCCAAAAGAATAAGAGATTTAAAATTCTCTCCTTTTTTTGGGCAATTGACACTTGGCATTTGGCATGATATATGAAACTTAAAACGAAACAACCAAATGGAAATACTATATATTGAAACCTTTGATATAAAAGATGTATTTATGGATAGCTTCTAGAGTTCTAGTAATCCCAGAATTAATAATCATTAATAATATATTATGTGTATATATATTAACAAATCTTCATTTGAAGACATTTATAAAGTACTGTACTTTATTGACTCATACCAATGACCAGCATTATATCTAAATTCTATCAAATAAAGAGTAAACCTACCTCAATCTCTTTACCCAAGTTTATCTACCTTAACTAAGCAAACTCGTGCATGAAAGCTTATATATATATATATATATAGTCCTTTTAAAATAATAAATATTTCAAAATAATATATGAATATATCTTGAGGAACTTGTAAGATAAGGTTAATTTTTAGAAGTATATATTCTCTGAATTGAAATATGAATAATTTTAAAAGGAAAACCAATGTCAAAATCTGATCTTTTTTATTTTATTTTATTTTTGCAAATTTAGTAACTTATCCCAAGTCTAAAGTGTACAATTCTCAGGACCACTTGGCGTATTCTCTATTATCATGTTGTGAACAAACTGAAAAGGTCAAAGAAAGAAAGGTTCAAAAGAAATGTGGCCAATCAGATTAATTTACGGCTGTCCACACTTTTTTCTATAGAAAAAAAAAGTTTAGAATTGGTTTAAATCCACATTGGATAAGATTGAGTGCTTATATTTCTTCCATCTAACAAAGAATATTTTATTAGAGAATTTTTTATGCCTTTTATTCTATTACACACCTCCCTAATAAAAAACATAATATTCTCAATCAAATTGTAAATAGAAGAAGAATAGTCTGCCAGACTCATTCAAACTTCTTTTTTTTTTGCTTTTTTTAGTCTGTCCACTCCAAGCTATACTGAGCTTTGCCTCTATCTCTGCCTTTTCTTTACTCTATTATCTCAGGGCTTTCATCTATCAAAATGTGATATTCAATACTTTTTTATTATAATATAAGACATACTTTGATTAATTAAAAATAATAGCTGTAGAATGCTTGGTTTTTTATTTGTTTTTTTTTATTTTAAAGATAAAAACATATGCATGCTTTAATCATGTAAATCTTATTACACAGCCACACGCATACACACACACCCATACACACAACTTACCATGGGTTACAAAGCTTCTTTAAAGCAACTTGGTGGTTGTATGTCTTTAAGCAACTATATTATAAAACATATCTACTATTAGTATAGGCTGCAAAGTGATAATATCAAGAGGTCTTCAATACAAAAACTATTTGGCATATGAAAGTCAAGGAATTTCTATGTGTAAGAATTTAGACTTAACCAAATATGGATATAGTATTATTTTGATAACAAATAACAAATAACGCCAATGACCCCTTAATTTTTTTATAGGGAGAGAGATAGAGAGAAAAAGAGATAAATATGTACTGAAGAACTTGCTGTCTAGTTTTTTCTCTTGTTCCTCTAAGCACCACTGTTAGGAACAATCAAGTAAGTACCACTTCTTTATACACAGCATTACGTGTAAAACGCGTTTTTTTTGTTATAAAAAAACCAATTTACTCAAGCAACACCATTACTCATTATGCATTACTTAATGCTTTACCAAAACATTGACTTTACATTAACTCTTTTTTTTTCATTTTTCATTCTTCTTCTTCTTTTTACAAGGTTTATACTGTTTAAGAAACCCATGAGATTTATCTTGAGGCTGTTTTTTTCTGCTATTATTTATAATAGTAGTGTATGAATGCTTGATTCGTAGTGTGATGCGTACACGCTCTGTGGTCATAGAGATTGTAAGTACATTAATGTTACATTCCTGCCCATGCTTTATTTCTTATACTTATTTTCTTTATTCATTTTATGTTATGTACATTCCAAAAGCGCATGCACCTACACATGGTATACAATTACCATATTCAGTCTTTTCTGTTAGATTTCGGTCTAATGGGGGAGATTGATGTAAGCCTCTTGGAGACAGAAGCGGAGGTGTTTACACCAAAGCTGGTCTCAACCAAACCAACTAGGGGGTATGGGCCTCTCAGCGTTCAGTAAAGAAAAACCAAACTTGTCCGATTCGGCTCCAGTCTCCACATATCAAAGTCAAACATAGACGCGGCCAAGTGGGGTGTAGTCACAGACGGGAGCCTTCGGGCGCGTCTTTAGGTGGGAGCTTCTTTCTAGAGGCGCCAATGAAATACCACCACCCATTTGGCCAACCCCCTGCATCGGCAGCGGGTGGACATGGCTTGGGAGTAACGCTGTTCACCGCAGACGAACTAGCCCGAAACCTTCCATCGAAGCCTTCTCATCCCTTGCGTGTGAGGCCGTGGAGTGCTCTTCCGCAACTTTGGCATCTATTCTAGATCTGAGGTTGGGCGATGAAAGAAGAACAGACAAGTTTGGTGAGCGCAGCAGCAAAAGCTATGGAGTATGCTGTTGTGACATTCTTTTTCAAGCCACTCAGCCCGTGCGAGAGACTTATGTCTGGGGTGGACCAAACCTTACCATAAAGGTTGGACCAGAGTTCGGCCGTAGACCGTCGTGATGTCAGGTCATTTTCTTTTTACTGATGGTACTAGTATTGTACAAACCAAGAAGTAAAGTACGCAAGTATTTTTCTCTTCTTCAAGCCTCTGCAACGTTGTAGTCGGTCGATTTGGCCAGTGCTACAAAGTCACGCTTGTCAGGATGTGACCGAACGTCTTTAAGTCGCATCTCTGGGTTTTAGACAATGCTAAAATATACTTCCCGCGTACAAATTGTACACCCTGGCTCTCGGGCCTAGTACTATACTAGCTGACTTTGGTCTTGATTGATCGGGTCACATGTAATGTTAATACTGGGAAGGAAAAAATCGCATACAGACTATATGAAATCGACGGGGTGTCGAAGGTGTAAAATGATCCTGTAATCATTTATCACTGAAGATTAAGCCCTTGTCTTTGAATTTGTTCTTCGGAACACCTTCAATACCTTTGGAATTCTTATGTATATACATATATTTAGGTCCTTGTCTAGTTAACCTTTTTGGTTGACATGACTGGTGCCTTTTTTCTGATCTTGATTGGAAAAGAGGGTGAGTTCGATTCTCACAAGGACTTTATCAAATATCTGATACTTGATTACTTTTTACTCTTAAATACAAAAAAAAATACATATATTAATCTAGACAAAAGAATGATTATATATAGACTTGTTAAAACAAACTAAACAACAAATATGATTGAAAAAAAAAACACATAACAAAATCAGACTGAAATTCTATCTTTAATAAATTTATTGAAATCAATTGTTTAGCCAGATAAAAGAAAGTTCTAGGAGCTAGAAATTGCGAAAGAGTCCAAAATAAAAGTTTTGTAAATAAAGGAATAAAATAAAATAAAATTATACATTTATAAAGACATCCCTTTTTACTGAGTAAAAACCAACAGTGCATTAAAGCAAGCTTATATACTTCTTTGGTGTCACAAGTCAAAGCTGAGCATACTTATTTTTTTAAGAGATATTTTATATTTTCAATCTTTTACAATTGAAGGCGACTAAAGAACAGATAATACTACCAGATATTATGTGTATTAATTGTGGGAGAATTGTAGCTTTTTCATTTCATTTTATTTTATTACAACAAGTTTATGGTCACAAAAACAATGCGTAGAATACCGATGAACTTTTCTGATTTGTCTTGTAGGAAGTATTGACTAAATATTTTCATTTAATCAATTTCTCAATAAATAAATATCATTTCCGATATAGTGTTGTTTTGTTATATTTGTACTTGACCATATATAAAACATAAACATCTTTAAATATCTAGATAAGAACAAATAGCTATGATATTAATAAAACCAAATTATCAATTATTGGAAAAACCCCATTATTTACTGAGGTATACATACCACAATTAGAGTAAAATACAAATTCTGCGATCCGGAATGAATCATATTATTGTTAATTAATGTAGGGTGAGTATTTGAAAAGAGATAATAGGTAATAGGAAAATGCTTTATGTTTAAAGAAGAAAGCTATGATTGTTTATAAGATATTTGGAATTTGGATTTAATATGTCTGTTAGTTAATTATTGATTGACAATGAGTTAGTATAAAAATACGGTTGCTTTGTGTATATGTATTAAATTCTTAGAATATTTACCCTATCAGATATATTAATAATTATGTAATTGGTTCTGGACCATTAGGCTTTTACTTCACTCGTTTGTAGTTTGTATATCATACCGTTTTAACCAGAACGTTTTAACCTAACTGACCAGATAACTAATTTATACCCATTTATCATCAAGAACATATTTTTGTCATGTATAATTTCAATCTATATTATATATATATGTGTGTGTGTCTATATTGTTGTTATTAGGTATTATGCAAGCCAGACTTACCACTTAGAAAAGGTAAACTCAATAACCAAGCCTGAAATTTTTCTTACCAAAAGTAAAATATGAAATTAAGAAAATGAGATTCCAACTTCTACTAGTTTTTAATGTTAAACCATACTTGATACAAAATATGTTTTATGAAAAGAACATACTGTTTTGACTTTTTTCTATACACAAAGACAACTTTCTTTAACAAACAAACACACACACTTACATATATAATATCTAGATTATTCTAGTGTTATTTCCAACCATATTATTTACAATATAGTATATTGTAGAAAATATAAAATCCACATGTATATTAATCTTAAGCCCATATATATATATATATATATTATCATACACGTTAAAAAGATGGTTTATTATATTCCAAATAAAGTATTTTGATATTATAATTTATTTATTTCAATGATTTATTGTCAATCTAACAGTTACAGTGAGAGTACAAATATTACAAGTTTATGTATATCATATTCTCAAACAGTGACAGGGTATGAATTCTATATTTTGTAAGTTTTTGAAATACCTATTTTTTTTTACAAAATATATTACAATAAAGTTAAGTGAAATAGGTTGATTGATGGGGACATCTTTGTTTCAGGATCTTTAATGATAACGATAATAACAGTAATAACAGTAATAACAGTAATAAAGAATATATTTCTTTCCTTTCATTCAATCTCTTATACTCAACGGTGAACAGGAGGTCTACTAAGTTTGTTACGTTGCAACCGAACCACAAGCCAGTCAATAGCATCCTTGACACCATTTCTATCAAAATAAAATAAGAATTTGAGTTCTAATATACATTACATAAAGACTATTTCTTTGACATTTCTTATTTTACCCTTCTAATGCACTAATAGGCAAAACTCTCGAATCTCTGGCTCCAAGCTTAACTGCAATTTTGTTGAATACTTCTTTGATTTCTTCCACTCGCAGTGCACCAGACAGGTCTTGCTTATTGGCCAACATTAGAATTGGTACACCCTCCACACGATCGTTTGTGATCATTTTCTCTACAAAAACCAAAATAATAATAATTAATTACTTAATTAATTAGACTTTTTTTTTGTCTATTCTTCCCTCTTCTTATATATATATATATATATATATATATATAATAGAAAAAAAAATGAAAAATATTATAAAATTAACTTACCAAAGGTGTCCTTGCACTCTTCTAGCCTTTTCTTGTCAGTAGAATCAACCACAAAAACAATAGCATGACACTCAGTGTAATATCTTTCCCAAATTGAGTGCAGATCACGTTGACCACCCAGATCCCAAAAGTTAATCCTGGCTGACTTGATGTCGACTCTACCAACTTTGATTGAGATGATGAGATGAAATTGATAATTGTTACAAAACCACTGAATAAAAGGACCATGCAAAAAGAAAAGAAAAAGAAAAATAAAAACAATAAAAATGTGTACAAATATATTCTGTTATGTTTATTATGTGTGTTATGTTTATTATGTTTATTACGCACTGTTGAGTCCCACTGTGGGTGCAATCTTCTCAGGTGCTAGTCCGGGTACACCCATAAAGACAGATTTTATGCGTTCTAACAAGGTCTATAAAACTCGGGTAGAAACATGATGTAGAAGATGAGTTTTGTAAAGTCTAATGTCATTCAATAATGTATTTCATTTATTCATTCATTCATTCATTCCAAAAATAATAATGCTAAAGCTAAAGTGAAAAAAAAAAGAAAGAAAGATAAAAAAGGCAAAAAGAAAGAAAAAGCGAGAATGTATGTATGTAGTGCAGTGTGTGTAATGTGTACCGTCTTTCCTGCATTGTCAAGACCAATGATGAGAACATAATACTCTTCTTTGCTTGTGACGTAATTGTAAAGTCCACTTAGTAATGTATACATGATCAATGAGTAGTCCTTCACTCCCTCTCTCTCAGTCTCTTACTTCAAACACACACACAGACACACACACAGACACACACAATAACGCGCACACACTTTTTCTCTCTCTCTCTTTTCTTTTAATTTATTTTTCAAAAAAAGGACAAAATAGGCATGCCAATTCCTACTCCGTCAGTCAGAGGTTAAACACACTTTCTATGGTGTTCTCACTATTATTATTATTATTATTATTTATATGCATGTATATATCTATTAGTCATGGGTTGTACACCAGATTGAAGTTCTTATTGTTGTTGTTTGGTGTTGTGAAGTTTCTTGTATCATACATATCTTGAAGTAACATTGGCGTGAAACAAATATCCTTTTCTGTTTTTCTTTCTTTTTAATCATTTGAGTGAAGTTTAATATACCTGACTATACATGTATATACTCCTATGAATGTGTGTAAAAGGAAGGTGTTTCTAATGTCCTTTTACAAGTGAGCTCATTGCTTAATATTCCTATCAGTTATTCTATATATGCAAGTATATATTTATATAAGTGTTCTCCAATGATATCATTGTACCAGAAGTATTATTATTACTATTATATAAATATGTGTTTGGGTGAGTATTTCATTTGATGTAATGAATAAATGAATAGTAAGAAAAAATTGTGCTTGTACTTGTACTTGTACTCATTGAACACAATAAATGCTCTCATCATAACATAATTGCCAATCAGTCAATCAATCATTCATTCATTCAATCACTCGCTCAATCGATTACTTAGGGAATAAGCCAGCCAGTAATCCAGTCATTCAGTCAGTTAGTCAGTCAGTTAGTATCATTATCATTATTACTTAATAATTAAAAAATAAAATCACCAAACGAACAGACAAGCAAATACAGCCAAGCAATTGCTTATATGATATCTATAATTCAATATATAGTTCATACAAAAGATAAAACAAAAATACTTCATTTTGAGAGAGAAAAATCAATGCTATTTGCTTTTCTATCGATTTATTGATAGAATTGATATGATATTCTTTTTTACTTTTTTTTTTGTCAAAGATCAAACATGCCATTCTTATGTCACAAAAGCAAAGATGATAAAGTAATTGAAACCAAAGGAAAAAGGGTATGATCGTTAAACTCAATCCAATTCAATTCAATTCAATTTATATATTATGATAAATATAATATTTTTGATATCAAGTTTATGTATTGGAATTTTGGTTGCTTTTTGAAACGTTTTCCTTTGAGCAAATCTACGCTGACAATACCATAAAAGACTCGTTAAACAACAACAACGACAATTATACTTCTGTGTGTGTGTGTGTGTGTGTATATATATGTTTGCATTGTTTATCATATATGATCTACTCGTGATTACCTATTGTTTGGTATTACTTTTAACTTTGTTTACACACTTCACACGGCCATACCATACAACATAGGCCATAGACTATATTTCTTCTTTATATCTCTTTATTTATTTGTTTATTGTTGTTCTCCAAAATGACTATGTGTGTGTTTGTGCTTCGACTTTTATTTTCTGTACAATAAATAAAATGAAATAAAGTAAAATGAAATAAAGTAAATACTTGTTGAGTTCCAGGCTTAATAAAAATAAGAGTCGGGTAAGCTTTTCTTTGCTGTGGACGGATGAAGAACATCCTTGTAAATGTTTCTTTTGGTTTCACTTGTTTTGATCAATGATCTTTCTAAATCTTATTCTCTATAACTATCTCTGTGTTTTTCTTTCTTTTTATGTGAATGAAACCATCAGCTATATATAATTTTACTTTGCTATTTGATTCCAAAAAGAAAGTTTGTCAAGTGATAGTATAAAAACATGACAACAACAACAACAGAATTAATACCATGTATACATATACGCATTTAATTAGTTGCTAGGTTATTTGACTACTTGTTACTAAGTTACTTAGTTAATTGGTTGCTTGGTTATTTGACTATTTGTTACCAAGGTATTCAGCTATTTAGTTGCCATGTTACTTAGTTATTTAGTTAATTGGTTGCTTGGTTGCTTGGTTAACTGGTTAACTGGTTAACTGGTCGGTTAACATTCATTTTCTATTTGTTGATATCATCATGTGAGTGTACACAGATGATTTATTTATTTAACATTCATATACTGCTGTCTTCCAAAAAAAAAGCGATCCTCATAAAATAGAATTCACTTTTTTTTATTACTATTATATTTTTTTTGGACCTGTAAACAAGTGACAACGTACGATCCCGAGGTTTATTTCAAATACATATACTTTTGTATTTTTCATTTACAGATTAAACTTTCTTTTTTTGTTTGTAAGACCAAAGTAACAAAAAAAATATTATTAAAATAACATATATCTATACATATCTATAATTTTTTATATATGTATTTCAAAACGAATCATTTCCTTTTGCCTTTGTTTTTGAATATAATGGTATATACAAGAAGTACATAGATAGATTAGTATGAGTAGTCGATAAATAAGGCTTATTGGCAAATGACCAACCAAAATGAAATGAAATAATATGGTAGGCAAAGAAATTGAAACAATCTCTCTGTATCTCATGTTTTTTTTTCTTATTAATTTCTTCGTCAATCCAACCAACCAACCAACCATATAATTACACACATCTATTCATTCAATTCAGAAAGTGGCCCCACCTTCAGGATTCTCTTTTTACTTTCTCTTTATTTTATTTTTTCTATTGTTCTCAAAATCCAGTTAGTTTGTAAGAATAAAACTTTACACACACACATATATATATATATACACTTTGTGGACCTGGCACAATTAGCGCACCTGAACAAACCACACACAGTACTTTTATTAGTATTATTAATTTGGCCTACATTGGTTATTTGTGCTATACATGTAATCTCTCCTTCTTTCCCTCTTTCTTTCTAGATGTACAGCTTATCACGGGCATAATTTAACCGCGTGAGTGAGTGTGCTAGTTAAATATATATTATTTCAACCAGAATACATATAAAAAAATATGAAACAAACTGTTTTCTCTCTCTCTCTCTCTCTTTCTGGGTATATGTTTTTTTTTGTTTCAAGTCTAACCAACAAAATACAAAATCAAAGCATCAATTGAGATGAAAACCAATGAATGGGATCACTTTTTTTTTAAAATGAATGGAGTGTATTTATCTGATACATCATCCCACTCTTAGTGTTAATCTTGACAGATCTTCTACTTTTCACTTTCTTTGGTTGGTTGGTTTGTTGGTTAGTTAAAACAAAAACCTAAAACCTTGTTAATCTACCAATACTTTTCTCAATGGCGTGTTGTGTTGTGCTGTGGTGGACATGTATTGTGTTGGGGTCAGATTTTCTTTTTATGGTGATTCTGTGTCGAATTTGTTCCTTAACATACTATTATTAATAATAATAATAAAAAAGAGAAAAAGAAAAAAGAAATGAAATGAAAAAGTAAAATATTCTGGCTATTGGCTATTGGATAGTAAAATAGCCATGTTTTATATTTTATTAAATATGTAAGTGCCAAATATTTAATTGACAAATGTGAAATATCATAATCATAAAAGAAAAAGCTTTTAATATATATATATATATATAAACTTAATATGTTTCTATAGCAACAACAACGACATAACGACAATAGCAATCTGTTGGTTTTCTTTTATTTATTTTTATTTATTCAGGGGTAAAAAATAAAAAATAAAAAAAAAGAAAGATAAAACTAAAAGATATATCTTGAAACCCTCTTTTTTTTGTACAAAAAAAGCTATTGTTATTTTTGGGCCTGGTTTGGGTTACTTTTTGTGTGCGTGTGTTTTTTTTATTGAGAGTGAAATATATATATCTAGTCCGCCCTTTGTGTTGTAGTAACACACAAAAATTTATAATATTTTACGGTGTATATACGTACATATACATAGATATACAAAGACATACATAGACAAAGACGTGTACCTCTCTTTGAAGGTCTTGGTGTTACAGCATTGAAGTGGCTGTGTTCAAGGAGAATCTTTCTTTCTTTCTTGCGTTTATATTATACTATAACTTATTATACATATCTTGGTTCTAAATACAAGAAATAAACGCAGAAAAAGAAAGAAAAAGAAAAGAAAAGTGAGGGCTCTGCATGACCCTTGCCCTTGCACTACTGTTACTGAGTGTAATGAAGCATCTCTTTTCCCTCTCTTTCTCTGTCTGTCTTTCATGTTCTAAGCTAAATAAATACACAAGATTCACATTATAGAATATAATAATAAATAGTAGAATATGTAATATATTATCCATACGCAATCCTCCTCTCTTTCTTTTCCTTTCACTCCTATATGAATAAAGGGGATAGATATTGTGTCATTGAGCGTCATTTGAGGCCATAGCCAAAAATTCCACAACAACATAATCATAACAACATAATCATAACAACCAAAAATAATAACAATAATACTTCTTGGCTCTTCTTTTTTTCTCTCTTTTGGCTTTGCACGTGTAACATGTACATCTTTAGATGTGATCCGGCAACACACGATAGGCTGAACTAAAACCGTACCACAATAAACTTTTTTTTTATGTGTACATCTTCCAAAAAAAATTACATTACATTATATCATATTATATCATATTTTATTTTGTATTATATTTTTTTGTCTAGAGACACATCCTTGAACAATGAAATGAAATGAATGTAATAGTAATAATTTTAAAAGAAGTGTTATATATATATATTCTTGCAAGTATTCTAGCCATCTAACTTGGCCCTGGATCAGGGCAGGGTAACCAAGCAACAGAAAAAAAAAATGCCTGGGGAAGGGTAGGGCAGGGTAATGTAGGGGAAGGAGTAAAAGGGAAAGGGTAGGGAGGGAAAAAAAATAATCAAAACCAAAAACCAAAAAAATCCCCATTAAGATTTGTATTTTTATTATTTTATTTTAGAGATATACACATATTCCTTGTGGGAAGTTAAAGCTGCCCGCATGATTTTGAATGCATAGTAATTTGAACACAATAGAAAAAAATATATAGTAATAGCGATCCTATTACTATTTTATTATTTAAAAAGCGTCGTAATGTGTATGGTATTCACTGTGTAGTATGCAGCATTTAGTGCGTAGTATCAATTATTATTTATCCATTGTCCAGTGTTCGCTGTTTATTGCTTATTGTTCTTTGGCCCATTGTCTGTGTGTAAAGATGTCTGCATGAATATGTAATGTACAGTATGAGATGATAATGAGATGATGTGTAGATGTGTAGTGTGTGTATAGATGAAAACCAAAAAAAAAATATTATCAAGATTTTTGTAACCATAGAGTACAAGTACACAAGACAGCCCATTTTAGGGGAACAAGAAACTAAGAAAATAATAATAATCTCAAAGAGTAACACACCACTTTATTTTGTATATTTTTAGGTGATTCTGGTAAACAACCCCCAAATGAAGTACAAGCCAACTGCTATTGCTATTGCTGTTATTATTATTTTATTAATTTATTAGAGTTTCCATTCTTCCAACCAAACATCTCATCTTTTGCCAGTAGCTGTGTAACGAACGATTTGTATAAATACTCCATCAACCTGGCTTGCTTTTGAACCGTACACTCAACCTCTCTCTTGTTCTTGATAACAATCAAGAACTACCCCCTCAAGCGAACTTTTTTCTAAACGAAATTTAACGAACCCCTACTTTTTTTAACGACCCAAAAAGTCTCTTTTTTCTTACTTCTTTTAACGAACTCAAGAAAAAACTCTTTTTTTTAACGACCCCTTCTAAAAAACTTTTACGAACCCAACCCCTAAAAAAACCTTTTATCTGCTTTTTCTTCATCCAAAAGAAAAAGCTTTTATCTTACGAATTTACAACCTTTTTTTAAAAAAAATTATCCTTCCCCACCCTTTTTGAAAAAAATTCCCATTTTTTCAAAAATTTCCTCTCTAAAGATTTCTAATCCTATTTCAAACCAAATCAACTCAATTTCTAACATGCCTATCAACGCTGGTATCAACGGTTTCGGTCGCATCGGTCGTATTGTTCTGCGCGCATCTCTTGAGAACTCTAACGTCAAGGTCGTCGCTATCAATGATCCTTTTATTGATCTCGAGTACATGGTAAGCCTAATTATTATATTATATTATATTATATTATATTTTTTTTTACTAACCCTAAAAATTTCATGTTTCATGTTTTAGGTTTACATGTTCAAATATGATTCAACTCACGGACGCTTCAAGGGCACCGTTGAGGCGAAAGACGGTGCACTGGTTGTGAACGGCCATTCCATTGCGGTTTATGCTGAACGCGACCCGTCTACCATTCCCTGGAAGACCCATCAGGCCGACTACGTAGTCGAATCGACCGGTGTCTTTACAACAATCGACAAGGCTGGCGCTCATCTCAAGGGCGGTGCCAAGAAGGTTATTATTTCTGCCCCCTCCGCAGACGCTCCCATGTTTGTCGTTGGTGTCAATCTCGAGGCGTACGACCCCAGTATGAACGTGATTTCCAACGCATCCTGCACTACAAACTGCCTGGCTCCCTTAGCCAAGGTTATCGACGACAGCTTCGGTATTGTCGAAGGTCTCATGACAACCGTCCACGCCACAACAGCGACTCAGAAAACAGTCGATGGTCCGTCAGGCAAGGATTGGAGAGCAGGCCGTGGCGCAGGTGCAAACATCATTCCGGCATCCACCGGAGCAGCAAAGGCGGTCGGCAAAGTTATCCCACATCTCAACGGCAAGCTCACGGGCATGTCCTTCAGAGTACCCAACCCAGATGTGTCTGTGGTTGATCTGACGGTCAGACTCGAAAGGGTAAGAATGATATATACACTTGAAAATTCTAATATTCTAATCTTTTCTATTCTATAGCCGGCATCGTACGATGAGATTAAGGCGGCAATTAAGGAGGCCTCAGATGGTCCCCTCAAAGGCATTTTAGGCTACACAGAAGATGAAGTGGTGTCAACCGATTTCATTGGAGACTCACGCTCTAGCATCTTTGATGCAAAGGCGGGTATCTCACTCAATCCACATTTCGTAAAGGTAATACTTTTATATTAAAATTAAATGTTCTTTACTAATATTTTGTTGCTCTAGTTAATTTCGTGGTACGACAATGAATTTGGTTACTCAACGCGTGTGATCGATCTTTTGGTTCATGTTGCAAAGGTTGATGGCAATCTGTAAACAGAGCAAGAAAAAATTTTTCCTCAAAAAAAAATCAACAAAACTCTGCCGACAATTTCCCCCCCACCATCAACAAAGAAAACAAAAAAAAATCAACTTCCAAAACACACACACACACACTCCTTCTATATTCTTTCTGCTTCTATTCTCTCTCTTGATTTCTGGTCCCATTTCCCGGTACCTTTTCCTAAAGGTCTTGCTCAAATTCAACGAAACAGAAGAAGAAGAAGAAAAAAGCCGAAAGAAGAAAAAAAAAACCTAACTTACCCTTTGAAACATCTGAAGTCGGAAAACTCAAGAACATTATGAAAAGAAATCCTGGTTCCTGTTCGTGTCGCTCGCAAACGTCCACTTTTCGATTCTTCTGCTCTTATTTTTCCGAAACAACCCATCCAAATCCCTCCGTTCCCTCCCTAATTTGCCCATCCAATCTCTTGAAAAACATTTTGGTATCATTTCTCTTTTTTTTTTTTATTTTAATTGTTTTTATTTTTACTTTACTTTTTACATACTTAAAAACTACCAATCTATTTTTCTCATCTAGTACAACATTTTTATTATTCTTTTTCTATTTTCTTTGTTGTACTTTATGACGTACATGCCTCTCTCTCTCTACTACTTACCACCAACCTTCCCCCCCTCACCCTCACCCTTGTTCTATATGAACCCCACCCTCTGTATTGTTGTATATGCTGTTATAGTAGAACTAACGTGTAACTTTATGTCCCATTTTTTTTTGTAATAAATAAATATAAAAGAAATTTGCAAGCTTTAAAATCCTAATATTATTTTAAACGCTCACAATTTTTTTAAAAACACACAAACTTGTCTATCTATTTTTGAATATTTGGAAATCAATTTGGCTTTTTTTTTTTTTAAAATAATTGGGTCACCAAAGAAAAAAGAAAAAAGAATAATAGAGTAATACATCTTATAATTTAATTAGTGGTTGGCTATTTTGTGTAAAAGAGCAAGTTTAGCCATTAAATTAGCCAAGCCAGAAAGAAAAACAGTAACAGCAATAATAAAGACCAACATACTTACTTGGTTTATAGTGTTACTCAACTTATTTCTTTTATTAAAAGTATTACAACTAATTGACTGACTGGACTGACTATCTATCTATCTATCAATCGATGAATCAATGAAATCAATGAAATCAATCACGGGTAAAAACGAGTGAGACAAAGACTACGAATCTTAAAGAAAAAAAAGAAAAAAAAAGAAAAAAAAGGGGGGGACTAGCTGATGTTGGGTATTACAAAATAAAACTAAATAGAAAGCTGGGTCAAGGAAATAGAATGGAATTGAATACCAAGTATGTTTGTGAGTAAGTTGTCTGTATATTCTCTAAAATTCTATTCGTCAATTGAAACAAGAAAAACCATAAAGAAAGGTATTGCTCTTCGACACCTACAGATACGTTAAGTTCAATTGTCTTTTTTTAATAATAAAATTCAAATATATATATATATAAAGAGTCTCGAATTGGCTTTCAGAGTAGGATGGGTGCTTGGCCTGGGTGCCCCCTCCCCTATTTATTTATTTTTGGGGTCTCTATTAACAAAAGCTGCACAACCTCAGCAAAACCTAAAATATTACTAATATCAATAGCAGTAGACTATTAAAGACGTATAGACAAAGCTACAGCTTTATTCGTCTTACTGACCAATTCATATTATAATTAGAATATACATCTTTTTTTGGCCGTGCCTTATGTTTTATTATACACACACAAAGAGGTAAAGATCAATATACGGCTAAAGAAAGACGCTCATATATATATATATATATATTTAATATTAAATTTCTAGCCATCTCATCATACCTATTAACATTAACATTACACATGTAACAATTGCCTTTTTACCAATAAAACAAACAGGCATACAAAGTTTGTTAGAATTTTATATTCTTGGTGTTATTAATATATATCTGCGCATGACTTACATTTGGTCCTTCTATATTTTTTAAACAAGTTCATTAATTACTCTTGCCCAGCTAACTCGGAGTATAGTTCTGTTCACAATTGAGTTGGACAATTGAATCTCTGACTCTCGCACATACTTTAGTCGATGGCAATTGGGCACCCAATTGAAATAAGCAGTAGAGAAGTAACTAAAGTTAGAGATAAAATGGCGCACCATATAAAATTTTTAAATAAACTCGAACGATCTGTTTTTTCTTTCTTAGGATAGTATTGCTATTGCTTATTAAACTGTTCCAATAGGAACAACCAGTCTACCTCGCAATTGCTTAAAAAAAAGTGTTTAAAGCATTTATTTACACAAACCACAATGGATAAAAAAATTAGTTTCTCTATCTAAATCTACATATTCAGTGATTTTACACAAACGGCTGTGGATTCTCTTAGTATCTCAATATAACAAAAGGTAGATGTTATGAAGGTAGCTTTACCGTTAACTTGGGCAGTTCCGACTGAAAGGCTTCATTTTTTTTTAAAAAAAAAAATATATAAACGCACACACACACACACACCATTTTTACCCCAAAACAAATATCCTTAAATCATTTTTATTGATAAGAATAAGAGAAATAACAATGATATGGATATTTATAGTGATATTGCTATTGCTATTTGGGTTGCCTTTGTCTTTATCTTTGTCATTAGTATTAGTAGTTCTATTAGTTTTTTTTTCTTGTCTGCCTTTGTATTTGTAATTAGCCTTGTAAAAGACATTGAAGTTGTCTTTGGATTTGGATTTAGGTTTGTACTCGTCCTTGAAATTAGGCTCATACATATATAATTTTTTTTTGTTCTAATGTTTTTGTGCTTTATATTCTTTTTTTTTAAAGATGTTTCCATATCTTATACTTTTTTTATATTTTCGACAGCATATCTTGGATTCTATGGGACTTGAATCTGGCGTCTTCTGACACGGTTTGTACACCCTAAATCATATTCTGGATGTACTTCAAGGTTTGGTCCTGGCGAGAGAAAGAAAGAAAGTTTGTAACAGAAATGATGCCATAAGAATCGTCCCCAGAAGAAGCGAATGGTTCGTTGTGAAAGCAACAGAAAGCAGCAGACCAACGACCTAAAAACAACAGGCAAGCAGCGGGAACTTACCTTACTAACAACGAAATAAAGGAAGGAAAAAAGAAAGAAAGAAAGAAATGATTGTCGCACCCACCAGCCGGGACACCAGCAAGCAACCAGCCATACATTGGGCGGTTGACAGTGGGCTCGCACAATACCCGCGCGCTTGTAGTCTTGCACTGTAGCGAAAAGGGGTAAATAAGACATATATGAGTTAGTATATTTTGTTCATAGACTTTGATATAGTACCCAAGAGAAATAACAGGCTATCTTACCTCTATAAAAAAAGAGCATCTGTTCTTCTTTCCCTGAAAACTTAAACAGCTCTTGGTCCGTGGTCATTCCATCGGACTATTAGTATTATATTACTACTACTAATAATAATAAGAAAGCAGTAAGGTTAGTCAACCGTAAGAGGCCAAAAAGTCATTCAAGAAGTTTAACAAAATAATATGTAATTATACCTCAAGACGTTTTGAGTATCCCTATGGTAATGAACTACAGTGTGAGCCAATTTCATCAAAAATCAAAATATATTAACCCGGTTCATTAGTCCTGTTCATTTACCCGTTTTTAGCTCTAACTAGTAAAACCACTTTTTTCCTGGACCAGTAGCCTGTTTCTAATCTGGTCTATGAACCCGATACATTCTAGCCAAAATTCTATGTAGCAGATATGCTACAATTTTGCTTTCAGTCATCATATATTGTAGACTGAAGAGGTAAGCTAATCTGAGAAGATATTAATAAATACACACAAGTGTGGAGACAGGTGTTACGGATGGTTTTAGCTCATCGAACGATAAATAGCATAGAGCCGAATTCTTTGGTCTCTTTTTTATTCTGAAATATAGGTTCAGATAATAGAGATAAGCTAATTTGCCGTTGTTTTCCATAAAAAAAAAGCAAACTTCCCATAGTGTATCAAAGCCAATTAACGAATATGTAACTATGTATTTGGCTCTTGTATCTTTTGGAAACTAGAAAACTGGATTATATACTTTTGGCGGAATTTCTGTTTATCTATAAAGCTACCAGTATATTGGGAACAATTTTAAAGCGACTCTTTATATTTTTCCTGTGTAATAGTCAGTATGTCTGTGTGCATAATGTGGTAATTAGTGACAGCACAAAAACAAAGGTCACTATACCTGTCAAATCTTTGTACGTCCGTTTGTATTCCTCATCTATTTTGTCCCAAGCTGGTCCTTTTTTTCCCCCCTGATAGCATGTTTTGTTAATGATAATACTTATAAATCAAAAAACATTCAATACTCCATACCCTAAACTACTCACAACTTCATTCTGATTCTTGACACTATCAATATCAGACATTTCAGCCTTCATTTCCTCCTCGGTTTCTTTCAGCTCGTTTTCATAATCACTAACTGCGGCTAGGGATACATACGAAGGTCTGTATGTGTCAAACTTCTCGGGTGGAATGAAACGAACAAACACAAAGTACAAAAGTATAAATAAATTACAGCTATTTTTCTTATATATATATATATATATATAGTGGTCATGAAATATAGCTTACCTGTCGGTCTAGTAAAAGATTGTTGACATACATATACATCCCTATTGGTATCCCTCGTCTAGATACTGATTCAAGGTCCTTTATGTAGTCTTTTGAGATCCTATCACAATTTTTGATATTACTCTTGTCGACTTCGAGATGAGTTTTATGGAAATAATTTTCAAAAGACCAGTCCGCTGCACGGATAGTTGAAAAAAACTTTTGGTTTCCTTCCAACTTTATAGGTGATTTATACTGAATATAGTCTTCAGGGCAATGCATTGAGAAGGTTTGTTTATGCTATCCAGTATATATAAAGAACATATAATAAGGAGGAAAGAACGGCTGAAAGTAAAGTATTGCGAGTTTGCAACTCATTTCCACAGAGACATGTGGCTTAATGAGGGCCTTACGGGTTTATACTATTTTGTACCGTGGCACATAAGAAAGAAAGTAAAAAAAGTAACAAGTTACACAATAAGCGGGAGGAGGAAACATTCTCCGATCAGTTTTGTATCCAAAGCACTGTACCTGATTACATTTTGTATATAGGCTCTAATACGCAAGGGCCGCCTTAATGTCGTTCGTATTGGATTCTTACTAACATAATAAAAAAATATATAGGGGGAGCTTGTGGAGCATAGCACAACAGCACCTTGCGAAATCTAGAATATCCTTTTCGTATTTTCTGTCTACTTTATTTTCTATTAAAGATATTGGTATCCACAGCAACAACAGCAAAGAAGAAACATTCAAAAGTTGTATCTACTACTATCATAATAATCATATGTACCTACCCACTCACTCACTTATACTCGCACTAACATTATAATAATATTCTGGACTGTAATTAATACAATATACTTTCACAGTACTGTCGACAAATATCTGTCTCAACTTTAATAAAGTGAGACTTCTTTTTATCTGATTTGACACTAGAAAAAAAAAAGGTATGTCACTCGATTGGTTTCCACCATTGCTATTACAAATAATCAATTAGAGCTCTTTTTCTTTCTTTCTTTCTCTCTTTGTATCTTTTATTGACACGCACATACACCCCTAAATATATATTAATGTTAACAAACCAACATCATGGGGATTAAACAATTTTTTGATATTGGGTGGTTACATTGTATTGCGTTACTTACCAATGTGAGTATGTACATGTATAGAAATTTAGATGTTTCATTGAATAGAAAAAAAAACGATGATTTGATAGGTCTCTCAACCACACGCGTGTGTGGGACACAGCCTCACATATGCTCTTTATATCCAAAATTATCTCCATAATTATTTGAGCGGTTTAATATGTACAAAAGAAGAACAAGAATTGAAAGAAGAAGAACAACCGGGATATCAGTGTAATTACTATTCTAGATGATTAATTCGCCAATATTGTGCATAGGGCACGTTCGTATAATGTGTTCAAAATTTAAAACCTACTCGTATCAGTATTGAGAAGCTAATATTATATATATGTATATATATATTGTCAATGATACATTAATCTACGACGAGACAAGTCAAGTTTTCAGTAGAAAGGAGGGGATATCATTTACACCTCACGGTTTGTCTTCTTTGGTCTCTATATAAATCAATATTTTCTACTTTTACGAATTAATCTAAAGGAATAGATTACACTATTTATGACCTAGTGTATCAAGTCAATATGAATTGATTTTCTTTTCTTTTATTTATTTGTAAAAAATTATACACATCTACACATACAAACACACACGCACACACACACATATATATAGCTAGGCTTTAACAATAGACATAGTAGACCAGCACTGAACTAATTGATATTCTCTTCTTGCTCTTCTTATTTTTGCTATGCTCATAACAAATACTAGTCATTCTCTTGAATTTTAATGATTACTCTTGAGCCAGTATTGTTTGAATATATATGCGATTTTCTTTTAAATTGGTATTCTTTGGTAGTTTTACGAGTAACAGGCCATAGTGTAAATAGTGCCGAAGGTTTTGTTGCTGATTTTATGATTGGTAAATGTGTAAATCTGGGTGTTTGCAGTGATGGTAATGGCAGAAGTGCTGGTGGTAGCAAGGAGGAAGGGGAAGGTGTCATTTTGTTTTCTGGTGCCGAAAGAATGACATATATCATAACAGGTGTTGAAGACACTGATCTTGGATTGGATTCCTTTGATATACGCACAGCAACCTTGACGGTGACAATTACGGTCAATGTCTTCCTATCGGGTACTCGCTCGACACAGTGGATTGTGGGCATTGGATTTCGCATGATCAATAACATGGCCGTTAGCATACAGCGCTTGGGCTTAAGTTCGGTGTATACGGTCATCAGTACCAAGGTATTTGTACCCAAAGTACGGCTCTCCAAACATCTGTCGCTACCGTATTTCAGGATGTAGCCCCAAACACTGATATCGTATATACTGTCTCTGAATATTGGTTCCATTTTGAGGCTCATGTAGCAAGAGTGTGGCATTTTACATAATATTGGTCTTGGAGGACTATTGATTTGTAAACAAAGGCGTTTTTTTTTTTAGGATTAAGATCAATATATGTATTTTTTTTTGTGGAGAAGGGAGGGATGAGTTGGTTACGGATTGATAAGTACGTTGTGCTTGTCCAGAGTGTAAAGATCCATTCTTTCTCTGAGCTGGATGGTGCTGCTAGTGGATAAATGCTCTTAGGAGAGAAGAAGCCTGTGATTCTTGTATAAACCATTGTGTGGATCAAGTAAGATTAAAGAGCTAATTGTGTTATGAAAAGATATGCACTGTATTTATATGGCAACAATCAACCAGCTGTGAAGAAATATAAAAAAGTAATATAGGTACGGATGACCCAAGAGTAATAAATAAGTTACTTAATAGGAAAGTTTGATACAAGATTATTATTTTTATGAGGGATTATATGATTTCAGACTGAGCAATCATTATTAATATATTTATATACAAAAGAAAAAAAAATTGTGCTATAAAAATACAGGAAAGAAGTACCAATAGCGGTAAGCTAAAATAATGTTAATAATAATAGTAAAGAAGAAGAAGGAGGAGGAGGATAAAAGTGAATATAACTACAGAATGGAAGATTAGAAATACAACCTTACATTACCTTTTTCAATATTTATTGGGCTTGCTAGGATCTCTAACAAAAATTACTCAAAATTTACTGCGATGATTTATCATTTTTCTTTTTTGATCCAGTGAGAGGATGACCTGTGGATCCTTATGATGAGAGCCACTGAAGAGTTTATGTTAAAAATAAAGTACCAAAAAAAATTGTGTTTTTCAAAGCTAATTTTAGGTGTAGACATGACCATGCTTAACACCACTAACAACCACAGCATATTTAACTCATGTATGTAATACCATTGTTTGTGATACCTTTAGAGGTAGAACAAAGACAGAATTCTGCTTGTGTGTGTGTGTGTGTGTGTCTTGCTTATAATTAATAATCAATTACTGTGAAAGTAAGTAAGTAAGTAAGAGAGGAAAAAAAAAAGGTAGAATGCTTAACTTGGAGATGTTTAAGTATTGCCTTTGGTAACCTATTTATTTAGTAGTACTCCTCCTTGGGAAATTAATGGGGGATTGTGCTCAAGTATATTTTGTAAACTTTGAAGGGCTTTGACATAAACTATGATTGCATGCTACCTCTTTCCATTACAGGATTATCCTTAACGAGATTCTATATGTTTCTCGTTTCCTAAATCAGGTAGAAAACACACACATATATATATGAAACTTTTGCGGGATATCCTCTGAAATATTCTCGTATATTCTATCCAAGTCCTATACCGTACTTTCGCTCTCAATTGGTCACTTTTGTAAGTATTGTTATTTGGCCACATTCTTAAAAGTAATATATAAAAAAGCCTCTATTATTCTTGAGGGGGAACGTTACGAACATGTTAAAGAAACCAAATTGAATAATCAGACGTCCCATCACTCGAGATTACCTTTTTTTTAGGAGTGCGGGCCATACTTTGATATTTGTTAAATATTTAAAAAAATATAAAACGCTAATCCGACGGGGTAGAAATTTTCAAGTGGGATACAACATTTATATCTAACTGGGCTAATTCATGAAAATACAGTACCTGCCAGGGGTTTGGTTTCTTTCTCTAATCCTTCAGGGAAAAACAGCGTGTCCTAAAATTAATACAATATATCCAATTAATAGCCGGTTGCGCCCAACATCTAGGCTTGGCCATAAAAAATACTATATCAATAGCCAGTTATGCAGAAGACTATAAGGAGTTTTTGTCATTAAAGTGCAACGCAATCTTGTTGGATATTTTACTATTTACTGGCCTTCTTACGTGTGTCATTTCTTTCTCTTTCTTTCACATATTATATTTATACTATCAGAAATTAGCCCAATGTTTGTTATTAAAAAATGCAGAACCAGTATGAAAGCAGCGCATGAGGCTACCAATTGGTCCCACCAGAAGCAAAGGCTAAAGAGCCCACCCTTTTCGAGGCAAAAGCTAAAAAAGGTAAAATGACATAAAAAATAAGAGATTATACACCTCTGTTTACCCCTCCCTCCAAATATATAGAGTCGTCATGCAAAGATCCTTTCAGAATGGGTATAACCTGTGGTCTGGGAGAATTAAAATATTGTCTGCTTAGGATTAGCGTTTTGTGACTCACCAGTTGGATATTTTTACGATGCCTTTATTATCTCATGTTCTACATTACCACGACAAAAGAAGCAAAAGAACTTATCGCTAAACAAAAAAAAATATAAAGATAAATACTTCAGCGCTCGATGATATTGAAAAAAAGTAGTATTGAGTGACATTTAGCTTTGTCTGTTATTGTTAAATAGATTTATCTTTTGCAGTAGCTGAATAAGAGCAGCACGTGAAATGTAAAGTGTTTATTGAATAACACTAATTAAAATTTTACGATTTATTAACGACAGTCTAAAACCGAGACCAGTCACCACCAGCAACATTGGGAAAAAGAGAAAGGTTTGACACTAGGTTATTCATACCATACCTATCATAAGCGTATTTGTTCCTTTTTGTTAGGTCATTGCAACAAGTAATCTTGATACAAAGTATTTAAATCACTTTAAAGATATAAACAAGGGCAATAAAGCCAAATACTCTGATACGTAGGTATATGTGTATTGGTATTTTTATTGCAATCCTTATGCCTATGCCTATGCCTATACTTATCTATTTTTTTTAAAAAAAAATGTTCTAAGCATGACAAAAACTCACGTTCTTGGCATGACGGATCAGAGCAAAGGCTCACAAGCCAATATGTTTTCAGATGATTTAAAGCTATATCTAAAAAAACGCTTACAGCACTCCTCCTCCCAAGTCTACTATCTCATGCGTCAATTTAATTGAAATGGTTGAGAAAAAATAATAAAATTAATTCATTAGATTCGGTCAAGACCGTTTTTGAATTGCTTCTACACTTTTAAAAATATATTTGGTTTTTTTTGTTACTTCTATTAAAAAAAGTGGAAGAACAATGCAAGAACAGGCTAAATCACTCCTACTGTAAATCTGCTTCGATCCTAAAGATAACTAACTTGATATTCCCAAAAAAGAGAGTTTTTTTACAGCCCCACATGTGAAAAGCTCTTAGATTCGTTAATTTTTTTGGGGCTTACAAGCAACAAAGAAGACTAATAAACATTTACAAATATCTCCTGGAGATAAATTTATACAAAAATTACCTTCAAGCCGCAAAACGTAAAATTTTACTCAGAACAAATCTTCATAATCAAGTTTTGGTTCTATTTGTTCGAGTAAGTCTTCTCTAATAGTGGAATATGATTTCACTGGGGCGATACAATGTCAACAAGAGTAAAAAAAAACGAAAATATTGAAATTAAGATTGACCTTCGAATCTTGGCAACAAGGAAGGGGAAGAAAAGGTGACAGTTCGTGCCATGGTTTAGCTGTCAAAAGAAGAGGATGACGATGCAAATGATGAAGATAATGATGAAGAAGATCTAGCTTGTTTTCGATCACAAAATGGTAAGCCTCTATGTGTATATTCTCTTAGACTTCATGTTGCGTTAACCGTGTAACATTTTTGTACTCTTCCTTGCCAGCTTTAATGTCTTTTTATATATCTTGTTTCGTTTCACTATAAGCAGGCTTTAATTGTTGTTTTACCTTTTCAACCTCTTTAACATCCGTGTAAGTCCTATCAATAGTAGTGGCAGTCTGATCCAGATTCTCCATTTTACTAGTTGTATTATGTTCAGATTCAGTTTGTTTCGGACTTAGCTTTCCCTCTATTTTTTTTGTAACGATCATTTTGTGAGTTTTCTATTAAAGACAGAAGTAGTGTCTCTCTCTTGCTCGTAAACATAACTTTTAGCCTAAGCAATTTCCTTACTCAAGTCAAGCGACTTTAGGTAGGAGGACAGGCCTTTGTTTTGTGCTCTAGCAGAAGAAAATTTGTTTTCTAAAAAATAGTTTCATGACAATATTGTATAAAGCTTCATTATTCTTTATTTTATCTTAATCAGCTTGGTGCACAGGTTAAAACCAATTTGGTGCAAAAATGGAATGCACCAAGTGCACCAAAAAAAAATTATAGACATTTTCGCCCTAAACAATTGTCGAATCTTGATTGCGAATATCTACAGAATCATTGCAAGCCACTAAGCAGTGCTTTATTGCAAACACCCGAGGTCCTTGAGATTAAAGTTTACTCTTTACAACTGACAAAAACTGCTCAATAGGATTAAGCTCAGGAAAATACGGTGGAAGATAGACACACCCATAGACTCTACGCTCGATAGAAAGTTGAATATCTTCATACTTGTGGATTGGGGCATTGTCCATTATCACATAATAGCCTTTGAACTCGCAATATATATTCATCACATCCAATGTACTGGAAACACAGTTGAATTAATTCCCAGTTACAGTCCCCCCTCGTCAAAGCTAATCATAAATACTTTTCTGCAAGTCACAAATATTAAAAAAGATTAATTTATTTTATATATGATAGATTTACTCCATACTTCTTTACCTACTATCTCTTATATAAACTTAATTAAAGTAAAAAATGATTGCTGAATCGGTTTGTCTAATAAAAAATATGTCTTTCTTAATCAATTTCTCAAAAAATAATACATTAACTTTTTTTTACAATATTTCTTCATTTTTTGGAAATTGCTTTCTTTATTGGCTGAATATGCTGTGACTTGCAGAAAAGTATTTACGATTAGCATTATCCGTCCCCCCTTTGCATTCTTCTTTGGATAGGACCGCCTACTGAGTAGTTTTTTTTTGGAAGCTAGTATAATTTTTGGGAGTTTGAATTTTACATAGATCGTACCACCAGGAGATATGGTAGCAAAGATGGTCGTCGTTTAGGCTCTTGTGTTCGGTACGGTTACGATAGCTCGAGTTCCTTTTAGAAACCAGGTGTAATTGCGTTTTAGGTTGCCATGAGAAGCTGCCTTGTCAATGAAGATTTAGTCACTCAAAAAATTCATGTCAGTTTCTTGTTAACGAGTAATCCATGTGTACCTTTCTTCAATGTTCTCGGGACTGTTTCGCTGTATTGAATAAAAGTAAGTTCTTTTGAGTGTGAACTGTCATTTATTGGTGAGGAAGTCGTGAAACAAAGATTTTTCGATTTCGGGACCCATAAACTGGGTATTCAACTTCTCCATCATTTCCTCCAAGACAATATCTGGTTTTGCATCTACTATGACAACCACAAGATTCTTGTATTCCTCGCAAAGTTTAGGCGGCTTTATGGCCGAACTGCTACTCAAACGGCTGACAATTTTCCTGTGAGATAAGTTCTCGTCGTTATTCAAGATCTCCACGCATTTTTAAGCTAGTTCTGACTAGTGCTGGGAGGAATATTGACCATTTTGCAAGCACAGACACTAAATTGCTTCTCATACACCTAATAAAAAAAACTTCTCCTTATCCTCTTTTTATATGACCGATGACTTACTTTTTTAACCTATTCCTTTTTGACGATTCTCTCATCTTCCGAGCTTTCAAGTGTTTTTCCCTTAACTTGATTTTCTGGAGGTTTCAGTTCCATGTATTATTTGAGATTTGTAATGTTGTATAGTAAGTATTGTTCATTGTCCACTTCCATATCAAGAACAGCTACTGGAATCCCCTCTTCATAATAAATATTTCCACCTCAATCTTCGTAAAGAAATTAATCTATGTTTAATATTGAATAGTTGTTTGTTTTTCTTATAAAAAAGATTCAGGAGAAAGGAAATTGAAAAATGCGCCAATTTATTCGATTATTTTTGTACCAAATTGATTTTAAGCTGTGGACCAAACCGATTTTTATTGGTACACCAAATTTATTTTTGCTGGTTCACCAAATCAATCTTCATTTTTGCACCAATAATTTCCGAAAAGAGTGTAAAAGCCTTTACTTCAAAAATAATAGAGACCTTTCTTTATCATTTTTACAAAAGTGATCAATTGAATTTCGAAAAATTGACCAAGCTTTCTAAAAAATCTGACCAATTGAGAGCGAAAGTACGGTATAGGACTTGGATAGAATATACGAGAATATTTCAGAGGATATCCCGCAAAAGTTTCATATATATATGTGTGTGTTTTCTACCTGATTTAGGAAACGAGAAACATATAGAATCTCGTTAAGGATAATCCTGTAATGGAAAGAGGTAGCATGCAATCATAGTTTATGTCAAAGCCCTTCAAAGTTTACAAAATATACTTGAGCACAATCCCCCATTAATTTCCCAAGGAGGAGTACTACTAAATAAATAGGTTACCAAAGGCAATACTTAAACATCTCCAAGTTAAGCATTCTACCTTTTTTTTTTCCTCTCTTACTTACTTACTTACTTTCACAGTAATTGATTATTAATTATAAGCAAGACACACACACACACACACACAAGCAGAATTCTGTCTTTGTTCTACCTCTAAAGGTATCACAAACAATGGTATTACATACATGAGTTAAATATGCTGTGGTTGTTAGTGGTGTTAAGCATGGTCATGTCTACACCTAAAATTAGCTTTGAAAAACACAATTTTTTTTGGTACTTTATTTTTAACATAAACTCTTCAGTGGCTCTCATCATAAGGATCCACAGGTCATCCTCTCACTGGATCAAAAAAGAAAAATGATAAATCATCGCAGTAAATTTTGAGTAATTTTTGTTAGAGATCCTAGCAAGCCCAATAAATATTGAAAAAGGTAATGTAAGGTTGTATTTCTAATCTTCCATTCTGTAGTTATATTCACTTTTATCCTCCTCCTCCTTCTTCTTCTTTACTATTATTATTAACATTATTTTAGCTTACCGCTATTGGTACTTCTTTCCTGTATTTTTATAGCACAATTTTTTTTTCTTTTGTATATAAATATATTAATAATGATTGCTCAGTCTGAAATCATATAATCCCTCATAAAAATAATAATCTTGTATCAAACTTTCCTATTAAGTAACTTATTTATTACTCTTGGGTCATCCGTACCTATATTACTTTTTTATATTTCTTCACAGCTGGTTGATTGTTGCCATATAAATACAGTGCATATCTTTTCATAACACAATTAGCTCTTTAATCTTACTTGATCCACACAATGGTTTATACAAGAATCACAGGCTTCTTCTCTCCTAAGAGCATTTATCCACTAGCAGCACCATCCAGCTCAGAGAAAGAATGGATCTTTACACTCTGGACAAGCACAACGTACTTATCAATCCGTAACCAACTCATCCCTCCCTTCTCCACAAAAAAAAATACATATATTGATCTTAATCCTAAAAAAAAAACGCCTTTGTTTACAAATCAATAGTCCTCCAAGACCAATATTATGTAAAATGCCACACTCTTGCTACATGAGCCTCAAAATGGAACCAATATTCAGAGACAGTATATACGATATCAGTGTTTGGGGCTACATCCTGAAATACGGTAGCGACAGATGTTTGGAGAGCCGTACTTTGGGTACAAATACCTTGGTACTGATGACCGTATACACCGAACTTAAGCCCAAGCGCTGTATGCTAACGGCCATGTTATTGATCATGCGAAATCCAATGCCCACAATCCACTGTGTCGAACGAGTACCCGATAGGAAGACATTGACCGTAATTGTCACCGTCAAGGTTGCTGTGCGTATATCAAAGGAATCCAATCCAAGATCAGTGTCTTCAACACCTGTTATGATATATGTCATTCTTTCGGCACCAGAAAACAAAATGACACCTTCCCCTTCCTCCTTGCTACCACCAGCACTTCTGCCATTACCATCACTGCAAACACCCAGATTCACACATTTACCAATCATAAAATCAGCAACAAAACCTTCGGCACTATTTACACTATGGCCTGTTACTCGTAAAACTACCAAAGAATACCAATTTAAAAGAAAATCGCATATATATTCAAACAATACTGGCTCAAGAGTAATCATTAAAATTCAAGAGAATGACTAGTATTTGTTATGAGCATAGCAAAAATAAGAAGAGCAAGAAGAGAATATCAATTAGTTCAGTGCTGGTCTACTATGTCTATTGTTAAAGCCTAGCTATATATATGTGTGTGTGTGCGTGTGTGTTTGTATGTGTAGATGTGTATAATTTTTTACAAATAAATAAAAGAAAAGAAAATCAATTCATATTGACTTGATATACTAGGTCATAAATAAGGTGCTGCTAGTTATTGCTTTCCAAATAATATTGCTTTGCGATAATGTCAAAGGAGACAGCTCGAAGCTCTGCTTTAAAAGATAAAGCTATCACTGTAGTAAATGGCAGACATTACAACTCCGCGACCGTAGGAATTATACGGTCCCGTATATCTTATACGAATCCGTATAATTTCTACGGTCGCGGAGGTGTAATGTCTGCCAATAGAATATTGGCTTTTAGTAAATTAAAAGTATTTACAGCGAATACTATTTATTGGAGTTAAAATTACTTTTTATCTAATCCAATAAAATCGTTTAAAGTAGCAAAATTATACCATTCTTAGGTACATTTTTCTCTTTTTATAACAAATTTAGATAGTACAATTCGTTAGATTTCAGAGCATTTTTGCATATAATCCAATCAAATGTTCTAAATATAGCAAATCTATACCTTTTTTTAGATATCTCTATTCTTATAATTGGTTCAAATACACGGTTTTATATTGGAATTTTATAGTTTTTATTGATCAAAATAATACAAGTTGAATATAAAGAAGTATGGAAAGAAGAAGTACTAAATTTAATGATATTTAGTAGCAGTTTAAGCTATAAAGTTACTAAATAATATACATATATCTATTTTTATGTGATACTTTTTACATTTTTTTATCTAAAAAAAAAAGGCTATTCTCTAAGTACTATGATATTGATGAAGATATGTATATTGCTTAATTAATTCTTTTTATCAAAGAGTATAAACCTGCTTTGTGTTAACATTGTCATGTCTGATTCCTACTTTTGAAAAACAAGAAGACAGATTCCTTGCAATTCTCTAAATCTACCGAGATTTCTATTGAGCATGCGAGCAATCTTGACAACCAAATTGTACTTGATGCATATATTTTTCTGTCAATTCTTCTCAGATTGCTTTCTTTTGTCAACTTTGCTGATTCGTATTTTATTAATACTAGCCTTCATAGTTATTAAGTGTGTTCCTTTTAGAGACATTTAATAATTTTAGACCAGGTGAAAAAAATAGAAACAAGTCCTTTTAGATGTACCAATCTAAATTGTTTGGAGAACATGGACGGGTCAGAGGTTATGCATCGTTTATGGAATCGGGATCTTGCTGCTGTCCTGAACTTCCGGCATATGCTTAACAATCTGAGATATGATGGGACTATACATGTAAGGTTCACCCGCGTCATTCGGATTAGACGTATCAGAAGACAAGCAGAAGAAGATCTCCAGGAGGGTCGTCGTTTTAGACAAAGACTGACTAGACTTCAAAGAAGATGAAAAAATTTCGTCCTGGTTACCGCTTAGGACCTACCCAAGCTACCGCTGGTAAGCCATTAGATTTGAATAACTTGGTATTTAGTTTTGTAATGGGTTGAAAAAGCTAAGAAAAAGATGTTTTGCTTTGACTGCAAAAAAACATGGTGGAGTAGAAATTGGTGCTTAATTAAAACTAACTACAAGACACTTTAAACCCTGGAAAACTTGCAACAATTCACTAAAATCGCCTATTTTTTTTCTATAGGGTATGAACTTTAAACGCACATTTCTGATTCAAAATTACACAGGCTTTTGCTTTTTTCTTTTTTGTTCTTATTTTTTTTAAGCCAGAGCTTATTTTTTTCAGAGCTTACTAGAGCTCAACATTATATATAGCACAAAACAAAGTTAAAATTACATAATTTTTTTTAAAAAGAAAAAGAAAAAAAAACATACGCGTACATACACACACACCAAAGGGCAACACTATGTGAAATCCAACTATTTAATTTTCACTTGCCGACCTTTTTTGCTACTTTACTTGTAGCACATAGAAAAATAGACCGTTTAGTAAATGTTTTTTCTAAAGTACGCTTTTAATTCCGAAGTGAAAAAAATTTACTTTTTTGATTATACGACATTAGGAGAAACAATATATTGAAACACCGTCGCATTTTTTTTTGTGTAGGAGAATTGCTAGCCTCACAAAAATGCCACGCTCCCAGGTGTTTTTAAATTACTAAAAACAGCTTAGATCGTTTGAGTTCAAAAAATGTCCTGTAATCTACCAAAAAGACTGGGCATTTGAAATTTAAATTAATTATTTTACTTTACTTTACTTTACTTTTTTTGCTTTTTTACAAGTTTTCAATTAGTCTTTAACTTTTTATTATTATTTGATAGCAAGTGATTGATCCTCTTATTCCAAGTTATAATTTTATTTAAATATTATACTGCATTGCAATTAAAGTACTCGTGATTGATTTTGGATTAGTATATCAATATTAGAAAAAATAGATACTGTGAGAGTGTTATTTATTAATGAAAGTTAAAATAATATTCGAGATGCTCGGAACTAATTTTTGGTTAGTATATTAATAGAAGGAAAAGTAGATACTGTGAGAGTGTTATTTATCAAAGATAGAATAATACGTTTATATATATCAATCGATAAAGACTTTCTTTTTCTTACTATTCAATTTGCCTCTCTTGATATTTGTACCTCCGCTGTGCCACGTCTGGTACTCAAAATCCACCCACACACACATAAATCTACCCAGGTACGCAAATCCACCCAGACACACACAAATCCACACACACACACAAATCCTCCCACACACGCATACATTCATTCGGACACACACACAAATTTTTTTTGTCATGAATTCATAGACCTATATAAAGAATAAATTAATAAATAATTAGCATACTTTTTGAAAGTAGAGCTCCCCGCCTCCCCTCAAGTTTTATTTAACTCTTCCCTATGAAAAGTTTAGTTACTATATATTACAATTAATGTATAAAAATGAGTCGAGCAGTTTATTGAATGGATAGTAGACTTTAAGTGATATGGTTGTAAAACGATAAGAATATTTACAGAGAATTTAAAGGCAGAGTCTAAATTACATTATTATATTCCAACTTTTTAACGATATAGATAAAGATAATAAAGCAAGCTGTAATGTTGAGGAGACTTGTGTATTTTCTAGTCTAATAATGTGATGTGAACCAGGTACGAAAGTCATATCAAGAGGGATAATTTTTGTCTTTGTCAGTGATGCAGTCATAACTGTGGCTCACATCGACTCCCCATTGCATAAGCCAGTGGACCTTTGCGTTAGCCAGCTAATAACCTATATATGTCATCTACTTTTATATTGCAAGATATATAATGAATGGGAAATGACCAAAAGGTGTGCCACTGTCAATGTGCGAGCGACAAACCAGATATTATAGCCTTGAACGTGTCTTATCACACTACATAACAATTATGGGTACTGAGGGTATGAAATTGCACACATTTTGAGCAGAGAACAGGTAATAGTCCAAGGGTTTGTAGACAGGCAGAGAGAAGTATGTTCAAGGGAAAACGATATTGCTTGCCAGAAAATAGAAGTGACAGTAGCTTATTGAGTAGCAAAATTGTGGAACAGATTGGAAATGAATTAAAAAGATGATTTTTTTGGGGGACTGAGGACAAATAGCTCTGAGCTTTTTACCATACATTAATGAATCATATATAAAAGCCTGTGCCAACCCGCTGCAGTATGTCAAGAAGGAATAGCAAATATAACTATAATTAATATTGATAGAGAGAGACAAGTATGGAAACTAGCAGTGACAAAAGGGATGTTTTGTGAAATAAAATCTGTTACAGACATATTAGAGTGAATAATATTGCAAAAATAATACAAATAAAGATATCATAGGTATAGAAACAACATAGGTAGTCAAACATCATGTGTTTTGTTTAGCTCAAGAATGTGCTGTAGCCATGAAGTAGCAAACATAACAGATGTAGGAAGATCCATAGTTGGTTGCAAGCATTGCATTGTAAATGAGTATTGATTACTGCTTTTTTTATATCATCATAATAAAAATAAAGGGGCATTCTCTGCCTCTTTCTCTGTCTCTTGCTCTTTCTTTTTCACTTTCGCTTTCGCTTTCACTATTGTCGACAATGTGACGCAACATGGGACTTGTTTTTTTTTCTTCTCAGCTTTTGACACCAATGCAAATTATTATTTTTTTCCTTTAATTTTTTTTCTTATTAATACCAATAAAAACCTTCCTAACAAGCATATTCATATATTCATAATGGTACATAGACTACACATTCTACGTAAAATGCGCTGCGCAATATCCACTATGGACTATATAGCCTCAATTAACATCGCATCTTTCAAAAGAAGAAGAAGAAATAAACATGCACAAGATTTATTCATTTCCTTTCTTTTTATTTTAACTTGTTTTTATAGGCCATGCCCATCACTGTTTCCTCTTCTGAAACCAAAGATCTATTGAGAATGGAACGTGTCGGTAAGTTCTCCTCTACCTCTTCTTTTCTCTTTCTGTCTTTTTTTAAATATATATATATATATAAAAAGTATCTTGTACTAAATAATAATATTTCTCTTTATTCCAATAAAGGCACCCATTCTCACATTCGTGGTCTCGGCCTCGATGATAAATACGAACCTCGTGCATCCTCCCAAGGAATGGTTGGTCAACTCAAAGCTCGTAAAGCAGCCGGAATTACGCTCGCCATGATCAAAGCTGGAAAGACTCCCGGTCGCGCTATTCTGATTGCTGGTCCTCCTTCAACCGGAAAAACCGCAATTGCAATGGGTAATTAAGAATAATACAAAAAAAACTAATTTCATATATACATGTATATATATATATATATTTACTTTGTTACTAACTACAAATGTTTGTTATGATGTAGCAATGGCTCAAGGTAATGCATACATAACATATACGACGAAAAGATGAGAGAGAGAGAAAAGAGAATGAGACGAAAAATACGATAAACGATATAGACGAAATACGATATATACAAGAAAAAACGAAAATATACTTTGTGTGTATATTATATATATATATATATGTATATAATTGACGCTGTGTGGATGTGGAAAAAATAGAGCTCGGCACAGACGTACCTTTCACTTCTCTGGCCGCATCAGAAATCTTCTCTCTTGAGATGTCAAAAACCGAGGCATTGACACAGGCATTCCGTAGATCTATTGGTGTGCGCATCAAAGAAGAGTCTGAGCTTATTGAGGGTGAAGTTGTGGAAATTCAGATTGACCGTTCTTTGACTGGTGTAAGTCCCTCTTTTTGATTTGTGGGGGTGTTTTTTTTTTGTTTCTGCCTGTCTGTCTCTGTGTGTATTAGTATATATTCATATATATATATATATATATATATATATGGATTTTAAAGAAAGGAAGAAAGAAATTAAGTAACTGATCTTCTTATAATCCTATTGCAATTGTTCTTTTCTCTTTTTTTAACTTTTAACAGGGATCCAAAACCGGAAAGTTGACCTTGAAGACTACCGATATGGAAACCATTTACGATCTTGGTACAAAGATGATCGAGTCTTTGGATAAGGAGAAGGTTATGGCTGGGTAAGTTTATTGATTCATTTTACTTTATTATATTATATTATTTAAAGAAAAGCAAAGGAAGGAAGAAGAAGAGATAAAAACGAGAAAGGGGAAATAAGGGGAGAACAACTTGAGCAGTAGAATTTATGTGGTACTGTAATTTATGTAGTGATGTTATTACTATTGATAAGGCGTCTGGACGCATTACCAAGTTGGGTAGATCATTCACCCGTGCAAGAGACTATGATGCCATGGGCTCTGATGTAAGTGGCAAAAGAAAAAGAAAAAGCTTAATACAAGGCAATATTACAATAAGGTAAAGTGTAGGCCAACAAATCTAACTTATTTCTTTGTAGACCAAGTTTGTACAGTGCCCCGAGGGAGAATTGCAGAAGCGCAAGGAGGTTGTTCACACTGTGTCGCTTCATGAAATTGATGTAATCAACAGCAGAACCCAGGGCTTCTTGGCACTCTTCTCAGGTAATCAAATTTCTTTGGTAGTTTGTGTTTTATGTCTGTGCGTAAAATAGTGGAAAGAAGGGATATATATATATATAAAGGGGGTTGGATGTTTATCTGTATGTAATTGTATATGTATATTGATAAACTTCAAATTTCAAGGTGATACTGGAGAGATTAAACAGGAAGTCAGAGACCAGATCAACAGCAAGGTTGCTGAGTGGAGAGAGGAAGGAAAGGCCGATATTGTACCTGGTGTAAGTCAAAAGATAAAGAGAGAGAGAAAAGATGGTTATATATATTAGCTTGGAGTAAATTTGGAGGGAAAATGGTGATAAGTTTAGCATACATATAATAGTCTTTCATAGAACCAAAAGAAAAATACTAATAGTGATTACTTCTTCTTTTTTTGGGTTTGATTTGATTTGACTTGATTTAGGTTCTTTTCATTGATGAAGTTCACATGCTTGATATCGAATGCTTCTCATTCCTTAACAGAGCATTGGAAGACGACATGGCACCTATTGTGATTATGGCATCTAACCGCGGTGTCACCAACATTCGCGGCACAAAGTATAAAGCACCACACGGTATTCCTGCCGATCTCCGTGACCGATTGACAACCATCTCCACAAGTGCATACGAAGAAAAAGACATTCGCCAAATCTTAAATATTAGGTACTATGGGAGATATCTTTTTGTTTTTGTTAATTAATCGGGTGGTGATGTGTTTATGTTATCCTCAAGTGTTTAGGGAGATTAACACATCTAACTACTTCCTTGGTTATTTACTTACATATACGTATATATTTTATTTTATTTTAGATGTGTGGAAGAAGATGTAGAAATGTCCGATGATGCAAAGGATGTTTTGACTAGAATTGGTGTCGAGACATCCCTTCGTTACTCTATTCACCTTATCACAGCTGCCAACCTTGTTTCACGAAAGAGAAAGGTAATTAATCATACAATGAATAATAGTAATAATATTGGACATTTGTAACAAACAAGAAAAGGAAATATGAAACGAATGAGAAAGAGGGAGAAAAAGGCTTTGCGTGTAGTGTAGTGTAGTGCAGGGGATAGAGAAAAGGAAGAGGAGGAAGAGGAGGGAGAGGAGAGTGTGGGTCAAATAGTGGATAGTGAATACTTGATATTTGATATTGACTATATATTTTGTTCTTTATATTCTTTTTTAGGCAACGATAGTCGATGTTCAAGACATTAAGCGCGTATACTCCCTCTTCTTAGACGAAAAGAGATCTGTTCAGTACATGAAGGATTATGAAGACCAGTACATGTACAATGACCAGAGTGAGAAGGTCGTTGAGGGCACTCCTATGGAGATGTAAATCTTTTTATTATTATTTTATTTTCCCTTTCCTTTTGTTCTTTATCTTTAAATATATACTATATATACTATATATATATCTTATATTTATATTCTTATTTTTGCTCTGCATCAATAAAAATCAAGTCTTCATTACACACGCACATACACATAAAGAAGAATGAAGATAGAAGAGCTCTATTTTTATTTCTATTATAGCAATAATAAACTATAGCTTAAAATATAGAGGGGTAATGGTAATAGTGATAAATATATGATTCTGTATACAAATTTATCTTTTTTTTTCATATTTTTCTCTCTTCTGGATAATTGTTCGTATAGTAAGGTATTTTTATAATCTATCGTAGTCTATATTGTATCTTAGAGGAACAACATCCCCACAGTCAAGGATACCAGGAGACCTGTGAAATTAGCCAAGGCAGACAAGGCAGAGGCACTAGACACGTTGCTGGCAGTGTGAGCAGAGTCTCCAGATGTTTGAGAACTTTGGGCCTTAGATGTTATGGTAGTGGTTGCTTGGACATTAGAAGCAGAAGGTGCTGTCTGAGAACCGGGCATGATAGACATATTGCTCGTGTTTTCTGACACTACTCCACCGACCGAAGGAACAGCAGCAGCAGCAGAAATAGCAGCATCACCAACAGCACTAACAACACTGACTGAGGCTACTGTTTGTTCTTCGTCTACTAATTTACCGATACCCCATGGGATATTCTGACCTATAATTATTTTGTGTTTTTAGACATATATATATGTGTGTGTGTATAACGAATATGAATATTAATAAAGCGGCTAACCATCAGGCTGAAGGGTATTCTCTGGTTTTTGTTGGATATTGTCTGGCCCAACGATTGCAAACCGTGTTGTCCATGCTGCTTCGTCTTTGTCTATGGAATATATATATATAAAGATATTAATTAGCCAATCAGTAAACCAAAAGAGAGAGAGAAAGGATGTCTTGACTACCATTTGTGAACATCAGGAAATAGATATTGGCATGAGGCTCTACATCTGGAACTACCCATTTGTATGACATACTGTCAACACCACTCATATTCTGTGTTATTTTTTTTTAAAAAAAAAGCAACATTATTGGTCGTGAATACATAGAACGTGTAGATCAAAATATGTGTTTCATACAGAGGCAATGGTATCCAGAACGATCTGATCATCATTATCTCCAGTCATAAGATCTACAAATCGACAATAGAATATATGTATTTGTTGTATATTGCATATGTATGTAGTCTCTTATTTACCAATTCTAAAGTCTGTCCATGCTTGACTGATCGAAGGCTTGATATTGTCCTCCTCTTTTTTAACAGAAAAAAGGAGAGTACATAGATGGGTATGAATTAGCGAGTAAATAGGAATTGTTGAGGGTAGAATGCACAGATCACTTTTTATTGTTGACATTATTACCCCAGATAATTTCATATTCTTTGCCTGCCTGCCAGACAGTACCAGGCTCGGGAACAGACGGAGCAAGAGATGCATTTGTAACAACACAGAATGCAAGTAGAGCAGCGCCAATTGAGTACTTTGATGGAAACATACAAGCAGTAAAATAGAAATAAAAATATTATATATCTATATGTGTGTGTGTGTGTGCGTGTGTGTGTGTATGTGTTGTGTATGTGTTTGTATGTCAATAAAGTGCTTGTACGTAGATATACTTTTTTTTCTTATTAATTTTATACCTTTTTGGTTTTGGTTTTCAAAAAAAGAAAAAAAAAAGAAAAAGAAAAGGCATTGTTCTAATTATTATATAGTAGTAATAATTATTAGTAAAATTTTTATTTAGATCACTAAAGCATTCCCTCTCTGGCTGGATTCCTAAACTAAAAATGTCAAGCATGTCTGCTGGTTTTGATTTCCTAATTTTGTTGCAATTTTCTGTTGCTATGACAATCGAGAACATGTCTTCAAAAACAAAAACGAAAAAAGGACCTGTAGGTTCCTTGACGCAATTTGATGTTTATTTGTTAACCTGTATTTCTTATTTTTATCTTGATAGGAATTGGTAACAAGTGCTTTTAAAGGAGACAAAAATGACTTGACTGACATGTTTATACTCAAAAGTATCAAATATCAAATAGAAATAACAAATTATTATTATTGGCTTTCAATAACTGTGCTTAGATTATACACTAGAACCGAATATTTGGATGACATATATATATATATATGGTTGTGTTTTGTCTCAATATCACAAATCTCACTTGTCACATTTACATTTATATCGATATACATATAATGGATATATTGTAAGAAATACAAGGTCTCCTTTTTATTATATTATATTATATTATACTATACTATAGTATACTATTCTAATTATTCTGGTACTGTTCTTCTACCCATCGGATAGTTGCGGAAGGGGTTGTTGAGGATCGTGCACCTGTATTGTGGGACAGATCTTGGCTCACTGCTATTATACCTACAAACACAAACATAGACACAGACACAGACACACAATTGGTTGTTAGGATCAAGACCAGCCGATTCACTTTTTTTTTGCTGTACCTTATATCAAGAATATTGTTTATTTTCTGTACAAGGGCTCTTGTCTGTGTCTATGGCTATATTTTTTTTTGGGTCTTGTGTCTTGTGTCTTGTGTCTGATTGTGTAAGAAGAGAGACAGAAGAAAGGGGTTATAAGAGAAAGGAGTGGCGGGGCAGTGAGGGTGTTGATCTACAGACCTGGTTGTCAAAATGGCAATTGGGTCCCCTTCCCCTCTCTTTCTCTCTTTCTTATTATTTCTACATCCCTTCCCTCTCCCCCATTTTGCTTTTTTTTTATATAGTAATAATCAATGATTTCTTTTTTGCTCTCTTGTGTGCGTGTGGCTCTGTAACTAGGTGAGACAGAGCGGTTTATTTTATCCATGTGAGTTGCATGTGAGATTACAAAAAAAGTTTCTCTTTGTCTCTTTGTCTCGCTCTCTCTCTCTCTCTTTATTTTCTTAATAAATAAAAAAAAAAGAAATTCACTATTTGATTTCTAATGGTCCAGGGCCTTTATTTATCACAGTTATGAGGCAGTGATTTGAAATAATTGACTAATCATATTAATTAATAATGGTACAATATTATATTATATAATACATTTTTAATTATGGTGCATGGTTCTGAATTGTCTCGAGGTTGATGATAGTAATCAGATAATAATAGTAATAAAGTGAGGACTTGGTATTGTTCTAGTGCTTGCTACAAAGATTAGGATACTTAGTAATAATATGATATCAAGCAATATTCTTATTAACAGTAGCAGTAAAAGAAGGAATGCATTCCAGAGAGTATATAGAATGATACAAAAACTCTGCTGTCTATAGCTTAAACCTAAGATACAAACAAACAAACAAATAAGCAAAGCAATAAAGTAAATACTGCTGTCCATAATTAGCAAGGAAAAAGGAGAACGTTGCATGAGAGAAAGGATCTTTCTGGGCAATAGGATTTGTTTGTAACAGAATCAACAAATCAATCATAGGGAATATTAATGTATTTCTGCCAAACTTAGTAGATCAGTGAGAATTACATGCGCCCTGTAAAACACTCACACCCGAAGAAAACCAAAAATTAATAATAATATTTTTTTAAAAGAGCAAGAGACGGGAAATAATAGTATTCCAAAATGTATTCCCTTTTTCACAAGCCAAATGAAACCATTCACTTTTCAAATCAGTACACACACATACACACATCTTTACGAAACAAACAGTATATTTTTACTAAATAATATTAAAAAAAAACCACCTTATTTTGATAGTCACCCATATAGACAGACAGATAGTTATTTATTTATTTATTTAGGTAGGTAAACCTCATGAGATTACATAACCGATATGGCGGAAATATCTGTGATCCTTTGTCTAGTCAATTACACTGCATATTGTCATTTATTCATTTATTCATTTACCTATCCATCTACTTTTTTTTGTAAAGAATTCTTTGTAAAAGATGATGAACATTTTTGATATTTAAATATCACGCATAATCATTTGTCGTTAGTTGGTTTTTTTTTTGGTCTTGGTTGGAAGAAAGAGACTTGTTTTATGCTCTCTATTAAACGCAAGGGTTGGTGGCGTGATTATTTTATGAGACCCTGTTAGTTGAGATATGGGGGTCTTTTCTTTTTCTTTTTTTGATCCAAGTTTCTTGCTGTCTATCTTGATGTGTATTTATATACATATATATAAGTTTATGTGTGTATGTGTGTGTCTGTATTTGTCAGTTTCTGTATGTGGTTGTCAAGGTTACCCTTGTTCGATTGATGAGTAATTAAGGTATGTGATTGATTTAAAACCACATAACCTGGATTTTCATCACCATGACTGTTATTTTACATATATATATATTCAAGTAAAGACCCCTGCGCACGTACAGCAGTACCCAACATTGGTCCAATTTAGCTCGATTCAGTTCAATTCAATTCAATTCAATTCAATTCAACTCGATTTTACTGATATTTATTACCCTCATTCTCATACGCACATATACTGTTCCTCCGAAATTAGCCGGAGAAACGTCATGCGTGACTGGTGCTATATTGCATAAATTCATATCAACTCAGATAGGCTTTTTTTCTTTTTGGAAGATGGGGCGGGGGAAGTTCCGATCACACGCTCACCCCATTTTACTTTGACCAAAAAGAAACATACACATATACACCTCCTACTCAACACTTGCACAGAAAATTTGAAGACTTTCCTATAAAAACCCAGTCCAAATTTTTGTGTTTTTTTTTTTGGTTTTTGTTTTACAAAATAGTAATAAGAATTACAAGATATATATTCAAGCTATCAATCAATCGACTCGATTACCTCTTCTTCTTCTTATTCTTCTTATTTACTCATTTTCAACACCATGATTAGCTCTCGCGCAGCCTCTATTGTTCTCGTTCCTGTTGCCGCCGCAGCTGCTTATGCTACATACGTTCGTAACACTGTCCAGCCTTCGTTAGCCTATTCTTCTATCATGTCTCAAGGATCCAACCCATCTGCCCAGGAACAGTGGCGTAAAGTCAACAAAGGTCTCGGTCTTGTCGATGTTGGTCGCAGTTGTGGTGGTGTATAAACTAATGATAATGATAATTATTTGTTTTTATCATTATTATTAATTTTAAAGAAAAAAAAAGTCGTTGATTTGATACAAACCTTTCTCTCTTATATATACATATAACTCCCATGCCAAACAAAACCCTTTCTTTGTTCTTCTACTATTATTCTTACTACTCTACCAGTACTCTTCCATGCTTATTGAACATCATTATATTTTTTTGTATATTACCCTACCTTACCTTTAAAACTTTACACCAAACACCTCACGCTTAACGCTTAGCCCTTACCCTTTTTTTAACCCTTCCCTTTCCCACCTCATACTCTCTTTTCTTTCTTTCTATTAATTTTCGAGAAATATCATCTTACTTTCACTATCTATTGTCTCTTAATAAATCAAAAATCAAAATACACAAAATACACAAAGAAATTATAATAGTAACAGGTTTGAATTGAATACGTTTGTATGATTGGATAATATCGTGAGAGTCAAAAGGGTAGGATAGTTGAAAAGTGGTAGTGATAGTTACACATTTGGACCGGATCTTGTTACATTTTTTTTAAGAAAAAAAAAAAAAAGAAGCAACCCCCTCCACACACGACATGAGATGGGTCGTACACAAAAGGTAACCTGGAAACAGAAATTTACTCTTTTATAATTTTTTTTATTCTTTTTTAATATCTTTTTTTTTTTTTTTACTTTTATTTAATACACACACTCACACACGTACAAAAAGTACAAATGCACACAAGCACATGTGCCCACATGTATATATGTCTGGGTAGCCGTAGACACAAATGGCAATTTTAATGGCAATGTAGATGTAGATGTACATGTAAAGGTAAATGGATATGCTAATATTAAAATAAAAAAAAATAATTCAAAAATACATATAGTATTTATTCGAAAATGGTAAATTCTTTGCGAATAATACATGTATGTACATAAAAGGCATTATATATTGCACATTTGTTTTTGGAGGAACAAAGCGTAGATGCCTTTTTATTCAAATACATATATATATATATATATATATCCATAGTAATAATAATTAGAAGAAGAAATAGTAGATCATCAAGTACCTTGTGGTACCTCTGTGGACGTTTAATTTATCACTTGGTATCGGCTCAGTTGTGATGCCAAGCCAAGCATTTTACAAAACTTTGTATACAGTCTTATTCACATCCCCTCATTTCAAGGTGTACATACTAATCATTAATGGAGATATATGTAATATTTTATCATTAATTAATCAATCAACTTTTCAAAAGATCTCTACACAATACATACATACATACATACCTACGTTTGTGTGTATTACTGGGCAATTGATTGTAAGTAAGTGAGTAAATGGGAATTTATTATGTGGTGAGTTGACATCAAAAGTTTTGATCAGGCACAGTATTTAAGTAAAAAAAAGAAAAACACAATTCGCTAGACTTTATGAATCCTTTCAGTTTGAAATGAAAGCCACTATATACATATTACAATTAATATTGTGTCTCCTTGGAAACCAAAAACGCTTTCTTTATTTTCTCTGTCTATAGTTTCTTTGCTCAAGTTATGTTGATGGGCTAAGAGCACAAGGATATAACAATTATTAACATATCCCAATACTTGCTCACCGTCTCTGGACTCAATTGCTCATTAGCATATTAAATCAATTTCATCTTGATTTACTTGGTTCACTTGATTTCATCATAGACATCAATATTTAAATTCTTGAACCTTTTTTTACAGATTCTTTTACTTTTTTTTTGCGATCTATAAAATAAGGAGAAAGAAGTAGTAGAATATATATATAAAAATGGCGAATAAACGCTTTGTTTCATCATTGACCTCTATCGTTTCCGCCGAAACAAAGAAGGTGAGGCTCTTCCGACCACACTACTGTTTTTCAATTGGTCGATATACCAATTCACTCGTTATTTAGCCTTAATCAAGTTTGACAAATTCTTGTACTTCTCTGTCATGCAAACTAGGCTTCTTTTTGTTTTTGTTTTTTTGTTTGTTCGGTTTGTGTACGACAAGGCAATGTTTTGAAAATCGGGCCTCGTTTGACACATTTGAATATTTTATTGATTTAATTGATAGTATTTGTATAGGCATCAATTGATTGCAGAATATGTTAGCCAACGTTATCTTTTTTTTTATATATATTTTATTTTCAAGATGAATTATTTTATACGAGACTAATGATTTTTATCGTACGATTCTTTCTTGGTTATCTTTCTTTTTGACTTTACCGATTAATTCATCGTTATTGTTTTTAATGGGTGTACCAAAAGAACTCAAAAAAATAATAATAGTACCACGTTGCTTTGTGAATCTTCTTCTTGAATACTTTGCACACTAAATAGACTCATGTCAAAATAGAAAACAAAAGTATATTATCTTATTACCAGTACTAACCAAAGTCAAAATAAAAAAAAGAGCATTTAATAGAAAAAAATGTATACGAGGCTCTTGATAATGTACTTCTTCAACGTTTACAATATATAAGAAGAAAAGCAAATAATTGGTTTGTGGTAATAGCCACATACTTTGAATACAAGTACGATTATTTAAACTTGGACTTTATCATCTTCACTCTTAATACACAAACCTTTGGAAGAGCATATGTAGAACAGAATAGATAAATATGTAATCGCAAAATAAAAAGCATTAACCATAAATTCTTCTTCTACTATAGATATTTTGGGGTAAATACCGAGATGATAGTTTGACATCAAACACAAGGCCGACAAGCTTTGTTTCAGCCCTTAAAAATATATTAAATACAATACCCACAGGAATATTCTGTGTGTGTGTGTCTACGATGCGTGGGAGTATTTTTTTTGGTACGTTACAAGAATAGTTAGTAGATTTATTTTTAAAAAGAGAAAACTTTTTATATTAAAAAAAATCGAAGATATAATTTCCCCTCCTTTCATTAAACTCGTCAATCATTCTGCATCATAGTAGACTGTAGAAAAACAATAAAAGAAAAGGAAAAAGGAATTGAGTAAAGAAGAGGAAGAAGAAGTTTAGATATGTGTGTATGTATGTGTTATCAAGATAATTTAACTTTTAATACTTGTAATTCCTTGAGAATTCTTCTCGGATAGGAACTTTATTTATCATGAGTGGTCAATTACACAGTTTGATTCATTTTTGTTACTAATTGCCCTAGCTTCTCTGTGAGCATAATACACAATACACTTCTTTACTCGCGCCTTGTCTTTTTTTTTATCACTATTGATTTTATTTTACTATGATAAAGATTTCAAGCAACAGCCAAAAAGATACAGATAAAACTCGTTCGGTATTCCGCTATATACACCAAGCGGAGATTTTATAAAGAAAAAAGAAGAGAAAAGCGGGAGAACATGGCAACAAATAACTAATTGAACAAGCAAAATAAGCAAATCTTTGTGCGCACAAAATTAATAGAAACGAGATCAATTGTTGCAAAATATATAGAATTATCAAAGGCTGAATATGTCTGTAGCAAAGTAATTACCAAAAGCCCTTGTTTTTTTTTTTTTTTTTTTTTTTTACTAGATTGTTCCATGTCCCCATATTCAGGGTTGATTTTGTCAGTGAACCTGTCAACTGAAGGTGTTTCTTTTAATTCTACATATCAAAATGAACTAATTGTAGTTAAAAGGCTTTCTTTTTCTAATATAAAAAAAATCCCCTTGTCCAAACTATATTTTGTAGTATGTATTATTGATATATATATATATATATATATATATATATATATTGTAGGGGTCTCGTCTAGTTTTACTGGTTAGATTTCTATCTTTGGTTTCTGTTTCTTGTTGATTTTTGCATAAGAAAGCAATTCACACACTAACAGATTAATTGGGTTTGGTTTAGTGCGTTGGCTTGATTGCATGTCAAGCTACTGCTTGTTTTACCTAAATATAAACATACATACATTCATACATTCGTACTTTGTATAGATTTATAAATTTTCCCATGCAATTTGTTTGCATATAAAAAGCCGAGCAATTTTATTTTCTTTTATTGATTTCAAGACTATTTTACTCTTTTCTAAAAAATCTCTTTTTTATTCTCTCTTATACTTCTTATATTAAGTTTCAAACACACTACTCTTATTATTTTATTTCTCTTGTTTCTTTCCCATTTGATACAATTATGCCAGGACCAGGAACTTTATTTACTTTAGGAGCCGTAGGTGTTGCAGGAGCAACCATGTACGCTCGCCGTAATTCGGGTACTGAGCAGAACAGCAGCACACGAGGCCCTGCTCCTCCCCAGCTGTCTTCCCTGACAAGCTCATCAACCACAGGCCCGTCAGCAAGAGCAGTCCGGGCCGAAAGAAAGGCAGCCGGCCCAAGCAGTGCAACTACAACCACGGCCTTTAATCTCAAGAGTGGACTCAAGACAGGCGAGGCAACAATTAATGGTGCAGCCGCAACAGCTGGAACAAGAGCCGCCGCAAGGGCAGAAGCAAGGGCAGCCCAATTGGCCGATGATAGCAGTGAATGGGAAGGACAGATCAGTCCTCATGTCATGGCTCGTCGTGGCTCACGCGGCACCTCGAATGATCTCTGGGACTCTGACAAACAGGCCGAGCACCATTGGCGTCGTGATTATGGAATCAATTTTGGTCACAATTCTCATCCCAAATTCCCTTTTAACCATTCTCAAAAATAAGTAGAGATATTTTCTTCTCACACTCTCACACTTGAGATTCTATTAAATATATATATATGTATGTATGTATGAAAAATGTAAATAAATAAATAAAAGGTTATCAAACTTTGTTACTATTCAATGTCAATAATGTCAATGTCGATGTCTGTTTCAAAAATTACATATTTGATTTGATTTGATGATTTTCTTCTATTATATATGCATGTACATATACATTATTATTGGTTTTGAACCAAGGCAAGATAAAGATTACAAAGAGAAATGTAAATATGTCTATATATGTCTAATTATATATCTATATATTGACCGTGCCATGAAATACTGATAAGAGATACATACATACACCCAAATATAGATATAGATATATTGATAGACAACACAGTACAAGGGCAAGATAAAAGGGTTGTTGAAATATCTTTTCTTATTTATTAGTAATTTTGGTTCTGCCCTACATTTCACCATCCGTCGTACTGTGAATTGAGTTGGTGCAAGTCCAAACAAACAATACAAGAAGACAAGAAGGTTCTAGGTTCAGGATTCTTTATAGATTAGATTTCTTTCTGGACTTTATCAATTTCACTATAATACGGTCCAAGTTCATATTATCAAACACACACGCACACACACTCATAACTATATATATATATATATATATATTTATTTATTATAATTATAATTATAATATGAGGTCTATTGGTGGACTTGTGATTACATGGTGTGAGAATAAAATAAAGAGGTTACAAAAAGAAAGAAAGGTGTAGTTGCCTATATACATATATCAAAGAGAAAAATAAAATACTAATACTAATACTAATAATAATAATAGAAAGGAAAGATTGGCGGATAGTAAAGTATAAGACTGTCTTATTTAGGAAGCGTACCGAACAGCCGTTGGTTGTTGATGTTGTACTTCATAGAATTTACTGTCCACAAAAGACCTCGGACGAATTGCCGCTTGATGATTATTATCAACATCAATCATAGTATAGCTCTTGTCTTCATCTTGGTCTTCATTCTGGTCTTCATCTTCGGTCACAATGCAATTGGAATCCTCAAATGGGTTGACATACTCTAGATTTGCAATCGCCTGACTGTCTATCACGGCCTGGTGTAGTCTCTGTGATAACTGGCTCTCATTGGGACCCAATTCAATCTTTGGCTCAAATGCACCGTGCAACCCAACTCGCATTCCATGGAATACATACATCGCGTCTCGTTCAGTCGGCCCCAGTTTAGACTCACTCTTCAAACAATGTTCCAGAGTCTGTCTGGCTCGGGAAACAAGATAATCCACATCTTCCTCACCCGACAGCTGACTCTGCTGTTGTTGAGCCTTTTCTGCTTCAAATGCATCCTCAAGTAAAGTTCGGCGCCGGCGTTGGCGTTGGCGGTGACGTTTGGCATTACAAAGTGCATATCTGACCGCAAAGTGAGCTTCCATTCCTCCACTCCGATGCAAGTCTTGACCATCGCCCTGTTGGGCCAATTCAGTCTCGAGCCGGCTCAGCAGATCAAGGCGGTCTTCGCAGGTGGCAGGTAGGACAAAGAGGATGTAGTTGAATGTGTAAAGTCTATAGGTAATCAATCTCCAGAGTGCGTCATTATGATTATTGTCAGTGCTTGAATTCAAGAGCGGCAGTAAGGTTTGCTTTAGACGGGCGGCCATAAAAAAGGCTCTGTTCTGGCATCGCTTGTCGGTGAAAAAGAAGGCATCAAATACATCACTAAACCGCCCACTTTGGGCCTCTTTTGAGATCACTCGCAAAGTCTCGGCAAAGCTGTTCGAAGTCGGGCTACTGGCGGTGCGAAGACGAGGGTTTGGTCTGTGGGCAGCTTCTGAAATGTTATCTTTAGGGCTCCTTGGACCTCTAGATAAGCTTGGGTTTCTGGATGTGTGGCTTCTTGGACTTGGACTTGTGTTTGAACTTGTGGATGCAGAGGTCGAGACTGAAGGCCTGGGAGGTGACGGGTGCCGTTTGAACGTCGGGAGTTTGACTGATCGAACACGGGAGAATGGAGCAAAGGTTGGCATACAAAAATAAGATACAATACAATATAATACAATAGATGTAGAGAAGGGCAAAAGAAAGAAGAAAGAAATAAAAAAAAAAGAAAATAAAGAAATAGGGTAAAGATTGGGTAGGAGAGAAAGGAGTGTAAGAAAAAGTGGTCTGGATAACTTTACCCACCAAATAAAGACACAGCTCGAAATCCCAGCCACGTTCCTTGTGTGCTCATCCGGAAATAGAATCCAGTGTGCGTGCCATTAATTATCCTTATTATAATTATTCCTATTATTTATTTTATTTTATACAGTGTTCAACTGGCACTTTTTTTTTCAAAAACAAAAACAAAGCACACTTCTACCCAAAGTGGTATTCAAAGAAAGAGTCAATCTACTTATCTATGTATTTTATGGATAATCTGATACCGTCAATCTTGTCCCAATAAAATAAGTGACATCAAATTGAATTGAATGTTCTATTGGACATTTTCTCTCTATGAAATTTGGGTATTTTATATATAAATATATATATTTACCAAGACCTGTTGTTTTGTTACTTTTGACATAAACTGTATGTATATACATATATGTTAGAGACAGGGGTTTTTTCTTTCGTTATTCACAAAAATGAAACACATAAATCGCCCCTCTGTGTTATTATTATTATTAATATTGTTGTTGTTGTTGTTGTTATTGCTACAATTTGGTACAATCTTTTAGGATTTGCTACTGTTGTTGCTACTGCTATCATTAATACTAATTATGTACAAGTCCGTGTTCCTTACCAGTTCATCAATTGATATAAGAAATGAATCTTTCCACCAGACCAAAAAGATCAAAATCCCCCCCTTTTCTTTCTTTCTTTAAAATCTTTTCTCTGTATGTGTGAGTGTATATATATATATATATATTGGTTGGTGTTGTTGGAATACTTTTTTTGGTTTATATGTATGTATGTACGTATATATATGAATGAATGAATGAATGAATGAATGTACGAATGTATGAATGCATGTATGTATGAATGTATCGATGTCTTGGTTTTGGCTTTGGCTTTTAGCTTCTTTTCTTCTTCTTTTTCTATGAACAAAATGAAGGGGAGTATTGCTTGTTGATCTCAACCTGAGCCTCGGTTGTCCGGTGCTGTAACCAGGTTGCAAAATTGCCACACTTTAGGAATTGGCTATAGAGTTCTTTGGTAGGATCGGTTGTCGAAGTGCGGGTTTTGAAGGTCGATTTAAAAGGTAGTTGAGGACCATGTTCTTTTAATGACTTCATGAACTGGTCTGTCTGGAAAGGCTTGAGACGTGGAGCAGGCCTTACTTCAGTCGTCATGGGACTAAAGGATGATGTTATTTTAACCCGATTATTATCGTTATTTATATAGTTCCCATAGTTACAAATCATGTCTATGTATCTATATCTTTATAAATAAACTATACATCAAATTAAATTAAATTACAATAGAAAAAGACTTGCCTAGCAACAGGAATCAGTGTACTAAAATAGCGGTTGAGTGGGACGAGAAACTTCTCCGTCAGATCGACAAAATGTCGCCGCAACATATTATTGAGCACCCAATCTATGGAACATGTGTGAACTCAGAACATCTTTGTATAACTTTCTTATTTTTAGAGCATTTTTTTTTTCTTTTTTGCTTTTCTTTTCTTTTCTTTTCTTTTCTTCCTCTTCCTTTTCTTATTACTATGATTTGTAACCTTACCTGGAGGATATTGCCGTAGCTCTGCTTCTGCAAACATTCTCAATAAATCGCGGTCTTTGGCAATTACTGCCTTTCGTTTCGAAGTGACACCCTATTTTTTGTTGTGGTTACGATAATATTAATAATACAACGAATAAATAAATAATTGGACATAAAGTATCGAGACACAAGGAATAAAATCCTGTGGTTCATACATAACAACGATAATAATAATAAACCATATATGTATATATTTACCTGTACAAAATCGAATGTGGTGTTTGGTTTGGATGACAGGCCAGGTTTGGCTTTTCTAGATGAATTGAGAGGACTATTGTGTGCTGTCATTGGTGTTCCATCTGGTTTTCTAATATCCGCCAAATCCCCCCCTTTCCGCGATTAGTTTCTTTTTTTTCTTCTTCTTTTATATTTTAATGATAATTGTAATAATTAACTCGATATTCCTCTCTTTTTTTTTTCTGGGAAACTCACCGTAACTGTTGGCGTCCCACTCGAACAATGTGAGGCCAGTGCTCAATAGCTGTATGAAAATATGGATTGGTTACTCCCAGAATCAAATTAGAGGCTGGCTAGAAACGAACAAAAAAAAGCTTATTTGTTAGCCAATCATTTCTTTTTATCTTTTATATATATATATTTGAACTTCTTTTTACCTTATTCTTAGTAATAAAGTATTTGAAATCTGTGTCTTGGATTGTAAAATATGGTCGATAATCTCCACAATATGGTATCTATTGTATTGTTTAAAATAATAGTTAGTCACCCAGAAAAAAAAACACGTGTAATAAATGATTGAAACGGTTGGAAGACATAGATTGAATCGGATTGAATGACGAATTATTGTCGTTTATCATTTTTATAATTTATAATTTGTAATGTGTAATGTGTAATTATAAATTATTATATAACTTACAGGATTAATCAAGTCGACAAGAGAAACGACTGCTTCACTGCAGACAGTTGGATCCGGTGCAAATACGACCAGGGGTTCGGCTAATAACATCAATTCCCACAATAACCACAGATCAGGAAGAATGTCTTTGAAATGGTTGTAAAGGCCTCGTATAGGTAAAGAAGCCATAATCTATACACACACACATATTTGAACAAATTAAAGTCAGTTACAACAGCTCTATCCACTTTTCAATTCATCTTATATATTACCTGCAGGTCAGGCTGCAGTTTATTCATATCAAATGGAGTTGTTTCCAATAGCTGTGGTTTAAATGGTTGGTGTAATTCTACTTGAAGCAGATTACCAAGGAATGGCAGATCAAATACTTGGCCTTCGACAGGTGAAAGCCTTTATATTTATATTATATATTTTAAAATAAAATAAAAATGATTAATAACAAGGTCCATATACACACACTATATATCATATCTCTATTTGTATCTTACCAATTAGCAATGTTCATGCATGCTGCTTCGAGCATGGGCTGTCCTGACTCAAAATAGGCTGGTCCGAGGATGCCGATCAAGCGGGAAAATAGACCGGTCCAGGGATGCTGAGAAAGAAGAACGATAGATTTCTAACATGTACAAAAAATTGATAGACATAAACATAAACATAAGCATAAGAATAAACACGTATGCACATGCATATGTAGATGCGTATGCATTTATAATTATTCTTACTTGAAAATATCCACGGCGAATCGAAGGGTCTTTCTTTTGACGAAAAAACACATATCCATAGAGAAACCCGGCGTTTGTGGTCGGGCCTAGGGAAAGAAAGAAAGAAAGAAACAAGAACAAACAACAATAGTACAAAAATTGAATCAGTTTACAGAACAACTTTACTTGAATAAATAGTAATCTTATTGTGTAGATCTCTCTCTCTCTCTCTCTCTTTTGTGTGTGTGTTTGTTTTTACCAGATACTGCAAATCCTGAATTGCTTGCTCGTACTCGAACACTGTATACTTGATCCCCGACTTCAAACACGTTTGAATCTGGAAATGCAGAAAAACATCTAATTACAAAAAAAAAACCAAATCAAATCAAATCAAATCAAATCAAAAAATTAAAGTTAATATACCAACACACTTTATAAGTATTTGATCCTTTAACATACATGTTCTTCTCTTCATCAGGAGATAGTTCCATAGGTGGATAAACATAGTCTAGTGCTATTAAGAAAAATAAGAATAAAAACAGATCAATTAAAATATATAAATATAAATATATATATATATATATATATACATAATGTACAAATATACGCTAAAATTACCTTGTCCGATCTCGAGATCAAAATTTACAACACAAAAACCAATAACCCATTTGCGAAACCGAGCCAGATCGTCGGGTTCTAATTGGAGCATTTTTGTATCGTCTTGGTTCTCGGTGATATCTAGATCATGGACAAGAAGAAGAGGTGGTGGTGGTGGCAGAAGAGAAGTCGCCGAAGTGATAGGAAGAGGAGGAGACGGGATCGAAAAAGAAAGAGCTGGTGATATAGGGTTCTTGTTGAGCAGATCAGGCTGAGAGTTGCAATAGCCCGGGTGGTGGTTAAACTGTAAAGAGGAGGTTGAAGCTTGTTTGCGTAAAGAGAGATCTGCAGGGGAATCGCTAATGTCGGCTTCTTGGAATCCAGCATTCGTGTGGGATGGCATGCGTCCGAATGGCGGACGTGGAGAACGACCGCCAAAGTCTTTGATTGACTGAGGTGAACCATGGCTTCCGTTGCTACTATGGCTACCTATACCACTACCTATACCACCGTGGCTCATTATTCCGTGGCTAACACCGTAGTTTAAGTAGCGACTGTGGTTGGCATGAGGGATGAGGCGAGGAGAGGATGGTTTAACGAGAGAGAGATCGGATTCCATAAGGCAGAACAAAAGACCGATTAAAATAAAAGACTTGGGCTTTTATTTGTGTATCGAGGGAATATTAAAGAGGTTAAGAAATATATATATATATATATAAAAGGAGGGAGGTAGAGTTAGAAGAAATAGATGTAGCAGTAGCAGTAGCAGTAGCAGTAGAGTTATAAGTATAAGTATATAAATAAAAATTGAAATAGAGGGAGAGGTAAAGGGAGAGGCGAGAGTATTAAAATATAATAATTATTAAGTTGTAAGAAATGAGAGAGGAAAAGACAGAGGAAGAAAGATGGTTGAAAAGAAGTCGAGAGTTGGACTTAATTGCCTAAACCAATCCTTTACTTTTTTTGGTTGGATTTCAAAAGCATACACTGGTGCGTAAAAAATATAATATAAAAAATACAAAATAATAAATAGATAAAAAATACGGACTTTTAATGCAATTCTGGTAAAGGAAAAAAAAAAGGAAAAAAGGGAAAAGAAAGGCAGAACCTCTTGGTGTTACTGTTCTACACTTCTTGTCTTATTGGTTCAAAATATTAATGACAAAAGAACACTGTTTTGTAGTAGTGGCTCAAAGTCACAATTGTCTTTTTTTTTAAAATTTTTATAAAATTATAATTTGTTGCCATGACTACATTACCCTTTATTATTATCATAATTATCATTGTTGTCGTATTGTTGAATGTTTATATATATATATATATATATAATATAATCTTGAATGCGTCACCCATTTGTATGTACAAAAGAAAAATGGTTTAAAAATAATAACACTATATCATGAAATCTGTTTCGATTGTGACCTTTTGTTCATGCTATATAAATTTATCTTAATTATTATTATTTTTTATTTTGAAACAATTATTCTATATTTTGTATAATTAATTAATTGGATTATTGTGCCAATTTAAACTGTTCTACAAGTGCTGAATTTTAGGTTCAAATGACACACTGATCAAAGAGAATATGTACTTAAATAGTGAAGAGTGAGAAAAGAAGATGTAGTATATTTTGGTTAATTAACCTACTAATGATTTTTAATTGTACAGCCAAATTTTATAATAATATGTAATCAGATAGACTCGAAATTTCCTAAATTATTCTCTCTCTCTCTCTTTCTTATTTACACACACACACACACACATATATATATATAGACATACTTCTTTGAACCTTTCTCTCTCTATCCCTCTCTTTCGCTCTCTTAAACTTACACGACACTTTTATTTAAATAGAGAGAGAAAAGAGAGTTCACGTATTAACTACAACGTATAACCTTTAAAAGACAAGAGCTGGAGGCATTCATTAAACGATTGATTCAAAGGTTATTGAGGAATACATATTCTAACCTGAGAAAAGATTTCTTTAGCCGATATATAAATATTTAGATTTAAAAAACAAACAACCTCAAGTTGTTGTAATGTCGTCATTTTTATTGCGAATGCATTTGTGTCAATCCCAATTTCAACATTAGAGATTAATAAATGTTAAAAAAAAAAACACACACACACACGCACGCACACACATACATACAGATGTATATATAAGGAAAGCAGGGTTAGATGGTACCTGGATAACGTGAATTACTGGAAGGAGCCAGGACAGTATAAATTAACCGGTGGATCAAATGAATTCATATTTTCTAAAGTAGCTAGTACCAATGGAATGATTAGAGTTATCAGGGAGAAAGAATGATAGCCATGAGAAATAGCCAGCCTTTGTTTTGCAAATAATATGTCTTGATTTGTAGTTGTTTCTAGAGTAGGAAAAGGAGAAAGAGAGAGATAGTAAGAGAGGAGGGCTCCTGGCCCTTCAACACTAGTCCAGAGTTCTTTTCTTTTGCTCTTTCGGTCAATGACAAATGAAAGTCTACCCAAAACCAATAAATATAAAAAAGAAAACGGACTCGAACAAATAATATTAATTCTATCTATTTGGAAAAGTGAAAAGAACTTGCTAATCTTGCTAACAAGATATAGGGTGGGATCATTGGAGCTATCTAAATAGCTCAAAATTGTGGAAAAAAAATACTTACAGGGGGGTTAAGGATGAGGAATGTTTGGTTTGGTTTGGTTTGGTAATAAGTAATGAGTAAATTGGGATAAAACGATGCAATCTGATCGCACCGAATATCTGGGTTACTCTTTAGGATAAAAGCAACATATATATCATGTGCTTTTTGAAGCCTTTTATTTTGTAATGTTCGTACCCATAAGATTATCGAATGAAAACAAAAATAGAGATAAAGACTATGCCTTTTTATTATTTTTATTGTTATTTCATTTATGAAGGAGGTCTTTTTTGTTTGTTTTTTGGTAGATCCAAAAGAGAGGGATTATCTGGTAAAGCAGTAATTGCTCAAAGAGAAGAAAAAAAGATGGAGACAACCATGTTACCATTAATTGGTGTCATTTGCGAAAAATGGTATTAAATGATCTCATACTTTGTATAAATATTGTGTGGACAACGCTACAAATCCACAAATAACTGATGTTCCAAAAAGAAGGGAAAAGGCTAATTGAATGAATATCATATAAATATAAAAGCAATGCCTACTTGTCACATTACTCATTAAATTCTAATATCATTATTATATATATATATAGTTTTTGTTGAATTGCTATGGTCTAAAGTCAAGACTAATGAAATATTAGGAGAAAATATTATTCAAAATACATGTGGCAGACAGAATATTTTTCTTTGAGCACAACAATCAAGTAATTAATCGATCTCAATCGGTGGATCAAACAAAACAAAACAAAAATCCAAGTTATTGTGAGACTGACTTGATTGCTGTGACCTTTTGTTCATGCTGTTATACATAATATACATACAAATGCAGTTTACTTTATTGCATTATTATTATTTGAAACACTTATTCTGTTGATTGGATTACCGTATCAATTAGATGGTTACAAGTCCTGAATTAGGCCCAAATGACGCACAGATCAAAGGAAGAAATGGAGAGGGAGAGGGAGAGGAGGGAAATTTATAGCTTATATTTGGTTAATTAATTAATTATTTAATTCTATACATATAATATATATTTTTATATTACAATTAATTTCCCATGCAAAAACAGTATATATATATATATATTATATACTAAAGTAAAATAAAATAAAAGGATAAAAATGAAGAAATTTTAGTCTTGTTCTTGACTGTGTAATCTTCAGCTGACAAAATAAGATATAACTTTACTTTACACACCACTATTATTTCTTCTTTTCTTTATTTCTTTTCTACCCGTTTAATCGTTTCACCTTCCTTTACTTTACTTCTTCTTTAACTTCTTTAATTATTATGAGTCTGTCAGAAAATGAAGCCGATGCTTCCATGCATCGGTTTATGCCGCCACCACCCTCACGTCGACCATACCGACACTCTCCCAATCGACACATTCCCTTATCCAAACAACCAGAACCATCTCCAGGTCCTCCAAAGTTCCCAGTGGGTGTTTCTTGGCCAATCTTACTGGCCATTGCACCTGCCCTTGGAGCCTTTCTTGGAGGTACTGCCGAGATCTGGAGTGATTTTATTATGATCCTTTTGATACTCTACTATGTTTATTCATGGGTAACAGGTAACCTTCTAGAAATATATGTATATATTTTATGTATATTAAATCAAATAAATGATTAGTCCCCTGGAGTTATTATGAAGGAGCAAGATCACGTCGTATGATTCACGAAAATGCAGTTCACAGCTCCCCAAATCCCGCAGAAGCAGAACGAAGAGCTGCTATTGCCGATGAGCTTCACCGTCATGAGCTTCTCGGACTGATCTGGGTGCTTGTTTCACCTGCTATTGCCGGCTACACACTACAGTACAGCCGCTACTTCTTGCACCACTACGAGCGATACATCAACTCCTTTAATGTTGCCGTATTCGTCCTTGCTGCCTCCATAAAGCCACTTTCTCACGTCATGAACCTTCTCAAGGAACGCACTGTCTATCTGCAGAGCGAAATCCAAGTTACCGAAAGCCATGTTGATGCTCTCCAAAAGAAACTCAATTTGATGGAAGAAGAGCTCTTTGGGCTGAGACGAGCCTTTGTTACCAAAAAAGATTTAGGCCAGGTAAAACAAAAATAAAAAAGATCTATATACGTATATAAAAACATATAGAATCTTATTTCTTACCAAATCAATCAATGATCAATAACCATAACAACAAAATAATAATAACTTTTTTTTTGGTTTTGGTTTGTAAGGTTACCAAGGAAATAAATCCTACTATCCACCAGCTGGCCAAATCAATCCGACGCTTCGAAAGAAAAGAATCTGCTATGCGACAGTGGTCCGAAGAATGCTTCGAGTCAATAAACTCCAAAGTGCGTGAGTTTGATGACTTTATCTGTTATCGGATCGAACAAGACCAGCGTTCTTCGCACGGTATTTTTGTCAGCCTTGTGTTATTGCCGCTCAATATCATCTTCTGGGTTGCCAAGCGTATGACCGGAATTTTCCCTATCCCACGCAGTCTTTTGAGCTATCCCAACAAGACCACTTGCCCACCATCTCCCACACATCAGCTTTATCATTGGCAACGGGTAGGAAATGAGAAATCAAAAGCTCCTATCGGACCTCTTCCTGCACCTATCCAGTTTCTTCCTGCTGCCGTTTCCACAACAACCACGACAACTACAGCTACAAATAACAACAACAATACCACCAACCCGTCGATGGCACCCAATTCTCAAGACACCAGATGAAATCCTTTTTTCAGCCTCATTCCTCTATATAAATAGTCTTCTTTACCACCAACCAGCAGCAACAACAACAACAACAAAAAACTAAAAAAAAATGAAACAATCAAACAAACACAACATTTCCTTATTTATATTCTGCCATCTTAACACCTAACACCTACCTAACATCGAACCTCAACCACAAATTGAGCTCTATTCATCTAATGAAATCACCTTTTCCCTTCTTTACGTATATATACATTTATTTTTTTATCTATTTATTAAACTGTCATTTTAACCACCTACATATATACATATACATATAACTTATCTATTTACACAATATACAAAATACATGCAAATATTTTTTTATCATCTATTATCGGTTATCGATTGACTATTATTGGTTTGCAACAACCAAAAGAGAAAAAAAAAACTCTAAGGTCTTTTTCTTTCTCTTTTTTGGATGTGAATTTAGGTGGAAGACATGTGCAGGCTATAGATATCTATGATTCACACGTGTATTTTCCATTGTTCTCTTAAAAACCTAGTACTACATTGGTTCCCTTTTTATTCTCAATTAGAGATCATATATTTCTGTCTCTTACAGACCAAGTAACACTATAAGAATACCAAGGATATGGGTTTTTTTTTTAAATAAAAAAGAAAGTATCGGTCAATCGGCTTACTAGCGAACCTAATTGTTGCCTATAAGATATATATATATATATAAATAGACCTGTGTATGTGTGTGCGAGTGTGAGTTTGTGTTTGCGTATGCATATGCATATATTTGTTTCCATGGCATCATAGACACATGCCAATAAGAAAAAAAAAGTTTTTTTTTTGGTAATACCACTATTTGGATCAATATATAAACTATCTAGTTAAAGAAAAGGGTTATATTAAAGCAGTACAAAGTAGCTAATATATACCTATATTGTTAACAAGATATTTCTTGAACCTTTATTTGTTAATAATCAAAATTAAATATTTACCCCAATAATAATAATTCCTGATTACTATCACTATTACTACTATGTTGGCACGTCAAAAAACTACGCCAACCATTAATCTTTGAATAATCCAAAACGACAGAATCATATAAATAAAACAAAGACATTATCATTACGGTAATTTAGTGCCATTAAAAGCAAGTCAAGCATTCATTTCTTATTTTCTTTTGTAAAGTATATTGTGTATGATATCATCAAATGCATATATATATATTTTAAAATAAGCGTCATAAAGCCTTTCATTTATCAAAGAAATCATGTATACAGAAAAGCAAGAAAGTAATAGAGATATCAAGCTCCAGGCCCAGTCACAACCGTCCTCTTTGGTTAATTAGATAATTAATGAAGAGGATCTAGCCCACACTACATCAAGCGTGTGCTTTTCAGTGCGCCCGGGTTACCCGCTGTAGGATTTTACTCTTTCCAGAAAAAAAACTGCCGGCCTTTTATCTTTATCTCTCTTTATTCTCGTTGTTAGCTGTGCAAGATCCGATAATTCTGAGCCGAAAGATACCGAATACAAAGAAAAGGAAACCAGGAAACCAAGACATTATTACACCAAATTAATCAAAGAAATTTAACTTTACATTTCCCTTTTCACTCTTTATTTTTTTTTTAAAAAAATAAAAATAAAATAAAGAACATGCTCCAAATACATTAGCCATTTTTGTTTTTAAAAGAATAAGCAAAATAGTATCATACTTATATATATATATATATATAATGCTTGTATTGTTTAGGTGTATCCACATGGCCAAGGTTTCTTGTCATTTGTTGAGTCACAAGTAAAGTGTGGCGCACACAATTCACACATGTAATTCATATAATAAAAGCAGAAAATTTTAACTTGTTTAGATCGTACACAATAGTCAATATTTTAAAGCGTGTATTATAGTGTCTAGCTATAACAGTGATCTAATTACTTGTTTTGTTTTCTTTAAAAAGAAAAGAGTTTACAAATATGTATATGACTAATTTATCATTATCATTATCTACATACACACACAAACACACATAAATATCCATCGTATAGTGTATCAATAAAATATTATCTTGGCCTTGACTTGAAATATTGTGTGTAGACAGATAGATTTGATGTTGACTTGGTCAAGCGATGGACATTATAGACTTCATAGTGGCTTGATAATCCCGGACCTGAAAAGTACACCAAAAAAAAAGTGGGATAAAGGTTGCATGTGGGTAGATTGAATTAGCGGGATTGGTGGGTTACAGAATAGCTTTTATATGTATGAATATACATATGTACTTGATCTTTGGCTATATTGATAGATTTCTTTAAAAGAACGGATGATATATATATGATAAAGCGTTTAAATGCATTGATTTTTTCTAAAATATAATATATATACACAGATCAAGCCACACGCATTAATTTATCACAAGAAAAAAAAAAGACCCTTTATTTATGCACCCCGCACAAAGCATTTATATTTTACATTTTTATATTTTATGAGAGAATCAAATTGTATAGAATTTCCCTGGTTTACTATAAGCACTCAGACTAGGGCAAGAAAGAAACTAAAAAAAAAGTAATAGAAGAAGAACAGATATATATATATATAAATACAAATAGGTTTTGTCTTTTTTTTCTTTCTTAACCATAGCACAAACGCCCGACTTTATCAAACCAAGAAACTCAAATTCATGATACAAGTTTGATGACATCGAGAATTGAATGACCGCCATCAGAGGTAAAAAACTCAGGATTCCGGGCAGTGTCTTTCTCTTTCTCTTGGAAGCCATCTGCACAATCGATCAATCCATCCATTAACTATCAACCATGCTTTTGTACACTGATATCATTACCGGTAAGCAATGGATGAAAACGAGATACACATTTTGCCCAAAAACTCATCAAGAAATCCTTACTTTTGTATATACCTATATATTTCTACCAAAATCGATCCACCACACCATAATAATATTTACTATACTATTATGCAGGCGATGAGATGTTCTCTGATGTCTACGTATGTTAACCCTTTCTCTTTTTATTATTACTTTTACTATTATTTCATAATATATATATGCAAATATGCATCAACCAACTCTAGATTACAATTCATTGTATTTCATTATGAATTTTGCTTTTTTTTTGTACACTTTCTAATCCGCTCTGTCTTTTATATGATACTTGATGTTAATAGGAGATCAAGGAGATCGATGACATTGCTTACGAAGTCGACTGCAAGATGATCCAGATCAAGGAGGGTGCTGATGTCGATATTGGTGCCAACCCCTCTGCTGAGGATGGTGCTGAGGATGAGGCTGAGGATGGTGTCAAGACCGTCAACAACGTTATCTACAACAACCGTCTCACCGAGACCTCCTTCGACAAGAAGTCCTACATGACCTACCTCAAGGGTTATATGAAGGCCATCAAGGCCCACCTTGCCGAGACCAACCCCGAGCGTATCCCCGTTTTCGAGAAGAAGATTCTTGCCTTCGTCAAGGGTATCGTTGCCAACTTCAAGGACTACGAGTTCTACGTCGGTGAGAGCATGAACCCCGATGGTATGGTCGCTCTTTTGAACTACCGCGAGGATGGTGTCACCCCTTACTTCACCTTCTTCAAGGATGGTCTTAAGGTCCAGAAGCTTTAAAAAAATTCATTTATTTTTAAAGTGAAACATGGGAACATCTTGATTGTTTGTTGGAATTGTTTTCTTTTATTATTATTTCTTCCTTTTTTTAAAAAAAAAGAAGAAGGAAAAGATATGAAGGAATCTTTTCGCAGATTTTTACATGTTTGAAAAAAGAAAAAGAACCGCAATGCTTTATATTTTTTGAGTTTTTGTGCTATTTTTTTTTTGTTAGGTCTATCTAAAATACAAAAAATAAATCATGTATCAAATGGCATAAAAAAATGACTGAGGAAAAGAAGTGAAGTGAAATTTTGTTTTCTTTTGTTTGGTTGAAAGAGATAGACGATAGGCGTCAATCAATCAATGTGTGTTTATTTAAAGACACCTTTTAGTACGTGGTAGATATGATTATCATAAAAAGGTTATCACTTTTGAAAAATAATTATTACAGACACATTCGTAGTAATTAGAAGAAAAGAGGTCAATTGAGCTAAAGAAGAAGAACCAAAACACGGTTTTTTTCATATAATGCTTGTGGGTGTATTTGACATAACGTTTGATGGATTTTGTGTTTCAATTGTTGTTTTTTTTTTCTGCTGTGAAAGGTATACGCAATATCACGCCATATTAACATTTCTTTCTCTCTATTCTCACATTTTATATAAATATATTATTTGGTTCAAGCTAACGATCTCAAGTGCACATCTTTTGTCTTGAGAACGCCTTCTCTTAAACAAGTTAATATTATCTATAGACCACTAGGGGAGGATCAATTGTTTATATGGCTATTTCTTATATTTTTTGATATAGAGAATAATAAGCCTAGCGAATAATAGGTTTTTGTATAAGAGTAATAGTAAGGAACAAGTAAAACAAACAAATGTATATATATATATATGATTTAGTAGATTATGAAGGATAATCTTAAAAGCGATTTTACATATCAAATTGTTTACACTATTTCTTTAGTAAATATTCTTACTGACCTTCAATACAAGAATTGTTACAAACTTTACAGATTTCAACCCACCACCTATTTTTTTTTTTTTTAATTTTTTAATTTTTATTTCTCCTGGCTTTTTTAACTTTCTCAAAGTAAACGCATCAATGTTTCTCCACCCAATAGTACAAGTAGCATACATGGTTGTGACTGGTTTTGTATTTGTGTAGTGCAAGTTTACCTGTCAACGTACTTTATCCCCAAGGTCCTCTTTACCAATCTTATCAACTTTCGGAGTGTTAAACTGGTGTTGTTTCTCTTGCAGAGCGTGTTTGCGTATTTGTGTGCTTCTTTTTATTTTATTTTTATTTTATTTTATTTTTTAACTGATATATTGGCTGTTGCATAATAAGCTACCATTAAATTTTTACTTTCCAAAAGAAAAGAAAAAAGCATAAAAAAAAAACATTACTATACTATAATAAATAAACCATGCCACGAGTATCAGAAAGGAAACAAGTAATTGCAGCTTTAGAGCAACAATTCATCGATACAACATCTGCAATGACCGAAGATATCAGATTATTGTTGCGAATGTCAGAAATTATTAATGACGAAGACATGGTCAGCTATTACAAAGACGTTGCAAGTATCTACGAAATATACCTGGCGGGCGAAATTGACGTTTACAATGACATGAAGGCAAAGATCGAAAGCTCGAGATATTTACACAAGGGAAAAAACGATGCTCCGAAATTCATGACAAAAGAAGAGAGTCTTGATCATTTACTTGATTTGGATGAAGAAGGATTTCTAGAAGAGTTTAGAATGAGTAAAGCATCGTTTTACAAGATCCACGACCTCGTGAAAGACCATTTTCTGTACAGATCAACAGCAAAGTCGATGCAAACTGACACGAGACTTCAGATTGCCGTTGTTCTCAGACGATTACAAGCAAATAGTAACACTTTATCATTAAACGCACTGTCCAACTTATGGGGAGTTGGAAGTAAGTAAAGACTTTAAGAGTCGATATATACATATATATTGTAAGCTTGTACGTAACATAACACAACATAACATTAATTGATTGTATGGTATGGTGTTTGATTAGAGGGATCTGTAAATAACTTCACCAATCGATTCTTTAATGTAATTCTATCCTTGGAAAAGGAATTTGTTCACTGGCCAAGAGAACATGAGAAACAGGAAATCATAAAAGAAAATAAGAAACCACTTGGATTCCCAGACCTTGTCGGTTTTCTGGGCGGCTGTACCTTTCAACTTGCACATGTGCAATCCTGGAAGCCAGAGCGATTCAGTGGGCCTGACTCCAAGTACTATGTGAACAGCATCGGAATCTGCGACCACAAGATGAGGATCCGGTACTTTGCTCAACCTGTCGAACTTGGGAACTCGCCTGACCTGCGTATCTTTTCGGATTGTGAGCTGGGCCGGTTTCCCAAAAGATTCTTCTTTGGAGATGAGTATGTGCTGGCCAGCCGTGGTGGATATAAACCCCTCGAGTATCTGGTTCCTGTTAAGACCAAAGAACCAGGACAGGAAAGGCTACCCAAATCCGACGAGGTATTCAACTCCTACATTTCGATCATGTGTCTCAAGATCAATCATGCGTTTGGGATCCTTAAGGAGCGCTTTTCTTCTCTCAATGAAATTCCGGTCAAAGTCAAGAATATGGATGATGCAAAGTTGGTCAATGAGTGGATCCGAGTTTGCATTATTCTGAATAACCTATTGATGGATCAAGAAGATGATAAGTGGACCATCCAAGTCAAGGCTGAGTGGGCTGAAAAGGGCAAGGCTGATATAAAGAGGATCAGAAAAGAAGTATCAGGCGAGGATTGTTAATTTACATACTTTCTATATTTTTTTTGTGTATCGAGAGGAAGATGATAACAATTTTACATACTAAACAAACTAAAGATTGAGAGAAAAGAAGTACAATATATCACCAATACAATTTTCACTCTTGAAACAAGAACAATGACAAAGTCAAAAAGTTTAATGAGTACAAATTTGAGAAACTTGGAAAATAATTACTCTAGAAGCGGGGAAGTCACAATTCAAAATTTTACCCTATCCACCAAATCCTTTATTCAAAAAATAAAAAATAAAATAAAAATAAAGAAAAAAAAACTACACGCATATATTTATATTATATTATATATATAAATATATACAAAAAAGAGAGCTTTCCAACTGTGATTCTTGAGGGGGTGTGTGTCGCGTTGCTGGACGAAAAAGGGATAATTTGAGTACAAAGCAAGTACAACACAAGGAGTAAAATACATACATACATACACATATATATATATATATATATACAACTGAATGAATTATATCAACACGCAAAAAGAAGAACAAATCAATAATGTTCTTTTAAAAAACGTTTTATAAATAAAAGAAAATGAAAGGGAAAGATGTATTGCTTATAATTATATGTCATTTTTGATCCTAAAAGGGTGTTTTATACCTGTTAATGTAGGCGCATTAAATATACATATATAAAAATAGTATTAACCAAAATGACAATTACAATGACAATGTCAATGATAACGGTGCCAACGAGATAGAAGATGGGCTATATAGTAGGTCGATATATAAAGACACAAAAGCACTTCTTTACTGTAGATTATAACGTCTAGTGTATAGATAGGAAATGAAGGAAAAGGGAGGAAAAAGAAAGGTCTGTCTTGATTTTTTTTGCTTTTCTTTCTCTGTCTATTTCATATATATATATATATATATATATATAGAATATTTCATTACCAAAAAAATAAATAAAAAAAAATTACAATTAAAAAAATAAAAGAAAAAAAGACTGTTACATTCATTTTGGCCATTGTAGAATTCACTCATGAATCCCACCAAGAATACTAGAAATACGAAAAGTCGACTCTCTCTTGCTAGCGAGCCCACTCGTCATTCTTTCACCCCTCCAAATAGACGGCACACACATGCACTTGATACACCTCGTCTCAGTCGATCGAGATCTACACAGTCTTCAATGAGCAATTTCGTGAGACCAATCCAAAACACCAACTCTCTACCACTCGTACCAAGCATCTCTTCACCAATACCACACACTCCACACACACCGCAATTACCACACACATCACAATCACCACATACATCACACACGCCTCATACACCTCAAACATCACATACACCCCAAAGCACAACACCAAACGATCATACAATCTTGTCAGGCGTGATAGCATACGTTGACGCCAGGTAAACAAATAACAATAGCAATAATTATATATATATATATAATTATTGTCTGTTTCTTTCTTTTTTATATAATAATAAGGTCGAATAATTGTTGCTAGATATATTATACTTGCATGTATCTTATAAGCTTTTTTCTTTTCTTTTTGCTCTTTTTGATTATTATTTTCTTTTATATATGAATCACAACTCATATAACAAAAAAATATACAAATGTTCAATTAATATAATATAAATGTAGGACGGACGATGGAGACGATGTCACTGAAAGCATGGAACGTCGAGTAGAAAATTTGGGAGCAAAGGTATGGAATGCCAGACATCAAAAGCGAGAACAGTTGGATGGACTCATTCTCTAAGATTCCTTAGACACGAAAAACTTTTTCTGGTAATATAAAACTTGATAACCTCTCTATCTATCTCTACCACTGTCTGTCTGTTTTGTCTATATATATATATACATATATATGTATATATATTTCTTAAAACAGTATTATTACTCTTAGTTTGTATTTGCTGTGTCTATACATATATAATATGCTGTCCTCTTATCTCTCTCTCTTTTTTTCTTTTATTTTTCTTAATCTAATTTCAAATTGTAGATTCCATCACTCATCTAATCTTCAAAAATGGATCTACTAATATTTTGCGCAAAGCAAGAGCAAGAAATATCTTTATTGTAAATCTGGCATGGATCACAAGGTTAGAGACCACAATAATAATAATAATAATAATAAAAACAAGAGAAAAATTCATGGATCTGACACTTTTCATCGTTTCAATTGTTATATAAATTATTACTATTATTATTATTATTTTGTTTCGTTTTGATAGGTGCAGACAGAATCAGTGCCGGATGCCTGAAAAAGATTTTCCGGTGGAGGGTATTAACAATATTTTGCTGACTGGTGGTGTCAAACGACGGAAATCTATGGAACCTGGCAGAGTGCGTGCATTGATTATGGAGGAATCAGATTCACAAGGTTTTCTTTTTTTTTCTTTAAATTTCTATATGCAAGAGGCTCTAGATTAGAAAGAAATGTATATATATATATATATTGAGATGATGGAAACGCTCAACAGTAAACAATAGGATCTATAGGAGAACAACCCAACAAACGACGGACCATGCCAGCTTATCACATGGTATCCAATCTTGACGAACGACTTGCTAGAAACAACTCAAGACCCTTGACTGGCCCGGACCCAGAGCTGGCTGCACTTTTGCAAAAAGAAGAAGAGGAAGAACGAGAACGAGAGCGAGAAGAAGAAGAAGCAGCCACAGCAGCAGAAGAAAGAAATGCCGAGAAAGGGCCGGATTACAAAAGAAGAAGATTACTTAACCACAAACAAAGCTCCAACAAGGAGAACCAGGATGCCTCGACAGCCAATCTGTCTGATCCGCGCCGCCTAGAGCTCGCAAGGCTCAAGAATGAGCGGGGGCAGGAAATCAAGGCACAGATCAAGGCCGATTTTTATATTGGAGACATTGACGCGCCGAGACCTGAACGGATGTCCTTACCCGCAACTTCAGGTGGTCTACTCCGACGAAAGCGCCGTTCACTTGGACCACGTCTTAGTGTGGGAGGCCAACAGATCCTGGCATCCCTATCCGAGCAACCCCAATATATAGTTTTTACTAATGTGACGGAAACAGAGAAGACTCAATTGAAGGAGATTGTGCGCCGGTTGGGTAGATTCGAGGTCGAAGGCCGGTAAGTTCCCAGTATTATCATTATACACACACATTTGAAAGGCAAATAGAAAGAAAGAAAGAAAGATTTTTGGGTGATAATGATTTATTATTTCTGATTTTAGTGTAAGCGAACACACTACACATGTGATTGGTAGGACACAGAAAGAAAAGAAGAGAGAGAAGGGAGACGTTTGTGTGTGTATGTGTCTAGTTATTAGTATTGCTAACATTTATATAAATGTTCTGTAGTTGGAGAAAAGAGACGAACCCAGACGGTTACTCTTGGTATAGCCTTTCACGCTTGGTTACTTACTCCAAACTGGCAAGTAATTATATATAATAGTAATAATAATAGTAATAATAATATGGCTGTTAGGTTGAGGGATAGTGCAGAACATGGAGCCTATCAAAAGGAAGAAAACTATGAGGCGATCGAGTATTTCCCACGTGCCAAAGCATCTAGGAAGCGTGAACCTCTTTTCCCATCCAATCTTCAGGTGTTTATATTCTCGCTGCAGGTTGTGGACCGACCCCTGGCAGAGACTTTGATCACGCAAGGTGGAGCAAAGGTTGCGCGCAGGATGGAGGATGCTGATATCTTGATTACCCCAAGACCTCTCAATGTTGATAAGGATTTAGCAATAGAGAACTGGCTGCTGGAGTGTATAGAAAACTGGCAATGTGAGTTATTTCAATGTTTCAAAACTAAAAAACAAAAACAAAAAATGGGCTTTTTTTTTTAAAACTTGCTATGTTTCAATCTATTCTTTTATTTCAGATATGCCAGTGGAAAATTACCAACCTACCAAAGTAAAAAGCAAATCCTAGTAAAGAGGGTGGGGGGAACAGAGCGAAAGGGATTTTATACATTCTCTACTGTCTTTTTTCTTTCTTTCTTTAAAATATTATTATTATTATCAGATAATCTTTGTTTACCTTTCTACCTCTTTCTGTTTATTTGTTCTTGTCTTTATTTCTGTTTTCTGTCTTCTTTATATAATACAATATATAACTAAATGATAAAACAATTCTTTTTTTTTAAAAAAAAATTAAAGTAGTAGAAGAAAGAAGAAGTATAATAGTATTATTTCAATTCTTCTTCCTTCAAACATATCAATATATTGACCCCCCTCCTCACCTCTCACTTTTGAGAATCTTATTTTATTACCTTTGCATTCTCTCTCTCTCTTTTGTATTCTAAAATAAAATTCAAATAAAATTAATCATACCTTCTTTTTTCTTTTTTGATATTTTTATTTTCTTTTGAATGATCAAGAATCATGATCACTTGTGCAGTGCAGACTACTGTCTACAAGGTCATCCCCTAATTCTATTTCATTTTTTTTTGCTCTTGTTCTTGGTACAAATCTGGTCACAGAAGCCCATAATATAAGCACGGCTTGTAATACATATTTTAAATACTTGTTTCAATAAATCTATATGTTTCCTTCTCTTTCAAAAAAAAAGCAAAATTTAAAGTCATGTGATTGGGCGAAAGTTTTAATTAATTTTTCCCTTTTTTGCCCTTTTCTTGAACTTTTAGTCTGTCCACACCAATTATTGGGTCTCTTTAATGAATAACACTCTCACAGCATCTACTTTCCCCATTATTGAGATACTAACCCATAAACAATCCCGAATGCCTCAGCCATGTCAACAAAGAGAGTGAACATTGAGCCTTTGAGATACCAGCGTCTCCCACAAGATACCAAACAAGAACAACAATGCGACGATAGAAACAGTAGTGAATTCTTTAATATTTTCATACCACCATCACGATCAGCAGTTCCTGAACTTGTGGCCAATATTATGTCTTCCACCCCCATTCCAGGCATAACGGAAGAGTACTTTCTTACTGAAACTGATGTCCATGACCTCGTTTCAGCTTATATTCCAGATGATATTGTCGCATCAGATGACCTTTCCACCTGGATGTCAAAAGATGGCTCATGGGGTGCGACTATTCGAAAGTAATCTAATAAAAAAAAAAGAAAACGTGGCCAATTGCTCAATGTCAAAGAAATTACAGACTTAATACCAGGAAAGTATCTATCTTTTTTATTTTATTAAAAATGTTCTTCTTATCTTGATTAGATTTTACTTGGGATGATCTTTCCGATATTCAGGAATATAGATCACTGGTCAAATCGTCAATGGACACCAAATGTACTGTTGGTTTCGTACTAAAATCAAATACAAATGAACCTGACACAACCAAAAAGAAGCTAGTAAATCTGCAAATCTACAAGATGAAGTCGAAACTCTTATGTGAAGCTGTATTTGTGTCTTTTAACACGTCTGCTAACGATCTAATTGCGGACCGGGATGTAACAACTCTACCTTATACTTTCGACGATTACTCTGGTAATACACAAGACTTAATTACCAAGATCACAAAATCCGCTCGACAAATTCGCCTTGTAGTAATTGACCATTCTGGACTGACGACCAATCCTGACAACATTAGGCTATTCATATCTTTGAATAAGTCGATACAAGAATTGGTAGAGGATATTGGTCATAAGGTTGAAGTATATTCTCGTTATGACTTGCTCAAAAACATCAAGATCCTCAACAAATTTTGATGTCAGAGAGAATGTGTAAAACGATCGCGATAGTTATTGCAGCAGCTGAAACAGCACTGTAGCCAACACATCAATCAGCAAAAAAAGTTTACTACTTCTACCATGCATATCTGTTCATCGTTATCTTCAATTCCATTTCATTTACAAGTATGACATTTTTCACAGATCAAAAAAATAACCACGATTAGGTAGCCCGTTCAACATTGGTTAAAAAAATTAAAGCAAAACAAAAAGCAAAATCGAATAAAAGAGGTTATTCTACATATATCTATATAAACAACGCAATAGAAAGTACAAGAAGGAGGTCAAAAGTTGGGGGAGGAAGAGGAAAGTGAAGCTTGGGGTACAAAACGACAAAATAAAATAAAATGAAGGTTATACAATTGTGTACGAGAATAAATTTCTCGCTTACATTACCCGGAGATTAGCCGACAGGCACATTAATATACTTTCATAATGATTATTGTAATTCTATCTACATACACATTACATACATACATATATATATATATATATATTCAGAACAGCAATTGTATCGAGTTCATAACTGAAACTTCTGTTGTTTATATTATATAGCTAGAACACCATCTTAGTTTCATGTTGTTCTTTGGTTGTCCTTTATACAAAGCACAAAGTTAAATTAAAAAAAAAAGAAAGGGGTCATCAATAGACACACCTCTACGCACTCTCACTTCCAATACCATAAATTATATGTACATATAAAATGTTTATTTACTGTTTATTAGAACAAATTGAACCGCTTATTTCTGTCACCATTACAGGTAGACACGGCTTATTTTTTTAGAATATATATATATAGCAGCTATATAGAGGGGATATGCAAAAGAAGAAGAGGTGTTTGTGTGTATATATGTATATGTTTGTAGATATGTGATCAAAGTATAAGAAATCAAAAACGAAAAAGGAATAGAAAAAAAAAAGCTAAAGCAAAGATTCCTAATTCCCTTTTTCCTCTTCTTGTAGTTAGATGTTTGACCTTTTTTTTTTTACAAGACAAATTTAGTTGGGGGAGAACTGGATGTAAAGGTGGACTTCACCGTGGCTGGAAAGACCGAGCTTAGCGGGCAACTTGACCCAGGTATCAATGGGCTGGCCTTCGAGGGCCTGGCGGAAATCAACTCTGGCCTCACCAATCTTGTCAGAGCCAAAGGTATCCTTGTCGAGGACCTTGAGGTAGAGCTTGTGGATGGAGGATCCCTCGTCGATGAGGAAAGTGAAGGTCTGGTTCCAGACGGGATCGTTGGTGTTGGAAAGCTCGCTAGTGCGCTGCTTGTAGTCTTCGTTCAACCAGAGCTCGACATAAGGGTCGTTCTTGCCGACCAAGTCCTCACCATGGAGTTCACGAGCTTCGACTATAGTAATAATGAAAAAAAAAAGAAATTAATTAATTTTGATATATAATATATGTCTAATGTTGGTACTTACTGACTGTGACGCTGAGGGTACCACCGGTAGTAGAGTGAGAAGAGAACATTATTGATTTTGTGTTGTTTAAAAGAAAGAGAGAATACGGATATGTAAACTTTTGTAAATTTTTCTGTGATTCTGAAAGGACTCTCCTTTATATACTTTTTAATTTATATATATTATTGTTATTTTTAATCATTTTTTTTATTAAGGTGTGCGAATGGAAAAACGGAACTCTGAACTGAGCTGATTCATTCGCTCATTTGTCCCTTCTTTCTTTCGTTCATTCGCTCATATTCTAGATCAATTCAATCCTCGGCCTGCATATTCATATACTTATTTATACACATAAATATACATGCATGTACACCTACATACATACATACATACATACATACATACATACATAATATATATATATTTAGTCAAATGTACCTTGATGCACTTGGGCTGTCAGGCAGTCTATACCCCATTAGTTGACATCATTCTTCCCAAAACAAGAAACAAAGGACAGGCTGTCGGCGTTCACGATGACCAACACACCAGTCTGGCTTGGCGTTGTACATGTATTCTGTGCCTGTATTACAGAACAAGAATATTTATATATCTATATACATGATAAACGATAACTACGTCATTTTATACAGTCTATTGTTGCACACCCATGTTTAACTACTTTTTGCTCTTTAAATGTAAATGTATTCTACTACTACTACTACTACTACTACTACTACTACTACTATTACTATTACTATTACTTTTGCTGCTGCTATTATTGCGTGATCCTTTAAAAATATTACTATTATTACTATTATATTGTACAATAGCATCGTCCTAAACACTTGCATATATAATTATAATTATATAATATAAAAGTCTCTCTCATAAGCACATACGCACACACTCTTTCTCTCTTTCTACATATACGTGTGATTAAAATTAGCATAATAGGAACAATGAAAAAAAAAGGAGTTAGGATAGGACTTATTCGGGAGTAAAAGAGTCGGACAGCTCACCAGGTTAGGACAATATAAAAAAAATTGTCACACTTTGCAGAAAAGAGAAAAATTATTATTATTATTAGTTTTAATGCTGCTGCTAATAATACTAATAATATAAACGTCAAAGGCAAAACGGCAATTTAACTACACTGTCTCAAAGAATTAGCTAGAACCTTTGAAAATTACTAACATCTTTTTAGTAAAACTTATACTTCTTTTTTTTAAAAAAAAAATAGAGTTGAATTATGATACCACGTGATAAAACGTATTTTTTCCATTTCTTCTCTTACAGGCACTCACTTAAAGCTATATGGACTGTAAAAGTATCGAATCCAAATTTAACGTATATATACATATATTTTTAAAATAATAACAATAATCGAATATCAGGTCAACAACTGGTTCTGGCATATATTGTACGCAGTGGCTAATTGTATGTGTTTTCAATTGAGATAAACAGTAAAATAATATATATAACTTTGGACTGAATACAGTGTTTCTACTTGAGACCGAAACAAATTGAGGAAATGTTTTAGATAAATCAAAATGTAATTGTAGACAGTATGTTTACCTTTTGTGGACAAACCGAGAATGAAATTTAGATAAAGAGAAATTAGTTCTTGAAAGTAGACATTGGTGTTTAGATATTTACTTGTAATTATATAACTGTCTCAAAGAGATTAATTGTTTACGTTACAGTGATGGAGTTGTTATTGTTACTGTTATTGTTATTTCTGTGATGACTGTTGCTTGTTTGCTTGCTTTCATCAGATTTTTGGAAAGCCGTTGGTTAATGAGTTCCTCTCCAATTTGATAAAGCAATTGTCATAGTATTTTTGCAGCATTAATATATCACTGCCACAATGTATTACATGTTTTACAGGCCAGTACATTGTAACTACGAGTGTGATTAGCAGATTCTAAATTTTTCGCTTGAAAATTGCTGCACGTCTTTGAGGTATTGTACACGTCTATTGTAACATCTACAAATCCCCCTTACCTCTCCCGTTTCTTCGAATCTTTCACAAAATTCCTGTCACTCCATATCGGTTATTCTTTAGTCTCGCCAAGCCCTTCCTGAACATCCAGGCACTTTTTATGAGGTTTGATTCTATACAGAATTTGTAATTGAGGGTCTATAGGTATCCAAGGATTGCACAAGATTCGGTGGTATATTAGTGTTCTTTGATAATTTCTGTCGTTGACAAATTTGCACACCAAGTACCAAAAGGTATGTTTGTAAACGGCCTTAGGTATTGAATTATGAGATGGTACCAATAAGTAACTGTTTATGAACATCGTTTCCATGGATATGATATTACGGAGATCATTTGTGAAATCTCAATGTATTGTGACTCTCTTGTTTGCAGCTTTTGCAAAGAACCAATAAAGAATATGCGTTTAATTTTTTTCTTCCTTTAGCTTTACGTTTATCTTTTTTAAGATTCGAACTTTGACTTCTTTTGGCTCTACTAGATGCTCCAACCAATAATAACAGCAAGTAAAAAGAAAAAGAAAACCATTATCATGAGAGATAGTTGTATAGAAAAGACAAGTTGAAAAATGTACTATTGCCAACTGAGGACTTTTTACAGAATATGCGTTTATAATACTTTGTAGTCGCATAACCTCTCTTTCTCCACAATCCTCACACACTATATCTATACCAAAATGTACATGTCTATAAATGATACAGACTTATTCGAATCAATTACTATCTTTTACCTTTAAAGCAATCATCAGCATTTTCTTAAAGGCTTCTTTTATTGATAATGTATAATTTCTTTTCGAGAATATTTTTTTTGAATATGTCACAATAAAAGCAAAATGAAAAGAGATACCGATTAATATCAAAACACGTCCATCAATTTATACTATATCGTGCTAGATTCATTAAGAGCATCTGCACCGGTTACATGTCGGACACCATTATATAAAGCGTAGTATTATAAATTGACGTTTGTGTCTTGAGTTTCTTTTTTCTTATATGCTTTGTTTAAACGAATACTGGTCTATAGGAATGAGCAGCAAAAAACCCCCCACAAGTTATGCTCACTGTGAACCTGATAATCTTCAAATTATTAAATTTATATTTTTAATGTATTTATAAAAGGCAAATAAACAATAATATATATATATATATATTGTTAAAAAAAAAATAGGAATAAAATTACCAGTAAAGGAAGGACAACTTTAGATTGTTAAAAAGATCAAAGTTTCTTTTATAAAATAAAAACAGCTTGAGTATTTCTTTTTGACTAGTATTCAATCCTTGGTGAGGTTAATATATACTATATATATAATGTTCTCTGGAACCTTACCTCTGCGCATGCTTTTAATAAACCTGAGTACATGTACAGGAATAAAAATACAAAATTCATACGTCTAGCCGCTTTCCAAAGGTCTGATAAAAGCAAGAAAACAAGCACTAATAACCACAGAAATAACAATTACAATAGTCATAACAATCCTGCCACTGTAATGCAAACAGCTTGTCTCTTTGAGACATTTAGACAACTATAGGTAAGATGCCTGAATAACAATCTACTTGGAAAACTAATTTCTCTTCATCTAAACATTTCCAAATTTGTCTAAATCTCAATTAGAGACATTAAGAAGATGACAAGCTGTTTTATTACTAGTATATGTCTGTGTTCTTTTATAGCTTTAAAATCATATCTATATTTTGTAAATAGGCAAGTACAAGGATAATACACGCTTGGATATAATGTTTATATTTATTTATTTATTTATTGAAGGTAAATATTAAGTATCTATATAATTCCAGTCGGTAAATCCTAAATGCCTATCCAGGAAAGTCCATCGGTGCTCCACATCTTGTTCTTGTGCTTCAAAATCTGCTGTAATAAAAAAAGAAAGAAAGAAAGAAATATAAAAGTACGTACCTGCAAAAACAAACACGCAAAAAAAACGGACCCAACGAGAAAAAAAAACTAACTAAAAACACAGTACGAAGTTGGGAACATCTCACTTATACGACATCCGGTGGATCAGCACAACACCGAGATGAAGGACGACTAAGCGTCAAAAAAAGAAGTTGGCGCAATGCCTTGAAACCCTCGGCCTCGTACTCAGAATCCTGGACACCACCAGAGCTCAGTCAGGGCCCCGCAGGTCACCCCGTTGGCTTGAACCTCGTTATATACAAAATAAGAACAAAGTAAAATGCTGAGATGTTTTGCTTTAACTTATGTTTTGGAACGATTACTCACCGATTAAGGAGTTCACCAAAGTACTTGCGCACTCTAATGAACTCGCCCGCTGGACCGCTATTTTTTTTTGGAAGAAAAATATGCAGACAAAACACGTTAGCATCTTTTCATGTCAAGTTGGTAAGTAGTAAGCATGGAGATTAGCAGCAGATTTTTGCACACAAGAACAAGAGCAGGAGTGTTTTTTTAGGCTTCTAGATATTTCTTGCTGTCAGTCTATTGCAAATGACAAATAAAAAGTTAGATCTTGCTCAACATTAAGTGCATGAGGTTGGTAGCATTAGCCATTCACTCGTTTTCTTGAATCCGTAAGAGTTGAAAATATGGAGCGCCTCTTTAAAAAAGAAAAAGGCGAAAATATGTTCAAGTTAGCTTACGATGCCGAACGGGACACATTTGAGCTGGCTTTAACATGCTGGTGGTCTTTACATTCGTTACTTACCTGGCGTAAACGTAGACAGACCTAAAGGAAGGGAAATACGAATAAACAGACGCGTATGCCCTTGAAATATTTTTCTACGCCAATATAGATGACATCATCTCCTATTTGTGATGCAAGCATTCTTAGCCACTATGAGAAAAAAGTTGGACTTCAGGGGGTGATTTTAAAAAAAATCACATGTATTCTACAGAATCGCCCTCTGAATCACACCTTTTTTTTTACCGCAGTGGTTATTTTGCTCTAATAAATTCTCTCACAGTGGGTGAGAATGCTTGCATCACAAATAGATGATGATGTCACCTGTATTGGCGTAGGAAAAATTATTTCAAGGGCATACGCGTCTGTTTATTTGTATTTCCCTTCCTTTAGGCCAGCCTATGTTTACGCCAGGTAAGTAACGAATGTAAAGACCACCAGCATGTTAAAGCCAGCTCAAATACCTCTCTTTCGGTGTCATAAGCTAACCTGAACATATTTTCGCCTTTTTCTTTTTTAAAGAGGCGCTCCATATTTTCAACTCTTACGGATTCAAGAAAACGAGTGAATGGCTAATGCTACCAACCTCATGCACTTAATGTTGAGCAAGATCTAACTTTTTATTTGTCATTTGCAATAGACTGACAGCAAGAAATATCTAGAAGCCTAAAAAAACACTCCTGCTCTTGTTCTTGTGTGCAAAAATCTGCTGCTAATCTCCATGCTTACTACTTACCAACTTGACATGAAAAGATGCTAACGTGTTTTGTCTGCATATTTTTCTTCCAAAAAAAAATAGCGGTCCAGCGGGCGAGTTCATTAGAGTGCGCAAGTACTTTGGTGAACTCCTTAATCGGTGAGTAATCGTTCCAAAACATAAGTTAAAGCAAAACATCTCAGCATTTTACTTTGTTCTTATTTTGTATATAACGAGGTTCAAGCCAACGGGGTGACCTGCGGGGCCCTGACTGAGCTCTGGTGGTGTCCAGGATTCTGAGTACGAGGCCGAGGGTTTCAAGGCATTGCGCCAACTTCTTTTTTTGACGCTTAGTCGTCCTTCATCTCGGTGTTGTGCTGATCCACCGGATGT